CCCCCCCCCCCCCCATTTATAATACTAGCCACGAGTCCTTCTTCTTTTTTAGTTCTAATAATACAAGTTAGAGTTTTTTAATAAACAAAAGAATAACCAGGGAAATATATTATAACATAAATAAATTGATTCAAAGACAGTAGAGAGAATTAAAAGGATAATATAATAATATACGGAACTCCATAGCAAAAAATATTGCTAATAATCACTATAATGGGTACAATCAATTTATTATCAAATGATTATAGCGGTAAAATAACACCCACTGATTATATAAATAATAATAATAATAATAATGAAGATTCCAAATCGGATAATAATAAACATCAGAGAGATGAGAAAGAGGAAGATATAACAAATGAAAATGGACCAATACGAAAAGTGTCTAAAAGAGATGACGACAACAAGAGCAATAATAATAATAATAATAATAATAATATTAGCATACTTGAACTTTCTCCAGAAGGTAATATAATAACATCCGAAAACAATAATAATAATAATAACCAAAAGCCTGAAGAAATAAATGTATTAGGCCATATGCATACACATAACAAATCTTTACCTGCATTCAACTTTACAAGATTCTGTTATAGACACAACCCAGAGATTCAAAATTCTCCAACACATACTGCATGTTATAATCAAGATTTAAAGAAAGTCAAAGAGATAAATTATCAAATTTCTAAACTCCCGATACAGGAACAATCTGAGATTCACCATATGATATCGAAATTTAACAAATCCAATGATAAAACAAGAAAATTGATATTCGATGGACTGCTTGCGTCATCATGTTTCCCACAACTATCATATGTTTCCACCCAAGTACAAGAAATGCTTAAAATAGATTTTATTAGCATATTACCTAAAGAATTATCATCTAAAATATTAAGTTATCTTGATTGTCAATCACTTTGCAATTCGATGTTAGTGTGTCACAAATGGAATAATTTAGCAAATAACAATAGAATATGGTACCACATGTGTAAACAACATATCGATAGAAAATGTCCAAATTGTGGTTGGGGGTTACCTCTACTACAAATGAAGAATAATTTCCGTAATCGTCAACGTAAGAAAGAAGATCGATTAATTAAAAATCCTTGGAAAGTAATTTATAGAGATAGATTTAAAGTTGAGAAAAATTGGAGAAGAGGTAATTTCACGATCAAGGATTTCAAGGGTCACATGGATGGGATATTAAGTTTACAACATAATTATAATTTACTGTTCACAGGATCATATGATTCCACCGTGGCCATTTGGGATATACATAGTGGTAAATTGATGAGAAGATTACAAGGTCATTCGGATGGTGTTAAAGCATTATATTTTGATGATCAAAAATTGATTACAGGATCTTTGGATAAGACTATAAGAATTTGGAATTATGTTACTGGTGAATGCATTTCCACATATAGAGGTCATACAGATAGTGTAATGAGTGTTGATTCTTTCAAAAAGATAATTGTATCGGGTAGTGCTGATAAGACAGTTAAAGTATGGCACATTGAGACAAGAACATGCTATACATTAAGAGGTCATACTGAGTGGGTTAACTGTGTTCGTTTGCATCCTAAGAGTTTTAGTTGTTACAGTTGTAGTGATGATGGTACAATCAGGATGTGGGATATACGAACTAATAGTTGCTTAAAAGTTTTCCGTGGTCATGTTGGTCAAGTTCAAAAAGTCCTACCATTAACTATAATAGATATTGAAAATCTAGTTACAGATAAGAATAGTAATGCATGTACTGGTCACCATACCAACGGAGAACCCGAAGTTACTGAAGACCCTCAAAATGTCGAGTTAGATGAAAACATTCCATACCCAACACATCTATTATCTTGTTCCTTGGACAATACTATTAAGTTATGGAATATCAAGACAGGCCAATGTATTAGAACTCATTTTGGTCATGTGGAAGGTGTATGGGATATTGCAGCTGACAATTTTAGAATTATTAGTGGTTCTCATGATGGTTCCATAAAGATTTGGGATTTACAAAGTGGGAAATGTATGCATACTTTCCAAGGTAGAAGACTAGAGAAAGATACGGTACCAACTACTATTAACAATAACAACAACAGTAATGATAATGATAATAATGAAGAGACTAGTAATGACCAATCAAGTAACAAGATATCTCCAATAACATGTGTTGCTATAGGTGATTCTGAATTCTTCTGTGGTGATGAAATGGGATGTTGTCGAATGTTCAATTTTGAGAGTGGAACAGATGACGGCAATGTTGATGATTAAGAGACAATATACACGTATTTTAGTATCTCATCTTATACTGTGTGAATATGTGAAAACAAAAGAAAAAAATAGAATATTAAATAGATTTACAGATATATATAGAAAAATCATAAAATACACAGTTGGATACTTCCTTTTGACCTTACTTCATACCTGATTGTTATTGTCTACCGCCATTTTTATAAAATTTTCAAATAGTGAAATAAGCTTCTCTTATTTCAATTTTAATAGCTGGATTAACGTTACATTTTATAACTTTGTATCTATCCCGACAGTTCCGCGGATAGGGCCCTCTGTTTCTACAAAAAATGAAATATATTTCGGGTCTTTCCTAAATCCGGATTTTATATGTAATCCTTACATAAACAAGATATACATCAGTGAATACTGTGCAGAAAAATATACAACGTACCAAATGTTCTGGGAATCTCACTTCTAGAAGAGATCCCCCTTCCCTACGTAAGTAGTCAAAAATGTATGATAGAAAGGGTTTTCGCAATAATAATATATTTCCATCAAATGATGGACCTGAAGCCCCGATGAACAATTATAATGTAAATGCATCGGTTGTAGACTTTGTTCCCACACTTGTGCATAAAATACATGATGAATATTACATAACCTAATACAAGAAAGAACCAATTAATTCCAGTTTACCATTCTTAAGATTAGTAACATATGTATACAGGAATGGACCATGATATAACCAATGATTACAATCAATGATACCTTAAATTGTTTATGTATCCTTTTTTCTTGTCATCTTGAATCAAATAATTAAGAAGGACGTTCACGACCCACTATTTCGTATATTGTATCCATCATATACATACATGTAAATATTAACTAAACGAGCTGTATTACATAACATCGATCCATTCCCTTTTCTATTAGAACGAATATAATGATATACGCACCACTTAATAATGCTATCTCTAAGGGGGGACAAAACCCCCAAAAATAATAATAGCGTGCTTATCATTAATATGTTGGTTTCTGTCTGTGGCTGCAGCATTGGGGGGTTCAAGCAGAACTTAGCTAGGTATATATTTTCACCGCCACGCTGGGTTGCTTCCCTTAGGGAGGGGGGAAGCATTGAAAAAGGACGACATTCGGAACTGGACGGGTCGAGTAATAAATAATATACGTTATAATAACGGGAATCGAACGCTAAAGGGTACGGGTGAGACAACTACCAGACAGACTTTGAAGAAAAAACAGCCCTTTCGGAGCTACCTCTTCGTTGCGCAGTACAGCGGGCAAATTTTGCTCTGCTTACACACACAAGAAAACAAAAACAAACACCAAAACAAATTGCTGCACTGCTCGAAAATTGCTGGGAGGACAACGACTAGGGGGAGAGAGGGAGGGAGAGGGAGGGAGACAGAGTGAACGGAGTAAGAAGTTTTGAAGGAGGGGGACTAAATAGGAACTAAGTGAGAGAGACAGCTGAGTGGATACGAAGAGTTACAACAGTGACAAAATTAATGCAAGGAAACCCCCACAGAGGAAACATTCATATGCAAGAAATTGCGGAACATCAGAAAGTGAAAAAAAACACAATTGTAACTTAATTATCTAAAGCTTTATTATTACTATTATTACTATTATATCTAGTTTATTTAAAAGAAGGGATATAAATGAAGATCGAAATTATATAAGAAATTCAAACAGGTTTGTATTTTAATGAACTTCTATTAAAATTAATATATGAGAATAAACAAAAAAAATAACGTCCATAAAGTTATTCATATTTTAAATATATATGAATATATATATATATATTTAGTTCATTTCAAATTGGAAAAATACTACACATATATATCCAATACTTTAGCATACAAAAAAAAGTTTTAAAACTTGCATACATTTCTTTCTACTTTGTGTTACAACAGTAATCATTACTAAAATATTTCGTAAAGCTTCGAGAGAGCAAATAAAACAAACAAATATAGTCTATAAAGAAACATTTTTGGACATGCAAGAAGAAGACAACAATTCAATGGGAGGTGTATCCTTACAATATTTGAATAATAATGCACAAGGTGAGTTAACGAATGATCAATTACTTGCTAAAAAGACAAGAATGATGAGTAAAACTACAGATTCTATTAGAAATCCTGCATATACAACAGATTTTGGTCCACCACAGGCCTCTAGAATAAAAAGATCAATGTCGATGCCATTTATCGTCAAATCAATATTATCCAAACCAACTCCAACATTTAACCGTCGTACGAAAAAGAAACATATTAGAAGTAAAAGTGTACATTTTGACGAAAAATTACCAATAAAATTATACCAATTGGATGATAGACCTAGAATTATTAGCGATGAGGACTCATATGATACAGGGAAAGTTAATTTTGATAAGACAAAACCATTAGGTAGAATAAATACTCAAGAATATTATGAGGATGAAAATGATAATGATCTTGATATGATAAAGGATTCAGCGATAAATAGTGGTGAAAACAATGGGTTTTATGATTTTAATTTTCCAATATTTGATTACGCGCAGGGTTTACAAGATGTTCGAATAAATTATTTTTTTAATCATACCAAGAATGACTTATATTTACAAGATTTACATTTAGAATTTTTGAAACAAACTCAAGATTGGGTATTAAAAGGCATTATATCTCTAAGAAATATTTTTTTTGAAAAATTTGTTGTCGTTAGATATACAACAAATAATTGGAAAAATAGTACAGATATTTATGGTCAATATATGAGAAGTGGGAATAATTATGATTTTTTTGAATTCCAAATTAATAAATTAGTTGATTTAATCAATTATGATTATGATAAACATTCAATTAATTTAGAATTTTGTATTAATTATCAAACAACAGATAATAATCATCAAGCATTGGAATTTTGGGATAATAACAATGATAAGAATTATAGAATGAGATTAGTTGTTGGTAAAGAATTGAATACAATAGCTAAAGAGGAAAATGATATTAAAAATATCGAAAAACAATTCATGAATTGGAATTTGACATATACTGATTCAAAAAGTCATAATACTAATAAAAAAACAAATAGTAATAATAATAATAATAGCAGTGGTAGGAGCTGCAATAGTAATAGTAATAAAAAGAACATAAAATCATTATTAAATGAAAATAGTGATAGTGATAGCGATTTAGATTCATTAGAATTTGATTTAGGTCACAGATTTGAAAATAATAGAAAGAATAGTAAACAAATGAATAATAATTTTGGTATGACTAATAATTTCAATAATTTGAACAATTTTAGTAGTAAAAAAAGAACTGATAATTTTAATAATAATGATATTTTACAAAGTGCAATGAATCAATACCCCTTCAAACAATATAATTTCAAGAATTCATTCAATAGCTAACAAATTTTTGGTTTTTTTAGGGAAAGACAAACAGTTTAATAATAATATTATACAAATAAGTAAATAAATAAATATATGCATACTGATTAAATCCTTAATAAGTTCAACATTTTTTTTTTACTCACAATCTAAATCAAGTAAATCAACAAATTTTGCAGAATCTAGCATAATGTATAACTGGAAGTTTAACGAATAATTACTATAGAGTCAAAAAATGAAGTTGATTTTTCAATTTCTAAGTTAAATTGTGCCATCACTATAATAAAATAGAATAAAGAGATATGACAAGAATTACATCAACTGTCATATTTATTTCACCGATGGCCCACAATAAGGTACTAACCATTTGATCTACCATCCTATTAGAGCTTCAATTATCTAATAATGTGGACAAGCAAGTACATAATATCCTGTTATAAAAAAAAACGATTTCGATTAAAGTAAAGCCGCGGACTTTCAATATTTTATAGTATTGAAAACGGCTAAAAAGTTTCTCCATTTACAAACTCTCTATCTCTTTTAGTTTCGACCCCATCTCGATTAGGCGAATAAATTGTATATAGGGGATTTAACACGCGTCTTTTTCTATCTTAATATTTCCTAAAATAAACATTTAATTAGACTTAATTTGCCTACTTTCTAATATCGCTTACTCAGTTTTTGTTAGAGTGGGAGGGTGGGGGAAACCATGGAAGAAACAAGGGGCGAAAAGAAGAGGAGGCAGAAGAAAATAAAATTCCCAAAAATAGGTGCGAGTTTTTTATTTTCTTTTTTATTTTCTTTTTGTGCTCTTCCGAATATCACCGCAGAGTTAAATTACATACAGCAAGAGATGCTCCGTCGGGAATGGTCTGGTCCAGCCATTCCATTCCGTTCCGTTTTTTTTTATACAAAAAATGTACGTTCGATCTACGAGGAAAGTGACGCGCAACCAGGGACAACGGACAACAGCAACCAGGGGGGAGAAAGGAGGAAGAGGACAAGAAAGAAAGAACAATCGTAGTTTCTAGAATTGCCAATGAAGCGCGAAACAAATTGGAAACAAAATGTAAACAAATCTCTCTCTCTTTTTTTGTTTGACTGGTAAATCCTAGTAGCAGTAGCAGTAAATCAATTAATGTACCAAAGGATATAATCGATGAGAGAGAGGGGAGGGCCCCCCGGAAGAATAAATGGCGAGACATATCTCTCTATACACATATTAATTATTATTCAGGATGGGTAAAAAGAACATGCTGAGAGGGGATTTCAATTTACAGATCATATATTTTATTTGAACATTTTTTCGATTTTAATGCTTTCCTTCTCCACGATGTTTTAATAAACAAAATAAATAATATTCCTAATTAGTACATTTGTAAAGAATGAAATAAAAAAGAACCCTTAATAATTATCCCTCTTTCTGCAATATAGGGCAGATCAAGAATTAGAAAAGAATAGGGGAAATTATACATCAACTATAGCGTGTAATAATAAATATAATACTCATATAGCCTCAACTTTTAGGATAACCTGAGAGGGGTGAATATCCTAAATTGGTAATAAAGATTGATATCGGAATAATTTATAAATCCATTTTAGGATTTATAATTAATATATAAAATTTAATAACTATTTTTGAGTTTCAATCTCTAATTTTTTTGTCTTATTTCTTATTTAAAATTATTTCTGTATTGTCAATTCCACTAATATTATATTGTATATATATATAACGAACAAACAAACATAATATTCTTATAATCATCAATACGATAAACTTAAAATTAAATAACAGTTTTCCAATCAAGAACAAAAAATATAACTAATATTACTCCATTTTACTCTAATAATATTAGAAACAACAACAATATTCATTATATACACCCAAATCCGAATTATTTATTGTTAATTAGGTAGCTTCCAAAGTAATAATATTATTTAATTTCCATTTCAAGTCACTAGTCGCATAATTAAAAGAATTACGTCAGTAAACACAACCGTTTTACCGTTTTCTTCTTCTTCTTTTAACTATAATAAAAACAAACAAAGAGGAAGGATCAAAAATTTCTCTTTGAGTCATACTGTACATCAATTAAAACAATACCTTTGAAAATAGTCAGATAATTTTCTTTGTTTATCAAGAATCAAATACTACAAATAATTTACACATACTGATATCTTATACTTTATTTTGTCGTGATTTCAGAACAATAGTGTTTGCATCTGAAAACTATTTTAATTCCTGGTAATAAAAAAGATATAATTCTTTTGCAGCTGCAATAAATCACTATTTACAATAGACTCTGTGTTTTTATTTCGTTATTTTCTATTGTTGATACACACATATATATTAAGTGAACGTGGAATTCATTCTAAGCTGATTACAGTAAATTCCTAAACGTTAATACAATAACAATAGTAAACTTCCGTCATCCTACAGTAATATCGAACCCTTTTTTTTTCTGTTTTTTTGATTTTGTATAATTTACAGGAACAATATATACAGAAAGAGTCCTATTAGAAAATTAAACGAACTGAAATACAAATAAAAACTAAGCAATGAACGGTTTTCTCAAACAATTCAATAAAAAACACAACAGTGCAAATAATGAGACTGTAGTATTATCAACAAATTCTGCCAGTACTAATACCACACATGTTTTATCACAAGATCAAAACTCAAATAATAATTTAATACCATCATTAGATAGGAGCTTATCAGATAATTCGACCCAATCTGCTAATATGCCACGGTCCGTACCAACGAATATTGAATCACCTTCTTCTCCTTCAAAAGGGTCATCATTTAAAAACTGGTTTGCTGAGTTATCTCCAAGTCACCATCATCATAATCATCATAATCATCAACAACGCCATCAACATTCTACTTCAAATGGTAGCATAGAAAATAAGAATCATCCTACAACACATTTTACCTATAGTAAGAGTGGTATTAACAATATTAATAGCAATAGTACGATGGTAGGGATAACAACTAATAGTAAGAAAGTATTTGATACGTCTTTGGTAGCATCAACGGAAGTTGTCAAATGCGAAATTGTGATGTCAAATGAATTAAACGAAATATTTTTTGGTTATGTACCTGTTGTAATCGCTAAATGTGGTTCAATAATTAAAAAATATGGACTTAACACACCTGGCATCTTTAGAAAATCTGGTAATAAGAAGAAAATTGATTATTTAATAAATCATTACTTTGCCCATGAACCATTTTATGGTTTAGATTTTAACTATGAGGGCCCAACTGGTCAGAATCAAGAATATAGTATACATGAATTTGCGTCACTTTTCAAGACATATCTTAATAGACTTACAGAACCTGTTATCCCATATGAAAATTTTGATTCCTTCATTAATTGTATGAAACAATACCGTGAAATGATAAATTATTATGATAATGTTACAAATCCTGAAATTGTAGATAAGACTACAATACAATATGGGAATGAGAATCAATCTAAGGATATTAAAGAATTACTACAGAAATATCATATATTAATTCATACATTACCTGAAGCCAATAGAGAATTATTAATTTATGTTCTTGACTTATTGGGTATGATTCAAAAACATTCTTCAATAAATTTAATGACATGTGAAAATATATCGATCGTTTTCCAACCTTCATTATTATCTCATTTAGAATTTTCAACAGATTTACAACCAAATAGACTAGCCAGATATACTCTACATTTTCTGGTAGAGAATTTTGATACTCTTGCTAATAGTTACCTTGGTGCGACACCATCACTATCATCATCATGATTATGATAATCATCATATCCCAGATTTACTACACATCTATATATTCTTCAAATTTACGAACGCATTACTATGACAACGAGTCATAGTATCTGTACTATTACTATTATTAATTCTACTTCTATTATTGCAACGACATATTGTATCAATAAAATAACGAATAATGACAATAAAATTGCACACCACAAATACAAATAGGATTATGTATTCTTAAAGAATCTCTGCATACTAGAGAACCTCAAATAATTATTGATGGACACCTAACTTTCACTACTATTTACTAAATATATAACGAATTACCCCAGCAATATTTGTTATTGATTTATTGAACTACCACCACATTCATTTAAATTTATATATGTTAATTAAGTTATTTATACATGCAGAATAAAATACGTAATATCAATGAGACTATGATGGAATGTACAAGCTATAGCAAAGACCTAATATTTCATTAGGGTATGCCGTACACAGTGATAAGTGCGTGTGACCAATCAGACAAGAAATTGGGAAATTAATGAGTTTGCGAAGTGCTTCACCGAGAAATCGGCTCACATCGTTGCACGGTAAAACAATCAACTTTCTGTCTGTATAATTTGTGCACTCACAATTTTAAATAAGAATAACCGCGTACTCGGCATATTAGCGACCATTAGGTGCGTGGTGGATAGGTATCCGATTTCTCGGCCCATTTGTGACCAATTAGTGCAGCGCTTTACTCGACCCCTCAAAGGTTTAAACAAAACAATACTATCAGCATGGCAAGTTTTCTCTCTGTGTCCTCTCCTCTCCTTGGTCTTTACGTAAAGAAGTAGGACTAACAACCAAATATATGAGATGCAGAAACTCATTTATAATATATTTTTGTGCCAAATCAGCAATATATTGTATGGGAATTTTTGCTACGTACCCGTGTTCTAACCTATTGCGAGTGATCAAATTTATTGCATAGCGAAAAGGTAAATAGAGACAGTTGAGTTGATTCTTCTTATTTAAAATAATATAGTATTCAATCAACGTTCGTAGAAGAACAAGAAGTAATTCTTACAGTTTCCTTCCCCTTGTACAATAATAATCATTTCAACCTTTTTTTTTTCGTTTTTTCACTCTTCCAATAGTTAATTAGTATTGTCATGGTTGGCAAAAAGGAATAAAATGATTGAGATAATTAAAAATCATTAACAACAACCGACATCATCGCAACACATCGAAAAGTTAATTTCTATTGATCAACTTATTTTATTTTATTTATTGGTGATATATATACTGTTGGGTTTAATATCAAGTAATTACATATATATAAACATTTGTATATATATCTCTCTCTTATGCAAACCTTTTCTACTTGTTTTGTAATTCATTTTTTTCTTTCAATACTGCGTAATTCAACCCTTTAGTCCGATTTTGTTATAGCCAATCAAACTCGAGTTTTTATATTTTCAATTTAAAGAACAAGAAATCGTTCCTGTCAAACAAAGTTGAAGTTTTTCTCTCCCACTTTTTAAAAATTTACATATTACATCATTTACTTAAATAGTATAACAGTACCATCATATCCCACGTTACTTTGAAATACTTACTATTTAATTTAGAATTCAGAAGATACAAAAGAGACATATCCGATTATTACTTCTGAAATTTTTACCCCACATCTAATCCAGTTTATTAACTTCTATCTTTTATTATTATTATTATTATTATAAATAAAATTAAGATATAAATATTTACTGATAACCCCAATATATCATTATCACATATTCCCTTAAATTTAAATCCACTACTATTATTATTTCCAAGATGCAAAGAGTACTAAGAATTCCAACTTTGAGAAATAGTGCAGCTTTGAGATTGATGTCCACTTCTGCACACCCACAACCTTCTACAGGTAGATTTACTGGTAAACCAGATCCAACTACTGGTAAATTTAACGTTTCCTTCATTGAAGGTGATGGTATTGGTCCAGAAATTTCCCAAGCTGTGAAAGATATCTTTAAAGCTGCAGATGTTCCTATTCAATGGGAATTCTGTGATGTTTCTCCAATCTTCGTCAATGGTTTAACTACTATCCCAGATAAAGCTGTCCAATCTATTAGCAAAAATTTAGTTGCATTGAAGGGTCCTTTGGCTACACCAATTGGTAAAGGTCACAGATCCCTAAATTTGACTTTAAGAAAGACTTTCGGTCTTTTCGCTAATGTTCGTCCAGCAAAATCTGTTGCTGGTTTCAAAACTACTTACTCTGATGTCGATTTGGTTCTTATTAGAGAAAACACCGAAGGTGAATATTCAGGTATTGAACATGTAGTGACACCAGGTGTCGTTCAATCTATTAAATTGATTACAAGGGATGCATCTGAAAGAGTCATTAGATATGCATTTGAATATGCCAGAGCTATCGGCAGACCAAGAGTTATCGTTGTCCACAAATCTACCATTCAAAGATTGTCCGATGGTCTATTCGTTAATGTTGCCAAGGAATTATCTGCAGAATATCCAGACATCAAATTAGAACTACAATTAATAGATAACAAGGTTTTGAACGTTGTTACCAACCCTGCCTCTTACACTGACGCTGTCTCTGTTTGTCCAAACTTGTACGGTGATATCTTATCTGATTTGAACTCTGGTTTAAGTGCCGGTTCCTTAGGTCTAACACCATCTGCTAACATTGGTAACAAGATTTCTATCTTTGAAGCCGTCCACGGTTCTGCTCCAGATATCGCTGGTAAGAATATGGCCAACCCAACTGCTCTATTGCTATCATCTGTAATGATGTTGAATCACATGGGTCTAAATGCTCATGCCGATCAGATCCAAGATGCCGTTTTATCTACCATTGCTTCCAGTCCAGAAAACAGAACTGGTGACCTTGGTGGTTCTGCAACAACTTCTTCCTTCACCGAAGCTGTTATCAACAAATTGTAAATGCCGTATTAAATACATCAATAACAACAAATATATATATATATATATATATTCATGTATATCTTTTTTCAAACAAATTTAAAAAAAAGTAAAAGTTCTTTTTTTACTACTAATGATGTTAAAAACATTTTTATTTCAATCAACACATATAATCACACTCAAAATATTGATTACTCATGACGTCCATCCGTATACAAATATATAATAGCATATATATACTTTAAAGGTACAAAAATTTCATTAGGAAAAAAAACACACACGATACTTATCTTGGTAAATACATACCATACTTATATTAATCTATTTAGTACTTAATAAATACAATTGATCTGCCTTGTGAAATTGTTGGCAACCTTCGTTGTTCTCGAAATTTCTTGCCAAAGATGTCTGCTGTTCATTATAGAAATCCTCTTTAATATACGTAAACATGATTGGTGTTTCATTTGGCGCCCGCGTGCATTGCTTAATATATTCTTTCAATTGTACTTCTGTTATTGACTTTGATATTCGAAAGTCCGTACCTATCGTATTACATTTAACCTGAGTCCATTTGTTCTTATCTAATCTGTCTCTTAAGAAATATAGATGTGGTGAAATCACTAACATGCTTAATAGATAGGGAGAATCTATCAAATTTAGTTGTTTTGCTGTTTTAATTATATGTGTTTCTGGGTACGTCAAATTCCATTCATTATGTAATTTCTGTGATATTTCTTTGTATTGATCCTTTTTGTTATCTTTCTTTTCGTTGATTTGTGTCTTTATACTTTCAATTTGTGAAATAATTGATAAAATTTCTTTACCTTTTTCATTAGATACCTTTTCATCCTGTTGTAAATATTCTAATGTGCTATTTAAGAACATAAAAAGATCTTTTCCTTGATAACTTTTTAATTTATTCAAATCATTCAGAATACTTCTAAGTTCAAAATGGGCATTATTTCTCTTTTCAATAATATGCTTGATAAGTTGATCTTTACATTTTTTTGTGTATATTTGAGGGTAAAATTCAAACGGAATGTCAATCCCATCTGTATATGCCATATTATCATTAGTTGTTTCGTCCATTTCACTTAAAAGAACTGTAAAAATAGGTGAAATAACTTTCAAAGAACTATCCCGTTCGTCGTCGTCATCGTCATCATCACTATCACTTCCATTAGGGTATTCCATAGCCTCCTCAGGGTATAATAATACGTTAAACATCTTATATAAAGTAGAATCATACTCCTCTGGTAGGAAATGAAATAAGGTTAGATATGTCTCTTGAAATGGCTCTTCACTGGATGGTTTATGAACTGCCGTAGAAACGAACGTTTTGCTAATACTAGATGCATCTGAAGCAGAGCACAGTTGAAGATCTGTTATTAGAGATTTAATAAATGTTGGGAGCACCTCATGCACATGTTCGGCCTCTGCTAATTTTTGTTGAACATTGGAATCAAAAGATTTAGATATTAATTTGGCAGACACAAATGATCTTTCTGAAAACTTGGAACAGCATGCCGATATCAACTTCTGTAATTGCCATAAGGTTTCTGGTTGGGATTCAGAAGGATATTCAATTGAAGATGACTGAACTATTTCAACTTTTTTAGGAATATCCAGTGATTCATTGATTGAAGAAGGATCCGTTGACGAGTCATTAGAAAATTTCAATTTATATAATGGTTCTGATATCTTATTACCTTTATACCATGATTCATCATAATTTAAATTCTTAAAATCTGGTAACAAAAAAAGGTTTGATGCATAATATGCCATAGCTAAAGCATATAATGCCAAATAGTTTTCCATAACAGAGTTCACTGGTAAAGGTGTTAAAACTGTTGGATCATTAATCTCTGTCTTATGAATAGAATGTTGCATTATACTATATGATGGAGGTTCTTCACTCCAATCATTATTTGAACTTTCTAACTGTTCACAAGAATCTGTAGCATTCTTTTTACTGTGCTCTATTCCAGAACCAGATAATATTGAAGACGATTCTGACGATGCTACCGAGGAGTCTCCTGATGGTATATATTTAGTTTGAGGAATTTGTTGCTGTGATACAGAGTCCTGACGTAATTGTATGCTATTTGTGAGATTCTCATTATCTGTATGCATATTGAAATCTGAGTTAGAAGATTCCGATGAATTAAAATCTATCAAGTCATTAGCACTGGGTTTTTCGTTAGAATTCTTATCATTATGCGTTGGATTGACCGACAAATCAATTGGGCCTACATTAAGCGGCACAGAATCTATATTCCTCGCCTTATCATCAGTACCATTATTATTATTATTAATGTTATTGTTTGTTAGATGTTCTGGTAATTCGTTCGAAAATATAAAATTAACAGCATCTTGTAAATTACCATTCACTCTTTTCATTGCATCCATCGCAACGTCATGATCAATCCCCATTTCCATTAGGGATGTGACATCCCAATTATCAGACATTACTAGATTTAAATTTCCTTAGGTGATAAATTCTTGAGATTATTTCCCTCTTTGCAGATTATTTAACAATATATATTCTTCGAATTAAATATATTTTAGTACTTCTAAATAAAATTACTTTTTAAATGTGCCTTTTTAGTGTTTAATTAGTTAACATAATATTGATCTCTGTTTTAGTGCTGTAGGATTCAGTAACAAACATCGCACCTAAAACAGCCACCACCACTACGATCGCAGTATAATAATCAAGTTCATTCTTTTTGCAAGGGCGTTGCAAGAAGCGTTCGTACTTAATGAGATATACGCGAGCCCTATTCTAGGGGTAATATAGGGTTTCAATTTGAATATTCTTAAAATACCACGTGACTTCAACATGCGAATCCGTATTAAATGATGTTATACTTAGCTTCGTTAATTTTTTAACCTAAAAAACAATTGAGCTAACACCATTAAATATGACGCAGAAAGGAATAATGAATGCAAATATGTAAATTTATTAATTTGTCCTCAAAAAGAACAACAGTTATGACACCGACTATCAATTATTTGAAAATGTAAAGAATTGAGGGGGAAGGAGTAAAGAAGTTTTTCCGTGCGACAGTTTTGTGTACGATTGAATTGATAAATTCTCCTTCTTTCCTTTTTCTTTCTTTCTCTCCTTTTTGTGGAAACTTCCGTGTCTTCGGCTCCGGCAATTCCGCAAATTCCCGATTCTTATTGACTTTTATTTTATCTTTAATATTTTCTTCGGGATTGTAATGCTTTTACTTTACTGACTAATATATATGTGTACAAAGTTGAGAGATCATTCTTTGTAGTAAATTGCCGTGCCGAATCAAAAGTTTGAGCAGTTCCAAATAAAAAGACTTTTTCCATGTGGGGCAAAGTTTTAAGATGAAATCAATCAAATCAGAACAGATTACATCACCCAAAGGAAGACTGAGAAATTTTGGGTAGCACAGCCAGAAAAGCAAAAAATATTTACATACAAAAAAATAAAGGTAGTCCCATTCTGCGCAAAACATTCAATTATCGGCTTATCTGTGTTCTACTTGTTAATGTCAGAGAGTGCTCCTCTCTTCAGTAGAAATGCTGAATGAATGATTTACATTTTACCATAAAACCTTGATTTATTTCATTTCCTAAAGTTATCCCACGGAATATTTACTTTTATTATTTATATGAATTAATAAATTTACATAAAACACCGAGAACTGACTGCACAATTGGCTGTGAAATAAACGTTTTATTTAACAAAAATATAGAAATTAAATATAATTTTAAAAGTATTTTAGAGTTTAGTTTTAGTAATAATTAAAGTTTCTTATATTTCTTTTTTCTTCCCGAAAACAGACATTCGTAGTATATTCTGAGTACTATCTACGAATATGTTGAGAACAAAGAAAGCAGTGTAGCGGCCCGAACAAAAAAAAAATATAAAAAAATATATATATATATATTTTTATATAATAGAAACGACAGAACGGAAACCAAAAAAAAAGTATTGGAGGAAACAGTAGGATACTGTCATTTCAGCAATAGGAACAAGAAAAAATAAATCGAGAAAAATAATATATATTTTTTCTTTAAATCAGTTTGATAGATGAGGGACTGAGGAAAACAACTATAAAAACAGAATCACACTTACTTTGACAAACTTAGACTGAGACGTACATACTAGAAAAATGTCAGGGCAATATTCTGAGAAATATTATAATAAATTTATAAAATGCACACTATAACTTACTTTATTTCATCATACGTATCGACAATACGTAGTGCATATGTATAGCACTCTTATTCGTTTTCTTTGTCTATAAGTTTATTTTGTGTATGCTCAATAGAAGTACTACCGTACTACTTACTACTAACATAAATCTTGAAAGTATTGTTTGTTTTTAAATAGGATAAATAAAAATGACATATTATAGTAAATTAAACAAATTTAGATAATATATATATATAATACGTAAGATACTATTCATATCCGCTTTTGTTTTCTTTTATTTATTATTGTTTTGAACAACTTCATCGAAATTGTCAATGAAATCATATATGGAAAATTTTAAAACTTTCTTTCTTTCTTCTTCCTCATCGTGTTAGATGAACAGAAAAAAAGAAAATACGGTTTCTTATTAGTTCTATATTGCCAAACATATCTGGAATATTTTTTTTAAAATACTATTATATTATTATTGTTTTTGTTTTTGTTTTTAAAGACGTAATCAGATATCGTGCTCGACAGTTATTCTACAATATTTCCTAGGACACAACATAGGTATATTTTACTTTTCACATTATTTTACTGTGGTTTTGATTTTGCATCTAGAGTGTTTATTTGCCTGCGATACATTTATAATAATAATTTTACCAGCGAATAATTATTTCTCAATCTGTGGACTGTTACTTTTGACACACAATTTCATTTAATTTCAAGATTAAAGATATCTTTTTTTATTCTTTATTTTACTCTATTTTATTCTTTTTTTTTTTTGCTCAAGTGACGTTTTAGGTGACTGAAAATATTATTATAAAATAGATACTCTCTTCGAGACTGGCAGATTACCAAGACTATATAACTTCATACTTATTCTTCCATTCATTATATTATCACTCTAACCTCTCTTAGCTTACGATTAGTACTATTCACAATTGAAAGTTCAGAACCAATCCTTTGTAGTGTGATCCATTTTACTTCCTTTTTTATTTTCTCTTTTGTTTTTCCAAACATTCTTCCGTCTCCTAACTCATCGGATTTAAGACCCTTTAAAAAAGATAAAGAAGAACAATCTACGGTCAGTAAATTTCAAATATAGGTTTTAAAACGTGGAAAACTTGAAAAATATTAAGAGGAACAAGATATACAATATAAGGAGGGAAACTTTCATTACAATAGATCTCCAAGGATTAGTCGATATTTTGGTATCTGAAGATCGGTTACTTCGATCATTTTTATTATTTTCGTTCTTTTCTGGGATTTATATTCATTTTCCAATTCGTTCTTAAACCCTTAACATAATACAATTCATTCACAGATTGATATCTCAATGGACTCCTCAAACAATAAAGATAATGATTTAAACAATCATACTTCCAGTAACATGCATTCTGGTGATAGTTCTAACTCTGTAACTAGTACTACAAGTAATAATACAAATAATACTATTGAATATAACGACGGTGTTAACGGAGTAAATCATCATCACCATCATCACCATCATCTGCATAATTCAACTAACAATCCCAGTCATTCACAGCATAGTAGTGGGCATTATAAAGATCATATTTTACACCAAATGCAAGGACTTCATACAGAAGTACAATACCATGATGAATATATCAATAGTCGTAATTCTAGTGGCATATCGATTAATTCAGAAAATAAAAGTTCTACTTCATTATCAGCAAAAAAACCATCCCATGGTAAAACAACTCAGAATATTGTATTTATTCATAAATTATACAATATCCTTGAAAATAAGGAGTTAAAACATTTAATTTGGTGGTCCGATAATGGTAAATCATTTTTCATTAAACCAAATGAAAAGTTCAGTAAAGCTTTGGCAAAATATTTTAAACATACAAACATTACTAGTTTTGTCAGACAATTAAACATTTATGGCTTTCATAAAGTGACAAATTTGAATGAATCCAATACAACAATGACAGAAAAGGAAAGAGAAAAATCACACGATCCTACTGAGGATGACGATACAACCACCATAAAAATATGGGAATTTAAGCATAGTGCTGGAATATTCAAAAAGGGTGAGCCAGAGAGTCTCAAACTTATAAAGAGAAGATCGAGTTCACGTAATAGTTCAAATGCATACAAGAAGAGACCAAATCTCTTAGAGAACCACTCTGGTGTAAATTTCACCAATGGATCCGTAAGCCATACTGACCTTTCCTACGGCACAGACAATAACGGTCATACACAGACCAATTCTGCATTTTCAGCAGAACAACTAAACAGTTTGAGATCACATTCTTCCTTTTCGCCTTACTCTTCAAATGATACTATTAATAATTTACAAAATTCATATAATAATGCTCCGCCAGGTTTAATGCAGAATTCCCAACATTTGCCTCCCCAAAATATGCAACAAATTGATGGACAATTTGTAACACAAAATAACCTAAATGCGACCAATGAATTTATCATGGAACAATTTTATTCTCTAAATAATGATATGATACAAGTATTAAACAACCTTCAGAATTTTGTCACTTTACAAAATTCTATAGCTTTTAATGACAATCCTACACGTTCTTTGACTAAAAAATACCTAAACCAATATGATATATTATATCACAATGTTTCAAACTTGAAGAGTGATCTAGTAAATAAATATCAAACATTAGCTACAGCATTTTATGAACAACAGCAACATTCATATGTAGTTCAGCCTTCGCTGCACCCAAATTTGCAAATTCCAGGTTCACGCATGGCAATTCACCCGTTATCTTATCCACCACAAACACAATCTATGAGAAACAAACCTTTTCCTTCTCAGTCACCATCACTTCTGAACCTAGCAACATCACAAATATGTCAACCACCAAACAATCCAGCTGGGGCTCGGTTTTATCCTGAGCAAACAACTACAAATTTGCAAAATACCCAAGAACATAGCAATGATTATCAAAAACTGGCGACTTCAAATTCAACATCACACACTTCTATTGGTCTTGCACCTAGTAGTATGATGTCTCAACAATATCCACAGGTATCACCCGTAGATCATACCCAAACGTCTTTAATAAACCCTATAAATGAACAATACAAAGAAAACATTTACGTGCCAACTAACCCTGTCGGAAATATGAACGGTATAGTTAAAAACCTCACATTATCGGACACTGTTGCAAGCAGGAATCAAAACATGGCTTCTGAAACTACTCTTACCAATCGCAGCGCACCTTCAGAAATACCATTTCAATCCATTCAGAAGGCATCAATAGGAGGCACAAAGACTATTTCGACTCCGGATTTGGTTGATAACTCAGTCACTGACACACCAGTTCCATTGAAAGTAGAAGGAAAGGAGTTTTCTCATGTGAAGAAACTTCAGGAAACTTCACTTAAACAACAGAATTCTTCCTCCCCAATCGAACTTTCATCAATCACGAAAATATCTACAGACGAGGGTACTCAGCTTAAGAACAGTAAAGTATACTCATTGTTAAATAGCACAGCACCGACAAATAAGGTAAACGAATATGACCATGTTGACAAAAAACCAAAACTATAATGCAAACTCCTATATATTCCTAATTGTTAATGTATAAAAATGTTTTATTCATTCAGAATGTATAAATATTATACAGCTATATAATAATAAAATCAACGCCAGTATAGATTCTTTAACCTACTTGTATATACATGCAGTAACTATAATTTAATTTAATTACCGTCCCTGTCAGTCACTGCTCACCATATCTATCAAGAAATAAAATTTAATATTTTTAATAAATAAAATCTTCTCTAGTTCATAAACATGCATATATTTAAGAGGTTTCCAGAATTTAACTATGAAATTTCATTATACTTTAATATGGGAAAATACATTTGTATTGTAATATTCTACTACCATGCATATCCCAATCACTATATGTGATGTATAATTCTTCTATCAATTTAACTTGAGCTAATACAGATCCACCTTTCCAGCACAAAGAGGCAGGATCCATTTCTCTTGGAGGTGGTATAACAGTTACTGTAGAGTAATGATCATTATTGTTTGCAGCTTTGTCAAAACCTCCGACAAATTTCTGTAATTCGGTGGTAATTAGATTATCGATATCTGATTTCAAACTAGAAGTTGTATCTTCTCCATTTTCTGAATTATTTTCTGGTGCACCACTATTGTTGTTTGCATCCTTATTGTCATCTGTATTTTCAGTTTCATTATCATTTTCGGTTGTCGCAATAGAAGAGGATTTTGGTTTCTCTGAATTGAATTTTTTCTCTTGTTCTTTAACCTTTTTAACAAGACTCTCATAAAAAGTTGGAAACGTGTTTAAACTTAATAAACGAGGTCTCCATATATTAATACGATCTGTTAACATAAAATCGAATGCTTCAATATTTGATGAACCACCAACCACTAATATATTAGAATAATATGTTGGCATCTTGGATGGATCCATCGTTAAGCTTGCATTAGTAATACTTTGTATGATTGCTTTATCTAACGGTATCATATTTAACATAATATCATCATTGGCGGTAGCAGATATTTCATCTAATTTATCATTAACATCCAATAACCTCTTTAAAAGTAAGTTCTCGTTATGAATATCAGTATAGGCATCTGGAGTTTCATTATCCATTAAGTTAGAATCATGCAATGTTTCTTCTTGAGATATCGATTTCAAATCATTTGAATCATCAGTGAAAAAATCCTGGGAATCAGGTAATTGTAATTTCCAACGTTTAACAATTTTTTGAGATTTTTCTGAGCCCTTATTTTGATCTTTTAATAATTTAAAGATTTCTGGATAAAATAAAGCTAAAGGAGCTAACATTACTTCATCAAAAATTTTGAATTCATATTTCTCTATCGGTTCATTTGGCATTCTCTTCAAGAAATTTGTTAGTTGTACTGCTACACCATCATCTTGGAATGTGACCAAATTTTTCTTTAAGGTTTCTGCAAGATGCCACCCTGGTAGTGTTGAAGGATCCCAATCATGATAAGGAAAATTATTTTGTTTCAAAAGGACAGAAAATAATTTTGTTATGTCATCTCCACCATAATTTAATTTGATTACACTATTTTCCACTACAGAACCTTCATCTACACATACCACGTTAGTAGAACTAGCACCAATATTTACCACACATGTAGAGGTACCCAACCCTGCACCATAACAATTAGCTAGGGATTCTTGAATAATTGCAACAGCTTGAAAAGGCAATTCAGTGATTAATAATCTAATGAGTGCCTCTACATGACTCTTTTGGAATAAATCAGGTATAACCAAGATAGCCTTAAATCTTGATGATTTAAAATCCATATCCTTCATTATAGGATCATTTAAACCTTTCTCCTTTGATTGTTTCTGTTGTTCGTCAAATTCTTCATGATCTTGGTCTTGGTCTTGTTTTTTTTTTATTTGTTGTTCTCTATACCTTTTAAACAATTTTTTCAAGGCATAATTTAATAAATTAGTTATATCGCCTAATAATTCTTGCAAAGACGTATATTGCCCCGATAAAACATTGAAAGCACCGCCACTAGTGAAAGGTCTTCTATGAATAAACCATGGTTCAGATGCTAAGATTGCCTCATCACCATAAAGATACTTTTCATTATCATTATCATTTGAATCAGTAATCCATGGAATATGGGCAGGATCCTTTTGTAAGGATACAACTTCTGGAGTCACTTTAGAATTAAATGACTTTACTTGTTCATGACTATTTGGTTGAATTCTGCGCTTATAATATCTCATTCTCTCTTTAAAGCTTTGATACAATTGTGATTTTAAATCTATAAATTGAGAGGAGTTTGTATCGAACCATTTCTCTTCTTTATCATCATGATCATTCGAAAAAGATTTATTGTTTGGGATAGCAATACAGTTAGGTATTACAATTGGAGTTTCATCCAATGCAAACCCGATTTTCATTGAACTATGGCCTAATTGAATCACTATAGTATTTGATGGATCATTTAAATCTATTTGTTCATGGTTATATTTAATACATTTATTATCGAACGTTGTTGCTGCCAAATCTTTAAAATCTTGTTGAGTCCATTGATTATTATTATTATTATCAGTAGTATTATTTGGTACATTTTCATTATTACCTGTTGTACTTTTGTTTCTTAAATATTTTCTTTCTCTTAATGTAAACGTTTGATCATCTTTCTTTAAATAATCTGAAGAATAATTTTTTTGATTAATTAATTGAATTTGTTGATATCTACCTGTTAATGCAATATTTTCATTATCAAATTTTTCAATCCCTGCTTGTTTTAATTTTCTAGCAAATTCTTCAGCGGCCTTAATACGACCTAGTCTTCTTTTTTCCAATAGATGCAAAGGAACCTTCTTAGATTGTGAATTCCCATTACTGTTCTTAGTAGAATTGTTAATTTTAGGCTTCTTTTCCTGATGATTTGGCGTTGCTGTAGAACTTCTTAAAGTATCCATATCTTGTTCGCTCACTGGATGAGTACTGACTTCTTCATCTACTTCCTCAGCACGATTATTACTCATAGTGTTCATCCAAATGTTGATCGACTTATCTAATTCTCTTATGCTTATAGACTGAATCTCTTCTTTCTTACGTATAAATTCTTTTGTTCATTTATATAAATTCAGCCAGTAACGAACGAACGTTATTGCTTGTTGTTGTTGTTATATTTTTCTACGAGAAAATTTACAAGCCACGTGACTCCCGCCAAAAAGTCCTCCTTCTTGCTACAAAATTTACGCAGCAAACAGTAGATTCAATTAGCTCATAATCTAACTACACCATATCCATCCTGTATATATAGATATACATCATTGAACCTGAGATGTGTCTATAGTAAACAGAATATATCATCTTCTATTACAATTGTAGATAATATGGCAAGTGTTTCATCCTGGCTTTTTTGTCTATCGATTCAATTTACAACGGGTGACCACCCCAAGTACGAGTATATGGCAAACAAGACACCATCACACTCAGTTATCTCCAACTAATCGAACTCCCAATACGCACGCTCTGCTTATCTATTGGTAGTGATAACCATCGATGCGTTGTTGATAGCTAACTGATTCCAAATACAGAGTGGCCATCTCTCGTTCACTCGGCAACAGCAACATCACTGCACCACACCACGGAAAACACTGCACTATATAATTCAATTCTCCGATAATCGCCGGCGGTCGGGGTTGCTGCGGGCGGGGTATTTACTACTGCGCACACTTTTATTATTGTATATGAGATTGTATTATATGATATGATATTATCGAGAGTAACAGGGCTGCCGTCGAGGCGGACCTTCTGAAGTTGGGGGAACTCTCGGCTATTCACTTCTCCAACTAGCATTCCACCCCCCCTTACCAACGTATATTCATATATATAAAGAAGATAGATCGATGATTCGTAATTAACGGTTGATTGGGTTGTCTTAATTTGAATATATTTATACATATATACATACATATATATATATATATATATATACGCACAAACACACGATGATGCATTCTCGTCATTTATTAAGACTGACTTCAGTCACCAAACGTACACTATCGACTAAGCCATACGATGAAACAATTAGAAATCTATTATGTCCAAAGGATACCCGTGTGATCTTTCAAGGTTTTACAGGGAAACAAGCTACTTTCCATGCTCAATTATCAATGGATTATGGGACGCAAGTCGTGGGAGGTACAAATCCGAAAAAAGCAGGTCAATTACATTTGGAAAAACCTGTCTTTGCTACAGTTAAAGATGCAATTAAACAGACTCAAGCAAACGCATCAGCAATTTTTGTCCCACCGCCAATTGCCGCAAAGGCTATCGAGGAAGCTATTGATGCTGAAGTACCATTAATTGTTTGTATTACAGAGGGGATCCCTCAGAAAGATATGTTATATATATCTGAAATGTTACATTCTCAAGGGAAATCAAGATTAGTCGGGCCTAATTGTCCAGGTATTATCAACCCATCGACAAACGTTAGAATAGGGATTCAACCAACTTCAATCTTTAAACCAGGGAAGATTGGTATTATCTCTAGATCAGGTACTTTAACTTACGAAGCAGTTCAACAGACTACAATCCATGGTTTAGGTCAATCCTTAGTAGTAGGCATGGGTGGCGATGCATTCCCAGGTACTGATTTTATTGATGCTTTGAAATTATTCTTAAATGAAAGTCCTGATACTGAAGGTATTATTATGCTAGGTGAAATTGGGGGACGTGCAGAGATTGAAGCTGCTCAATTCTTGAAAGAACATAATATGAATAGAGACAAACCTTTACCGGTCTCTTCATTCATTGCAGGGAAAGTTGCTGGACAAATGAAAGGTGTTAGAATGGGTCATTCCGGTGCCATTGTCGAAGGTCATGGTACCGATGCCGAATCAAAGAAGAAAGCTCTAAGAGATATAGGTGTCGATGTTGTTGAATCTCCTGGGTTCTTAGGTCAATCTTTAGTAGATCAATTCAATAGATTGAAATGAACTTAAATGATCTTTCTTCTACTTATTCGTATTGTTTCTCTTAAGTAATATCTCTTCACAGATCAATTACACATCTCCACCTATAAATATATTTTATACTATATTATATTTACATATTCTGAAAGAAAAAAAATAAATAAAAACGATCTATTATTCTTAATATATTATTACATAGATACATATTCTGCCAACTTATCTGGGTAGTATTCGATATTCATCACAATATCTCTATCACTCTCAATGTAACATTTATCTCTGGATGCAAATCGATTATTCGAACTTACGCGACCACTACGGATACTTGACGGCCAGTTTATTACATCCCATTTTAAACCATATGTTTGGGACACAATAACTTCTTCACCAATTGGTAATAACCCACAATTACCCAATACATAGTCTCTAAATACTTTATTTGTTGGTAATAATGGTGGATTACTGTATTCGATAGATGTGCCCCCACTAGCCACTAACATGATAATATCTGTGTCTGTTAAAAAAGTCAAAGTCATTTCAGGGTTATCTCTCCTTGCATTGTATAGCTCAGTAATAGAATTGATAGTTTGATCAAATCGACCACCAATGGCCCCCAAAGCTAACACGTTAACCCTGTGAGGTAAAACAGTATGATGTTGTCTTAAGTCATCACACATATCAAGTAATCCATGACTGGAATCAATCCCCAGATTTTCTTCTTGTTTTTTATTTTGTAAAAAATTGTTAAATGTTTTGGAATTGGCATTCAATAGAATCAATTTTAGACATTTCGTGAAATCTGTTGCATATTGACTATGTTGTTCAAGGATTACTACACCACGCTCAGAATAGTATTGTCTTACATCATCTGTGATGGAATCTAAATCGCCTACAATGAAGTCAGGTAGATATTTTTCTCGAATAACATCACCACTTAATTCATGAAATTTTTGCTGCTCTTGAAGGTATTCATATAATCTATTAGTTGCACCATCGGCACATACATGGATTGGACGTGCCTCCCAAAGTCGTTTAAACACTACAAATGGTGTATCAATTCGTTGATTCAGTATCAATAACGTATCCCCAACTTGAGCTTGGGAACAATTAAATATATCGTGCCATATATTTATTTTATTTTTGATATTGAAATTTCTATAAACAGTTTCATCAATATCAAATCGATCTTCACGTTCTATACATTGTTCCTCAGACATATTATGTTCTAAATTTGGAAAATAACTTGGATTGTGGCTTTATATTATATCATTGACAAATGATTCCGAAAAACACTATAATATTTCACTTTCACCCAAAAAATAACCTCGAAATATATATATTTCAATGTTTTATTTTTGATATTTGATCATCATTATCATTTTTATTATTATCACCAGTTAGTTATCTCTATTTTCGTTCGCTTTACAGGAACCGAAGCACAGAAAATTTCGAAAGAAAAGATATGTATTACTTTAAAGGATGTTCATTTTTATCTAGTTCAGAGTTCTATATATATTATCAGATCTATATGCAATTTTATATCCTACTTATATTGACTGTCAAAAGTAGTAACATGTATATGTTCATTAAATTGTCCTTGTTCACATATATCATTTCGTCGATATTGGAAAAGTATCTATTTCCAGCAACTCACAACTTTATCACTGTTAGCGGAGAATCTTAAATGTTTCGTCAATCTTTCCTCAAACAATCTTTTAACAATTTCATCATGTTCTTCTGGTGATGCATTTTCAACAGAGATTCTATACAATTGATTGTTATACTCTCTAGACTCTAGTTCATGTTTTGCAATCTCATGTACAAAAGGATTGATTTGTTCACATATATTTCTTTTCGTAGTATAAGCCATGTCTAAACTTACTCGGTCGTCAACTACTTGTCCATTATTTTTCTCTCCTTGGAACATATCAACTATATTTTGAATCTTGCGTGAGTTCCTGGTACTTCTTATCTTTGTATATGTAGAGTTAATAGGATGTTTCAATCGTGTTTCTACGAAAGATATCATTGCCTTCTTCATCTTATTATATTTATGAGGGAACTTATAGTTGTTAGGCAGAAAATGATTATTATATTGAATTAACATTTGCTTCAGTTCTGCACCCACATTCAACTCAAATGGTAAAATTGGTAAATGGTTATAATATTGGGTGTGTATCCTATAATCTATAATGTAATCATTTGCGAGGCGAAACTCTTCATCGTCTTTCCTCTCTATGAACTTCATAACAATGTCATTTGTCATTAACGTATTATCATCTTCCTGTTGGATTCTTGACTTATCCCATGTACTTGATAAAATTATGTCATCTATAGAGTTGATATCAAGTAAACGGTACATCAGTTTAATATCAGTTATATCGCTGGTTATCGATGGCAGTTTATTCGATGACATATTAATTTTGGTACCTGAACTAAACCAAAATTGTAATTGTAGCAAACATTTTCTGATATCATTATTGTTATCTTTCACGATGTTTTGCAAAACATCTTTACTTATATCTAATTCTAAGATACTGCAATATCTTGTCAAATATTCCAGGACTGATCTTGAAGAAACTTTCTTCACATTGAATAATGAATCACCGGATGCGCATATATCAACTAGATTGGACGGTATATATTCAGAATCTGTACAAGTTAATATAACAGGTTTCCTTGACTTCATTAATAACATTTCTAATGCACTCCAAAACATTCTATCGTGCTCTTTAAATATTACATCCACATCACTTATTAAGACAATACCAGCTTCTTTTTTGTCTTTTACATAGTATGTCGTACAATAATCTGTTAATGTGGTCAAAATATCTTTCCTACCTCTATTTTGCGAAGTGTTGACTTCATATATTTGATATCCTTTTTCCTTTGCAATAGTGTATATTAAGGTATCCTTCCCAATCCCTTCTCCATGTAGGATAGAAAGAGGGATGAACTCTTCTAGGGTTCCATCATTTGTATTTGCTCCACCATTGTCGGTATCACTGTCATGATCATCTTGGATTACAAAATTCCTAAATTCATCGACTTCCTCTTTATATGTTCTTAATAACGTATTTCTAGTAGTAGGTTTTTTTAATTTACTAATAGAACTATCAATCCACTTCGAAATATTTTGTTTCAATTTTGTTTCTAGTAAAACACTCTTTAATGTTGTTGGTTTCATAAGCTCAGGCCACTGTTGGGAATATTTGTTAGGACCAATTGTATAAGAAACAACTTTACTATTATTTGTATCATTCCTTAAATTATCTTTCCTATTTAACGATTCATATTCAGAATATGAAAAACCACCATGATTTTCACTGATATCGTCTTTAATGTTGATAGGCTTGGATCTACGATGTAAATTTAAGATGACTATATCTCTCGAGGCACTTGCTGTGCTAGAAGGTTCAATCAACTGTTGAGTAGGAAATGGTGCATCAATTTGTTGCAATTTAGAGATATCGTTATATCTCTTTATAGTACCATTAGACCGAGGAAGTTGGTGTTCTGGTGTAAGTTTCCCAAATGCAGCGAACAAATTTTTAAGGTTCGTTCTTTTGACAGAAGTGTTAGTTGATAATTTACTCGGTTGTAATGATATCTTTGTTATATCTATGACGTTACTATTCTCATTATTTGTGTCATCGTCAGAAGCATCGTCTAAAGATATGACTGTTGGTTCAATTTTTTTGATCTCATTGACAGGTTTTTTCTTCATCAAAAAACTCTTCATGGTTTGACACTTCACATTATCACCTTCCGGAATTATATGTTGTCTAGAACTATTCAATTGCACTGTACTACTTAGGATAGAGGGAGGAGATGACGGAGAGGAAGACGCTCCGACACCAATCAAACTTACCTCATCATCTGTAGCATTCGATAATGTTGAACTCTCTAAATCAACGACGTTTGGTTCAGGTTTGTTCAAGCGTGTCTTACCATCAATTTTGTTTTTGTTTTTGTTTTCTAATTTAGGTTTCTTAATAGGATTGCCACTCAGGATTGACTTTAACGAGACTGGTGTTGTTCTCTTCATTGCATTTATTATAATTAAATTAACCTATTTATCGTAACAAATAAGCTCAATCAGATCAATTTCATTAATTAGTTTTTTGGAATACACAAATATGCAAATGCTTGTTAGTAAATTTAATCGATCAAAGGAGATAGATCAAATCCGAGGGGTTTAATATTCAAATTATGATATTTTACAATAAGTTTTGTATGTATAATTCATCTTTCAAATTTCATCGTATTGTTAGTAAAACGCGTTTTCCATATAAAATTCATGTGTAAACAGTTGAAGACCTTTTTTTCGTGTTCGCCTAAGGGAGATGGCATAATCTAAACAAAATTGATTTGAGATATTTCAGAAGAGTTAGCTAATAATCCTTTCAAGGATAGTTGAGCACTGAAAAACCACTCTTTCGTATACTAATTCTATAGTTTTAAAGATGGTACTTCTAATAATATTTATTTGATTTTTGGATACAAAAGGGAATTCGTAACTAAATAAATGAGGGTTTCTATATCTATATATATATATATGTTAAAAGAAATTATGAACCTGTGATTACACAGAGTAGAATGCTAATTGCGGATGATGCCATACTTACAAAGCTAAGAAAAGTAAGTAAAATAGAGAACCGAAACCTAAGGTAGTACCTATTGTGTTACCGTTGTTGGCACTAAATTCATTGATGGATCTAGTAGTGATACCTTGGATACCGTAAGATGATTGTTGACTGATTTTCACTGCGGAGACAGATACATATGGACTACCAGAAGCAACAACTTTGGTTTCAACGTTAGTATTAGTTAAAGTGGTGGTTTCATCTGGGATAACAGTTTGAGTTACTATTCTTTGTTCTGACTTAGCATCAATGGTAGTAATTTGTTTTACTTTAGCTGGAGTTGTGGTTTCGTCTGGAATAACAGTCTTTGTAACTACAACTTGGTTTGTATTAGCAGTGGTACTCTGTTGAGGTTCAGCATCAGCATTAGTATTAGCTGTCTGAGCATACTTCTCAATTTCAGTTTCAATAATAGTTTGAACAACGACAGCATCCACTTTGTAAGTAACAGACGCAACAGTTAATTCGCTGTTGCTATTGATAGTTGGGTAACAAGAGACAATATCGGTTACAGTTCCGTAAACCTTAGTACTTACTTGGGGAATTGTGACTGTATTTTTATCATTGGCAAAAACAGTGGCTGGAGAAGAGGTTACTGACCCGTTTTCATCAGTAATTGGACAATCAGTAGTATATTGGGTTAGAGTGACACCATTCACCGTAGAAGTGGTAAACATATTAGTTTCACTTGTAATCAAAGTAGTAGTAATGTTTCTGACGTAAGCATCAATAGCAGAAGCTGGTGCAATAGAAATTTGGCTACTGGAGGAAGTTGTGTCAACTGAGGAGGTTGGTGCAACAGAAGATGTCGGATCAACAGAAGAGGATGGGGCAACAGAAGAGGTTGGATCAGCAGAGGAAGTTGGCACAACAGAAGAAGTTGGATCGATAGAAGAGGTTGGGGCAACAGAAGAGGTTGGGGCAACAGAAGAGGTTGGGGCAACAGAAGAGGTTGGGGCAACAGAAGAGGTTGGGGCAACAGAAGAGGTTGGTGCAACAGAAGATGTCGGATCAACAGAAGAGGATGGGGTAACAGAAGAGGTTGGATCAGCAGAGGAAGTTGACACAACAGAAGAAGTTGGATCGATAGAAGAGGTTGGGGCAACAGAAGAGGAGCTTATATCTGATGTTTTTGATAATGCTAGAGATTGAGGAGCAATATTTTGGAAACTACCAGAACTGGATGAAGCAACTGCAGAAGAACTGCTTGGAATAGAAGATGAGGATGTAATGGAAGAACTAATTACCAAGCTAGATGTACTAGATGGCATAATAGAACTAGATGATGGAATGGAAGAGGAAGAAGGTGCGACAGAAGATGATGTAACTGGGGTTGGGATTGGAATCCATGGAGCAGTTTCACAGGCAGCGCAAACAGATGGACTATCAGCATTAGGTGGGGCAGCATTATAATAAAGAGCATTATTCGCCAGTTTGGTACCAATATGGTTATCAATTTGAACCTCTTTAAAGTTAGATGAATCATAACCGGTACCAATATTGAAAGTATGTTTAATAAATATGAAAACATTGACAGTTAAGATACCAGTACTGGAGTCATAACTGTGACTGGTAATGGAAGTCCCAAAAGACAGATAGTTACCATTACCGTAACCAGCCACTTTGATGTTACTGGTTTCACCCTTACTATCAACGTAGATAATAGAACTGGAGTCGGTCATGTATAATGTTTGAGAACCTAACGTACCGTAACTGGTAGATTGGATTGCGTAGACAGTGTTGGCTCCAACAGTGATACACCCGGAACCGCCAACATTGGATAAAAGATAAGCCTTTACATTGTTCAAACAAACAGTACCGTCATTCGTAAATGTGGATGCTTTCATGTTCACAGTACTACCATAACTAGAGCTTTCGTCTTGACTAAAAACCATTAAACCGTTGTTTGTCAGAGTACTGCTTGGTTCAATATTAAATGTGTTACCGTTCACGTTTGGACCTTCAAAGAACATTTTACCATTATTTTCGATTGTGGTACCATCCCAAGTGACGGTCATTGCCTTGGAGACATTTCTGTTATCAACAACAGAAACACCATGATTGTTAAAGGTTGAACCTGAGAAGGTAGTTTGTAGACCATTGTCACCAGAGTCTTGATCACCGACGTACAAAGCGCCGCCATCTTCAATGTCCATGTTACCAGTAATACCTTGAACGTTACCGTATATCAAACCTACGTAACCACCATTTTCAATGGTAATGTCTTCGTCAGGAAGATTGTTGTGCATTATTGTACCATCGCTGACACTCAGAGCGGATACACTCTTCATGGCTGCAATAGCGACAGCCATGTATGTTGATAATTTTACAGAGACCATAATTTGTTATGGATATATATTATTTCCTATTAGGGTATGAGGAATTTTGCTTGAAAGTTTGGTAGAGTATGAAATAAAGTAATCACATAAACTAAACGCAAATTATATTCAAAATATCAGGTCGCAAATATACAGTTTTTTTGTCCCACAAATAGATGCTTATATATATAACATAATGTCATATGAGAAAGATTCCATAGTTGTATTTCTATTTTAACCATTTGATGATGTTACTGCACGGATTATGTGATATTGGTGTAATAAATTTCATGTTACGATACCAATCGGGTATAATGAAGTTCAAATAATTTTTTATTTCTAAGTAATAGTGTGGAGGACTTAAAACAACAGATGAAGTTTGGGTATAATAATAAAAACCATGAATAATTTCCTAGACAGTGTTAAAAAAAGAAACAGATATTGACAAATATAGTAAACAGTTCTTCTTCGTACTCACCGTTTAAACTTATTTGTTATAGAACTGAATTGAAATAGGTATCACTTTACGATGGATGTTTGTTCCTAGATTTAGACACATGACATACTACCTTTCATATGTTTAATTTGAGGAGTTACTGATATAAGTAAACAAAAAGAGAAGATACCCACAATCGATGAGTGAATAAGAGAGCTCATTGCGTAGTAGATCTTAGATATCCAATATTTTACGTATAGAAAAACCGATTCTTCTAGAAATCCGTGTGCGCACTACGATGGTATTTTCAATGGTAAAATTATATTATTTACATATTTCTCGAAGATATGCTTCAAGTTTCGTATACGAGAAAACTGGAGAATTGTAAATGTTAGGAACTGTGCTGCACTGTCGGTTATTTTTATTAACAATGAAACTGAAAGACACGATGCTGCTTTCGCTTATTATTTTATTTTCTATAATAATATAATACGTATTATTAATTGTATAGAAAGGAAGCCCATGTAACTGGGGAAGATTGAAGATCAGGGCTCTTCTCCTATATCTCGTTATAGTATTATGGTATTCATATAATAACTACGAGTAACTAATGACACTTTTCGGTCGTATAAGGCACCACATATTTTTTTTTTAAATTCCTGTTAAGGAATTCTTTTACAGACCTGTCATTCGTGGACAGAGAAATGGTCGCATAGAATGAATCAACAGCTGCCCTGTGACTGTGACACACGCCAAATCACAATAAAATCCAGAGACATCGTCGCACAAACAGTGTGGAGAAAAAACGGAAACGGAAAAGGGGAAAAACCTTCGCATACTTACGGGATGAGTTGATAAGATCTCCGTACAGCGATCGTAAGATGACAGCAATGACACCCACGTCCAATGGGCGACCAAACGATTAAGAGAACAAATCTTATATAGATTGACACCGTTCTACGTATTTTTCTTCATTATTTACAGAACTTCTTTAGATATAGAATGGATCGTCGTTTATGGATCTCAGTCAACATTTCTTTTTCCAAGCTGGGGAAGATCTCAAAACACTCTTCAAATTGTTCTTTCAAAAAGAAAAGAAATGTCATAATTCTCATCACAATCGATGCATTTTTTTTTGCCCAATAAGGTAACAGAAAATGGTTTTTTGTTCTTCTATTAGTATTGTTATTAATTATATGTAACAGCAAACCAAAAAAAAGAAATACCATTTTGTTTATTTTTATTTTTATTTAATTGTTTTTCAAAACTGAAAGTTAAGTAAGAAAACTTTTAAAAATATACGGAAGTATATTTTGTACCATTACCTTGATTGGGTTATTATTTACTTTTGGTTTGTTCGTTTACGATATGTTATTATTTGAGCGTTTATATTTATATCTCAAATTATTTACGACCAATTTGAGGAGTTAGCTTGAACTGAGAAGAACATCTTAATAAACACTCATGTAGCTAGTTACCTCCAAGGTCATGGTGACCCAGTTTTGCAGTTGAATAAAGAATGAAAAATTCTAAATAAAGTGGCTTTTACATTGATATTATTTCTGATACTAATTTTTTAGATAGTTGTTTGTTTTTACATAATAATTGATGAAGGTATCTATGGAGACAATTTTTTATCTCCATAGATCTCGTAAACAAAAATGACCAGCCTCTATATACATCTCATCGATTATTTTTTTTGCCAAAATTTAAACTTAAAAAGGAATGAACTCAGAAATTAGCTAACGAATGTTTGATGATTACTTACACAACCCTAAAGTGAATATGCTTAATTGGGGGATAATATGCCGAAAATTTTCTCATCTCACCTGATAAAAGGATTCTACGATCTAAAAGAAGCAGTAACACTGTTCACGAACTTCATAATCCAACGAATTCTCCGGGAAGTTGGTCCACCTCTTGAATAGTAATATTATTGAATGATCCATTAGTTTGTACTTGTAGTGTTTGCTTTGCTTTATCAATTGCATCTTTTGCCACATTGATCCTATACTTGATTTTGCGACCAATTGCCTCATGTAGTTGCTTGTCAGGATCAATTTTGGTTAATGCTACATTACAAACTCTTATAGCTTTCTCGTTTTCCCCTAGTTTTATTAAGGACATTGCCTTATTACTATAAGCAACTGGTTCGTCCGGATCTATAAGAATGCAATCATTATAACATTCAATAGCCTTGATATAATTACCTTCTTGGAAAAAGGAGTTACCTTTGACTTTTTCATGTTCATATGTAGTCATTACGTCTTGTTTAGTTCTTGTTTCTTTATCACTCAGTTGCGTAACTCAATGTTCCTTGTATATCTAACACCTAGCTGAAGTTTATGCATATATGGTATCAGAAGAATAGGGAAGTTAAGAGTAATCATTCCTTTATTTCTACAAATAGACCTTTTTCTTTTTTGAGGTAGAACGAATGCGATATACCTCATCATGATATATGAATTCAAGTTTCAACATCTTGAAGTGCTATCGTTTTTTAATGAATCAAAAAGAGCTGCGCTTCTTCTGTGTGTTGTACATAATCATAAAAATGAAAAATATTGAAGAAAAATCAAGGTTGAAATTTAAGCAATTACAATAATCAGATAGAAATCATTAAACAAAGTAACAAATATTTAATGATCTACGGTACTGTTTGAAACTCAATTTGAGTTATTTAGTTATTTGGTTAAATTTCTCATACACTTTAATTGTATTTTAAGATCACTAAATTTTGCAGAACAAATAATATTTCAACCGTTCTAATAAGTAAAAAAAATGGAAACCAATCATGAAGACTTGCTGGATGAAATATTAGCTATTGAGGCTATATACCCAGAAAATTTAGAACGTAAGGTTGAGGATTGTTCAATTGTGGTCATAAAAGTGCCACAACACGAATATATAAATATTCAAATATCGTTTCCGCCAGAATATCCATCAACATTATCACCACGTTTATTAGATGTTAACATATCGCAGGATAAAAGTAAGGCATATGATGCAAATTATTTAAAGCAGTTGTTTCAGGAGGTACTAGATTCTGTTTTCCATCCAGGGATAGTATGTCTGTTTGATTTCCTCACTGAATTGGATGCCGTTCTATATGAGGGTGATAATGCTGAGGAAGATGATACGAATGAACAGAAAGATATGAAAGAGCTTGTACCAATAGATCCGTTTGAAGGGTGGTTCGCATCTGATCCTATTACTGACCGTGGCTCTACATTTATGGCATTTGCAACCCATGTTACTTCAGAAGAAGATGCATTTATGAAATTGGATAAATTGAAGACAGATTCAAAAATGAGGAAAGCTAGTCATATAATGAGTGCGTGGAGAACAAAAGTGATAAACGAGAATGGGCAAGAGATAAAATATCAAGATTCTGATGATGATGGAGAAGCAGCTGCAGGATCAAGAATGTTGCATCTTATAACGATTATGGATGTTTGGGGAATCATGGTAATTGTAGCGAGATGGTTCGGCGGAGCTCATATTGGCCCAGATAGATTCAGGCACATTAATAGTACTGCAAGAGAAGCAGTCCTCAGGGGAGGGTTTAAAAAGGATAAATAGATATCAAACCATCAAGTATAGATCATTTTGCATTGAGTATATATATATATAACATATACCTTACTTTTTAACATACATGCTTTCCGTTATGTGCAAGAAATGTAGATCGAATCTGTTCCCAAATTTCGTTGAACATGATAAACTTCCTCGATGCCCTGAAAATTTTCAGAAAATTTCACTGTTTTGGAAAAGTGAAAAATCTTGAAGCTCATCACCTCCAGGAATAGTAAAGCTGCAGTATAGACATATAGGTAAAAGAAATAGATACCTTCATAATTAAAGCATAACTTTAGAAGATATAAAACTAAAGAAAAAGGTTTTAAACTCTATAGATCTACTGCGGTGAACTTAAATATTAAGAGGTCATAATAACCATGAAATCTGACTTTAAATTTTCCAACCTGTTAGGTACTGTCTACAGGCAGGGTGATATTGTTTTTTCTGATGATGGGAAACAATTACTTTCGCCAGTTGGTAATAGAGTTTCTGTATTTGATTTGATAAATAATAAGTCATTTACTTTTGAATATGAACATAGAAAAAACATTGCTACTTTGGACCTGAACAGACAAGGTACTTTACTATTGTCTGTTGATGAGGACGGACGTGCAATCCTGGCTAATTTTAAATCTAGAAACGTTTTACATCATTTTAACTTTAAAGATAAATGTTACCAAGTAAAATTTAGTCCTGATGGAAAACTTTTTGCACTGGCAACTGGTCGATTCCTACAGATTTGGAAAACTCCAGAAGTTAACCAAGATAGGCAATTTGCACCATTCGTCCGTTATAGAATCCATGCAGGCCACTTCCAAGATATATTGTCCCTAACTTGGTCTCCAGACTCCAGATTCATCGTGTCTACTTCGAAGGATTTAACTGCAAAGATATGGTCTATTGATTCTGATGAAAAGGACCTTGCATCTACCACATTTGCAGGTCATAAGGATTACGTAATGGGCGCATTTTTTAGTGCCGATCAAGAAAACATTTATACAGTTAGTAAAGATGGTGCATTATTTGTATGGGAGTACTCTGCCAAGAAAACTGAAGATGATGAAGATGATGAAGAAGAAATGGATATTTCAAAATACAGTTGGAGAATTGCCAAAAAACATTTTTTTTACACAGGACAATCAAAAGTTAAATGTGTCACATTCCACTCGAAATCCAATATGTTGGTAGTTGGTTTCAGCAATGGTGAATTCCGTTTATATGAATTGCCTGACTTTACGTTGATACAACAACTTTCTATGGGTCAAAATCCTGTGAACACAGTGACAATTAACGAGTCTGGTGAATGGCTGGGATTTGGTTCTAGTAAATTAGGCCAATTACTTGTCTATGAATGGCAATCCGAATCGTACATATTGAAGCAACAAGGTCATTTTGATGCAACAAATAGTTTGACTTATTCACCAGATGGTTCTCGTGTTGTCACAGCAGCAGAAGACGGTAAGATCAAAGTGTGGGATGTTGCATCTGGGTTTTGTTTGGCAACATTTGATGAGCATACTTCTTCTGTTACCCAGGTCCAATTTGCCAAGAAAGGTCAAGTACTGTTCTCGTCATCTATTGATGGTACAGTGAGAGCTTGGGATTTGATAAGGTATCGTAATTTCAGAGTTTTCACTGCAGCAGAGAGAATTTCTTTTAACTCTCTGGCAGTCGATCCCTCAGGTGAAGTTGTTTGTGCCGGTTCTCTCGATAGTTTTGATATCCATGTTTGGTCTGTTCAAACTGGTCAACTATTGGATACTCTGTCTGGTCATGAGGGACCAATTTCTGCACTTGCATTCAGTCAAGAGAACGGTGTTTTAGCATCGGCATCTTGGGATAAAACTATTAGAATTTGGTCCATATTTGGTAGATCTCAGCAGGTTGAACCGATTGAAGTTTATTCTGATGTCTTGGCTTTAGCGATAAGACCAGATGGTGCAAACGTAGCAGTTTCTACGTTAAAGGGTCAAATAACGATATTTGATATTCAAGAAGGTAAACAAGTGGGTAATATCGACTGTAGAAGAGATATAATATCGGGTAGAAACCTTGAGGATAGATTTACAGCCAAAAATTCTGAAAGATCAAAATTTTTCACAACCATTAACTATAGTTTCGACGGTCTAGCCATTGTTGCAGGTGGTAATAATAATTCCATATGTTTGTATGATGTTCCAAATGAAGTCTTATTGAGAAGATTTGTAGTTTCTAAGAATATGACTTTGAATGGTACTTTGGAATTCTTGAACAGTAGCAAGATGACCGAGGCCGGTTCCTTAGACTTAATAGATGAAGATGGTGAAAATTCAGATTTAGAAGATAGAATAGATAATACCTTACCAGGGTCTAGAAAAGGTGGTGATCTATCTACCAGAAAGTTGAGACCAGAAGTTAGGGTAACATCTGTTGAATTTTCCCCAACCGCAACTGCGTTTGCGGCAGCCTCTACTGAAGGATTATTGATCTACTCTGTAGATGATTCCGTTTTCTTCGATCCTTTTGATTTAGATGTCGACGTTACTCCACAGTCTACCATAGAAGCCTTGGAAGAAAAGGAATACCTGAATGCATTAGTGATGTCTTTTCGATTGAATGAAGAATATTTGGTAAATAAAGTATATGAAAATATTCCTTTATCTGAAATATCATTGGTTGCCGGTGGTGTACCTGAAGTATATTTGGCAAAATTATTGACATTTATTGGTAATTTTGCATTGGAATCGCAACATATAGAATTTAACTTGATTTGGATAAAGAGCATATTAGCCGCACATGGGCACTATATTAACCTGCACAAGCATCTGTTCGCTACACCAATGAGAGCCATCCAAAGATTTATTGGTAGAATTGCTAAGGAGGTAGCAACTTTAAGCACAGAAAATAAATATACGTACAGATTTTTGACTTCAACTGATGGTACTGTGGTTCAAGAAGACGATGAAGATGAGGCTTTGTCCAATCACGAAGACTCTGTCGAAGAGGAAGATGCTGTTATGCAATCTGATGATGATGATGAAGAGGGCTGGGTTGGATTCGAAGGCAAAGATAACAAACTTCAATTAGAAAATGAAGATGAATCATCTGATGAGGAACTCATTTAATGCATTGCTATAATTCTATTAATATATAACTATATAGAGGTAGATAATTACACAAGAAAAAATATATTAGTAAACTAAAACGTTCTCTGCATGTGATTTGAATCAGCCCAACGACGCTGTTAGCTAACTAATTAAAACAATATTGTAGTATTTGAATAAGATGTTGTCATAAAGTGAGCGTTTTGATATTATAATTTATCTCCTTGTTATTGTCTCTCTTAGTAGGAATTTATTCAATTGAGTACTTCAAAACGTAAACAAAAATCATAAACAATTATTATTTAGGTTGAAATTCGGTAGTTCAAAAAAAAGGTGTCGGGTATAAGTAAAAAATTTATTATTCAAGAATATATAAAATCGAAGATTTCAATGAGATGACACTTTCACACCCAAAACTGATTATACTAATAGAACTATAACCCCACAGATCATTTAGAATGAGTACCGCAGAATTATCTATTATTTCAGGAATTAACGGTATCCTTGGAAGGCCTCCGACATCAATTGAATCCTATAGTGTTATTCTCGAAAGCTTGAATCCCATAGTTATTAAAACTGCTCAGGATGAAATTTACAGAAATGAGCTAGCATCTACTTTTAAAATATGGAAAGAATTGGACAATGCAATAGAAAATACTAATGTATCCATTGTAATGCAAATGAACAACGATGAGATAACCTTCTGGTACTTGAGAACACTTCGTGGTGTATTGCTATTACTTAGAAACCTATCTGCCTCCAACCAAGAAATAGCGCAACAGCTATTAATCCAAAATAAAGTCTTGAGAGCGTTTCTTACTTTGTGCGAATGTAATTTTCCAAATATCGAGATGGAAACCTCCATATACATCACCACTTTAGCTCTCTTGCATAACCTCACAAAAATTTCAGTGCTGTTCGATAAGTCAATGATCGATCAACTGATGTCCTTTTTAAATTACCCACTCAATCATCCAGATAATGAAGTCGATCTAATTTATCCATACCTACTTTTCTTTGAAAACTTAGCTCAAAGTGATGACTTTTTATATTATTTCTTTAGACACGAACTAAAAGATGCAATATTGTATGAATTTTTAATGATTAATATTATGCATTCCCATACTCACCTTTTCAAATACCTCATTATCAATGATAAGCTAGGATTGAACTCAACTAGAGAGGACGAAATCCAAGATATACAAATGAATATGAGTAATATAGACCTAGCAATATTGAGGTGCTTTCGTAAAATTATTGCAAATGAATCTTTCTCCCCATACTTACTGGGTTTGGAAAAAGTAGAACCAAAAAAATATATGAACTTTTTAAGAATAGGTCAAGTTGTAGCAACTAGTATGGAAAAATGGGATAAATATGAACTTACTGGAATAATGACATGGTGTTTTGAAATATTTGATAGGACAGCCCTAGAAATTGAGGACTATTTTGAAAAGGGATCTGATCATATTCTAATCGCCACAATTTTACATCAAAAAATATCTAGCACCCTGGATATTATGTCATCGTTTTCAAGATACGAACACATTCAAAAATACATACTGTCGTATAAAGGTCTAGACAAATTAATTAACCTCCTTGGCATTTTTCAAAAGAATTTAATTAGGATCAATTTTATTAAAGACAAAGTAGGTTCTGTTCAAAATTTTAAAACATCTGATTCGATGGGTAATAAAATTACTGATACCGAGAAAATCAACAATAGAGTTGATTATAATAATTTTAATATTCTGGCAACAAACTTTCCTGAGTCGAAACTATTGATAGTTGAAATTTTAGGGAACTTATGTTATAAAAAGACAGATATGCAAGACGAGATTAGATTGAAACATGGACTAGAGTTAATATTATCGAACTGTGTAATCGATGATAATGATCCATTCATCAAGGAAAGATGCATTACTTGCATTAAATTTTTACTGGAAGGAAATGAAGAAAATCAAAAGTTTGTAGCAGGTTTGGAAGCAAAGAGGGCAGCTGACGATGATACATTATCCGAGGCTGGATATCAAGTAGATATAGATAAAAACGGTGAAATTAACTTACTTCCAAAGAAAGGAGATGAGAGGTAGCTCTAATATATAAAATGATCGTCTACAGAAATGTAGTCTCTTCTATTTTTATTTCCGTATTGTATTTTCCTTCATTCATTTGAAGTTCAAACATTTATAAAGCACCTATATAAGCATAGTAGTATCATAGACCACTAAATAAATAAAAAAGGGATTAACAAAAAGTTAATTGTATTCTTTCTTTACATTCATAAATTCATCTTCAAAAGTTCCTCTTCAATGGCAGCCTTGACCAAGGTAACGTCTGGCTTTTCAACAAATTTCAATCTCTTCTCAAGAGTAGATAATTTCTTTAATTCAGCTGGTAGAACATCTTTTTCAAAGGAATAAGCTGGGAAGGATGACAGAGCTTTATTTACAGCATCTGCAAATTTAGCAGGGTGAGCAGTAGATAATGTGATATAATTGATGGTATTGTCATTGTCAGCACTGATCAATCTTTCTGTAGCACAAATACCAACAGCTGTATGTGGATCAATGATGTAGTGCTTTGGATTTTGAGAGATTTCATAAACTTTCTTAATGGTCTCCAAAGTTTGTTCGTTAGAAACTCTTTCAGAGGCAAAGTCTTTTAAGGCACCATTTATAACGGTTTGGTCAACTTGGAACTTACCTTCATTCTTTAATTGTTTGAACCAGTCGTCGATAGTTTCACCAGTCTTTAGATCATCACCGTTGGCAATGTATTCTCTAGCCAAGAACCATAACAATCTTTCGAAGTTGGAGGAGATTAAAATATCCATCGCTGGAGAATAAGTAGCAGCAACTTCGTCAGATCTTTCGTAGGTACCGGACTTCAGGAATCTATCTAGAATATCGTTCGCGTTAGTAGCAATGACCAATTTTTCAACTGGTAGACCCATCTTTTTGGCAAAATAACCAGCCAAGATATCACCGAAGTTACCACTTGGAACGACAAACTTGACCTTTTCTTTCTTACCATCGGTAGCTTTGAAGTAAGAGTAGAAATAGTAAGTAATTTGAGCCAAAATTCTAGCCCAGTTAATAGAGTTGACGGCACCGACATTGTGCTTAGAGTTGAATTCTTTGTCACCGAAGATGGCCTTGACGATATCTTGACAATTGTCAAATGTACCTTTAACAGATAGAGTTTGAACGTTCTTATCAGGGACAGTGGTCATTTGTTCTTCTTGGATTGGAGAAATTCTACCAGTTGGGTACAAGATGAAAACAGAAACGTCCTTCTTACCTCTTAGACCATAGATGGCAGCAGAACCAGTATCACCAGAAGTGGCGCCAACGACAGTGATTTTCTTCTTTTGGTCTTCTTGCAAGTTCTTGTTGTTTCTTTGTAAGAAATATTCGAATAAGTTACCAACAAATTGTAAAGCCACATCCTTGAAAGCATAAGTTGGGCCGTGGAACAATTCTAAAACATGTAAGTTTTCTTTAGTACCAGTGACATTCTTAGCCAATGGAGTAACATCAGTAGCACGGAAAGTAGAATAAGAGTTGTTGATCAAAGTCTTTAAGTCAGCATCTGGAATTTCCTTTGGATCCACATATAGTCTCATGATCTCAAAAGCAAGCTCTTGGAAGGATAACTTTGACCATTTGTTAAACAAAGTTTCCTCAGAGACTTGAGGAATGGTTGGTGGGATGAATAGACCACCATCAGTAGCTAAACCTTGAATTACAACTTCTTCAAAGGACTTAGCTTCGCTGGAGGAGGATCTAGTAGATCTGTAAACTTGGGATGAGGAAGGCATATGCTTCAATAGGTATACGTATGAGAGTGAACGATATCGTTTGTTGGTTATCTAACGTTAACATTCAAACTCATGTTATAGAATATGTTAATTAAAATAAGTAACAAAATCTAATTGTATTGAAAAATATAAAATCATTAATAAAATTCCAATAGTCTTCATAGATACTTTACTTGCTGAGCATATTAGACGTCGAAAATGAGTAATCACCGTTTACCAACTGGAAAAACCATTGAAAATTATTTCAGGAATTCCTGAATTCGAAGAAATGTCCGCACAAACCCGACATAATTGAAGTTTGAAAAAGTTTCATTACCAAAACAAAGAATCCATCGCAATATTTCTTCAGTGAAAGAAGCGAAACCGCTGTCATGATGGACGGTAAGGGTAAGAGAACATTTGAACGTTTATGATCCAGAGGTAGTCAGTTGTATGTGAAACAGGATGAAATGCACCAAAGAACGATGGCATATATACATATATATATATATATATATATATACGTAAGTACGTAACTTTACAGGGCTCCATACAACCTTTTTTATCATTGTTGATTTTATATTATTACAGAAAGTATTGATATATGAGTATACGTAAAGGTTGGTTGTATGTAATGTGGGCGTTAATTTTCAGAGATTCCATTATAATCTTCCGTTAGCAAGAAGAACACCCAGATTTTCAAACAATATACCTTCGTTGTCTTTATAAAATTGTGCTCTTCTGACAGTGTCCTCGTTGAAGCCCTCGTCACCAGAAAGAACCTTTAGAGCATTAGCAGATGATCCCATATATTCTTGAAGTGCTGGTACAGGATTTGTAGCCATTTTTTTGAAAAAGTAATATTTGTCGGCACTAGAATTTAATTGTAATAGTAAATTGTTTGATTGTTTTTCTAGATCATCCAATCTAGGTTGAACTTGGTTTGAAAGTTCGTCTAATTCAGATAATAATTTCATACCTTCAGTAGACAATTCATTTGGATGAAGACCGGCTGGGTTTTGTAACTGGGTTACATCTGGCACTTCAACATCAAACACAAGTTCTCCATAAGTAGTAGCTTTATCAACCCTAATTACATAATCTGTCTTTATGGGTTTTATTGGTGCTATATGACTGTTCACAAGATTTGGTAATTCTGATAATTTTAATGTCTTTTCCTCATCTTCCTTTTTATCATTAGTGGTCAAATCTTCAATATCTGTAGAAAATGGATCTTTATCAGTATTTTCAGGGAGTAGCCTAGATAAAAATTCATCTAGTTTAACATAAGTCTTTTCACCATTTGTAGTATTATTCCCATCTATAGAGTTACCATTTGCTTCAGTTTGATTACCCACAAGCAAATTGTTTAGAAGAATATATTTATAGATGGAATAAATTGCCTCATGGAGTGAACCTTGGGATTTACCAATCAATAAGGCAAGGTCAGAAGAATATTCCAAATTGTCACCACTAAATCCTTTCAACTGAATAGTCACTGTACAATTGACATTGGATGTACCAGATCTTTTAATATCCAAACCGTCAAAATCAACAGGATTCTTTGGATCAAAATGCCATTCGACCGCGTCATAAATTACAGATTCCATAGTCGACTCAATAACTTTCTCTGGTTCAGTAGATTCTGACACATCAATATTGTTATTCGTATCTGGTGATTGCAAAGGTAAATTAATAGTGTTCGACGTATCTATATCAACGTTTAGATCATTTGATTCACCAGCCGTCATATCAACATCTTTATCCTCAGATTGATCATCTGAGTTAACTTTAGGTGGGAGTTTGAAATCAACAGCAATATCTTGAATATATGAACTAAATTTAGATCTATTAGTATCATCTGCAGTTTGTGAATCCAATAACCGACCCTCTATTCTCATGGTCCACGAACCATCCTCAAGCTTGTTGGACGTATCTTGCCATGGTTGATTTTCAGCAATATTAGAGACATAAATACGTAAAAATTTGGTTTGGTCCTTATCATGATGAGAAAAATCTCTGTGAGCTTGCTTAGAGTTGTTCCATTGGGAGATACTTTGGAAAATATCAATTTTTTTCCTAGCTAGATAAACATCCAATTTCTTTTCAGCTTCAATAAGTTGTTGATAAGAATCCAATTCAGGAATTAAATTGACTAGATGAGAGGGTATATACGAATCGGTAGGATGGTTCGTTGGCATTGGATTAGTACGCTGAATATTAGCGGCTGCTTCATTATTATTCGTAGACACTGCAGTTGCTTTGGCATTGACACCAGTTTGCGCCTTACCACCTGTTTTATTTGCACCACTTTTAGTCATCTTGTGTTAAATGCACCTAGTGTTATGTCTTTTTCAAATATCTTCACAGATAGTGCAAAAAATAATTTATTGAAAACGTAAACGTAAGTTCTTTGAGTTTTATTAAATTTCAAGGTCCTGATATTGTTATTTCTCATATCATTGTATGCTTTTACTGTAAGGTTATTTCAATTTACTTATTTATTTTTTTCCATTTCACTTTTTTCTTTTGGTTAAAATAAAATATAACAACAAACAACAAATTTAGTGCGATGAAAAAAGTTAATTTCGCAATTTCGCGCGCATCTTTCTGGTTGTTTAGTAAACTTACGTTTTACTCAAAAGACTGAATGAACTGAATAACAATTAATCTGCCAGTAAGTTAACTCTTAAGCACTCCTTCTTAATGGAGTTTATACGTAGTGGTGACGGCCATCGTAGTGATATCTTGTCCCCCCTTTTTAGTCAATTCTATCTTTAAAAACTGTTCCTCAATGTTAGATTTTATAGATAAATCTTGAGCTACTCGTATTACATATTAATGGCTAGATCATCTATGGAATGCGACTTACAAAACTATATCATTTACTGGATCATAAAATTACTATATATACATTAGATATACAATATGCAATTTCTTTCTAAATATAAAACAAACAAACAAACAAAGGAAATGTGATATGTATATTCCCAGATTACATTCTAACCTTTTGTTTGTTTTTTTGACGTCTTTCTCTCTTTTCCTTCATCTTTTGATCAATCTTCTCTTGTTCACCAGTCTTCTTTAAATTACGTCTCTTTTCCTTCTCAGCTTCTTTCTTTTCTTCCTTTTCTCTCTCCAAAGCTGCCTCTCTAGCTATCTTAGTGATCTTACCCAATTCAATAGTACGCATATTATTGGCCTTCTTTAACATATCGTTGGTAATGAAGGAGGTTTCGTTCTTTTGAACCAAAGTACGAGTGTAATTATCATATATTTCAACTACCAAACCGATCAATTGGTTTAATAATACAAGCTCTTTCTCATTCGTTGGTACATGAGTACGAATGACACAACGTATCTTCTTAGTAGCGTTCCAAACGGAAGTATTCTCAGGTTTATCAGCTGGTAAATCAGTGAAACTGATAAATTCCAAAAGATCTACTGTCTGATTCAATAAGTTGTTCAACGCATCCTTCTTGCAATAGGAAGTGATGAAACCGTTCAATTGATTCATTTCAGACATGTAGACATATTCGTTTGGTAAATCGTCGCCTTCAGTAGTATGAGTCAAGGCCAAATAATAATTATCATGACGAGATTGATTCATAAAAGCCTTGTTGACTATGGAGGAAATAAACTTGAAGTTGTTTAAGACTTCGTTACTGTTACTGTTAACGTTAGCATTTTCACTACCTACAAAAACACCATTTGGTTTAATTTCAATTTCACAGAATTCAGCATCAGTATCCATAGCTAGGATTGGGAAATACCAACCCATTACATTTTCTAAAAACATAGACAATGGATTGTTACGAGGGAATAAATGTAAATGAACATTGATACCTTCGATACATGAACGACCAGTGGAGAAACTTGTTAACCAAGTATGCAAATGCTGGTCCATGTACAATCTATTTTCACTACCTTGGGCAGTGAAACCAACACGAGCAAATTTCAACTCATCTTTTAAAAATGCATGAACCGAGTTAAACATCTTATCAGCACGGGATACATTGACAGAGGTACCAACCTTATTGACGATAAAGATAAACACCACAACACCAATGAAAAATAATTCGAAGGACCAATTGTATAACTTAGCTCTTTGTAGCACGGTCATCTCCATCTTTTCCTCGTAAGGAATGGAAGTGTAATTACGATTCAAATCATTGATAAACTTAAGGAAAGGTGCGAATGGCGTGGTACCATTTGTTGTGTTACTCATCTTTACAAACGCAATAGCGATACTTTGCTTGTTAACAAAACAAAACAAATATTGATAAGTGAGTGCTATATAAAAGAATTAGTACCATTATAAGTTCCTTTTAACTATTAAAGCACAACACAATTGGTTTCAAGTCTTAATTTTCGTCAGTGTACTCGTTGGTGGTAGTTTACTGTAAGGTGAACGAACACCTTTCTTGCTCCCACCGATGGATAGCCGAAGGAGAAAAAAATTATTGTTATTTCATGCAAGCTTAGTTAATTTTCAGTTTACCCGGAGCACTTTAAAAAAAATTTCTTTTGGAGTGTGTATATATCATTATATATAGGTGTTTGCCGTTAAAACTAAGTAAAATACAATTGTTCAAACACGTTAAACGTAAATTTAGTGTTATATATGCGAATCCTACTTTCTACGTTTAGAGTCAGGTTCATCCTGTGTAGTTTCTGGTTCGTCGGAGCTCATCATTTTAGATCTTACTAAGTCCCTAATATAGACCTCTAATTCTTCTTCTGCGTTACCACCTTGAATAATTTGTTCCAGTTTCTTCTTACGAGCTAACGACTCAGAATCTAAATCCTCATCTCTATCATTCTCTAATGTGTAACGTATATTGTCCTTAAATTCTGCCATCATATTTGCATCAATTCCTAAACTATCTTGTTCGATCGGAACACCTGACTTCTGTCTTAAATATTGAATAAGTTCTGGAAATTCTTGATCTTCTTCAGTAACTTGTAACGCCGTTTTGCCTTCACTGTTAGTAATATTCAGATCACATCCTAATTCTTCAATAAGAACCTTTGCTGTATTTAAATCCTCAGTGTGATGAAGCGGAGTATCACCATCGTTATCCTTGACATTAACATTGCCACCAAACTCATTCGTCAGACGACGAAGAAGATCTATATGACCATATGAAGCAGCTGCATGCATGGCGGTATAACCATTTAAATCTGGTGTGTTTGCCGTTATGCTAGGATTTTCTGCTATAAACTTCTCTACGAGGTCACTTCTCCCATCACTTGCGGCTATCCAAATATTCATATTGTGCTCTTTATTTTTAAAGAAGACAGGATATTCTCAAAAATTTCAACTTGAATTATCCAGATTAAGTTAACAATTAAGGATAAGATCCATGTATATGATCACACTAATGACTAGTTTTAGTTATAGTAGTTGAAAAAAAAATTTTGTTCAATAAATATTTTCATTAGAATAGAAAGAGGGCATCGAGCAAAGAAAAATAAAAACAGAGTAAGAAACGGTAGAGAGTACATTTTTGGTGCGATGAGAAAGTGTTATAACATGAAGAAAATTTATATCGTTATAATAAAAGACAAATAAAACATTAAAATTTACATTCGTATATATATGCATGTATCTAATCAAAACATGGTATATAGTGCAATAATTACGGCTGGTCCTGAACAGACACCACACCAGAATAAAACATTGTTGAAAACAGCTTTATCCTTTAGGATTGTGCTGCTGACGTATGCCATTGGTAATTGAGACAATTGGAAAAGGAATAGATAACCTCTTAGCCTTTTCCAAATGATGATCATAGCAAGTTCATGGAAGATGGAACTCAACACAAAAGTGAATAGCGTGGCTTGTACTTTGGTTAGTTTCCAGTTGTTCATAGATGCATGGTAGACATGTCTTACTAAGAATTTGTGAACTGGGACATTCCAAATTCTGGCAAACTCTGACCATGAAACACAATTCCACCAATCACCATAGAAATATCTATCTGCGAATCTAGTCAATTCTGCAAAACAATTCAAAATAGCATCCCAAATCAAATAGAAACATAACATATATATAACTGTTAGACCAGGATCAATTTCTGCTACCAAGTAGAACCATTCCATAGTTCTTACTGTTCTATTCTCCAAAGGGTGATCTCTGAATTTCAAAGCACGTTCTAATGGTGGTAACATGAATAACTGTGCAACGACAATAAGGATGAAAATTGTACCAAATATAGCACAAACTTTTTCAAAGACATACCCCCATCTAATTCTTTGGGTTCTTGGGTATTCAAATTGATACACAACAGCAGGGAACATGGTAAACATGAAATAATTTGGAATTGTAATATTATCTGGGAATTTCATGTTACTGTCATTTGAAACAGTTTGAGTATTCAATTCAAATTGACAGAAATCTCTACTTCTTTCTAATACTTTAATAATGTTTTTACCTGCTGTATCCTTATATTTAGCTAGAGCCTTAGTAGAATAAGCCAATTCTCTTGTTATACACCACAAATACCCATTGAAAAAAGAATATGAATGCATTTTCATTAAATACACAACTGAATGCAAAAATAGGTAAATTCTAGAGATCCAATGAAGGTCGACTAGACATAACGTAGCGTAATAAAAAAAAATCATAAATCCGAACTCATAAATGGTCGCAATCCAAATACCAGTACTCTTCCATTGAATTAGGTTCTTTTTAACCAACCATTGGATGAATACCACACCGTATGAGGCAACATACATTGCAAAATCAACTTTGGCAACAGCCATTTTCTTGGTAATGAAAATATTTAAAATTTCAAAATTTCTAAAATCACCGTACTCTGTCTTATAATCTATAAGACCCTTGACAATAATCAAACCTAGAATCATCCAAAACATAACATATAAACCAGAGAAATTTAAAATATATTTCGTTGGAACTCTTTTATAGTTGAATGTGGAGGAGTTTCTTACCAAATCTGATGTACTGACTGACGTAGACATCATAGGAGTATCTAAATCAACAGTACTAGTAACTGCAGATCTTGAATCCAATCCATTGTCCTGCTTTTCAGGATTGATCCCCAATTGTTTTTCCAGAGATATTTCTCTTTTCATTTCTTTCTTAGATTTTTCAAATGCTTTAATCTGTTTTTCGAGAACTGGTCCTTCAAACGATGATAAATATGGTTCATTAATTGCACCATCAAAAATAGAAGGTCTATTATCAAAATCAACATCAGAAAAGAAAGAAATTATAGATTCATTACGATATCTACGTTTCTCAGCTATATGCAAGTTTTTCAAATATCTCTTTAAAAATTCATCATTATGTAACAATTTACTATCTTCTTCTGTTTGATGACTAATGATATGTTTCAAATCGTTATGATCTTCAGAATTAACATGAACATGGTCCTTATTATCTTCATTATCTTGTGTACTCATTACTTTGTCGTATGCAATTGAATGACGACGTTTATCACTCTCTATAGAATTCAGATTTTGAATCTCTATAAATTCTTCGTCCTTTAATAAATCTCTATCTGTCATAATGAAAGTTTAATCTCGAGTTGAAAGGAAATATATTATTATCCTTTTAGATGATATATTGTTTAAATGAAGGTTTATAAACAAAATATCGATAATTGATTTGATTTAACAACAACCGATAATTAGAGAAATATAAATAGGATATACAAAACTTATCCTTTTAATTAATTAATAATTATTTTAAATTGTATATCGTAATAAATGAGTTCGACGGATCTTCTGTTTCAAACCGAGAATGAAATGGAAATAGGTGCAGATGATAATTCAAAAACTACTCACTTTATGAATAAATAAGTTCATATACAGTTTTAAAGCAAGAAAAATAAATACCCATAAAGGGAGAAGATATACGTTAACTATTATGTATATCGTGCCTGTTGTTGTCGTTGTAGTTGTTCCATCTCTCTTGGGATTAGTTTCCCTTTTTCTGACGAAGAGTGAAAAATCCGCGGATTAGCAATTTCAAGTACGATTCGTTCTGTTGTATGCGATGAATTAAGAGGAAGTATGACCAAACAGAGATACAGAAACACTTTTTATCTTAACAACCGAAGAGTTTTCGGTTATAGTAAATAAGAAAAGAAGGAACGTTACAGTGACATACCCATTTACCCATATTCACGCAATATATGCTTATATGGTATTTTCTCTATATAACAAATGTGCTATATAATAAATAATATTTGTTATATTTAGTGTAGACATCCGTTGTCATTCGAATAATTATATCGTAACAACAGTTGGATACAAATGACATAATTTTACAAATCATAGATCTTAATGAATAATAACTAAATACTATTACGATATAATAATGAATCTCATTATGGAAAGTGTGATACTAAGTAGCAAATTAATTTAAGTATTCATTTGATCTCAATCCTTGAGAGTCCCTGCAGAAATTAATTGTTTATGGGGTACATATTTTATGATGTTTAATTATAGTAAAGAAGCTTATCTTCTAAACTTTGTCCTTATCTTTGATTTTACATTCAATTGTTCCAGTTATGTAATGTCTTAAACGAGTGAATATTCTATCAAAAACGTGCCGAAATTTTTGTTTGTTGAACTTTCGTTTAGGAATAATAACCGTTTGAATATATTAGGAAGCTTATATAATAGTTAAATAGAGAGCGAACCAGTTATTAGAAGGTTTGAATCAAGTGAACTGGTATTTGCTACAGTTTATCAACATATTATATATTTGTAAATAATTTGTTTATAAAGGGACTACATTGAACGATATCGCGTTCATTCACATGTACGACGCATCCTCCCTTTCCCCCTTTCTTTATATCTAGTAACCAGACCAGTATATCTACTTTCTACGATTCTTGATATTGTTATTTCACGCCAACACTATTTTTCACTTCAGATACTATTATTCATTGGATCTCAAATCCATTTATATAGTTAAACTTCAAAATAAATAACTTACTTGGGTCCATTACTTCGCGCAGTTTTGTTTGGAAGAGAGATAACTAGAAGAAAGATAAAAAAAAATTGCTCGCTACCTAGCATAGTCCATAAAAATGAAAAATTTCAAAATAGTTTAAATCGATGAGCTGAAAATATTCTGTTATGAATAAAGTAATACATATATAGAAACTTAGATAAGAGCATACATATAGAAAAATATCATAAGTACGTCAATATACTTCGAACAGAATAAACTCACATATTTAGAAAATGTCTCGTCCAGAAGAATTAGCCCCACCAGAAATCTTCTATAATGATTCGGAGTCCAAAAAGTACACTGACTCTACCAGAGTTCAGCATATCCAAGCTAAGATGACATTACGTGCTCTAGAACTATTAAACATTCCAGATAATAGCTTTATCCTTGATATTGGATGTGGTTCCGGTCTGAGTGGTGAAATTTTGTCCGAAGAAGGTGGTCATATGTGGTGCGGTGTAGATATATCGCCAAGTATGTTAGCGACGGGACTAACAAGAGATTTGGAAGGTGATTTAATGTTACAAGATATGGGTGTTGGTATCCCATTCCGTGCTGGTACATTTGATGCGGCTATAAGTATTAGTGCTATTCAATGGCTATGTAATGCTGATACATCTTATAATGATCCGAAGAGAAGAATGATGAGATTTTTTAATACATTATTTGCTGCTTTGAAGAAAGGTGGTAAATTTGTTGCTCAGTTTTATCCTAAAAATGACGATCAAGTCGATCAAATCTTGCAGGCTGCTAAAGTTTCAGGTTTCAATGGTGGTCTTGTTATTGATGATCCTGAATCTAAGAAAAATAAGAAATTTTATTTAGTGTTAACATCAGGTTCACCAAGAACGAAACAAGACCAAGTGAACCTTCAAGGTGTGACAATGGATGCTGAAGAACTTGGAGATAATATGACCAATCATGCACGTAGAGCACGTAAGGGTAAAGAGATGGAATCCAGCAAGAGTTTCATTAATAGGAAGAAAGATTTAATGAGAAAACGTGGTAGAAAAGTTGCCAAGGATTCTAAATTCACTGGTAGAAAGAGAAGACCCAGATTTTAATTTGCAACAAGATTATTACTCACATTTAGAGATTTATTCTTCATCACTTCTTAAAAATTCCGCATTCATAACTTTATATATATATGTATATAGAGCAAATACAAGATAAAACCTGAGAAAGGGTCACCATATATCATTTATTTTCTCTATTTTTAAATATCCTATTCAGATGATCAATATAAACATTTATAAAATTGGAACAATCCTTAGCTTGTTTTTGTTTTTGCAATATATAATAATATGGACGATCATTATAAAATGGTAACAAGTTTTTCGCCCCTGACCTCTCCCTTTCTTAATTTATCAATCAATCCAGGGACATCATCTAAACCATTTTTACAGATCTTCACTGGCATATTAGAGATACCACCTTGTTGAATTTTTGGTGCAATAAAATTAATAAACTTGGAGACATCTCTTCTATAGATTGGATTTGGAGGGAATGTATATTCTCCAATCTTAACTTCATAACCAGTTACTGAATATATTAAAGTACTGATAATCTTTACATTATCCCTACGAATCTCCGTTGGAATATCGTTAATCGTTAAAAATACAAGTTGCATAATGGTAACGGGTAAGTCATCAGCTGCACATTGGTATACTTGTCTAATTGTATATTGTTCTGAAACAGCATCAATCAAATGTTGAATATTATTATATTTACTCTTTATTTGTTGAACGACATCCTTATCATGATAATCAAAGACGTCATCGGCGCCAAATTCCTTTAATAACGCTTCATGTTTCTTGGAAGCGACAGCAATAATCTTACTATATGAATGAGTTCTCTTAGCCAATTGAATAGTCAATAGTCCAACACCAGTAGCACCACCCCAAACTAATAATGGGAAATCATTTTGGGATTTTATTGGTTCCCATTCCAATCTGTTCCTTAAATCATGAAACAATATACCACCAGCAGTAGTTAATGAAACAGGTAAAGAGACAGCTGCTTCCAATGACTTCACAGGACCTGGTGCAATGAAATCTACAGATTTTCCAACAGATTTCCAATCCGTTGAAGCAAGAAGAGTAGTTGCAGAGTCGACGACAACATATTCTGCTAAGGCACCATTGTCAGGAGTTCTATTAGAAGAACCATGAACAAAAGAATAGACAAAATCACCAACTTTAAATTCCTGTTGAACAATTTCATCACCGCTAGAATCCCTCCTTGCAAATTCTGAGAAAGTTGGTGATCCTAGAAGTATAACTTCACCAACAACATCACAACCCATAATAGCCCCCTTTTTGGCCAATTTATAGTCAATATGTTTCCATTCAGATGTGTTCAATGCAACAGCAGCTGTTTTAATTAGCATATGACCTTCTGGAATATAGGTTGCTACTGGAACATCAGTTTTCACAAAAGCGTTACCATCATCAATGACAACAGCTTTCATACTATTTGGGACACCTTGAGGTTGCATACTTGAAAATTGTTATGTTTTCTTGTTAATTTTATTTACCTTATGACACTATTATTGAACTCCGATTCGTAATAAAGGGTTACAATCCAAAGAAGTTTATTTGAAAATATTATTGTAAAAAAAGTTCCTTATATAAAATAAAAATATATATCAGTTCATTGGAATAATAGAATGAATTGATCTTCCAAAGTATATATGTAGGTGTGTGTCTGAATAATTACAATACAATTTATTATTAAAAAATTACACGTTATGAGATGATCTGCCAAAGGTGACCCTTGTTCTCCTTCCTTTTTCCTTCGTGCACCACCACGATCATCTCCATAGGCGAATAGTAACAGAAATAAATAATAAAATGTCTGACTAAGCCGGGGAACTCTAAGAAATTGTGTCGGTTACTACAGGAAACGTCTAGCGATTCAATAATAAACAGCTAAGAGATTATAAAATGTGCGTACACACAGAGAGAGAAATAAATGCAGTTTACTTCATTTTTGGCACATTTTACGTTTTTGATTATCATTGTATAGTATGCATAATAAATATATTTGTAATGCGCTCAATAGCACTTTTGTCATATAATTTGCTTAATAGTTCACATGTTTAAACTATCGGAGAATACCGAATCCAATATGGCATGTGAAATAATAATTATTATTCGTAAATTTTTTAACTTGTCATAATAGTTTATAAAATGTTGGATGTCATTATGAGCTTCATACCTGGACAGTACTGTTACGGTTATTATTACTCATGCTTTGCCAAAAGTTGTAAAGTCACATGTGATTACCGTGTATAACGATAATTATTTGTCACTTAAATTTTTATTAAAGCGAACAAACTAAAAAACAAGATTACTGGAGAGGTTTCTCTCATCAAAGATAGAACAAATAAAGGATGAAAAACATTACAAAAGCTGAACAACCTTTATCGATAAAGAAACAAAACTTCCAAAACAATCTTTATAATAGGATTGATCAAGAAAATATATTTATCGACAATGTTGAAGAGTGTTGGAAGGATATCTGCTAAGTTTCCAACAAGAATCTGTCTAACTCCGTTGACTAAGAGGTTCTATCAGTTACCTATTGGTTCACGTAAAATTGTACCAGTGTATCCACCTGTTCAAACTGAACCTGCTGTTAAGAATGCTACTTTGTTACAGAAACTATCTGAAATAGACTTGAAAGAAAACCTAGATACTGATGGTTGGAGATTTAATTTGATCGACAAAAATAAAAAGGATTGCATTAGAGCGGGAGATATTATCAGAATTGTCTATAACAAAGAAAAATGTTCGTATGACAACTTCATTGGTTACATTCTATCTGTTGATCGTAAAGAAAGAATACAGGATGCATCCGTTCTATTGAGAAACCAGATATCCAAAGTTATGGTCGAGGTTAGAGTCCCATTGTTTTCTCCCCTAGTAGAAAGAGTAGATATCTTGAAGAGAGCGGATGGTTCTAGAAAGAGAAACAAACATTATTATATTAGAGGTACTAAGTTGGATGTTGGTAATTTAGAATCTAAATTGAGAAAGAAATAGACAAGTATACATAATATTATGTATTAGCATGTAAATATGATAGTAATGATAATATATTCAATAAAATTGGCACATTGTCAAATTCGCAGCTTCCTCCTCTTCTACATGGATATGCTGTATATAAATTTATTATGGCAGCGTGGCGTCCGTTGGATGTCATACTAATAAGAAATATTGGAAAATAAGGAAATGCGACACAAAATAAACAACTTAATTAATTTATTATTATATAAAGTTGGAAATATAAATAATAATAACTTCGTAGTTTTATGTAACTAATGATTGTTTTCCCCTTGTTTTAGTAATTACCTTAATCGTTGTCACTAATATACATATTCTAAAAAATTAGGTGTAGATCAGAGTACTTATTTAAGAAAATCCAGATAACTCAGAAGAATGAAAATCTTTAATATAACTTTTTTGTTAGTTTCTCTTTTAGCAACTAATAAGGTTATCGGATTGGAATATCTAGTTAGTCTTAAAAATGATGAAACAATTCAACATTGCATGGAATCATCAATTAGTAAAGGGTATTCGGTTAAAGAATTCTTTGGTGCCAAAATTGGGAAGACATTTTCTATTGGGAGTTTTAGAGGTTTAACTGTAGAATTATCTTCAAGAGAATTATTAGAAAAGCTTAAAATGAATCCTTTTGTTGCAGATATTGTACCCAACATCCGAGTCAAGGCATTTGATGACGAAAAAGGAGTAACCGATAATCAAATTAATTCTGATAATGTTAATGAAGAATTGAAGTCTACTAGAGAGGTTCAAAATTTTGTGAATCAAAATTATTATAAAGAGAGATACAAAAATTATGAGATCGAAAATGAAAGCGGTAATGAATACGACGATGATGAATCAGAAAATAATAATAAAGATGACTATTATAGCAAACCTAAAGTAGTTAAAAAACAATTTGGTGCTCCAAGACATTTAGCTCGTATTTCCCGTCGTAGCCAGTTACCATTTGATTTTCAAAATGCAGAAAAATACAAGGGATCATTTAATTATTACTATGATAAATGGAATCAAGGTTCTGATGTCAGAGTATACATTCTAGATTCTGGGGTTTATAATAATCAATGTGAATTTGAAGATAGAGTAAAATTTGGCCATGATTTTACCGGTGAGGGTCCTGGTGATGGTAATGGACATGGAACACATGTAGCAGGTATTGTCGGTTCAAAAACATTTGGTGTAGCAAAAAAAGTTACTATAGTTGATGTTAAGTGTTTAGATGCTAGAGGTCAAGGAACATTAATTACTGTTTTATCTGCAATTGAATTTGCTGTTAATGACTGTAACAAGCATCCAAGAAAAAAGTGTGTCGCTAATTTAAGTCTTGGTGCTCTCAAGAATACAATTATTAATAATGCTATCAGAGCTGCAGTAGAGGATGGTGTTGTGATGGTTGTTGCTGCAGGCAATTTTAATATGAATGCTTGTTGGAGCAGTCCCGCCTCGGCACCTGAAGCTATTACAGTAGGCGCATTTGATGATCGAATTGACACTATTGCTAAATTTAGTAATTGGGGACCATGTGTTGATATTTTTGCACCTGGGGTAGGTATTATGTCATTATCAAACAGATCATATCCAAAATATATTTCATATTCTGGTACTTCTATGGCTTCTCCCAGTGTGTGTGGTATGGCTGCATTATTATTAGATAAAGGTCTAGAAAGTAAAGATATTAAAAGTAAATTAATTGAAATGGCTACAGATGATATTTTCCAAAAGAGAACATTAATATTTAAACCGAAGACCCCAAATAGAGTATTGTTTAGTGGTATTGATAAAGAGGACGATGAATGTAACAATATGAATTATCCTCAATTAGATTTGGATGCTTTAATTGAAGAGTTAAACGAATATTCAACTTCTTTTGATATCAAAGAGAAATATAGTAAAAATTATAATTTACGTCTTGATAATGATGTTTTACTTCCCTTTCAAGAGTCTCAAATCAAGAAACGGAGTGTAGATCAAGCTATTTAAGATTTTGTTTACTAATATTTTTATTTTCTTCATTTCTCTTCCAAAAAAAACAAGGAGAGTAAATTTAATAAATAATAATATTTAAGTTATAATTCATTTTAAAATTGAAAAATCTACTACTAAACGTAATATTTCCTTTATTTTGTTTAGCCAACCAAATGAAGTCAATTTCAGAACTTTTATATATATATTAATACAATTATTATTATCCTTGAGTGTCATTATGATGTAATTATTTTTAATAATTCAAATAAATGTTGAAGATTTCCAATTAATCGATCACTTATATAGTAGTTGAATTTATTATCTTAACGTTTAAAATAATGCTACTTTCTCTATTGTAGCAAACGCCACTTCTACTATATTGAGAGGCGCGTTGAAATAATTCCACGAAGATGATGATATATTTATGATCGCATTAATTTTTTACCTCGCCAAACAGAACGAGGCGTACAATAAGTACCGCAACCGTCAAGACATCATAATCTCTTTATTTTTATAGTTGAATTTTTAAAAGGCACCGTATTCAACCCAACAAAATTTCAATTTGATGAGAAGCACTGGTAGTATGGGGGAAACCAAGACAGCAAAGAGAGAAGAAATATATATTTCTTTTGTCATAAAAGACAAGGTAATGAAGATAATTATTATTACGTAGAATTACGGTGATGATGCACTGCTACAACGGCTTCATCCCATACAAGATTGTGAATTGGACGTCGTAGTAGATACTTTCTTGTTTTTATTTTGTTGAGTAAATAATTGAATACCCATATATATATCTAGCATCTCAACTTGGCTAACAATGGGGTGGAAGTGATCACTTTCCCCTAATAGATAAACTCTCTATATTACTTGCATTTACACTAAAGCTTGCTGTGAGTTAATTATTGTGCTGTCAAACGGTTAAAATTAAAAATAAAAAAAATAATATAAAATTTCACATGCTCAACATCACAAGGAAAAACATAACGTTCCAAGTGATATACATTAACAATAATCATTTTGTAAATGACATCAACTATCTCAACAGCAAGGCAAGAAATAACGATTGAAGAGTCTAATTTAGAGATGAGACATACGATTATACTTGAGGAGAAGATATACACTTATGTACAAATGTTCTTAATAAGTGTTTTGATGTATAAGAACACTGATATCCCATATTTCTTTCTTTCTTGCATAGTTTCAAATAGTGATTTATACTTATAAATCTTTAAACCAATTGCCTTTTCAATCTCTTGAAATTCTTTTATCTTCATCTCCTTCTAGTCGTTGGTTACTCTTGTTTTATTTCCATCTTGTTAAGAATAAAAAAAAATATTATAAATATATATATATATATATAACTACAATTTCATAAAAATAGACATTGAGATTTAAAGTGTAAATAAACCAAGGCATTTCAACTAAAGATACAATTTTTATCGTTGTTCCCATTTACATATATATTTATATTTATATTTATATTGAAATCTCGCCATATTTGACAATATTCCAATAAACTACGATATTTAACATAATAGTGAATATCCGTTTGAATCAAGCTCATTAACCATTTCTTTCAAAGAACTTTTCATAATTCACATCCAGTTGAATTTCTATCTTCAAGATTAAGTGTATGTATTATTTGAATTTCCCTTTATTTTTATTTTAAGATTCCTCCTATGTGATTTATTCTGAAATTATACCATTGTATATATATGAATGTTTTGTTAAAATCAGTGGAATGTCCTGATTCGATCATTAATATGTTCATCTGTCCAATATTAAATTATTACTTATTGATCCCGTCAACGTTAATTTATTATTATACGCGTACCTTCGTTTCTTTCGCTTATTACAGAAATTTTGTCGTGTCGTGGTCGCTAATGTGTGTGAATGTGAAAGTTTTACATTTTTTCTGTTTCATTGGTGATTGTTAGCGTATTTTGTTGTTATTCCCTGCTTTGTTTTTTTAGTTTGCTGTCAAAGCGAACTGAACTCTCTGATTATTGGAATATTTGCAATTTTATGGGCTTTTTACACATTCATACTCAAACTGTTAACAGATACAGGAAATAACAACATAATCATTGCAAAGAGAAGTTAAGTAGTTAGATTGATAGATATTTGCATGAACATTTGAATTACCATAATCCTAGTCTACATCTTCAATTTAATTTATTAAGAAAGTAATTGATACTATTTTTTTTACAAGATTACCAAGATATATTGAAGAATTAGGTAAAATATTTAAATTACCTTTTAAAAACCCAACACCAATATTTTTCTATCTTTTTGACTTGTATAACATACCAATATACACTCACACAATTGCATTACAGTTCATACTTTTCAAGAGAATTTATCATTTTCTTACTATTGAAATTTCATTCCATAAATGCTAATTTAACAAAAAAAGAAGGACATTATTTATAATTGACAAAATTATAACTATACAATATTCATCTATTTCATTTTTTTTTCCAGAATAACTCACTAGAAAATTATTAATCACCCTGTATATACCCAGGTGGAATCATAAACCCATTTATTTTCTTTTTGAGATTTAAGAGACTAACATTTATATATAAATACTTTGTTATAATTCTATTATAACTTGTTTCCTCTTTCTTTTTTATCCAAGATTTTGTTGAATTGTACTTTATCCATAACTAGAAGTCGTTTACTTAAATTTGTTCCCAATTACTTTAGAATATATCTCCGTATCAATCCAATCGAGAATAAGTATAAGGTTCAAATATCACAACAACATAGAAATATCAGTTCCTGCTCAATACTTTCCAGAAGGAGTAATATCACAACTTATAAGGAAACTAGTGGCATCTCCACAATACCAAATAAATCGATAAGTAAACATATCTACAAGAACAAAATGAGTGAAGAAAACTTATTTGAGGATTCTTCATCTAAACGTCAATATGAAATAACAGATTATTCAAATAAACATACCACTCTAGCTCCTCATTTTTTGGGGATGAATACATTAGATAAAGTCGAAGAATCTCCATTGAAGGATTTCGTAAAGTCTCATGGAGGTCATACCGTAATTTCCAAGATTTTGATCGCAAACAATGGTATTGCTGCTGTCAAGGAAATTCGTTCGGTCAGAAAATGGGCTTATGAAGCGTTCGGTGATGAAAGAACCGTTCAATTTGTTGCCATGGCTACTCCAGAAGATCTACAGGCCAACTCAGAATACATTCGTATGGCAGATCAATATGTCGAAGTTCCAGGTGGTACTAATAACAATAACTATGCCAATGTTGACTTGATTGTTGATGTCGCTGAGAGAACTGATGTCGATGCCGTTTGGGCTGGTTGGGGTCATGCTTCAGAAAATCCACATCTTCCAGAAAAATTGGCTGCCTCTAAGAGAAAGATCATATTTATTGGTCCTCCAGGTAATGCTATGAGATCACTTGGTGACAAGATTTCTTCTACTATTGTTGCACAACACGCCAAGGTACCATGTATTCCATGGTCAGGAACAGGTATTGACAAAGTTCATGTAGATGAAAATACAGGTTTAGTATCTGTTGATGATGATATCTATCAACAAGGTTGTTGTCAATCACCAGAAGATGGTCTAGCAAAGGCTAAGAAAATCGGGTTCCCAGTAATGATCAAAGCCTCTGAAGGTGGTGGTGGTAAAGGTATTAGACAAGTTGAACGCGAAGAAGATTTTATCCCATTGTACTATCAAGCTGCTAACGAAATTCCAGGTTCTCCAATCTTTATCATGAAGCTAGCCGGTAAAGCGCGCCATTTAGAAGTACAATTACTTGCAGATCAATATGGTACCAATATATCACTTTTCGGACGTGATTGTTCTGTTCAAAGACGTCATCAGAAAATTATCGAAGAAGCCCCAGTTACCATTGCTAATAGTGACACATTTGACAAGATGGCTAATGCTGCTGTCAGACTTGGTAAATTGGTGGGTTATGTATCTGCTGGTACAGTAGAGTATCTATATTCAAGTGAAGAACAAAAGTATTATTTCTTAGAACTGAATCCCAGACTTCAGGTAGAGCATCCAACTACGGAAATGGTTTCTGGTGTGAACTTACCGTCTGCACAATTACAAATCGCTATGGGTATTCCAATGCATAGAATTAGCGATATTAGAGTATTATACGGTATGAATCCACACTCTGCTACTGAGATTGATTTCGAATTTAAAACTGAAGCTTCTAAAAAAACCCAAAGAAGACCGGTTCCAAAGGGCCATTGTACAGCTTGCCGTATAACATCAGAAGATCCAAATGAAGGTTTCAAACCGTCTGGTGGTTCATTGCATGAACTGAACTTTAGATCATCATCTAATGTTTGGGGTTATTTCTCTGTTGGTAATAATGGTGGTATCCACTCCTTTTCTGATTCTCAATTCGGTCATATTTTTGCCTTTGGTGAAAATAGACAGATGTCTAGAAAACATATGGTCGTCGCCCTAAAGGAACTATCTATCAGAGGTGATTTCAGAACAACTGTTGAATACTTAATAAAACTATTAGAAACTGAAGATTTTGAAGAAAATACAATCACAACCGGTTGGTTAGACGATTTGATCTCACACAAGATGACTGCAGAAAAACCTGATCCAACGTTGGCTGTTATCTGTGGTGCTGCTACTAAGGCTTTTATTGCCTCTGAATCTGCTCGTATGGAATATATAGTACAACTAAAGAGAGGTCAAGTTCCTGCCAAAACATTACTTGAAACAATGTTCCCCGTTGAATTTATCCACGAAAATAAAAGATACAAATTTACTGTTGCTAAGTCTGCTGACGATTCTTATACCCTATTTATCAATGGTTCTAAATGTGAAGTTCGTGCTGTGAAGCTTTCCGATGGTGGTTTATTAATATCAGTAGGTGGTCAATCTCACACAATCTACTGGAAAGAAGAAGCTCAAGCCACAAGATTATCTATTGATTCAATGACTACTTTACTTGAGGTCGAAAATGATCCAACTCAACTACGTACACCATCCCCAGGTAAATTGGTCAAATTCTTAGTCGAAAATGGCGACCAAATAAAGGCTGGCCAATCTTATGCTGAAATTGAAGTCATGAAAATGCAAATGCCTTTGGTCTCTCAAGAGAATGGTGTTATTCAACTTCTGAAACAACCTGGCTCTACTATTGCTGCTGGTGATATCATTGCAATGCTTGCTTTAGATGATCCATCGAAGGTTAAACATGCTCTACCATTTGAAGGTATGCTTCCAGAATTAGGCTCTCCAATGGTCGAAGGTACAAAGCCAGCCTACAAATTTAAATCACTAGTCTCCACTTTAGAAAATATATTGAAGGGTTACGATAACCAAGTTATTATGAATGCATCATTACAGCAATTAATTGAGGTTTTAAGAGATCCAAGATTACCATACTCAGAATGGAAGTTAAGTGTTTCTGCCCTACATTCCAGATTACCAATACCACTTGATGAAAAACTAGACAAACTTGTTGACCGTTCTAGTAACAGAAATGCGATATTCCCTGCAAAACAACTACATAAGATGATGGAAGATGCTATTAAGGAAACTGATGCTGACCCATTACTATCAACAATCGTTGAACCCTTAGTTGATATTACCAACCGTTATACAAATGGTCTTGAAGCTCACGAACATTTTGTATTTGTTAAGTTTTTGGAAGAATATTACAATGTCGAAAAGTTATTCAGCTCCCATAGAAATCGTGAAGAAAATGTTATTTTAAAATTACGTGATGAAAACTTAGAGAGTCTAGATAAAGTTGTTGAGATTGTTTTGTCACATGCAAAGGTATCTGCCAAGAATACATTGATTCTTGCAATCTTAAAACATTATCAACCTATTTGTAAGATGTCTTCCTCTGTTGCACATATTTTTAGCAAACCATTGAGCCATATTGTCGAATTAGAATCCAAATCTGCTGCAAAGGTTTCATTACAAGCAAGAGAAATCTTAATTCAAGGTGCTCTACCTTCTGTTAAAGAGAGAACTGAACAAATCGAACATATTTTAAGATCTTCTGTTACAAATACTTCTTATGGTGACTTAACTCCAAAGTTATCTGAACCAAATCTAGAAATCCTAAAGGACTTGATTGATTCTAACTATGTCGTTTTTGATGTTTTGTTGCAATTCCTATGTCACGAAGATCCAGTGATTGCTACTGCCGCCGGTCAAGTTTATGTCCGTCGTGCGTACAGAGCATATACTGTTGGTGAAGTTAAAACACATGGTATTAAGGATTCATCGGTGAACCCTCTGATTGAATGGAAATTCCAATTACCTTCTGCAGCTTTCTCATCTATTCCACAAGTTAAAAGTAAGATAGGTATGAATAGAGCGATGTCTGTCTCAGATTTATCATACGTGGTTGATAATGAACATGCACCATTAAGAACTGGTATTCTTGTTGCTTCCGAACATTTGGATAATGTCGATACTAATTTGGCTCAAGGTTTAGAAGTTATTCCTGAGCATGTTACCGCAAGCAATGGCCCAGCTCCTGACAGATCTGGTAATTCCTCTTCCTTGAGTAATGTTGTTAACGTATGTGTTGGTAGCACTGAAGGTTTTGATAGCGAAAAAGATATTCTTTCTAGGGTCTATGAGATCCTTGATCTGAATAAGCAAGATTTAATCAAGTCCGCTGTTCGTCGTATTACCTTTATGTTTGGCTTCCCAGACGGTACATATCCAAAGTATTATACTTTCAATGGTCCAAACTACCAAGAAAATCAAACCATCCGTCATATAGAACCAGCTTGTGCCTTCCAATTAGAACTAGGAAGAATGTCCAACTTTAACATAAAGCCAATCTTTACCGATAATAGAAATATTCATGTCTACGAGGCTGTTAGTAAGACATCTGCTCTAGATAAGAGATTCTTTACAAGAGGTATTATTAGAACTGGTCGTATTCGTGATGAAATTTCCATCCAAGAGTATTTAACTTCTGAAGCAAACAAACTAATGAGTGATATTCTAGATAATTTAGAAATTGTTGATACATCCAACTCAGATTTGAACCATATTTTCATTAATTTCTCAGCAGTCTTTGATGTTTCACCTGAGGATGTGGAGGCCGCTTTTGGGGGTTTCTTAGAAAGATTTGGTAAGAGACTCCTAAGACTTCGTGTGTCTGCTGCTGAAATCCGTATTATTATCCAAGACCCAAAGACTGGTGCTGCTGTCCCATTACGTGCTTTAATTAATAATGTTTCCGGTTACGTCGTTAGATCTGAATTATATACTGAAATCAAGAACGCTAAGGGTGAATGGGTTTTCAAATCTCTAGGTAAGCCAGGTTCTATGCATTTAAGACCTATTGCTACACCTTATCCTGTTAAGGAATGGTTACAACCAAAACGTTATAAGGCTCATTTGATGGGTACTACCTACTTGTATGATTTCCCAGAATTGTTCCACCAAGCTGCTATCACAACATGGGAAAAACATAATTCTAAAAGCTCTGCTAAGGAATTATCTTCCATTAAGGACAGAGATGATCTATTTGTTTCTCATGAATTAATTGAGGATGAAAATGGTGAATTAACTGAAGTTGAAAGAGAACCTGGTGCAAATACTATTGGTATGGTTGCCTTTAAAGTAACTATGAAGACTCCTGAATATCCAAGAGGTCGTCAATTTGTTATTGTTGCTAATGATATTACGTTCAAGATTGGTTCTTTTGGTCCACAAGAAGATGAATTTTTCAACAAGGTTACTGAGTACGCCAGAAAGAGAGGTATTCCAAGAATTTATCTAGCTGCCAACTCTGGTGCCAGAATTGGTATTGCTGAGGAATTAATTCCATTATTCCAAGTTGCATGGAAGGATTCTACCGTTCCAGGCAAGGGTTTCGAATATTTATATTTGACAAAGGATGGTATGGATACCTTGAAGAGCTATTCTAAAGAAAATTCTGTTATAACTGAACGCGTTGTTGAAGAAGGTGAAGAAAGATATGTTATCAAATCCATTATTGGTGCTGATGATGGTCTAGGTGTTGAATGTTTAAGAGGTTCTGGTTTAATCGCTGGTGCTACTTCAAGAGCTTATCAAGATATTTTCACAATTACGTTAGTTACTTGCAGATCTGTCGGTATTGGTGCTTATTTAGTGAGATTAGGTCAAAGAGCTATTCAGATTGAAGGCCAACCAATCATCTTAACTGGTGCTCCAGCTATCAATAAAGTTTTAGGTAGAGAAGTGTACTCTTCCAATTTACAACTTGGTGGTACTCAAATCATGTACAACAATGGTGTTTCTCATTTAACTGCTTCTGACGATTTACAGGCCGTTGAACAAATTATTAAATGGTTATCATATGTTCCTGCTAAGCGTAATATGCCGGTTCCAATTCTAGAGACTGAAGATAAATGGGACAGAGCTATCGATTATAGACCTACAGTTAATGAACAATATGATGTCAGATGGATGATTGAAGGTCGTCAATGTGAAAATGGTGATTTTGAATATGGTATGTTTGATAAAGGTTCCTTCTTCGAAACATTATCGGGTTGGGCTAAAGGTGTTGTTGTCGGTAGAGCTCGTCTTGGTGGTATTCCAATTGGTGTTATCGGTGTTGAAACTAGAACCATTGAGAATGTTATACCAGCTGATCCAGCTAACCCGGACTCCACAGAAACTGTTGTTCAAGAAGCTGGTCAAGTGTGGTATCCAAACTCTGCTTTTAAAACTGCTCAAGCTATCAAGGATTTCAATCATGGTGAACAACTACCATTAATGATTTTAGCTAATTGGAGAGGGTTTTCCGGTGGTCAACGTGATATGTATAATGAAGTTTTAAAGTATGGTTCTTTTATTGTCGATGCTTTAGTTGATTACAAACAACCTATTTTCATTTACATTCCACCAACTGGTGAATTGAGAGGTGGTTCTTGGGTTGTTGTTGATCCAACAATTAACAGTGATCAAATGGAAATGTATGCTGACAAGGATTCCCGTGCTGGTGTCCTTGAACCTTCAGGTATGGTTGGTATCAAATACCGTAGGGAGAAATTATTGGCTACCATTACAAGATTAGATAAAACTTACAGAGAATTGAAAGAAAAACTATCCAGTAAGGATTTAACTAATGAAGAACATCAACAAATTTCGATTCAATTAGCCGAACGTGAAAGATTATTAATTCCAATTTATAATCAAGTTAGTGTTCAATTTGCCGATTTACATGATAGATCATCTCGTATGTTAAAGAAAGATGTCATTAAAGCTGAATTGACTTGGGAAGAATCTCGTCGTTATTTCTTCTGGAGATTAAGAAGAAAATTAGATGAAGAATATTTGCTAAGAAGATTGGATGAAGAATTAACCCAAGCCTCTAGACTTGAAAAAATTGCCAGAGTTAGATCATGGTATCCAACTTCTGTGAATGTTGAAAATGATAAAGAAGTTGTTACATGGATTGAAGAACATTATGATATACTTGAAGAGAAATTAAAATCTTTGAAATTAGAATCATTTGCATTAAATCTAGCTAAAAACATTAGAAATGATCATGATAATAGTATGAAGGGATTAGAAGAAGTTGTTCGTATGTTAAGTACATCAGACAAAGCCAGATTGAATGCTATTATCAATCCAGAACAAAAATCCTAATATTAGAACAGTCTAATATAGCTATATATAGAGAGATACACATAAATATATCGTACTGTACATTACATTTAAATATTACAAAATAAAATAAATTAAAATAAATTTCATGAGAATAACCTTAATAAGTTAAATTAGTTGCCATTATATATGTCAAATATATAAGGATGTGTATGTATTGAGTCATTAAATTCATTAAAAAAAAAGAGTTCATAAGTTGAGAAAAAGAGATAACAAATCATAATAGGAAGAAAGATAAAAACAGATTTTCTAAAATTAAATAGCAAACTAAAGGAAAAAGAAATCGAATAAAATAAGATGTTTTTCTTTATGTTAAATTTATTACCTTACAATTTCTTGTATAATGCTTTATTAAAACGAATTGCGATAGAATTTCTTCTGTGATGATGTTTTGAGCAAGGACAATCCAAATTGACATCAATATCATTAAATGTAGTATGATACATCAACTCTGATGGACCACCATTAATCGTAGCCACTCTTCTTAAAGGTTGGTGATGTTTATGATCATATTCATGTATATTTTCCATATTATTATTAGTTGTAGCATTATAATAATTATTTGAATTTTGATCGATCTTACTATATAAATTGTGAAATATTTGTGGTTCACTAAACCTTCTTAAGTCGTTCCCATGAGTAGGTGGATTATTATTATTAATATTAGTTCTATGCTGAGAAATCATTGGATACCTTTGAAAATCTGTACGTGGTACACATTGATATAATCTATTAAAATCATTTTGACCTAATTGTAAACCAAATTCATTTGTTTGATCATTGGTACTTTCCGTTTCTGTTGTGTAAGCAGAACAATAACCTTCTGATGTACTATCAGTTAAGGATGGTGATCTTGACAACGAAAAAGAGTTAAAATCTTTTTTATTAATTTGAATATTATTATTATCTTGAATATTATTATTAGATGATGAAGAAGGTAATTCTGGTTGAATATTCATAACAGTTTCTACAACCTCAAATGGGTCATTTTTTGATTTATCAGTATCATTAGTTCTACTATTACTATGACTTATAGTACTATGATTAGTACTACTACTTCTACTGCTATTACTAATATTATTATTATTAATAGTAGTAGACGAATCTCCTTTATAAGTATAGATAAGTTGTCCACAGAGTGGTCTACTTCCTGTATTAGTTATATTATTTTCACTTGAGATTGAATCTACAGTATTCATTTTCGACGCATATGTGTATGATGTGTATGAGAGTATGTATATATTAATATTACACTTCTATGTCTATGTCTATTTTGAAGAAATTAATATATCTATAATTATGTGTTAACTATATGTATATAAAATATTCGATATATTAAGTATTGAAACAAGCAAAATAGAATAATAATAATAATAATAATAATACAGTATATATATATATATATTTCTTATTTTCAACATGATGTATCGCGGTCTACTATATTAACAACGTTTTTACGACATTCTTCTACTTTGTCTCTTGATCTTGATCTCGTTTAATCGTTATCTCATCAGTGATTGTTACTGCAACGAGTACTGCTGTTATTAAACCGAGATATATACATTACATTATGCATATTTACTATATAGAGATAGAGATATCAATGGAACATTCAATTTAGAGTTCTAAAATTACCAATCTATCTTCCCGGGGTGAGTGACCAGTTTACTGTATTGTATTGTATTGTATTGTATTGTACTGTATTGAATTACATTGTACTGTATGTGAATGTGTGGCTATTAGCAATATGCTATGCAAAATGCTATGCAATGTAATGTATAATGTATGGGTGTGGCTGTAGTTAATTAAGAGCGAATGGGCAGTATATTCTACACACCCTTGGTAGTAGTTGTACCGGGCTGTCTTCGTGATGTCTTCGTGATGTCCATTCACCCCCCGTTTTGGATATCTATTTTTAACGTGGGTAGAGAGAACGGACTCACGAAGAGAGGGGCGTAGATAAAGGGAGAAACAGAGCATAACAGGCAAATAAAACTCCGAGAGATTTTGTGGAATATCTGTGGTGGGAGGGGAGCACAAAGCGTGGGGATTTCGATGTGGATATAGGAATTAGCAAAAGCAAAAATAGAGATAGCACACACAAACTATCTCTCTATACGTACATAGATATATCTATGAATCAGTTTCATATTACACATACATATTATCAGTGATGCAACAAAGTAGTTAATTAACGACACTGTAACTAGTGTACTAGCTCATGAGAGAACACAAACGAACCGGTCCCATAATTCAGTTATTTATGTATTGTTTGTTCTCTCTCCCTCTCTCTTTTATCCTTGATAGTAAGAAGGCTTGTCATGATGTACGACAGTTCTGTCACATGACTAGCATCACAGCATACGGTGCCAATTCCGATATCTAAAGTTTTTGAACCGCCCGTACACCCACCAGGGAAATTAGTGGAAGCCCCGTTGCCCTCCGCTCCACTCCTACTCTCCTTTACACAGAACATTAAAAGAATCCGCGCGCTGCCAAAAACAATGTAAGCAGAAGCGTTTTCACGCCGGCACTCGCACTGTTCTTGTCTTCCGCTTCTATCAGATTCTTCCGAATGCGACAGTCACACACCCACACAGGACGCCCCTGAGCGAATTATCGCATAGAGAGAGATATTATATGGATATTACCGGCAGTTACACTATATACCGACAAAGCTGCCACACACACACTCTCTCTCTCACTGTGTTTTACTAAGAGGAAATGTGATTGATTATGGGCCGCTCTGTTTTCTTCTCTGTCTCTGGTCTCCCCCCGATTAGTTAACGCAATTTGTAGCAGTTTGTACGGTCAACACATCAATATTGCGGGTATTTTATTCGTTTTCTTGTTTTATTCGTTTTTTGCATCATCTCATTCTTTTCACTGAAAAATATTGTTGATGCTGATGATATAATATTTTTATAGTAATTGCAATTTCATGAACATCATCAACAGCAACAACAACAACAACATCATAATAATAGTTAAACTAGTTCATGCATTTATTCACCACTTTGTGTTGTTTTCCTTCGTGAGAGGCAAGGTTTATTGGTAAAAATTTATGCAAAATTTCCTTTTTATCTCTTACAATCTTGTTTTCTTTCTTCTTTGTATTTTTTTATTTTATTTTATTTTATGCTATTTTATTTGATAAACCATCAGGTTTCAATTAATTAATTATTTACCTAACTTAATACAACTCTTTCATTAACCTAGTTCTTAATACATATATATTATTATTATTATTATTAACAACTACTATTAATAAAGAAATAGAACCCTTTCTTAACCTTTTTTATTTATTTATTTTTTGAAACTTTCACTACATCTTAAATAATTCAAAGGTTTAGTCATATAAAAATACTAATAATAATTAATTATAATAGTTATTAATTATGGCCGTGAATACTCCTATTGTAAACGGGACATCTTATGCCACCGTCGTCGCTTACTCTAAGGACTCCTACCAAAAAGCTGTTGAATTCTATTCCAAATTATTAGAATTATCTGTCTCTACTGGAGGTGTCTGCTCGGAAAATGAAACTTTACTATCCAATGCTACTATTGCTGTTAAAGTCTCATTGCAAGAAAATAATAATAAACAAGCGGAAATTGATAACCAAATTAAATATTTGACTTCTATCGCAAAGACTAACGACTGGAGATCTCATGTTAATCAATCCCTAGTATTTAATACTACTGACTTATCCTCTTTACAAGATGCTTTCAAACAATTGGATTACCCAAACCAAGCATTCCCTTCTGATTTATTACCAATGCAATTATACACTATCGACCCATTAGGTAACATCATCGGTGTCACTTCCACTAAAAACGCAGTCTCTACTAAGTCGAACCTTCCAGGTGCTACCACCGTCACTGGAACTGCTGCAGTCACTGCAACTCAAACTCCAGGTTCCGTCTCTAAGAACCACTCCTTCACCGATTTGTCTTATTTAGTCAAAACATCCAACAATTATCCTTCTTTACCAAAGGATAACACTCCATTGGCAGAAAAGAAGGCTATTGCCGTCATGACCTCCGGTGGTGACGCTCAAGGTATGAACTCTAACGTTCGTGCCATTGTCCGTTCCGCCATCTTCAAAGGGTGTCGTGCTTTTGTAGTCATGGAAGGTTACGAAGGTCTAGTTAAAGGTGGTCCAGATTACATTAAGGAATTCTCTTGGGAAGACGTTAGAGGTTGGTCCGCTGAAGGTGGTACCAATATCGGTACTGCTAGATGTCTAGAATTCAGACAAAGAGAAGGTAGATTGTTAGGTGCCCAACATTTGATCGAAGCTGGTGTCGATGCTTTGATTGTTTGTGGTGGTGACGGTTCCTTAACTGGTGCCGATTTGTTCAGATCTGAATGGCCTTCTTTGATTAACGAACTTTTGGAAAACAAGAGAATCTCTAAGGAACAACACACTAGATACCAACACTTGAACATTTGTGGTACTGTCGGTTCCATTGATAACGATATGTCCACTACAGATGCTACCATCGGTGCTTACTCCGCTTTGGACAGAATCTGTACTGCTATCGATTACGTCGAAGCCACCGCCAACTCTCACTCCAGAGCCTTTGTTGTCGAAGTCATGGGTAGGAACTGTGGTTGGTTAGCCCTATTGGCTGGTATTGCCACTTCTGCTGATTACATCTTCATTCCAGAAAAGCCAGCTACTTCCAGTGAATGGCAAGATCAAATGTGTGACATTGTCGCCAAGCACAGAGCCAGAGGTAAGAGAACTACCATTGTCATTGTTGCCGAAGGTGCCATTGCCGCTGATTTGACTCCAATCTCCACTGGTGATGTCCATAAGGTTCTTGTCGACAGATTAGGTCTAGACACTAGAATCACCACTTTGGGTCATGTTCAAAGAGGTGGTACCGCTGTCGCTTACGATCGTATGTTGGCCACTCTACAAGGTGTGGAAGCCGTCAACGCCGTCTTGGATTCCTCAGCAGACACTCCATCTCCATTGATTGCTATTAATGAAAACAAGATTGTCCGTAAACCACTTGTCGAATCTGTTAAGTTGACTAAAGCTGTTGCTGCTGCCATTCAAGCTAAGGACTTCAAGAAGGCCATGTCTCTAAGAGATACTGAGTTCATTGAACATTTGAACAACTTCATGGCTATTAACTCTGCTGACCACAACACTCCAAAGCTAGGCGAAGAGAAGAGACTAAAGATTGCCATTGTTAACGTCGGTGCCCCAGCTGGTGGTATCAACTCAGCCGTTTACTCCATGGCTACATATTGTATGTCTCAAGGTCACAAACCTTATGGTATTTACAACGGTTGGTCCGGTCTAGCCAGACATGAATCCGTCAGATCCTTGGACTGGAAGGAAATGATCGGCTGGCAATCACGTGGTGGTTCTGAACTAGGTACCAACAGAGTCACCCCAGAAGAAGCTGATATCGGTATGGTCGCTTACTACTTCCAAAAGTACCAATTCGATGGTTTAATCATCGTCGGTGGTTTCGAAGCCTTCACTTCCTTACATCAACTAGAAAAGGCTAGAGAAAGTTATCCAGCTTTCAGAATCCCAATGGTATTGATCCCAGCTACTTTGTCTAACAATGTCCCAGGTACTGAATACTCTCTAGGTTGTGACACATCTTTGAATGCTTTAATGAAATATTGTGATGTTGTCAAGCAATCTGCTGCTTCTACTAGAGGAAGAGCTTTCGTTGTCGACACCCAAGGTGGTAACTCCGGTTACTTAGCTACCTGTGCTTCCTTAAGTGTCGGTGCTGCTGCTTCCTATGTTCCAGAAGAAGGTATTCGTCTAGAACAACTACAACAAGATATTACCTCTCTAGGTGAATCATTCGAAAGAGCCGAAGGTAGAAACGGTTTCGGTAAGTTGATTCTTAAAAGTACAAATGCCTCCAAGGCTATGTCTGCTGAAGATATCGCCAAGATCATCACTGCCGAAGCTCAAGGCGAATTTGATGCCAAGGCTGCTGTTCCAGGTCACATCCAACAAGGTGGTATCCCATCTCCAATCGATAGAACTAGAGCCACAAGATTGGCAGTCAGAGCTGTCGATTTCATCGAAAAGGGTCAAAGCACTCTTGAAGTTACTCGTGCCGGTGATGAAGATTACAAGTCTGATAGTAAGGAACTTGCTAACACAGCCTCTGTTCTAGGTATCAAGGGCTCTCACGTTGCCTTCACCGGTATCAGAAGACTATATGATTTCGAGACTGAAATCAGCAAGAGAATGCCAAAGGTCATTCACTGGGAACAAACCAGAGCCATCGCTGACCACTTGGTTGGTAGAAAGAGAGTTTAAATAAATTTTCCATGACTTCAAACGAAAACTAAAATCAAGAACAATTTTTTTTAACTCCTTTTCTTTCCTTCTCATTAATTTTATTAACTTATTTAATAATTACTATTTTTATGTATACGATATAGATGATTTCAAAATTGATTTAAATTATAAACCATTTCAAGTTAAGGCAAAATATAAAGACTGTTTAACGTTCCTTTGAGCGGCTCAATCTAACATCATGATGTACGAAAGCGTAGTATCGTTTTGTTTACATTTAAAACAGAAGAATGGCACACATATTGGAGACTATAATGTTATTGATAACATTAAAAGATTAGAAGTCTTTGAGGTAGCACTTTATTTACGATTGGATAGCAGTAAACTTAGAGAGTAATCAGAGAACTACTAACAGCAACAAACAAACAAACAAGTAATAATCTGTTGGACAAAACCAAAATCAATGGTTGAGGTTAAAGGAAATGGCAATACAACCTCAAAATCTCCATTTAAGAGTATTAAACGTGTATTAAAATTCAATAAACAACATGATCGAAGTGCTACCTGCCAATCAATTCCAAAGCTTGAATATACTTCCCATCTCAAGTCTCGAGGATCATCAATGGAGGTTAAAACGGGTAACCGGTCCCATAGCACTAAGACATCCAATAACAGAAAGTCGGCACAACGAATATCTTTATTTTATTGTGATAATGTTAAAGTATTAAATGCTACATTATCTACACCCAATCCTACGTTACAAGATTTTCGTTACACATCTACCTCGTTGCTGGCAATGGGACCACTAGAAATATATGAGATCAAGACAAACAGTTCATGCTCAAAATATTTAACTATTGGAAAAAATAGTGATATCGTACATCCATTATTACCAAAATTGAAGGTAACTAAGTTAATTATACATGAGAATAGTGAAGAAATTAATAGGTACTATATTTCGTTCTCCAACCCATCGCGATTCTGGGAGATTCAATTTCCTCAGGATGATAGCATCAAGAATGACATATTCGAGAGTGTAATATCTAAATCATGTAGGTTAATATATCTTGAAGATAAGTATAAGATTGAAAAGGAGTTTAGCAATGTGATTACTGAAGATGATTCTAAGACGATTAATAATGATAGCATTGATGACCTGAATTATTTACTGGAAGACAGTGACAGTGACAATGATGATATAAGCATTACCAAAACTATTATGGATTCTGACAAGAATAAAAAAGCTAACAATTCAACATATTATCCCAATAAAAGTTCTAAACTATTAAGCAATTCGAATGACATCAATCAACAATTTAGAAAAGTAATAGAAGAAATGTCACCATTTACTGAGAAGGTCGAGTCTCACAATAAATGGGTATGGAAACAATCAAATCATCAAAACTTAGCACCATCAGAGAAAAATAACAAAAAGATGGCCTACAGAAGAAGTTTATACGTTTCGAACCCAAATATATTATTAGATATAGGTTCAATAAAGACCAACAGACGATCTGTGTCCGGATTGTCAGATTATGATACATTAGTATCTTTGCATAACTTACGAATTTAACACAACCTATTCATATTAAAACAATGAATGTCACTATATACCTAATTTCATATAATATATATGTATCTATAACTATATTCCCAAATAAGACATATGAAACAGTACAAAATAAAATGTACGAAATACTAATTATATTACATGTATATAAGCACCTTATATTATATTTATTTTATTTTTAGTTTTTTTAAAATTATATGGACAAGATAAAATGATATTAATACACATATATGAGATGTATTTGTATAGAAATATGCAATCTAATGCAAATGAATTTAATCTTTCATTTATGTGAAAAGAGATGATAGACAGAAGCAAAAAAAACAACAGACACATTCATAAAAAATAAATAGTGTGCATTTACGCATAGAAAACACAAAAACCTTAGTGTATACATATGATTCATTGAAACTATGTTATGTCTTAAGCTGGTGGAGCTTGTAGTGGATTACCTTCAGTATCAAGACCTTGTTGCATCATTAAAAGTTCTTGGTTACCTGCGGTTTCGAATTGTAGACCACAACCTAATTTACTTTCATTCTTTGCATGATCGATTTCACCACAGAATAATATAGACAAAGTTGGTAAAACCTTTCTTTCCAAGAAACAGGCAACTTTACCGGTTGAATCAACAGTACCACGGTATACAGATTGTCTATATTCATACTTAGCACCAACAGTTGTAGAACCTTCAATAGTTGGTTGAATACCAATTGGAGTACCTAACATAGGGTCAGTAATTGGAATCATACCAGCTTGTAAAGAAGTTTCAATACCAGCTTCAACGTTTGGAGTAATCTTTCTCCAGAAGGAAGAAACTAAAGCACCATTAGCTTGTAATTGACCAGAGAAGATCCAATCTTGTTTTTTGGATACATATCTAGTCAAATAAGAGACACCAGCATCAGCTGGACTAGTGGCTTGACTCTTAGAGTATAACAATTCTAGACCTAGGGATAATTGTGGGGTAACACTTTGTAAAAGAGAACCGACGGCAACACCGGCAAAATCTGGAATCAATGAGTTGTCCTTAGTGAAGGAGAAAGATGGGTTCAAAGTCTTCAAATTTAATGAGAAATCGGAAGCTTGGTAATCTTGTTCTAATTGACACATGGAAGGTTGACCATTAGCAATTTGTAGATTAACTTTAGAGATGTTATTTTTATCCCAACCATAGTTTAATCTACCAGATAAGGACAAATCATTATCCAAATTACCTTGAACAAATAAGTTATCATCAGCAAACAATGCACTGAAAGCATAGTTTGGTAAGGATGTTGAACCAATAGAGAAAGTATGAGAAGTTTGGAAAGCTGGGTTCAAAGAGAAAGCTTTGTTTAAATCAGCTCTTAAACCTGTGAAGAAATATTGAGACAAAAATACATCTCTTGAGACTTCTTTGTTCAAGTTTTCAACGGTACCAGGGTTAACAAGAGCCAAAGATTTTCTATGGGAGTGTACTTGTTTATAACCATCGATGATAAAACTCGAGATAGGGTTAGAAGACCAGAAGGAACCCTTTGATTGTTCTGGAGTCATTGGAGAGACAGCTTCAGTTGTTGGTAATTTATTTAGATCTGCTATTGGAGTAGCAGTCTTTGTTGCAGTTTCAGTGGACATGATTTAAATGAATGACAAAAAAAAACTGTAGAAAAAAAGATATAACACTGTATGGAAAGAATGTTCTTATAGAGGGATAATCAATAAAAAAAAGTTAAAAAGTAAATATATTATAATAAATAAACTCAGTTTACAGTTAATACCTTTTCTTGTTTTGTTAATTACCTTAATTTCCCTTGGTTTATAGTGAAATGATTTAGTATATTATAGCTCACTCAAAAAGAAAATGGGGTATCAAAACTAAATATAATTTATGAGTTATAAGATACGAAAAGATTATTAACGATTTACCAACGAATATGAATGCTTAATTGAATTAATTGATATTGACCCTGTTCTCTGTGTGTGATTGATCAAAACCAAAGGTAAAACGGGCCTTGTGCGAATGAGAGAGGGAAAGTTCAACTTACCGTAAACGCTTTTTTTGTTTTGTAAAAAAATTGAATTTCCAACTTTTCTTGGTGTCGTTCACGGTGATAAATGGACCGTGCAAGATGACAGTAATAACGTATAATTAGCAACATAAATTCTACAATACTTTAAATTAAATATATATATATATATATATACGTATATTTATATATATTTACACTTAGTTGTGTTAAGTTGAAGATAGAAATATAGATAGAAGGAAAAAGTACATGTTTAAAATTTCCCATTTTGTATCAAATTCTTACCCATATCCTTAGCAGTCAAATAAACTGTCTTACCTAAAGTATATAGATCCAAGGTACTTGAAAAAGTATCTAAGAAACCGAATGGTAGCATGCATGGGATCCAACCTTGAGCCAATTCCAAAGCAAAAGAACCACTTGGCATAGCATATTGTTTAGCCCATCCTTTAGCCAAATGATGGGTCATCCCTGCACTATAAACTTCAGGTGTCAAAGCATGAGGTAAAGCCGCATGTTGCTCACCGTGTAAGATAGTGAAGTAATCGTCAGCGAAATGAACACCAGTGTGACCTTCTGTACCGACAGCAGTACCGAAGAAGATAACGTATTCAGAAATGGAGGCGTGTAGGATGATCATTTGACCCATTGCACCACCTGCATTGTTGAATACCCAGTCTTCAGCAACATATTTGTTAATATATTCTTCACCATAATGGGAGGCCAAAGCGTCTCTGATGTCGCTTAATAAGGCATCGGTAGAGAAAGTGTCTTCATTGGTAGTAGCGTTATGTTTAGCAATCACAGTATTACAAATTTGGTTCAATGTCTTTGGATCAAAGATATAATTTGTTGGCAACCATGTGTAGTATACACTATTCAGCATATAGCCGATTACACCGAGCAATAAAATAATTGGGAAACACTTCATATTGAATAAAATTTAAATAGTATGGTAACGTTAGATCCAAATGTGCAGAATATTCTATTCAATTGAGAGAATAAATGTTTTTAAAAACACACAAATCATTTTTACCAATTACTGGAGAAATTCAAGTATCCCGTTACATTTATATCTATATATATATGTAAACTTATTTGAGAAAGAGATGATTTCAAAACGAAGTGCCCTTGCGATGTCTCGTATAATTCACTAACTGTTTGTATGTAAAGTATACCAAATATTCGTATAATAATTGCCATACAGCAAACGAAACTTTCGTTTTTGTCCGCTCCGGCTTTATAGCAGTGACAATTAACAGTTTGTTTGCTGTTATAATCAATATTGTGCAATTTTATAACCGAAATACCCAGTCAATGGTAGCGCAATAGTATACGGTCTGATATAGACCAATGGCTGAATGGGATAGATATTGCATTTGAGTATAGTTGAATCAACTACTTCACAGGATATAATGTATTGATATATATAACAAATGTATATCACTACTACTACTACTACTACTACTGCATAGTTACCACTGTAGATGTGTGTGTATGTGTGAGAGAGAGAGAGAGACAGTCCGAGAAACTGAAAATATTATTATGAAGGCAAAAATAGAGAGATTACGTAAATTAATGAAAAATTATATGTATGGATAAGTATTTGTAAGCTCATCGAAAGCAAGGTATCCTACAAGAATGACAACAAGAATCGTTTATTTCTCATTTAAAGGACATGTACACAAACGGTTAGATACACATCTGCTATTGACTAGTAATGAATGCCGAACAGAAAGCTAAAATAGTATGTAATAACGTTATACCCTGATTTAGATATTTTACAATTTATTTATTATTATTATTATTATTATTATTATCTTAAAACATACATTAATACTAACAATTTCATTTCATTTGATTTAATTATTATAATAAAGGCTGCTAATAGAAAACTTGCATTAGAACGATTAAAAAAGAGAGGTATATTAAATAAATCTCAACAAAATTCAATAGAAAAAAGATTTGAACCAGTGAAACCGCCTATTACAAACACTACTGTAGCTAATAGCAATACCTATAAAAACCAGGAACAATATATACCGACAACTACAGTACCAGCCACGCAATCTATTCAATCAAGAGATGCTACTACAATATCCCCCACTAAAACAAATAAAATTAGACCCTCTGTTAGAGAGAAAGATTATATTGAATATAATTTTGCTACTATAAATAATTTGAATGGTGGTTATATTAATCCACAGGATAAAGTTTATAATGAAGGTGATCCTGATTATTATGGTGGTGATGATAGCCATAACGATAAAAAATTAAAGACTATACAAGATTGGAAAAATGAACAACGTGAAAGACGAATGCTTTATGAAAATGCTCCACCACCTGAACATTCCTCTGTGGCAATTAAATGTATACAATGTCATATTAATATTGAAATGGATCCTGTATTAGATGATATCTTTAAATTGAAAGTTTGTAAAACTTGTGCTAAAGAACATCCAGAAAAATATTCTCTATTAACAAAAACAGAATGTAAAGAAGATTATTTTTTAACAGATCCTGAGTTGAATGATATTGAATTGTTTCATAGATTAGAGAAACCAAATCCACATTCGGGGACATTTGCAAGGATGCAATTATTTGTTAGATGTGAAATCGAAACATATGCATATAAGAAATGGGGAGGTGAAGAAGGATTAGATAATGAATGGAAACGTAGAGAAGAAGGGAAGTTAAAAAGAAAAGAGAAAAAATATAATGATAAAATTAAAGAAATGAGAATTAAAACTAGAGCACAAGAATATACTAATAGACTAAGAGATAAAAAATATGGGAAAACTCATATTCATAATTTTAGTGATCCTATACCGAATGGGAAAGATGAAGATGGTTTTACAATATTGAAAAGACGTTGTATAGGATGTGGTCTCGAAACAGAAGAAGTCTCATTATAAAAATTACCTTCTTCCTTCTACACCCAGAACATTATAAGAACAGTTTTTCTTATCAAATGTTCCTAAAAGAGACCTAGTAATGTACATTTCCTTCTAGATATATGAATGTATGTATGTATGTATATGTATATATATATTATTAATAGATATAGTTATGGTTTTGTATTTTTTTCTTTCTGTTGAAATAAAATGACTAAGATTAATTCAATCTTATAATATCCCAAAACAAACTAATAGGCTAGAAAAGCGACAGAACCAACACCAATTAAAGTCATAGAGATATACCAGAAAACATCCGAGGACATGAAACCTAACTGTTTGTTTTTTATAGCATTAGTTTTATGTTTGTTTTCTAAGCCCCTCTTAACCAATTCACTTAAAGATCTTTTAGAATTTGAAGAACCAGTTTCCGAAGCTCTTTCATCCGAGTTATCTGTTGGGTTTAATGTCACTGTAGGCAACATCATAGGTGGTCTATAGGCCAAATATAGAGGTTGCATTGGAGAACCATCAAATTGATATAATTGTAATTTATAAACACCATGGTAAGGATCAATACCAACAGCAAAAGATTTAAAAGTTTCAGTTTGATTGTATCTTGAGTAGACAGAGACCCCCTCATCGTTACATGGATCGCTTAATAATTGTCTCCCGTCTACTTTGAAAGGAGTTAACACTAAAGTACCATTACTTGAAATATTATATGTACCATGTTGATATATGACTGCGGCAAGAGGACACCCAGGGTCCTTTGGATTACCACTAACCTGGTAAGTGGCTTCTTCAAAATACCCATCTTCAGTGAATGAATAGGAAAGACCTGGTAAAGAAGGTTCTATTAAAAGTTCATCGACTGGATCGTAAAAACCTGGTCCTGTAAATACCTGGTTTGATTTCGACGACCAAGTACCATATAATGATTCGGCTGTACTGTCATCTGCATAAGTCTTAGCAACTAATAACGTACTAACAAGAAATAAAATTGATTTCAGCATCTTAGTAGTGGGCAATCTGTGTAGTTCAAACAATATATTAATAATAATTCTGTAACCTTGAACTTGGTGTAATAATAAAATGAGATGGTAGTACTAATAAAAACTTTAAATAACAACTATAAGGAGGTATATATTGTTAATAATGTAATCTAAAGTTGCTTTTCTTAACCACTAGTTCTGTATTACCTTGTTACTATCCTTCTGTCTTTGTTGTGTTACACGTTATATAATTTACATTCGCCTCATATAAAAATAACATTAATGGATTTTTTTTTTGTTGCTTTAACCATTTTGGGGGCTTTTTCTTTTTTCCCTCTTACTCCTCAGGAAAATGAATAAGGAATAAATCATATTGAATCGCAGCTCTACTAATAAGATGAAATTTTTTGTAATAACAGATTATTAATATAATGTATTTAGTTACTACGATAAGCTACTATCCAGACTCGCATATACTTGATTATGTAACTGATGGATATTGAATTAAGAAAACATCCATGGAATTAAGTCTCAGTAATCATTATATAATATTTAAATATACGTCCTATGATACTACCACCAGGTAATATCTCAAATATATAGATTATCTCGAATATAAATAAAATTAGTTATATTAAAATTAAGGTAGTTAAGAATGAATTAGATACAGTAAAGAATATTATAATTAAAGATGTTATAGTTTGATGGGTGATGGGTATTTTGGTCAATTGTGTGTGGGAATATCTGGTTATTTGTCATACTAGGCAAGGTTTGGAGTTTTCCCTTGAGAGCGGAATCGATATCTTACTGGTATGTCCATGATCACTAAACACACTTATAGGAGAATGAGATATAGAACCACTAATTTCTGTCGATATATCATTTTCATCTTCATCTTCATTGGCATCATTATCGTAGTCATCATTCGAGGTATCGTAATTCGATGTGTCATCATCCAACTTAATATCATTGAAAGTTGAATAATCTATCGATGCGGGTGAAGGATAGCTTGTTGTAGAATTAACTGATTTAATCTTTTGTAATGTGATAGTATTTTTCTTAACTGTAGTGGAAGCCCTCATGTTACCCAATACAACCGGATGAGACACTTGAGAACGTATAGATTTTTCCAATTGATAATTATTAACTTTTTTACAAAAGCCACGAATATATGTGGATTTTGGATATTTGTTGAAAAGACAAACAGGAACAGTGCAAATAGCATTAATCAAAATTTGATCAATCGTAACCATATTATCAGAAAATGTCTGTATCAAATCATCAGGTAATTGAATAAAATTGGGACAGTCTTGTGACAAAAATTTTGATAATAATCTAAAAATTGAATTTGATACTTCAATCATTTCATAATCTAATAAATTATATTGCCATGAAGTAAGATCTATTAGGAACATTTTTATATCAATCAGTTCAATTTTATTATCAATCTGATATAATTCATTTTTATAATGGTTTTTATTTGGTAATAAAGCTCTCTTATACCATTCATATTGTAACAGACAATTTTCATCAATATTTAATACCAAATCTGCCAAGGTAGGTGTAACAATATTCCAATCTAACGTTTGTAATATATGTCTTTCCATTTGTAAAAACATCGATTTATTAAAATGTTTTTTACCTCCACAATAATATATTAATTCATTAATTTTTGGGATTCTAGCCCTTGGAGTAGGACCATAAAATCTTCCACCTGTAGGAATCACATATTCATTAATAATATGATCGCATCCACCTAGATTCTTTGCCGAAAGCCAAAGACAAGTAGCTACCACAAGTTTAGATTGTTCAGGTAGAACAATTCTTTTAGAACTGTATCTATCATAAAGGGTTACTGCATGAGAGAATACTGTATCTGTTACATTACACACGGTAGATAATTGGAAAAGAAAAGTTATCAAATTATGTCTGGTCATTTGTGGTGGCATATTCGGTTGTTGATTGATCAGTTTTGTAATTGGTTTATGTTTTCTTGATTTTTCTATCAAATCTTTAATGAAATCCGTCTTATATTCATTCAAAGAACTCAAATGAATATATATTTCGGAACTTGATAGTTCCATTGGATAAGGTATTTGTTCTGCTTTCACTATTAAACCTTGCGGTATAGTAGAGACAGACATTTGTGATGCTAAGAAAACTAGATCTTCTGAGAAAAGGAAGGATGTATCGTAATTAACTAAAAGTAATGCTGGTATTTCTCTGAAACTATAAAGAAGGAAGGAAAATATATTGGTCTTAATTAATTAATCTAGTTTGTATTTGAAGCAATTAAACCATTTATATAGAAATAACCAAAAACTATTCTTAAAATTGACACATAACAAACACGTATTGTTTTATCTGTCTCTTGTTGTTATTTATTTATGTAAGTAAATAATTATATATATATCATGTTGTTTATTTTTATTAGCGATAGTCTCAGCTTTAAATTGCAATAGTTCATATAAAGACCCAGTCATTAGGACTATATAATATGATGGACAAAAAAAATAGTCACAATTTTTCAGTTCTTGGCTCAATTCCTGAAAAGTTCTTTGTTAAGCGAAAGTGAATTTTGATCGACGTAAAAATTGGAAAATGCCTTCTTTTAACGGGGTTCATCTGCATGCTGTGAAACACCAGTGGAGGTGAGCCAGTGTAGTGATCAGAGAAAATACTGTATAGAACTAGTTTTGTTTCTCGAGAAATCTCGTTTTGTTACATTCTGCGGTAATGCCTAGGGAAAATGGTTGGTGGTTAGAAAAATCTAGGTGGATAAAGTTCCCTGCCGATATTCTGTTTCAATCGATAGTTGATCGATAGGTGCGGCGTCGCAGTGGAGGTTCAAGAAGCGTGATAAGCGTACCGCTTAAATAGCACTACAAACTCAGCACAACTTAGAGAAATGATGTCCAAAAAGTTGAAGAAACTCACGTAGACCAGTAATCTGCTACATATTTGTTACACCAAGACGACAGCGCAGATCTTCAAATAATTAAAACAACAGAACTGGACGGAGAAATCAAGCCTCCCTGAATAAAAAGAAATCTTGTTTGTCTGTACGACGTATACCCTGTTGCCCCACAGAGTAACAATTCTACGCGATTCACTGTTGAGTCTCCCAATGAGGAAATAAGCGACCATGACTCGATCCGTGTCGTCTGCAGTGATAATTAATCTTATTCAAAATTGTAAAATCTAGACTTTCCAGTATAATTATAGATTTGGTGATTTTGTCGTGAGAATAATACGCGTTTCTTTATTTATATATATTTTGATTTGCATATATTGTGCAAACGTTAACTTTTTGATTGATTAACTCAGTGGTTGATTTACAGTTACTTTATGAATGATTCGTTTTTTGATAAAATTCATGGTCTGGAAATAGTTGGATACGATAATATGCAGACGAATGTATATGTACGATTTGAATTTTTGATAGAATGCACGATTTGGGAATATATGAATATAATAATATGTAGACGAATGTATATGTACGGATTTTGGACGTTAATTTATTTAATTTTCTTGTGAATTTCTGTTACAGCTTCTTAAATCATTCTCACTTCACTACCGTTATATCCAGAATATTAAAATAAAAATAAATCCTACTTTGGTATCATAAGTTACGTGATTTTCTCATTACGAGTTTCGACTATTTAATGGTGAAAGATTGTATATGTTTGCACAATTTCTTGATTTCTTCTCCACCAGTGATATTAATGTTACAAATGAATATCGACTTACCTTTTTGTATCATTTCATGATAAGGAAGTATATCGTTATCATGATCACGGACATCCCTTTGTTTCATTAATGTTTTAGTCAATTGTTGTATTCCAGACATCGATTCAATGATTACAAGAGTGATTTCTTGGAAAAATGAATCAGTTATAGATAATCGAAATCGAAGTATCCAGGACAACTCGGTTTTGGGATTCACAATGATATCTTCTATATTAATAGGTGAAAATTGATTAGTGGTCACATTTTCCATTATTGTGGCAGATATAGAATAACCATCCTGTAGAAAATCAATAAAATTTGACACAAAATTTGTTGAAGAATCCGATATATAGAAGACAGTCAACGAATCACGATATTTTAGTTCGTAAAAATCATATAGAGGTTGAATTTCATACCGAATCAAATCTGATATATTTGTAATCAAGGGATTATTATTAAAATTTATTGTGGTATTGGATAATGGATGTTCATCACTTGAGTGACTTGATGGTACATCTGTAAATGTTACAATTGGAATCTTGTGATTGATTTGAGCAATTGATAATGATAACTTCTTACGTAATTTTTGTTCCCTAAGAAGTTTCCCAGATTGTAATAAATCTTTATTACTATATATTTGAAAATTCTCCGTTACCTGTTGTAACTCTCTTGAGAGTATCTCATATTCTTTTTCTTTAATAATAAAATCCTTGGAATGTTTTAAATTCAAATGTGTAGTATCTTGAATTAAATTTTCACAATCTTCAATTTTTTGAGTAATTTGATTCAATTCTTGTGCGAGATCATTTTTCTTTTGTTTATTTTGAGACACTTCTTCTTTTAATTCAATATGTTTCTTATTTAAACATTGATGTTGATTTAATAAATCGTTCATTTCTTGTGTCTTTTTTATTTTAAAATCTTCAAAATCTACCACTACAGGTCCCGTCCTTTCATATTCCTTACATATCTGTTTATTTGAATTTGTAATATCATTTAATTCCTTAGTGACTTGTTCGTATTGTTCTTTTAAAGCAACCATTTCATTTTGCCATTGTTCATTTGGTTTCATGTTTTCTGCTTGATACAATTCTTTTTCACGTTGTGCAATATATTTATATTTATGCTCTTCTAATTCATTCTCAAATGTTGTTACTTTAACAGAATGTGATAATTGTAAATTATTATTTTCTAATTCATTGTTACGATAAAGTGTCTCTAATGACAATTTTGATTCATTAACTTCATTATTCAATTGTAAGATTTGATCAGTTGCCACAACACTTTCTTGACATCTCTGATTACCAATTTGAATAATTTGAGGTATTAATAAAGTATTCAAATTCTCAATTTCTTTTTCGATCTCTTGAATGGCTTTCTTAAAATGAGCAATATCTTTAAATATTTTCCTCTGACGACTTTTAACTAATTCCACGGCACTCTGATCACCAAAGGACATCTTCGAACCACCAATTGCACTAGGTATGTGGTGATTCGTGATATCATGTAATAAATCAGTGGATCCTTTAGTGGTTGAGTATGTTGTTGACATTTTATATCGTTTCTTACTCCGAGTCGGTGAGCTGTTAGACTCTGTATGGAAAGAAAACGGCGTGGGTATCCTAGAATTGTTGTTCATTGTAACGACCCGTCTCTCCCCTTGTAACCTATATATATGTATGTATAAATGCGAGTGTTTATACCAATAATGTATTATGGAATATGTTTCACATTTGTAAGAAATATGTGTTGTTAGTGGGTTTTAAAGGAATAACTTATAGATAACCAGAGCTATTTTCATCAAATTCCAACTAAAATTTCTGAGTTTGTTTTTCCATACTAAATTAGGTAAACAAGCGAAGAAAAAAACAAATCAAAACAAATCAAAACAACATAAGCATCCCAACTACAAATAAAGATATTAAAGGGAATAATAGCATCAAATATATATATGGCAAAACTAGTTGTTCGCCAACCAGTTCTGACCTGAAGAAATGCATGATTCCCTGGTATAGCCTTGTTCTTATTGTTCCTAATCTTGGATGTAGCAGATACTGATTCATGCAATCGTTACACCTATCTAATTGGTAGAGTAAAAACTCAATCCCCCGAACTTCAACAACATTGAAACCACATCCTAGCATTTGAACAGTCATATAGATGCACTCTATCAGTTCTTTATCAATACATATCCATCCTTCAAATAGTTGTTTAATAAATATGTCAACTTGGAGCTATATAGTCCCCCAGAAACCCTAAACACCAACCCTGTTCCATTCCTGATCACAGTGAAAACCGCGCAGAGAGAGACAAAAAAAAGTCGAAATTCTCACATTATTAAAAAATCCACAAAATAAAGCGAGAATAAAAGCATGAAAGGCTTAATGGATTGTTGCATGGGGGGTATACAGTGGTTATTCGAGTGAGGGATAAGGAAAAGTTGTGTGTTTTGTAAAGGGTACTTTATAACAATATCAGTTAATGCAATTTAAAAATAAGAACAACACACTACAATGAACTCGTTGCTCTCGTCTTATGACACAGAATTTAAGACTACCTTTGATCAAACTGAGCAAGCACTACAGGCTGCGAAAGGGCAATCTTTACCAGAACGTAACACTACATTAAGTCACATAGAAGAACAAAAAGATGAACTGTTTGATATTGTGGATCAAATGGATATTGAAGTGAATAACTCTATTAATGACCCCACAGCACGTGCAAACTTTAAATCTAAATTACGTGATTATAGAAAACAAATTAATGATTCAATAAAGGCTCCTTTACAAAATTTAATGGACTCAAGGGATCGTGATATGTTATTTGGTGAGCAGTTCCACGATGGAGGTGATCAAGATATGTCTAATATGAATGAAGAGCAAAGACAACAATTATTAGCTAATCATAATATATTGAATAAAACTGGTGAAAGATTAAGAGACGCCTCAAGAATTGCTAATGAAACTGAAGGAATTGGATCTCAAATAATGATGGATTTGAGGGCTCAAAGAGAAACTTTAGAAAATTCAAGACAAACTTTATTTCAAGCAGATTCATACGTTGATAAAAGTATTAAAACATTAAAAGTAATGAGTAGGCGACTCATTGCAAATAAATTCATAAGTTACGCTATCATTGCTGTATTAATCCTATTGATCTTATTAGTACTATTCTCTAAATTCAAATAATCTCTATATCTGTATATACAATTGTTATATATATATATATGAATCCAGTGGAAATATAATAATATTTGAGACATTTTTTAATCCCATGCAAAACCAAAACCAAAAACCAAAATACTAATCTTTCTAATATTACTACTTAAATGTCAAATTATATATAGAAATGGTACGTTTGTTATTCAATGATCAAATATATATCTTAATGTGTGTGTGCGCATTTCTTTCTGTTTTGTTTGTTTGTTTGTCTGTTGTGGGTTTTTCCATTCCCTTCTCTTTCTTTCTTCCATTTTAGTTTTTTTTACATAATAAAATTAATCGTCAACTGAGTTAGTAAGATACAGTGTGGTATATTTAAATAATACTATATACCAATATATAAATAACGTATTCGATTGATCCACTCCATATATACCTGTGCTAGATTGTAATCATTGTTTACTAGACATACACCACAAACCAATAACACAAAAATAAACACATTCATTATGGATTACGTAACAGGCATGATTAGCAGATTCACCGAATCTATTTTGAATATGAATATTCAACAAGCTATTAGATTAACCATTATTGTTGGTGCTTACATCTTATTCAGAAACATTGCTTCAAAACATTTGACTAAGAAACAACTAGAGAGTAGAGTTCGTCAAGATGAAGCTCGTATTCAAAAGGAAAAGAAAGATGGATTGATTGAGGACCCTAATAAGATCTCCGGTAATAATTCTTCAACTTCAGGTTTCGGTTGGGGTAAAAAGACTAGAAAGAGAGTCCAGAGACAAGAAGAAATGTTTGAAAGAGCTGTTGATGAATTGAAGAGAAAACAAGAATTGGGCATCACTGAAGATAGTGACGATGAAATTGCTGAGCTATTAGAAGATTGATTTTCCCATTTATAAAATACACTCACATACATATACACTCATACATTTATTTTAAATTTATTCTATTTTATACATCTACATATGTACTTATATTTCCCATATAATAACTAATACCCTCATCATACTAATACATCAGTTCACTATATTATTGTTTGTGCTTCCCACTCTACGCAATCTAAAATTTTGAAAATTTGAAAAAATGTAAATGAAAAATAATAAACGTTCAACATTGAAAATAATTAATATATAGAGAGATCATCTCAAGACACCAAAAAAATAAGAGCATCTCATCGACCGAATTAATACATCTAACAAAATAACAATCATAGAACCATTCGAATAAGCATGAGTTTTCGTAGAGGTAGACCTAATGAAGGTAATACTTTTTTAAAGAATTTACCATTTGGCCTAGCATATACAGACGTTAGCGGATCACAAAATACAGAATTCCCAGTGATTCCACTTCCTGTTAACAATCCAATTACAAAGAAGGAACAAATAACTGCTATAACATACATAAATCAAACAGACGCTATTAAAGATGGTCCATTTTATTTGGGTTCGATATCGGATAGCACTGATAGTAACGATACTAAAACTCCAACAACAAATAGTGATAATATAGAGAGATATTCCGACAAATATTTAAAGAAAAGGAAAATTGGTATATCTATTGATGATCACCCATATCATTTAGAATTATTCCCAAAGGAATTGTACAATGTCATGGGTATAAATAAAAAGAAATTGGTTAAAATTAGAAAAATGAATAATAACAAAAATAACGTTTTCACGGGAACTCTTGATGATGAAACATTAGGTCTTTCTGTATTAGAGAAATTGAAACAGTTAGCAGAAAATGTTGATGATGAAGATAATAATGAAGATGAAAATACTAATAGACGTGGTGATGATGATATTTCTGATAACGATTTCGATGAAGACGAAGATGAGGATGATGACAATGATTACAATGGTGAAAGATATTTCGATAACGGTGACGATGATGGTTACGGCGATGAAGATGACAATGGTGATGAACCTGCATTCTAGCGTCCATCTGGTTAGATAAATGAACTCTGTTTCATTGTTCTGCATTCTATTGTTCAATACTATATATGCATATCTATATATATATATATATATATATACACATTTTTTTTACTATAAGTGAAACATCATGCATTTTGAAAAGGAACTCTAACTCGTTGAATACTGAGTTATTAACTCCTGCTTGTCGATTAAATAATATTCTTCCCATAGGATATTCCTCGGACATAATTTTGGTGGTAGTCTCGGCAGTACTAATGACTTAACATGGGGTTGTAAATACCATGATAATAATGATTCTGATAACTCTGAATTTGTCCATTTACCATTACCTAAATACCCAGTAACCTTCACGTTCATGGGCTCAAATATAGTGGTCCAATTAATGTGTTCATTATATAGTACTCTGTTCGATAAGTAATTTAAAAATATTGGAACAGCTGTCCCCAGAGGTAAAATATCACCTTTTTGTTTACAATCTTTTTCATTGGTAATTGATGGAATCTCATAATTAAATTGATAGTCGTCGTATTTTTTATCGTCTAATGGAAAATCAATTTCAGTACAAAATGAATGGTTCGATGTATTTTGATTCAAGGCGGTTGAAAATACCGATTGACTTTCCATATTTATATTTGGGTTATCAATATCAAGGTATGTATCTTCATAAAATTGTGGAATACCATTATTATCACATTCTTGGCCTTTAAACAAAGTTTTGAATAAGTTACCTATTTTCTTAAATTTTCCAGTATGAGAATATGTTATTATAAAATCTTTCTGTTTCTCTTTACAGTTTTGAATTATTAATGGTTTAGTTACTGCATCCTTATGTTCTTTGTTACTAACATGTTCTTTATTCCAATACAAGTCCAAAGCATTATCTGCCTTTATCGGTACAATAGGCGTACTAGGATAGTACTCAACAGATATCTGAAAGAACAATTTTGACCGAGGAAATACGATATTTAGATTATCCCAATCCACATACGTTTCTCGAATAGTGGAAGCTTTTACATCTCTTAACCTTATCGTATGATTATCAATAAATGATCTAGTCCGCCCTTGGTAGGCATTTTTCTTATTTTTTTTAATTGATCTGAGATTCCTTTTAAATAAATAAATATCAATTGATGTGTTATTAAAATCTTTAAATGGTTGGAATTCCAATTCTAACAACACTTGTTTAATACTACTGTCAAATCTTTGGAAGTTTTTACCAATCCCAACTATGAAATAGTAGCCATTTGATGGAGTACACCATTTACCAAAAGTGTTTATATTAAATATCACGATACCATTTTTCATAACTCTGTTCTATAAATTCTTGATTTTACGCTCAGCTTAATATTTTATAATTTAGAATTACTATTCATAAATATTCAAATTATTTAACATATTTTGATGATAAAACGGATCATCTAATTTGTTCTGGTTTTATATGTTTTCTTATATTCTTACATATATTCCTGAAATCTTCATTTTGCTTGCGCCTCTCTATGGTGGTCGATCCTTCGGCCCGAATGTCTTGGCATTATCAATATTTAATGAAACATCATATTGCAGTGAAAAAATATATTATGAAAATGAAATTAAATTGAATTGGCGATTATTACATAAAAACTATGTAAATGACTAATAACTTGGGGGAGGTCTTCTCCTTGTTGGTGATATTGAGCTACCTCTCGATCTTGGCGAGGTTGGAAGTGGAGGCAATATTGGAGATTTGGCGTCTGGTGATCCATATCTATTTCCGTGAGTATCATTATGAATATGTTTATAAGGACTGTTGTTTCTGCTATTCTTTAATTCTTTTGTAGACGGAAGAGGAGGAAGCAATGGTTGGTTTGAAGTTTTACGATTATGTTTTGGCTCTTCTCTCCTTGATCGATTGTCCATCACATTATTATTCCTTTCTGTGTCGTACGAATTACCTCTATGGGCTTCAGAAGGATATCTATGTTGCCCTTGTACCTTTGATTCTTTTCGATTATGATTTATTATGTTTTGAAGTTCCCCCGATGGTTTGCTTTTCTCATCAGGGGAGGATACACCAATAGCCTTCTGTAAAGCTTCAATATCCACACTATTATCCTCTACATCTGTATTCGGAAAACTTGGATTCTTAAAGATATTTATTTTTTCTTTCAATTTTCTGAGATTAGCAAAGTGAAACTTGGTTTCAGATGTTGTAGATACTACTGTTGCTTTGGTTTCTGTAGAGGTTGTGGTGTTGCTACTACCCATGGAGGACATAAAATTATTACGGTACTCACTGCTATCGTTAGATCGGTCGGGCGAGAATGGCATAATGTCATCTCCTTCTTCCAAATTCTCATTTATATTTAATCGTTCAATCAATGGAGTCATCTGTCTCATTTCTGACCCATGCATATATGGTTGTGTATTCGACACATTTGGTAACGAATTAGGAGAATAATTTAGATTGCCAGCGGATTGCAAACTATTATGACTGTGACTCATTGGATGATTTGGAGACAAACTGGTGTCAAATTCAGTTGGTAATGGCGGCATTGGTCGACTTACCATTGAGGCATCTAATCTCATAGCCTTCTCATCCACTCTTTCCTTGCGTGCGATATCCACAGTAGGTTTGAAGCTTAACTCAATAAATATAATCCCAGCAAATTCGTTCTGCTCCCTTTTTAATTCATACCATTTACAGTACCCTTCTTTAGGATCAGCTCTTATACCGTTTAATAAGTCTATTTCACACCTCCCTATTTGTAAAGGTGCTTTTTTCTTTCTATCGCAATAAACTTCAACATACATTAACGGCTGGACGGCTGGTGTCATTTCAAACTTCTCAAGATAATTGAATACAGGATTTTGCCCAGCACGAAATAAGGTATCACTTTCTCTTGTCATATGCGCAACCCTCAATCTTAGCATCACATTCTGCTTGTCTAGCTTTATAAGATTAGGTAGATCTTTAGCTTTGCTGACATAAACAGAGAGTGTACCGTGGTTTCCATCCCATGGTTCAGAAATCTCCATTGTTGTACTACTTTAAATGAGCAGTTAGTAAGAGTTGAATGTTTCCTAAGGCCACACAGATAGTGATGTAATATCAATATTTAAATTGGATCCAATAGTGTTTTATAACTAATTTGAATTTTACTAATTTGTTGATGTATTTTCATACATTACGGTTTTGGTTAGTTCTCGATCCTCTTATAAAAAATTGTTTGTTTACATTTCATCACGTCGGGGAGGAACGCTGACAAAATATTTTAGACAAAAGTTGGAAAAAATAAAATTATTTACAATAAATAATATATAACATTATGTATTGAAACAAATAATTTTTGCATTTAAACAATTAAGTTCCTCGCAAACAAGGTGGTTTTAAATTCAGGTTAGTAGGCATTTCTTATTTTTGATACCTACTACCGGAAGATGATTGATTTCTTGGGCCTTGCGGTAGATGAGGTTTTGGTGGTGCACTGCCAAATTTCTTTGTAACATTAGTGCTACTTTTGCTTTTATTGAATGAACTTTTATATCTTCCACGATCATCATTATTAGCATTATTGTTACGGGAATCTTTTTGATAAAGCTGTTCATCCTGAGATTTAGGAGTGTATCTTGCGTTCTTTTTAAAATTACCAGTGTCATTTCTAGGCTTTTTATTAGTGGTTGAACCCTCAGGACCTGTAGGAAGTTCTCGTTTGACATTCCTAACATTATTGTCTGTATTGTTATTCCTATTGTAGCCTTGCTGTCTGTCTGGTCCATTCAGTTGTTGTCGACTTTGATAAGGATGCTGCTTACTACCATGGGACACTTTATCAATTTTTTTGTATCTATCACCGCTTCGGTTGAATCGAGTTTCGTCTCTTCCAACAGATTTACTATCATTTCTCGTTGTTCCATATAAGTCATTCGAAGGCTTACTGGCAATTTTTGTTCTTGATGCAGCAGACTTTACCAATGGAGCTGTAGCATTATATCTACTGATATTAGGTGTTGCTCTTTCAGAATCTTCTGCATACATATCAGCTATGGTTTCTGATGGTTTCTGAGATAGCAGATTGCATGCCTCTCTTATTTCGGCTAGACGAGAGACAAACTCTGGATTGTTGTCATAACGAATTAACGATTTGTAAAAATCTTTAACAGTACTATAAACAATATTTCTGAACTCATCCGTAGGCATTGTAGATCCCATGCAATTTGCAACGGTATTTGACATTTTATCATCTTTTATGGTGTTTGTCACTTCTTTGATGTTATTCATTTTCAAATGATAAATCATTTCTGACATCGATCTAAATACTCTGCCTAATGACCAATTTAGTTCTCTTGGACGAGAATCTTTTTCACCTTCTTGATATATATCATCAACATCATTTTCATGGTTCGTTCCTTCGGTGTCAGGCTTGTTTCTTTCAGCACCAAATTCTCTGTTTTTCTTATTCAATTCTAATTTTCTTCTGAGCTCTGTTTGTTTTTTCTCATTCTCTATGATACGTACATATTCATCAATCTCAACTTGTTCTGCATCGTGTTCCTCCTTTACTTTTTCTTCCTCTTCATTTAACTTACAGAACTCGATTAGGGGAATGTGTTGTTTTCTTAGACGTGCCTTTAGGTGACCAATTAAAGCATTGATGGGTAATTTGATATCTTCTCTCTCCTCACTTGTCAGATTATGCTCTAACGCAGCTATTAACAGTTCAACCTGTGCATCTATAACAGGGAACACATTAGATACATGCTTCATAAATTCGATGCCATTTCTGATTGACATGTAATTTTTCTCTTGTAATAGATCAATAATTTGGTCGATCATGGAGGTGTTAATATTGTACAGATTACGTTTTTGAATATCTGATAATTCATCTGCCTGTCTTTTCTTCTCTAAGGTTAATAAGAAGGTTTCGATAAATATCCCAAGATTGCCCGCTTCTGATATAGTTGCTGAAAATAATAAAGTATTTAATATGTTAGACTTCATAAAACAATCTAATAATCTTAAGATATAATCGATGTTAAATCCATAAAATATGAAGTGAGTAGCAAAAATAGCATCAGATGGCGAAAAGATAACTCTTGGTACGATACAGCACTGAATAAACTCCAAGATATTTTCTTCGTTATCGTTTGCAATCCATTTTTCATAGAAAGGAAGTAAATGTTTGGAATTTTCAAGAATTATTTTGCCATGTTCTTCCATGGCATTTTGTAGATTTTCTTTCTTCTGAAGCATTGATTTTTTCTTTCTTGAAGATAAATCTTGAGCAGTTAATTCCTTTTCTAGTTTTTTATTTTCTAAATCATATAGTGACTCATCCTGATATATATCATATAAAGAGAGTCTCCAGAACTTAATAAATAAAGAACGTTCAATGTTGTTGAAATTAATATGGATAAAATGACCCTTTTCTAAAACCTTTTCTAGATCGATAATGGAATTTTCGCGATTCTTGTCAGAGAAATCTCTCCAGATGTGACATATCCAAGGAACAGATATGTGGTGCAAGTCATGTAAGGAATCAAATGAAGAAACATTATCAACAAATTCTTTATTATTTGAACAAAATTTAATTAACTCAATGAAGGACCATAATAACGTGTTTAAATCATCTGATCTAGTGGAAAGAATCTTATAATGGTCATTATTAATATTTGTTTTTAGTTTTAAATTGTACAGCAAAATGATAATCTCTGTAATAGAATGTTCTTTTTGAAATAAGGAAACTAAATTTGATGCTCTTTCTTTATGAGAATCTCTAGTGTCAAAAATAAGTTTTCTTGCTTCGTATTTTAAAGGTTCTCCTGAGTTTAACATTAAGATAATGTTATTATTGACTTCATTTAAATCTCTTATACCAGCAACCTTGTTTAACAGTTGTTTTAGAATTGACGTCGCTATTGGATTACCCTCGTGTAATTTTTTAATGATGAATATAATGATATTCGAAATATCCATTTGAGGGCATTCACTAGAAAGACCAGCAATAAAAATAGAGAGCCTTTGTGCCCACATAGACTCGTTTATACCATCATCCTGTATCGCAGAACGAGGTTGTGTTAAACGTAAGAGAAGAACATATTGCAACACATCATATGCAAAATCGTTGTAATATCTTGTTGAATACACAACTAGATCAGAGACTTTATCATAATTTTCAATTTGTTTAACCACTGGAATCAATGTGGCTAACGGATTTGAAGAAACTAAGTTTGATAACTTTCTGGCTTCTTTACTGATAGTGTCAATACTTAGTGCCTTCAGAATACTACGAAGATCTCTCTCAGCCTTATTACTAGCCATACGCAATGGCAAAACATCTTGTGATAGTTTTGTAATCATTTCATTGTACAAGAAATATCTTTTTTCGAATGGGAATAATTTCATAAGACAATATATTTGATTGGATAGAGTTGGGTTGACACCTAATAAAGGAACAGTCGGGAAGATGAATTTTCTAAAATAATTCATCCACTCATCTATTTTCGTATTATCGTCCATTGATTTATTATTTATATCATTGATAGCAATACGACAAATTTGGCATAATAAGGATTCACTCTTAGCTAATTCGAAGCCAATTAAAGAAAACAATAAATGTGACTTTTCGAATAATTCGTCGATGTTAGAAATTTGTTGAATACCATCGCACCATTCTTGGAAATAAAAAACTGTTCTACTATTTAAAGATAAAGTTGTTTTGATATTGGGTGACATTTCTTCTGTAATCAATCTAGGTTTCGTTGATAATGTCTGCTCATTTTCTGTAATCAACTTTTGAGGAGCACTCAATTCTGTAGAGGATTTGAAAACAGTTGAAGAGTATAAATGGTAGATAATATATTCAAAAATTCTCGCAACCAACTTGGATATCTCATTGTCAAGTAATACACATTTCGGATGATGGTTTATGATTAAGAAAGCATCTTCGATACAACCATGAGATAATAAACTTTTCAACAAAACGATCTTTCTTGGAGATGTAGAAAGAGATTCGAGATCACTTTCCTTCTTAATTTCTGTAGTTGTCTTATCAACGTTATCCCCATGACTTGCCGGATTGCCAGTTTTTTTGTTTCTACGAACATCAAAATCGTCATCTTCATCTGTAGTCAAAGCGGAAGCCATTGCTAATGGGTTATCGATCCCCTTCATGGATTCCTTTTCCAATCTATCTTCTTCATCTGAAATCATCCTTTCAAGAATTTCAGTTGATGGTTGAACATTGTGATATAATAGCTGACCATCCAATAATTTAGCCTTTGTTAGAATTGCACACATATCAGTGTATGCAACTAAGGATTCTGCATCACGTTTATCCAAGTTGAAACATAAAATTTGGTTTAAGTTAATATCAAACTTATCGTGCGTAATAAGACTTGTGTGACTTAGATACTCAATTAGGAAATGATAATGGTTGACGATGTAGCAAGATGAAATTGATAAGAAAATATCCAGGCATCTTGCAGAGTCCAATGAGTATTTCCCGCAGATAAAGGTAGCCTCTTGGATGTACCATTGAACTTTTTGCATCTTATTTTCATCGTTATAAGCAGTTAGATATAACATGACTAATTCAGAGAACCCAATAGAACTCTCGGCTAATAAATTGAATTTAGTAATTTCATATTTAGATTTCTTCAATAAATGTCTCAATAATTGAGTCTGAGCACGACTAGTCAACTTTGAGGATAACCAACTGAATTTAAAAACTTCAGAATGTATCCTAGTACTCTTTTTAACTAGTTCGATCAATATATCCTCATGGGTAGAAGTTTCTGGAATAGAACTCATTGTAGCAATAAAGGATTTACCCACCATTGAAGCAATTGACAAATGTGAGCGAGTCGGTGGGGTTTTCGTTAAATTATTAATGAAACTGGCAATTTCATCTATTGATACTGTCAAAGTAGATGTTGTTGCGAATAAATTTTGAAATAATTCAAGGAAAAATGTTCGCAACCATTGCGCCCTATCTGTATCATCTTCGATAGCTTGAAAGTCTTTAAGTAAGTTTTCCCATTGTTTTACATCGCCTGTAATGTAATCACTGGATAAAATTGTACCTTTTGAAGAAGGGAACAGAATTTGTTGTTGTTGCTTTGCAAGATTATTCAATCGATCAATCAACGACAATGACATGGTTGAATTTATGCTGTTGGTATGAAAGCTGTTGAGATGAAAGCTGATCCTAGTCTTATGTATGCAAATTTAGCAATCTCTTGATTTGAGTATTATATAATTCGTTTTATAATTCATTCTATAGCTATTAATTCCCTTCTCTATTTAGCGTATATGAAAATTTATTGGAAGAATCAAAACAGCGGCTGAAATTATTGCGGGAGAGAACCGAATTTTCAGTTGAGAGTACTAACAGTTTTCGAGATGACATAAGAGAAATACCTCATTACACAGAGAGAAAATAGGGTATTTGTTGACTCTCTATATATATATATTTATAGTAAGGTTATTGAATCACGGCAGATCTTCCAGTACAATAAAACTTTACGTAATGGTATGTTTAACATCTTGAGACTTTCCATGTTTTGTATTTCGAAATATATTTACTAACAAGTTGAGATGGGTATTCCTTGAATTTAAGTGCAGTCAGAAGGACAAAGACAACAACGTATATATCAAATACAAAGGCAGAAATACCTTGGTGTGGGTAGCGAAACTACTACAAAGGAGTCATGGTCGGATAATGTGAGAAAGGATACATATCACAGTCTACAAGGACATTCTGCGATCCTTGAATATTTAACTTTGGCCAATGATTCTATTCCGTCAAAGAGAGACATGAAAGTGACTCTAATCAAGAAAATGGCACGAGATGAAAGCACTAAGAAGAGACATATTGACGATTAATGTAATTGTTACCTTGGCATATAGCTATACACACCCAGTCAAGTCAAGCTGACTTGAGTTGAGGTGACCAGTCCCAGCTGTCGTTCACAGTGACAAAAACATTTACAGTATTTTTATCAAAATTCTGGCTCTCTGCAGTACTTTCTTAGACAACGAAGCGACAAATTTAATAGGGGCCCGTTTTCTTCCTTTAGTTTAGTACCATTAAAGAGAAAGAGGCAGACGACAGAGAGGTTACACAGCATGGCACTGCATTTCGTGTTCCTTGTTATGTAACCATAACAAGGAACTTATCAATAGATATATAAGTTTACAGATTTATGTAATATTTCAGAAAATATACATATACAAATCCTTTTTGCATTTACTAATAACTTAGTCTTGTTTCTTTATTGTGACGAATACTACATTCAATTCTGAAGTAATATCACGTTTAATATTTCAATAAAAAAGAATGCCTGAATCAGGGAAATTTGGAATGCAAGGGTACAACCTTGTCAAACTACTGAAAAGACTGGAAGATGCTACTGCAAGGTTAGAAGATGTTACAATCTATCAAGAAGGATACTTGCAATCGAAACTAGGTGGTTCAAGTGATGAAACTAAAGTTACTTCTAGCGCTGGTGATGTCGGATCCGTCGTCTCTGCTCCAATAGCCGAATCAAAGATTGACGATCAATCTGTTGTGGTAGATCCAAAAGAAATTGTTAGTTTCAAGAAATTCATTCAAGATAATTTGGTTCCTTTATCTAAATTATCTGATTCTGTGGATCCTGTTGTAGTTGAAGCCGTTGAAGTTCTAAAAGGTGCCTTCGAATTTCAAATTCAATTAATTCAAGCTGCATTGATCTCTAAGAAACCAGATTATTCCTCTGCTGAGTTTGCCAATGCATTAAAACCATTAAATGAATCTGTTATGAAGATTGGTGAATTGAAAGAACAAAACTTTTCAAACAAGTATGCCAATTATTTAAGTGCACTTGCTGATGGCGCTCCGATTATATCATGGGTAGTATCTGATGCTCCTATGTCGTTGGTTAGCGATTTCAAGGATTCGACTCAATTCTGGACCAACAGAATTTTAAAGGACTTTAAGGATTCTGACCCTAATTCTACCGTTTGGGTCAAAGCCCTACTAAGTATGTTTGATGAATTAAAGGCATATGTTAAAGAATATTTAACAACCGGTTTGAAATGGAAAGAAGACGGTATAGATTTCACTGAGGCTTTGTCCCAATTCAGTTCTGACACAGAAGCCGAAGACAAGACTGGTGCTCCTACACCTGGCTTAGCACCTGCAGCAGGTGGTCCTCCACCACCACCTCCTCCTCCACCTGCAGCTGTCTTCGAAATTAATGCCGATGTCACCCCAACTAAAGATGAAGGTGGTAGCATGGGTGCTGTCTTCCAACAATTGAATCAAGGTGCTGATATCACAAAGGGTCTAAAGAAGGTTGACAGATCCCAAATGACTCACAAAAATCCGGAATTACGTGCTTCTTCCACCGTTGCTGCTAAGGCTGCTCCACCTCCTAAACCAAAGAAGCCATCAACATTGACCACAAAGAAACCTCCAAGAAAAGAATTAAGTGGTAACAAATGGTTCATTGAAAATTACGAAGATGAAAGCAATCCAATCATTATCGAGGCAAATAAAGATGAATCTATTTTTATAGGTAAGTGTGTCAATGTCTTATTCCAAATTAAAGGTAAAGTAAATGCTATTTCTCTAAATGAAAGTGATGGTTGTAGCATAGTCTTGGACTCTAGTATTTCCGGTTTGGACATCATTAAGTGTAACAAGTTCGGTATTCAAGTTGAACAAAGTATCCCTCAAATATCTATTGATAAATCAGATGGTGGTTCGATTTACTTGTCAAAGGACTCATTGGAAACAGAAATATATAGTTCTTGTTCCACATCGATCAATGTCAACTTACCAATTGGTGAAGATGGTGATTATGTCGAACATCCACTACCTGAACAATTCCAACACAAATTCACCGATGGTAAATTCAAATCTAATGTATTTGAACATATGGCATAAGTACGTTACATTTATAAGACTATGTAAATCATGCTATTAACTAAAATTTTAAAAAATAAAATAATTAGAAACATTTATATTGGGGATAGGTATTTTGAGGAGAACGGTTCATTTGTTCACACTTTTTCAAGAAACTGTTTCCACACATTTTGATAATTCTTGTGGCACCTTCCTTGATCACTAAAATGAATTGAATTTGAATACTATTTACAAATTATATGTACTTGATATATATATATATATTCTAAAGTAGATGGTGAAAATAGAGACCATCTTTTAGGAAGATTTGTTTATTTACAAATCATTTGTTTATTTACCCTTTCTAACATAATACATGTAGGCTCTTTCGTGAACTGTGTCATCGAAAGGTGAAATAACTTCGGACTGGCCAGGACGGGCTACCGGATCTCTTAGATACACGGCATGACAGGTCTTGAACGATATTTCCAAGTGATGAGGCAAGACAGCAAATGGTGCCAAAAATTGTCTTGGTTTCCAAGGTGTAAAATATGGTTTCTTTGGATCTTGGCGACCATAGACATACTTTTGCCAAGGTAAGTTAATCGATTCAGAAGCTAGTTTTTCGTCTTCCGCAATACTTTCAAAATCAACTTTTTCGTGGTATCTCAAGTTATTTGTCCATTTTGGATCAAATGGAATATAGTTTGTTTCTGATGAAGCTTTATTTGTTTCATAAAAGGTTCTGATTGATTCTGAATATGCTTTTGTAAGGTCTGATAATTGTTTAACACCAGATCTGATCAGGACTTTAGAATTATCCGAAAGTTTCTCCTTCATTTCAGGAGTGAATGATAAAAGATTTTCAGCTAATATGGTTAAATCCTTGGCTGATTTTCCTTGCAATTTCTCAACCGGAATTTCTTTTGATTTTTCTAGAGCATCATAACATTTGTAGACATCATGGCACAATTCGGTGTTCTTTTCGACTACATTTTCGAAATCCTTCTTTGTCAAAGGAACAGAATCGTCCTTTCTAGAGGCTTGTACTTCTAATAACTTAATTAACATGTTCCTTGGAGTACAATATTTTAATTCATCGTGCTCGCTCTTTTCCATGTTGGTATTGTATTTCTCAATAAATTTCGTTATGGATTCCTTCTTTGGATTTGTCTCAGGTAGATTTTTCTGTTTGTTCAATTTGTTGTCCCATACTTTTCTTGGATTTTCCTTAGCTTCCTTTACATATTTATTCCATAAGATAATTTGAGTCTTATCGACCTTTAATGCTTCCGAAAGACTTGGTTTTCTGGTACCTAATGCTTCCAGCACTTTATCTGGTCTGACATAAAACATATCACCTGGCTTCAATATATAACCTGGATGGCGAATCTTCAGTCCATTTACGGTAACATTGCCATGTAGAATAAATTGTCTTGCTTGTCTAACAGAAGATGCAAACATGGCACGGAATAAAGCAAAATCAAGTCTTTTTTCCAACACAGCATAAGTCTGAGATAAAAAAGGCGTGTCCTTCACTTTACCATCCCCACGTAATGAGGCATCCAGTTGGGCGACGGATTCCAGTTTAGGTTCAAAAAGAGTGCTCCACCTTCCCTCTGTTAGGTATTCACCATGATAAGCCCTCGTTTCTTGTTTGGCGTTCCATTTCTGTTGATATAGAGATTTCGTCTTGAAATCAGGATTTGATTTCTTATAAATATTGAACAAGTTATACTTGTTAAAGGAGGAACGGATTCTACCCCTAGTTAGAGACTTCAGTAAAACAGCTTTCTTCGGCATCCTTTACAAAAACAAAAAGGTCTCTCAAAGTCTTTCCAATATCACTTTACTAACCTTGAAATAAAGTTTGGAAGTTACTTAGATATTGAAGCAACGTTTGTTATACCTTTAACTTCTGTTATATTTATTAAAATTAATTATTGCTATTTTAAAGCAATTTGAATATTATCGACGTTGCCAGTTTTCTGGGCAAAATAAAGCCCGAAATTTGAAGAATCTTTTTTCATTTTGGTTTTGTTATGTTTTTTTAGAAAATCCGGGTAGATTGAAAAAAATCAAATAGTAAACATCAACATCTCTCTATCTAGTGATGATTGGGTAAGTAAGAGTAGATCAAATGCAGTAAAAGTGCAATCACCTTAATTGTGTATTCTTATATATTTGTGAGCTCAAATAAAAGTGGTCCAACTTGAACATTTTGGAGTTTCTTTAGATTTGACTTGTTCTTCCTAAGAAAGTGTGGAAAAAAGAAGATAAATAATATAGCGGTTGAATGGAAATCACAACTGAAAAAACCAAAAAGATGTCAACAAATTGGAATATTGTTGATGAAATTCGTTTATTAAGATGGGTTTCTGAATTCAAACCAGCTGGAGTTCATAAGCATTTCCAAATGATGTGCATAGTGGAGCGATTGAACCATCCGGATAAATACCCATTAGTCTTACTACAAAAAGAAAATAGACGACCTAATAAACAGTTTACTGTGGATACTGTTTGGGCTAAATTGGCCCAATATTATAATTTGGAAGAGGCAGATAAGATAGAAAATAGGAATAATACAGAGATAAATAATGAGGCCAATGGTAAATCAATTGAAGAAAACGGTACAACAGAAGATCAACATCAGTTGAATCAATTATTACAACATACAAGAGATTTTGCATTGCCATGGAATGAATATGGAGAACTTATATTAAGTAATGCCAAAAAGGGTGCAAGTGACGATGATGAAACCGATAATCAACGAAATATTAAAGTTACAGAAGTAAAAGTAACAGCTAAGAATGACAAGAAACCTGAAAATGGAACCCATGAAGAAACAAAGGAGATAGTGACAGAGAAAACTGTTGCAACGGTTGTACCACATGAATCGCCCAAAGAGAAAGAATCTTCCACCATTGCTAAGGAGATAATTGAAAAGGTACCATCAGTAGAAGCTCCTATCGAAACTATCATTAAGGAAGTTAAAGATAATGATAAAAATGTGTCAAGCCCGCAAATGGAAGATAAAGAAATAAAAATACCAACGGATACTCCTGTTGAAATAATGGTTGAGACACAGCCAATAGGAGAAACAGTCTCAGCTGCTGAAGAAGTAAATGAGGAAAAAAAATCGTATTTGCAACCTGTTAAGGTGCCTATAGAAACAGAGGAGACACCGGATAAAGATAAAGACACTGAAGAAAGGGAAAATGAGGAAATACGAACAATCGAGGATGCAAAGACGAAGAAGAAGGATATTAACAAACAAGAACAAACTGTAGCTGAAAAGAGACAAACTAGATCATCCAGCACAATACGAGTATCATCTCGTTTACGTGAAAAGGTAATGAAAGGTACAAGTAGTGATGAGGATGAGGATGAGGATGAGGATGGTAAAGAAGAAAAGAAAATCACAGAAACTAAAACTGATTCAGTTGATAATAAGAACGTTATAGACACTACAACCACTACAAAAGACAATACTGAAGAACCTAATTCTGAAGAACCTAATTCTGAAGAACCTAAATCTGAAGAACCTAAATCTGAAGAACCTAAATCTGAAGAACCTAAATCTGAAGAAGATGAAGAAGGAGGAACATCAGAAGACGAAGACGAAGACGAAGAAGACACAGGAGAGAACAGTACTTCTACAAAGAAATCTACTAAAAAACGTAAATCGGCTATCAGTGATGAGCCTATGGCTAAACGTACCAGACACTCATCATCAGCTAGGCAACCAATGAATGAAGAATCTCATGAAGAAACATCTCCCAAAAAAGCCAAACGTAAAGATTCCTCGACAACAGATGCACCTGAAAAGCCTTTAAGGGTCTCCAGGAGACTAAGAAGTCGGAAATAATGAGAAAAGGAAAGAAAAAGTTATAGGAGTATCACAAATAATATAAAATTATGTATATATATATATGTACGTATTTGCCTACTTACTTTTTCTTAAATTTAAAAAAAATAACATTGAAACATTCCATATATATTTTCCATTTAAATTATTAAAATTTTGATTTATTTTGATTTGATTAGCTTAGTTAACCTTTAGCAATTCGACGTCGAAGACTAAAGTAGCCATTGGTGGAATTAGACCTGGGAAACCACGTTCACCGTAAGCGTAAGCACCTGGGATAGTCAATCTAGCCTTTTCACCAATAGATAGTTTTGGAATAGCAGCATCCCAACCCTTGATGACTTGACCAACACCAATGTTACATTGGAATGGAGAACCTCTGTCTAGGGAAGAGTCGAACTTTTGACCGTTTTCTAGAGTACCAGTGTAGTGGATAGTGACTAGATCACCGACCTTTGGGAAAGTCTTACCATCACCTGGGGTGATTCTGTCAATCTTAACGTTACCTTCAATTACTTCAGACATTGTGAATATATGTGTGTATATGTATATGTATGTATATATATGAAAAAAGAATAACGTGTAATTAACAACTGTATCAAAGAATAGTTTGGAAGCAGGGGAACTATAACGTTCTTCTTATATAACAGGAACTTTCCAGTTTTTGCCTTTTCTGGGAAAAGGTTTCCATCCATCCATCCTTCTTCTTGCTCTCTCTCTCTCTCGCTTTTTACTTACTCGCCCGCTTCCTCAAACGGCGTCGCCCTTACAAATTCTCACGCCGCAATTTAAATACAGCGACAATGACGAAAAGGATTTCAATTCTTTTCCTTTCTTTTTTGGTAGACGAAGGGATCAGCTTCGAGTTGTTGTTTCACTGTGACCTTCTCGACCGAAATTAACGAGTTCAGTAGATCAACTGGATTTTGCACTGAATTTGGTTAGTTTTATAGAGCTTTTTAACTGTTACGTATTCTAATATTTAAGTGATGGGATCTATTTGGTAGATGGCGTTCGTAGATTATGACATTGTGTTTCATAATGTCTTCAAGGAGAATAGATGAGCTGATTGTGACGTCATACTTAAACATATATATGTAAAGGAGAGGATGAATGAATAATGCAAAAATAACTTAATCATTTTTTCATATTTAATAATTTGAACAATGGATTATATATGAATAATTATGTAAGTATACGATTCTGTTTGTAAGCTTAGTTCAAGACAGCAACCAACTTTTCACCAGAATTTCTGTTGTTCTTAATATCATCAGTAATTTGAACAGCACCTTCTAGACCCTTGTAAACTTTGATTGGGATATGATGGATTTCACCAGAGAATAACTTAGGGTTGATGAACTTAATGAAATCTCTGGTATGTTGTCTGTAGACTAAATCCTTTGGAAGAACAAAGGATCCGAATGGAACATCATGACCAGCAGCGACATATAGTAAAGTGCCGGTGATCTCAACATTATCCTTTCTGTCTTCTGGTTTGATATCCTTGATAGTATATGTAACTAATTGCAAGACAGTGGCAGGTTCTTTATCAGAAGCACATTTGTAAACTTGTTGAATAGTTTCCTTGTTAGAGACACAATCAATTAATTGCTGAATGTTTGGATATTTGGCCTTAATTTGTTCAATCACATCAGCATCATGATAATCAAATAAATCATCAGCACCATATTCCTTCAATTGTTTTTCGTGCTTCTTAGATGCAACGACAATAATCTTAGTGTAACCGTGCAATTTCTTGGCTAATTGGATCAATGGTTGTCCAATGGCTGTGGCACCACCCCATAATAAGATTGGGAAATTGTGTTGTGGTTGGGTTGGTTCCCATTCTAATTTATTACCTAAATTGTGGGTTAATGCAACACCTGCAGTAGTCAATGACACTGGTAAAGTAACACAACCTTCATAGTTAGTCACTGGACCTTCTGGTAAAGTTTCCTGGCCTGATAATCCACAGTTAGGTGGACAATGGTAAGCTAATTTAGAATCTAAGGCAACATATTCAGCAAATGCACCATTTGTAGGTAATCTAACAGAAGCACCATGGACAAATCCAAAGACACTGTCACCAACATGGAACTCCTTGGAATCAACGTTTTCGCCAAGCTTGACAATCTCACCTGCAACATCACAACCTAGGATTGACCCCTGAGGACCGATTTTGAAAGCAATATGTTTCCAGTCAGTTGGGTTACCAGCAATGGCTTTGGTCTTCAATAGGACATGGCCATCTTCTAGTGGAGGTAATGAGACCTGTTTGACAACTGGGACATCACCAGATATGACAACAGCATTCATGGTAGTTGGCAGAGACATGATTTATGGTTTATTGTGGAGGAATATAAAAATAAGGGTCGGGCACAGCGAGTAACAACAAAGTTTATTCTAATTGAGCACACTTATGTTTGTCAATTGTAAAATTTAAATGTATAAAGAATTAATTTAGGTAAAGAACAAAAGAAAACAATATGTGAATTGATTCACAATATCTACTCTTTATATAGTATTTTATTAATCTATTAATACAAGATGGTATTACATTGTGTCGGCATTTTAGGGAATTAATTCGGTCTCATCTTCCCTTTTTCACTCCAAGTTTTCAAATTTCTATTAAATCGCTTAGTCTTTCTTACATAATCAAGTAATATTTGGATTCCGCGGAAGATAGCCGGCAGAGAGAGAGAGAGAAGAAGTTGATGAAGATGCTAATTAAAGCAGTAACTACAACCTTCTATCGACTTTGATTGTTTAAGCGGTTGGGAACCTTTGTCCAGAACTTTGGTTTCAACATTGATCTTAGTGTATATTGACTGCATGTATGTGTATTTCGTAATTTACTACTTTATTAGGTCAACTAAGTAGTAATGAGATACTAACGAAACACAACTGCAATACATAAGTTTTTAAGCTTTTCTTGACAAATTGTAACGATATAATTGAGTAGTATATATATATTTCGATGATTCTACATAATAATGAATATTTATGTTTTACGTGAGGTAAATTTCGTTTTTAAGGAAGAAAAATAAGTTCACTTGACAGCGTCTGTTTAGTTAAAGACAGAGACAAACTTTTCACCAGATGTCTTACCGGCTTGGATATCCTTGATAATTTGAACGGCACCATCTAGACCGTTTTTGTAAACTTTAACAGGGATGTGATGTAATTCGCCCTTTAGGAAATGTGGGTTAACCTTCTTGATGAATTCAACAACATGAGCTCTGTAGGCATCATCCTTTGGAAGAACATTACCAAATAATGGAACGTCGTAGCCTAGAGATAAATAAATAACTGTACTGGTAATTGCAACATTGTCTCTCTTGAATTCTGGCTTGATAGCATCGATGGTTAGACCCATGTAGTTCATAACTGTAGCTTTGCCGATTTCAGAAGCACATTGGTAAGTTTGGTTCAAAGTAGCTTCATTAGAAACACAGTCTAATAGCGTAGTGATATTTGGGTATTTGGCCTTAATTTGTTGAATGACATCAGTATCATGATAATCAAAGACTTCATCGGCACCATATTCTTTCAATTGCTTTTCATGACTCTTAGAGGCTACAGCAATAATCTTAGAGAAACAACTGTACTTCTTAGCCAGTTGGATCATTGGTTGACCCAGAGCAGTGGCAGCACCCCAGATTAACACTGGAGCATCTTCTTGAGGCTTAGTGGCTTCCCATTCATACTTCTTGTTGAAATGATAGAATAGAGTGGCACCAGCAGTAGTCCAAGAACATGGAATAGTGGCAGCACCTTCAAAAGTTCTAATAGCACCTTCTGGGATGTTATCTTTTCCGCTGAAATGGATATCAGCTGGAGTATGGAAACTCAATTGAGAATCTAGAGCAACATACTCTGCAAAAGCACCATTATCTGGAGTTCTGACAGAAGCACCATGGATGAAACCATAGACGGAGTCACCGACATGGAATTCATTAGAGTCGACACCATCAGCTAGTTTAACAATTTCACCAGCAATATCGCAACCAAGAAGGGAACCTTGTGGGCCCATGCCGAATTCAATATGTTTCCAATCAGTTGGGTTACCAGCAACAGCCTTTGGTTTGATTAATAGATAACCCTTTGGTAGATTTGGTAATGGGACGGTTTTGATGACAGGAGCTTTACCTTCGATAACGACAGCTTTCATAGTAGTTGGTAGAGACATGTTTATATATATATTTATATTGCAATGGATTTGAGATTGTGGTTGATAGAATTGATATTATCTTTCAATTGATCGTTTTTAGTAGACTTTGTGAAAGTGGGTTATAACAATATATGTAATGATGATAATGTTTTATATATATATGAGATGTACCATTAAATACTAAGAGTTAATTTAAAAGAGAAAGTAGGTTTTAAAATGATTGTATATTAAATATCTTCCTTTATATACTTTTTTCATTTGTCCCTTAAAGAGTTAAGAACCAAAAAAAACTAGAAGTAAAGAAAAAGAAAAGGGATATAGTAATTTCAAAATTCCGATCATCTAATTTGGTAACATCGAATAAATATCAAGTAAATCTTATTAAAATATGTTTAATTCAATTGAAAAACGAGGCTTCAAGTAAATCGTAGTCTACTTCAATGCAATATTAAATGTGAGTGTGTACAGTTCTTTCTCTTAATGTGAAATGCAAAACCCCCATTTAGTAATCTCACTGTAAGAAGAAACAAGTAGTCATCAACTCAGTGCATCATCCTCTTCAGCGATATTACTTTATTTTTTGAAATTTTTCGTTTATTTTGTAACGGTCCTTAAAGTAAAGAGGACGGAATACAAAAATACTAAATTTTTTCTTTTCGACGGCTGGTTCAAGCTATTTTATATGGGTACATATGGCAAATATTCGAGAATCCGATCCGGTCCGGTCCGGTCCGGTCCGGCCCGTACTGTGTTGTTTGAATTATTATTAATGATGGGTTACACTCTTTATTGGTTTAATACAATTTTAATTAAACTAAAATTAGATGACGTGTAGTTAGTTAATTACTCGAAAGATGTTGTTATCTCATGGCTGGGTTGTTCTTTCAACTTATAGAACCGGCATATAGTGCTATTTTTAAAGAGTTTTTACGTTTTATTTAGTTGATATGTGAATAATTAAGAAGTCAAATGTCTTGGGAGGTTAACCAGTTTTTGAGAAGTTACAATTTCATATTTTGTAATGTGTTTGACAATTTCATAAATTAATATTTTGTAATGTGTTTTGTTATGCTGTCTTTTGCTGTTTAAAACAGACTTAATAAAACATAATGCCGACCAACTTGATTCAATTTCAAATTTGTTTATTTTTTAACAAATTGAACTTATTATTGATGAATTTATAAATTTCATAACTACTATTCTTGGTTCGAATAATGATTCTAAGCTTATCCTTCTACAGCAACCAATACGACAAAGTCTGTTAAGAACAAAACAATCCCATAAGTACATATGTTTGAGATGTATATAACGCTGTTATGCTAAGTGGTTGAACCTTTTCCAGTTTTAGATATTTGATAATTTAGAAATACAAGTCAGTTCTAACTTCTCGTTTAGTATCTCACTGAATAAACAAACGAACAAGAGGGAATTAAAATTATGCCGTTCTGAATCTACTTACCAGGATCAGGAAACAAATATATTGGCAGTCACAACTTATGCTAATTATTAACCTACATATCTTGTTTCTCATTATAATATAACTTGTTCCATCTTGTGCTTATTGCGAATGTATAAAAATTAGAAACTCTTGATAGTTACCCGCAGATATTAAAAAAATTTTCAAAAAAAGTGAAAATTTCATTTCTAAGAAACGGAATGAGATGAGATGAGATGAGCATCACTATGTAAAAGAAGATAAGTCATATGGGTCTCTTGTAAGTTGAATTTTCAGGTAATTATATTAAATAACTTTTATTCCTTCTAATTTATAGCTAAACATTACAGTCCATTACTCCGAAAACAATTAAAGATATCAAGGAACCATGGCCAAGAAAGCTATTGATTCACGTATCCCATCACTAATTAGAAATGGTGCACAGACAAAGCAAAGATCTTTCTTTGTGATTGTCGGTGATCGTGCAAGAAACCAATTACCAAATCTGCATTATTTGATGATGAGTGCTGATTTAAAAATGAACAAGTCTGTATTATGGGCTTACAAGAAGAAACTTTTAGGTTTCACATCTCATAGAAAGAAAAGAGAAGCTAAAATAAAGAAGGAAATTAAGAGAGGTACTAGAGAGGCAAACACACAAGATCCCTTCGAAAGTTTTATTTCAAACCAAGATATTAGATATGTCTATTACCGTGAAACTGAAAAAATTCTAGGTAACACGTATGGTATGTGTGTTTTGCAAGATTTCGAAGCTTTAACTCCAAACCTATTGGCAAGAACTGTCGAAACTGTTGAAGGTGGTGGTATTGTTGTTATCTTATTGAAATCAATGGCATCTTTGAAACAACTGTACACAATGACCATGGATATTCATTCTCGTTATAGAACTGAAGCACATGATGACGTTGTTGCTAGATTCAATGAAAGATTTATCCTATCCTTAGGTGGAAATGAAAACTGTTTAGTGGTTGATGATGAATTGAATGTTCTACCAATTTCTGGTGCGAAGAATGTTAAACCACTTCCTCCAAAGGACGATGATGAATTATCCCCAAAACAAATAGAATTGAAGGACTTAAAGGAATCATTAGAAGATGTTCAACCTGCTGGGTCTTTAGTAGGTTTATCCAGGACAGTTAACCAAGCACATGCGATTCTAACGTTTATAGATTCTATTTCGGAGAAAACTTTGAACTCTACGGTGGCTCTGACTGCTGGTAGAGGTAGAGGTAAATCTGCAGCCTTAGGTATCTCGATTGCTGCTGCTATATCCCATGGGTATTCAAATATTTTTGTGACTTCACCATCCCCTGAGAATTTAAAGACATTATTTGCATTTATTTTCAAAGGGTTCGATGCACTAGACTATCAGGAACATATCGATTATGACATCATTCAATCTACCAACCCTGAGTTTAACAACGCTATTGTCAGAGTTGATATCAAGAGAGGCCACAGACAAACTATCCAATATATTGTTCCACAAGATGCTCATGTCCTAGGTCAAGCTGAATTATTGGTCATCGATGAAGCAGCTGCTATTCCATTACCAATTGTGAAAAACTTATTAGGTCCTTACTTGGTGTTTATGGCCTCTACAATCAATGGTTATGAAGGTACTGGTAGATCTTTATCACTAAAATTGATCCAACAACTTCGTACACAAGCTAACACTGGTGGCAGAAATATCAACCAAACTGCTATTGTCTCTAGAGATAACAAAAAGGATTTCACCTCTAGCGTCGGTACTCGTACTCTTAAGGAGATTGTATTAGATGAACCAATCAGATATGCTGACGGCGACGCCGTTGAAAAATGGTTAAACAAATTATTATGTTTGGATGTCACTCTAATAAAGAACCCAAGATTTGCGGCTAATGGTACACCCCACCCATCCGAATGCAACTTATTTATTGTAAACAGGGATACTTTATTTTCATACCATCCTGTTTCTGAAAATTTCTTAGAAAAAATGATGGCATTGTACGTTTCTTCTCACTATAAAAATTCTCCTAACGATTTGCAATTAATGAGTGATGCACCTGCGCATCAATTATTTGTCCTTTTACCACCTATTAACCCTAAAGATGGTGGTAGAATCCCGGACCCACTTTGTGTTATTCAAATCGCACTAGAAGGTGAAATCTCCAAACAAAGTGTAAGAAATTCTCTATCTAGAGGGCAAAGAGCTGGTGGTGATCTAATCCCTTGGTTAATTTCTCAACAATTCCAAGATGAGGAATTTGCAGGTCTAAGTGGTGCCCGTGTTGTCAGAATTGCTACTAATCCTGAATATTCTTCCATGGGTTACGGTTCTCGTGCTCTTGAACTACTGGGTGATTATTTTGAAGGTAAATTTACGGATATGTCTGAAGATACCAAACCAAGGGATTTTTCCATTTCAAGAGTCAATGATAGTGACTTAAGAAAATCTAACTTATTAAAGGATGATGTCAAACTAAGAGATGCTAAAACTTTGCCACCTCTATTGTTGAAGCTATCTGAACAACCTCCTCATTATTTGCATTACCTTGGTGTTTCTTACGGTTTAACACCATCATTACATAAGTTCTGGAAGAATTGTAAATATGTCCCCGTATACCTACGTCAGACAGCGAATGATCTTACTGGTGAACACACGTGTGTCATGTTAAAGGTTTTGGATGGTAGAGAACCAAATTGGTTAGTTTCATTTGCTACTGATTTCCACAAAAGATTCTTATCTCTTCTATCTTACCAATTTTCTAAGTTCACATCAGTTCAATCTTTAAGTGTTCTTGAAAGTGCAGACAAGGCAGAGAGCTTATATTCCAGGGCTGAAAATAGTAGGAAAGTATCTTTATTGGATAAATCTCAACTAGACGATATATTTTCTCCATTTGACTTAAAGAGATTGGATAGTTACTCAAATAACCTACTTGATTACCATGTTATTGTTGACCTCTTACCAATGCTTTCTATTTTGTATTTCAGCGGTAAGATGGGTGATGGTGTCAGTCTATCAAGTGTCCAATGCGCAATCTTATTGGCTATTGGTCTACAACACAAGAGTATCGATGACATTACAAAGGAGCTAAATCTTCCTTCCAATCAAACAATTGCCATGTTTTCTAAGATCATGAGAAAATTCTCTATTTACTTCCGTTCTATCTTAAATGAATCATTCGAGAAGGCTCTACCTGCTCTAAACGATGAGCAGGTTGCAGAAATGAATGGTGAAGAGATTAAAAGATTGAATGCTGCTGAAACGTTTGACCAAATGGAGGAAGATCTTGAAGAAGCTGGTGATGTAGCTGTCAGAGCCATGAGAGAGAAACAAAAGGAATTGATAGATTCACTGAACCTAGATAAATACGCTATCAATGATAATGGTGGCGATTGGGATGAATCAAACAAGGGCCTGGAAAAGGCTGCCAAATCTAAAGGTGTCGTCAGTGTGAAGACTGGACACAAGAGAACAACTGAAAAATCAGAAGATATTTACAACAATGAAATAAAGGCTCTACACAAAAGTAAGAAGTCTAAGAAAAGTTCCAAATAAGTCATTTAGAATATATATAGCAGTAAATATATAATGTATAATAGAAATCTACCTGAAATATTGTCACGCTATACGAACTAAGGGCCGACCAACAACGAAAATGTTCTCTCGCTACTTTGATCTTCAGCGAAAAATCGAAAATAATAATTCCTCTAATGAATGGTGACGAGTTAGCACATATGAATAGACATGTAAGAGTTTGTAACTCATGGAAAAAGGGTGTCTTAAAGGTTTTCTAAGTATTTATTGTTGCTCTTAATTTAGAGATAATCATTAAAGTCGAGTACTTAAACACTATCACAATAAGTTGTATCAAAAATACATATAAATAAAAATGGTTGAACTAACTGAAATTAAGGACGAATCTAATGGTACTGTCGAAACCCCACAAACTGTTCCATCTGAACCATTAAACACTGCTGAAACTAAGGAAGCTGTTGCAGAAGAAGAAAATGAAGAGGATGAAGAAGATAGCGATTTCGATGATGACTTTGATGAAAATGAAACCTTCTTCGAAAGAATCGTGGCATTAAAGGATATTGTTTCTCCAAAGCAAAGACAGACCGTCTGTGGCTTCTTCACAAGTACCACTACCTTCTTTAAAAGCGCATTTGCTAAAGGTGGAAGTTTAACTTGGGCATTAACAACATCTGCTTTATTGCTAGGTGTTCCATTATCCCTTTCGATACTTGCTGAACAACAATTGATTGAAATGGAAAAGACTTTCGATTTACAAAAGGATGCCAATGATTTATTAGGTACTGATGCTTCTGCACCAGCCACTGCTGCCTAAATTTAAACCGATATTTTACTTGTTATATTAATTTTTATTTTCTTACGGAAGGATATTCCTAACTAATCATTATTTTTAAAATGTTTTAAACAGTATATTATTACAGTTCATGTGCAAAAAAAATCGTTCACTATTTTTAATTATGTAATGAAACCAAATATATAAGTCCGTGTATATAGTAATAGTGAAGATTTAATGATATACTTACAAAATTTAACAGTAAATATTTAGTTGACTGTTCCATCACACTCATACTTTCTTTGGGTGTTTAATAGTCAGCGCATAAACATCCAAAAATTGAGTGAACTCAAAAATGATATCATTAATAAACATACCATGAATACCGAGGGCAAGACCCAATCCCATCCAGACTAAAGCATATATAACTTTGTTCTCATCAGAACCAATTATTTTAGTCATGACAATGAAGCAAACTAATTGGAGGGATGGAATATACATTGCCACATTATAAAGAGGGAACTCTTGTAATGTTAAGTGTGCTACAATGATACGACCTACCACGAAGGCCATACTTAAACCAATACTCAATATCAATGGCAACGTCATAAATCTTTCATCGACCAAGACCAGAATGAAAACAGATGCAAAGAATAAGAAAAATGGAATTAATCCGTTAATTGCATTAGATATTTTGGAATCAACTTTTGATTTGTGGGCAGGATCAGAACCAGCATGCTCTTTGTAATAATCAGAAACATTTTTTGTGGCAGCTGAAATGTTAAACAACAACGCAACAGAAGAGAATGTGTTCATTAAATGTATAGTTTCAAAATTAATCATTCTACCGTCATATGGAATCTGAAACAATGTGGTATGCCAGATCGTTTGAGGACCAAATACACCGGTTAGGAAATATAATACACATAACATCATTATACCTTCAACAGGCCCACAGAATTCTGATAGGAATAGTTTATGGGTATGGTATTCCTCCCATGTACTTAAGTAAAAATTACATAGCACACTGAATTGGGCAAAAATAAACATGTAACTATATCCAATTCCTGTAGTGGAAATGTACAGTAGCAATGATAAAGTTGTATTAATGGAATCAATACAATGGTCAAATAACTCCCCCAATGGTCCCGATTGGCCAGTACGACGTGCGTGCATACCATCACAGGCATCGAATGTTTGGTACAAAAACATCCCTAGAGCATAAGAGTAGTAAGTCCAACGAGGTGTCTCTTGCGAAAGATCTGGGTCGTAATAGAGCACAGTCAAGACATTGATGATGATAAATGTCAATCCAGAGAGCGTGACCAAGTTAGGAGCCATCCACACAGGGAATATAAGGGCAACTTTTCTCCAGAATGTTTTTAGAAAAGCATTGGATAATATTGAGTGATCCTCACTCTGGTATCTGTAAAGCTTTAAATTGTTTAGCGCATTCTCTGGTATAAAGAACCCCATCTTTTAAAAAAACTTAAACTAGTTATGAACAAATCAGTGTTGTATGTTCTTTTAAATTATAACAAGATAATCGTGAACCTTTAATAAAGCTGTTGGATCTATCTTCGTATATCGATCTCTATCTTTTGACATTTCTTTGTTCTCTCCTTACCTTAAAAAGTGAAAATTTCAAGATGGCGATGTCAAAGACAAACACGCGTTCAACTGAAGATGTCATTATCAGATGAGCGTCAATGTATAATACATATATTGCGCTATGTGTGTGCTTTATCTTTGAGAATAGCAAACCCGTATATTAGACTTTCCTTTGGTTAGCAATTGAAATATATACCTTTTGAATATATCATAATTATATTCAAAATGTCAAATAATGACTCTACTAAAAAAGTTATTCTTATCGGTCTTAGTGGATGTTCGTCTACAGGTAAAACTACGTTAGCCAAATTGGCCTCACAATTTCTTCCAAATTCAGTTCTTATACATGAAGATGACTTTTATAAGCACGATGAAGAAGTACCTATGAATACAAAATACGGTATTAGAGATTGGGACTCCCCAGAAGCATTGAATTTACTATTGTTTAAAAAAGAATTGAACATTATTAAGAATACTGGACAAATAGCGACTAAGTTAATTCATAACAATAACGTTGACAATATTAGCAAATTTGCTTTATCTGAAAGTTTTTTGGAAGAGTTATCACTCAAAACTCAATCCATTGATGACAAATACAATTTGGTCATTGTAGATGGATTCATGTTATATAATAATAATGACATTTCATCGGAATTTGATTTAAGATTATTTATCCGAGCACCATACAAGACTCTAAAAAAGAGAAGAGATTCAAGAAATGGATACCAGACACTGGATTCATTTTGGGTTGATCCACCTTATTATTTTGATGAGTTTGTTTATAAATCATACGAAGAAAATCATAAATCGTTATTCCAAAACGAAGATGTTGAAGGTAAATTGACGACTCAAGCTGCAAAAGAAATTAGAGACTTTAATAATGATGACGGTGTATCTATTGAAGAATCATTATCATGGGTTATCGACCAAATTGCTTCATTTTGCAAAGATTAAATATGAAAGAAAAAAGTACAAAAAATCCTCTTTTTGTTATGAATGAATGCCAAATTAATAGGGAGAACACTGTGACATCTAAATCTTCTTCTGTTAAAACAAATATCAACTTAATGGATTGATAAACATATTATTATTCCCGTAGTATCAATTTTAGAGACTTAACCAATTTTAATAACATTTCTTTCATCTTTCTTTACAGTTACGGCAACGTAAAATGCAGTTGTATATACAGTATATTGTTCAAATATATCCTTTAAATACTTTGGAAACAATGTAAGCACCTTTTTTAAGGTCATAGAGATTGTTTGTTTTTCCATATGGAAATACTTATCAGCTTCTTTAGAACATTAATTTCAATCAGAATTACAAAATATATTATATGTATGTAACTGAGAGCTATATTTATCTCAAATTAACCACCTTTACGTCCATTGTCTTCTTTGATTTGGGTCCAACCCCTTTCAACTATTTTTTTAACCAATTGAAGTGAGTTGTTATTATCCGATTCCTCCAATTGTATAATGTTCTCGATATTGTATGGATACAATATTTTTATATATTGCAGCGCAATTATGTCTCTACCTTTCCATTCGATTTGCGGAAGGGTGTTTGACAAAATATCAAATATAGTCTTACCTTCATGGGTTATCTGATAATCAATGTTTTCGACAAACGGGGTTTGATCATCTAGAACGTCTCTTAAAAGATTTCGAATCCTTTCTATATTCACATAATTCGGGTTTAATTGTTGTTTTCCTAACATATTATTTTGAGATAGTTTGTCAATGACGTCTAATCGTTTGATGAATGAGAACTTAATGACCTTAAACGAGAATATAGAATTACCTTTTTTGGCAGTTTGTAAAGTTATTGTACCATTTGAAGAGTTGAATGAATATATCTTACCTTCTGTCACACCATCAATCAAATTTGTAATCTTTACTCTGAACCCCAAAATATGTTGTAAATCCATACTCATTATAATCTAAATAATGCTATTTTTAAGTGAACTGAATTAACAAATATGTATAAATCTATAAATATATATTAGGGGGCATATCCATTGAGCGACAAAACATAGACTCAAAGCCTAAAATTCAATTAGTTTAACCAAAAATGAATAAAGATGGGAATCAATGGCTTATACCTTTGAAATTGTGCCGTTCAATAGCAGGATCGATTTCTTCGTTTGCTTTTGCTATTAATTTTAAATTCGGGATGTCCATCTGATTCAGCTTTCTTTAGCCTTGTTGTTACTATTATTTTTCTTCTACTTTTCCAAAATATGGTTTATTTCAAAAGCCCATGGCAAAATCATAAGGCACGTTAGGATGTTTGTGGATTAAGAAATGTAGACACAAGAATCATCATAAAACCTTTGAAAAGTAGGTTAAGTGCTGTTTATACCTTACTATAGTACTTCAATATTTGCTAGTTTTTATACTTTCTAAGGAGTACACATCTCGAGAAGTCCTTAATCAAAATAAGATTTTAGTACCTCAAATCAAATGAGCAAGAATAACAATAGCTGTAGAAAACTTAACAGCAATATTGCAAGGTCTACCTCCCTAGATAATTTGAATTACAAAAAGATAGCTGTGTCGCCACCTAAATTTCGAGATGATACCGTTACAGCTGATAGTTTAAATGGTGGTACTTCAAAGATAGATACGAAACAATGGGATAATCCTTTGCTACGTGATTTGGATAACATACTAAGAAATAAACTGAAGATAAATCCAGAGAGTCCTGTAATTAGTAGAAATAATTCATTGAAAAATTTAAGATCTGTAAGTGACCCTAAAAAACACGCATTTATGAAAGAATTGGGTCTTGATGGTGATATTACCACAGTAAATCAAGTACCATTTGGCCCAAGAGATGGATCAGATGATTCTTCGAGTAGTGACTCTTCTGATGAAGAAACAGGAATTGAAGATGACGATGAGGAGGAATTTGTAAATGTTGATGAAATTGATGGTCCTATTGGAAATCACCTACCTGACAAAAGAGCTAATATCGATATGAACAAAGGTGACAATATTGATTATAATCTTTCTGCTAACCAAGATTTTCAAAAGAGTATAGACAAAAGAGTTGCAGAGTTAGATAGTGGATTATCTGCAGAAAAACAACCTCAATTGAAGATTGATTGGGAATTTAAAACCAATTACGGATTGGAACATGAACTTGGTGATTGGTTCTCAATAGCAGATTATAATCACCTACCTTCACTTATTTCTAGTTTTAAGAAGTATGTTAATAATAAGGACAAATTTATTATGGACGATGATTATGCTGAATCTATCATAAAAACATTAACTGATGATCTATCAGTAGATTTGCAATCAAATCTATTAACGTTATGTTACATTTCACTTGGAAATTTCCAACAATCCAATTCCAAGGACGACCAAGTTAGTTTAATACGACGTAATAATACCATAATGTTTGATTATCTAAAAGAAATTATAAACGCATTTAAAGATGTTGCAACATTATGTCGTGATGAGAATAAAAACTTAAAAAAAAATACTACACTATTGTTTTATGCATGCAATATTTTATTCACACTGATTAATGTCGCTGTTGAGACAAGAGAAGAAAATTATGTTGCTGTAAGTAAATTAATCCAAATATTTGAAGATGAGAAGCTATTACAATATTTGACTCAATACATAGAACATTGGCGTTGGAATAGTCGTTTATCCATGAGAATAAGAAATATTATTTCATTATTATTTAGTTTGTTATTATTACAATTTGGAAATATTGACACTTATAAGAAAACGAAGAAAAGTTTATACAAGTATCATGGTATTGAAAGGAAAGAAAAATCATATCAGACTCTATCAGTTTCGCCTCTGCATTTTCAGGCATTCCAGGATGACATTACAGCAAGATTTCCAACCTTTGATATGAGTAATTCTAAGTTACCCCAATCAATTGATAATACAAATTCCTTATCTCAGTTCCTCGAAATACCCAGATCAAAGGCGAAGAGTTCTTTGAATTCCACTCTTCCTGCACCTGGTAAACATCTGGCAACTCCTGCACCTTCGCCACCTATGTCACCAATCTTAATTCCATATAATGATGGAATAAAAACAAGGAAATCCTTTCAGACAAATATGGCATACCCGTATTTATATCCTAGTGATGAAGAAAATGACAATGAATTATCTATCAAGATATCAAATGGTATGCAATCTAAAAATGGAAGAGATGGAGACGTTTTTATACCACATAGTGTCGAAGAAGCTGCTGAAATCTTAAAAAAGAACTTGGATATAAAATTGAGCATTATGCAATTATGGAACGAAAGAGATTTCTTTATGGCTACTGAGCGTGGTTGGGAACGAGACGATATTTCAAAAAAATATGATTACTCTAGGCTTTTAAACCTTGATAGTTTAGAGGAAATTAATATAATGAAAAGGATTGATACGTATTATAAGGACAGTTTTGCCAGTTTTAATTCTCTCATATTCGTATTATGCCAAATTATGGAATCTAATTTGAATAATGTAGAATACAGAGAGGAAGATCTTCCTGAAGGAGTGACAATGGAGACCATGATGTCCCAGTTAGAAATAGTAAAAGCAAAAGAATTATCCTTAAGATCTTCAGTAGGAATTTTTTATATACTTTTGAAATGGTTTAAGCTAAATCATATTTTGAAGTTCGAACAATTTTCTGCCCTCTTGTATGACTCTGGTTATATTAATACGTGTTCCGCAGTTTTAGGCAAATACTCTTTGGTTTATGCCGATAAAGCATATAATAAGACTCTGAAATCTCCAAATACTTTATGGAATTTGTGCTCCAAGTTTAATCCAATATACTCAAAATCATTACTCGAACAAGAGCCAGAAAAAAAAGATATCAATATAACATTATTGACTACAGTAACATATATATTAAGGGTATTAAGAAAAGTTACTGGTGATAAGACACATCGTTTGAAATCTTTACCACTTTCTGTCGGGACATTGTTTAAACAATATTATTCTGTTTTTAATTTGGATGTTTATCATCCAATGCTCCGTATAATTAGAGAACTTACTCCATTTAAAAACAAGAGATGGAAGTCGGAACATATGGATTTGATATCAGGCGTGTTTCTTTATGAGAGGTTGGAGTTAATTGATAACTGGGTTACTGGTAAAGATATATCCGGTGAATTGATGGATGCATATGGACAAGAGGTGGCCCTTAGGGCATTGGTTCAGTTCTATAATTTTGAACATTACCAAAAGTCGTTAGAGGAATTAGGATATATGAAACGAACGGTATCACATTCAAATTTACTATACAAGGATTCGGAATATAATGATATGTAAGGACTCTATAATTCTAAAATAAGTTATTTCAAGATTTTTTTAAATTGAAAGTGATAATTTTAAATAGAAACATAAAATAAACAGAATTTTCATTTTAGTTTTTAATACAAAAAAGTGGAACACACATTTTGAAACTACAACTATACAGTATCTTGTAAAAACTTTAAACAACAATTATGGTCTTTCAGAGATTATTAGAATTGCTGAATCCTAATTCTCTATAGAGCCATACAATGAGTTTATGAAAACTCAAAATAATTAAAATTACTAAAATGGAACTAACCAAATAAGATAAACAAGCTACTAACGTCAATCTTTATCAAAAATACTTCGATGTCCACTTGTAACTTATAATGATTTAGTCTCTCGCTGATAATAAGTGATTCACTAATTACTCTTTGACACTCACTATCTTAATATCTGAAAGGATTTCGCGCTGACTTTTACAAACTTCCCAAAATGACGCCAAAAGGACCATCGGATTAACGAAAAGAAAAACAAAATAAGACAAAACAACAAAAAGAAAGATAAAAATGTAAACAAACAAATTAAAAAGATCTAAAATCGCAGAATATAAAACAATTATATCTTCAAAGTTGGGTAAATTAGAAAATTATAACTAACTGTTTCGGTGTTTACTGTCTATTTTCTTATATCATTCTCCTAATATCGTACCCTGCATTAAAATTAGAAGTATGGATGTACATAGGAAGTTAGGCCTAATAGTCAAATTAATCGCACCACCAAACGCATCATTTTATATTACAAATTCCATAACAGATGAATTAACAGGATTTCTACAGTCACATTCACGAACGATTCCAAGGTTAGAATCCTTGATTTTTGGGATTAAATCCAAACTAGGCGTCCCTGCTCAACATGAAACTATATGGAAAACATTTGAAGATATATTATTTCCCTTGGTCTCTATGAACGACCCAAACGAAATGATACTTCATTTAGATCAAGGTCATCAGCATTTACAAACGATTCTTCATACAACTAAAAGTGTACCTCTTGGTACTACATCGATGTCATTAAATCCCGAGAACCTAGAAAATCATTCTAACAATTCGAGAGATCATCTGATGTCACCAAGCGTTTATGCAGAATCATTCGAGACATTAGATAAGTTTTCTGATAGACGTTCATTAATGTCGTCCGTGCATAATTATGGGCCAAGTGAAATAATAGATAATACCACCTTAAAGGATCTAATAATACCATACTATTCAAATACTGTTCCAGAAAAGGATATATTAAAAAGCATACCATATACACTACTGGGAATAACGTCAGAAATGTTTCCTGTAGCGAATGATATAATTATAATACCATTTAATATACCAAACGCTATTAGCGGACAATTACATCTCTTATTTGAAGGCGGATTGATTTATCGAAATATTAGTTCAAGGATCGAATATTACAAACATGTTAATATTTCTCCACTTAAACAAGCATTGGTTCTGGAAGTGGAAAAATACATGAATATATATTCTGGCTTAGTGAACCAATTAGCTACTTCTGGTCATATTGGAAGTCTAAGTGCGCTATACACAAACCTTTACGATCCAATCATTCAACTAAGAACCTATTATTTTATTATGCATAAATTTCAAATACTAAGAGGTGATGAAATACTTTCTTTATTGAATGCCTTAAAGACACATGGAGATAAATCAATTCAAAACATATGCTCGAAGTTCTACCACAACCTTATACACCTTTATTTTAAATATTTAAAGGATTGGCTCTTACTCGGTAAACTTGATGATACATACAAGGATGAATTCTTTATAAAAAGAGATGAAACATCTACTGGCTTCAATTTTATTATACCATTTATATTTGACAAACCAAGAATACCAAAATTTCTTCCAGAGAATACCACATACAAAATATACATGATTGGTAAGACTTACATATTTATCACTGACTTTTGTAAGGAATTGCAATGGGCTAACGATTTTACGAAGAAATACTCATATCGTTATGAAAGTTTGGATTGTTTCTCAGCATCTTTCTCTAACCAATTAATTGATTTAGTGAACGAACAATATCTGGAAATTGTAAAATACTCATATTTTATTTTGAAATCTAAATTTTATTATGAAGAGATTCTTTACATGTTGAAAGACGTATTATTAATGGGTAGATGTGATTTTATGGATGTAATATTTTTAAAATCCGAAAGTATTTTAAACCAACAAGTAAAAAGATTGAGAAATTATGCATTTACCAGAATTTTACAGGAATCCATAGAAGAATCATCTCTAAGAAGCGTACTTAGGAAAAATGACAACAATTTTCTTGTTGAAAAAATAGATGCTCGATTGTTAAATATGGGTCAAGATTTATTAGGTTGGGATGTATTCACACTAGATTACGTTATACACCCTCCACTCTCAACAGTTTTAAATGTCAATAGAATTGATGGAAGGAAAGAATATTTACAAATTTTTAATTTCCTGTGGAGATTTAAAAGAATTGATTTTTTCAATAATAAAAGTATGTTAGACACTAAAAAATTAATTCGATCCTTTAAAAAGAATACACAATTTAGTCCATTCAATAAAGATATTACGAGTAAACTATCAAAGTTATCATTACTGAGGTCTGAAATACAACAATTTAACTATAAAATCGAAAATTATTATCTTCAATTTGTGATTGAGAAGAATTTTAAATCTTTACTGAATGATTTACAATTAAACAAAAATACTTATAAAACAGCAGGTACTATTGATTCTACGAATTTTGTTAATGGTAATATTAGATTTGAAGGAATTTTAAAACCAAAAAATGATCTATTAATGTTTGGTATTACTGATAATGACCATATTGCTGATGACTACCCTAATATTGAAAATTTGAATGAATTACATAACAAATTTTTGAATGACATTTTAGGACATAAATTATTCTCCTCTACGGAAGAAGGAAAACATTCCAAACAACCATATTCACGTTCATTAATATTTATTTTTGAAGAAATTCTTCAATTTATCGACCATTATTCCTCACTATGCGAAATTGCATACAATATTTTTTTACAGATCAACTTACAAAACAATTCGGAAGTTAATACATCCATCGAACTGTTTAATACGAGGTCACACGAAACGATTCATATTTTCAAACGATTTAAAAGGGCCACTTATATGTATATCACAGATCTCAGGGATGATGGAGACAATGAGTTGGCTCAATTAAGTAGGATGCTTAGATAAGAGAAAGAACATAATCCATATATATATAGATTTATTAACGAACACTATGAACAACATATTATCACTTTTCACAGCATAACAGATCAAATTTAGGAATATATAAATATTTTTTTTCTCTCTTTTTGATATTTAAATAATTAATGATATTTAGATTATGAATCATATAGATAGAGTATTGTCTCAACCAATAAAAGGAGAGACAGTTTCGATTATCTTAAGCGACTTCAAGTTAGCAAAATAGAAGGATCACCACCTGAAAAAGTATTTATCATACTTTCATTGGGTATGCCATTCTCATAAAATATTTCTTGACACCACTTCCTAATAAAACTTCGTATTTAGTTTCTCTTTTCTCTAAAACATCCCAATGTTCAGATACAGTCTGAAGATCACCAGAGGATTCTTCTTCCTTTTCATGTAATTTTCGAGCAGTATCCTCTTGTCTTTTTGTTAATTTTAATCTAACAGCATATTCTCTCAATATAAAGATCATAAACAATGCAGCACTGAAACAACAACCAGCAAAAATTTGAGTATGCAAATAAGGGTTTGATTTATTTTTTGAATCTGTCAATGCTTGTGCAACCACTTCAGTAACCAGCAAAGCAGGGGCCCCACTATAATTAACGAATGCCCATGCTGGTAAAAATTCATCAGGTTTAACCATATCTGCAATCAATACAGTATTCATCACATTAGCGACACCTACACATGAACCCACCATAATAGCAAAAAAGATTAATTGAACATAAGTATGAGCAGGAATCCAAAACCCGAACATGAAGATACAAAGGACACAAGTCAATGTGATTGTGACATTAGCACGACCAAATCTATCACCTAATAGACCCATTACAGGTCTTCCTACACATTGTGCACCGTTCAAAATTGCAGTTAAGGAACTACCTTGATGTTGAGACATCCCACGAGCCACAGCATATGATGATAAAGTGAAAATCATTAAATTATAGCCAAATAATGCTAATGTAAACCATATTGCGATTAAAGGAACAAAGGGTTGACTAATAACTTTCCAAGAAAACATTTTATTAAATTCTCTTTTCATCTTAGTAAAAGATTTAATCCCAACTGGTTTTATGGGACTTCTTTCCTTCACTAATGAAATTGCTATAGCCGTTGCAATACTACAAGTAATTGCCAACATTCTATAACACATCTTTGTATTACCAAAGTCCTGAATCATTTTATTTGAAGCTAAACCAAATGTGACACCACCAGCACCAGTACCTAATAATGAAAGACCCATTGACACTGCTCTTTTCTTTAAGAACCAACCCGGTAAAAGAGTTGTTGCTGGAGAAAAGATTAAAGATATGGAACAACCGATCATAAACCCTTGAGTGACATATAAATGCCATAATTTAGTTGCATACGAGGCTAATACGAATGCTGTTACCATTACACAAGTTCCAAAATACATTGTAGTCTTTAGACCGACAATTCTCATAATAATCACTACAAATGGACATAAACCTTGACCTAAAAATACAGTTAAACCTGCAATTAAAGCGTAATCATAACGAGTTGCACCAGGGAATCTATTATTACTTAAAAAAAATGATAGAAATACACCGAATGCAGAATTACAACCCCAAGTATTGAACATGATTAAAAATACTGAAAAGACAACTACCCAAGCATAACCTTTATCAGGAGGTAATTCAATTTGTCCTGTTGATTTATTGGTAAATACTTTTGCTAACATTTCTCCATTTTCCGTAGTTGTCAAGTTAATATCATTACCATTGTCATCCTTTGTTGTCATTTCTTGATGTGATGCTAACGAGAGTGGACTCTCTGCATATGATGATACTAAAGATGAAGTATTTGATGATAATAAATCTAATGGTTCATTTTGTTGTTTCTCTATATCTTCAACGGCCATCTTCTTGTTCTTACTTTCTTCTTCCACCGATGATTCAATAGATTCATTATGTAACCTAAGGGCATCACCTAGATCAAATCTTGATTCTAATAATCTATTTAAATCCTGTGAACTATAAGTAGCGTCAGTTTGTTTATTATCATCTTGAACTGCGTCTCTAATATCTGTATATGCTTTTGATATAGTTTTAGCTAATGATGGTATTCTTGATAAATTAGATATAGCAGATTGAAATGATAATCTAGATCGTACAGAAGTTATCGGCATCACTTGCGGATAACCCTGAGTTTCGCTTGAAGCAATAGATTCTATATTGCTCGAGGAATTATTCGATGACGATACCACATTGGAAGATGTCTCGAGGTAGTTATTATTAATATTATTATTATGATTAGATGAAAATGACATTGTTTATTATTAATAATACTATTGTGAGGAATGAAAAAAAAGTTAATTAATTAATTAATGCAAAAGAATAATAAATTTGGAAATTAATAATATAAAATTTCGATAATATTAATTTTTAGTTTTGAGGAGTATGAAAGGAATGCAAAATGAATAGAAAGATTAATAATATTATTTTTTTAAAAAACAATGGGAAATTCTTTGAGAAAATGAACTGTTATAATGTTTGAAATATAACATATATAATATATATATATATATCTACTTCTATACTGTTTAACAAAAAACAAAAGCACACACAGAACAATGACTAAAACAATTGAATATGATACGACAATAAGTAATGATTCATTTGTAAGTTCCTATACTTATTCGAATAAAATGATATAAAATGTATAATCTCGAAGTATGGAAAAAGCAACAATGAAATATAGAGAAAGGATCATTAACTAATAATAATTTGACACAATTACTCATCTATTTTCTTCCTTATATATACATATTAATCGATTGATTAACTAATTGATTGACTAATAATTTATAGCTCCGCACAGGTTTGTTCCTCACAAACAAACAGAGTGGATTGATGGTGATGATGATGGCTACTTTCTTTTCTTGGCTGACTTATTTATTTAATAAAATATTCTCGGTGGGGGGGGCAGGGGAGGAATGCCTAAGAAAAACCCGCATAAAATAGACATATCTAGACATATAGAGATATATATCGCATATCATGTTATACGGTATGGGCACACCTCTCTGTAAAATTCTGACATTTTTTGGCTGTGCCATTTGAGATTTTGAAAGGAAATCTCGGTAAGTGTCGGATAATAACGGGTAGGAGTGATGAAAATACGATGAACAAATGATAAAATTGATAGGATGACTGAGTGTCTTGATTAGATAAGGGAGGTTGAAGGCAACAAGGAATGTCAATCGGAATTTATTCGTTATTTAATGAGATAATCAATGAATAAAATGAATGAATAGATAGATAATGAATAATGAATAAATAGATAAGATGGATGTTCTTAACTATTATTCTTTGTTGATTACTAATATTCCCATGGGAATATTAGTACAATAGTATACTATATTACAAATATAGAATATATATAGAATATATAATTGAGGGTGTGTCTTGTTACTGTTTGACTGAGTCCTTGAATATTTACTATCTAATAGGTTCGATGCTTTAGGGAGTAAATCTCAGTTTATTAGACTATGGCTATGTTTATTCGTAAAACACATTTCTAAAATTAAAATTTGACTTAATGAACTATATATGAAATGGGGAAACTCGTTTAGTTATATACAAATATATTACCATTGTATATAGCGGGGAAATCCTAAATATATTGAAAATTAGGGCTTTTTCTTTTCTTTCAATCAGATCATCGCGCATTTCACACTATACACAATTAAAGCAGAAAAATTGCTGTAGTAAGAAAATTTTCAATGATTTTCGGTTTCTTTGTAGAATTTATTCGATTAGTTAATTACATCTCATCGCAAGATATACAATACCTTGAATATAAGAAAGCTTTTATATATTCAGCAATATATATTTAGCCGTATCTAGATAATTGGAATATATCAGAAAAACCAAGTGAATTGTATTTTGCATATAAATTTGGAATTATGTCGGAAGAAAATAGTATTCTAAAAGAAACTGACACCAGCATACCTACAATGAATGAAATAAACAATAATGATATATCTGTGCCCAATGAAGTGAATAAACCAAAAGAAGAAGAAGAAGAAGAAGAAGAAGAAGAAGAAGAAGAAGAAGAACCAAAGGAGGATTTGTTTAGTAAAGTTCTAGAGGTTTCAACTACTGGAAATAATGCTGATGAGAAACCTAAATTACCACATATCGCTGACGATGATATTAATGTTGACGATATTAGCGATAGTGACAGCGACAGTAGTAATAGTAGTGATGACAATGATGAGGAAGATGCTGAAGCAGAAGAAGAAGATGCTGATGATGTCGATGCTGATGATGAAGTTGAGGAAGGTGATGACAATGATGCAGGTCCTATTAGATCGAAGAATGAATTAATAGAAGAACCCGTAATTGAAATCCCAGAAGATTATAAAGTTAAACCAAATGAAAAAATTCAACCATTAGGTACAATTAAATCAATTTATGAAAATAATATTATCGTAGCAGCTACGATATCAGGTGAACAACGTGTTCTAAAGGATGGTTCGATCTTTTGTTTAGAGAATAGGGAAGTCATTGGAACTTTAAGTGAAGTGTTTGGTCCGTTATCAAATCCATTCTATAGAATATGCTTTAAGAAAGAAAAACAAGAACAGATTGAAAAGTTAGTAAAGGAAAATATGGGTTCCACTGTATACTATGTCGTTCCAGAGGCACATTGGGTAGATACATTTGAATTGAAAAGAATGAAAGGTACTGATGCTTCAAATGGATTTGATGAAGAATTAGCTGAAAGTGAACAAGAATTTTCAGATGATGAAAAGGAAGCTTTATTTAAAAAGATGAAGAAAGATGGTAAAAATAAAAGCAAGAATAAAAACAAAAATAATTCTGAAGGTTCTAAGAGGATTAATAATACTACTAGTAGTAATCATAATATTCAAAAACAGAGGAATAAAGGAAATCACACTAATCCAAAGAGTTATAATACCAATAGGAACAACAACAACAACAACAATAGATACGGCGAGTACCCCACTATGAGATTACCAGCTGGAATGACAACAACTTCTACTGGTCCTGTAACCCACGGGTATATGTCAAGAACAGCTCGTCAAAACACAGGAAGAGAACAATCACAGAAGCCGCGCCAGGACAGTTCCATATATGATGATGAGGAATATAGTGCTCCTAAACCAAAAACTAAAGTTCACGATTTTGCGTTAGGTCAACCAAAACAATCCTCATACTCTTCCTCTACCGTACCACCACAAGAAAATGGATATTACAATTCAAACAACCAACCACATTCGAATATAAATTATCAACAGCAAAGCACCAATATGAACTATCAACAACCTAATATGATTATGAATTATCAACAGCCCATGCCAAACATGAATATGAATAATAATCAATATAATACATATGGCATGCAACAAGTACAACAAATGCAGCCTCAGATGACATCAACATACAATAATCAATATTACGGTAATTTACCAACACAACAACAGCATCGTCCACAAGTACATGGTAACAACCAGTATATTCCACAACCACCACAACCACCACAACCTCAACAGCCACCACAACAAAATATGGATCAAGTTATGCAGTTACATCAACTACTTATGAAGCAAGCTCAAAATTCGCAAGGTCAAAATACACAACAGTTTCCAGCACCACAAGATCCGAATTATAGAGACCAAACACCTTATTAATGCAGCATAAAAACTATTTTTCTTTATATATATATAGGCACTTCTATAAATTTAGAAAATTACATAACAACAATTTTTTATCAACAGATCTCTATGCGTCTTGAAAGATTCATCATTCATTCCTTTGCTACTTACATTGAGTCTTAAACCGAGTTGACTTATTGTAGTTAATCGGAGGTGTTAATTGTATATACGCGAGACGAACAAGAGAACGAAAAAAAAATAATAGTGACGAAAATAAATTTTCCAGTTGGTGTTCGATGCGATGACCTTCATAATACGTTATAAACTGGAGTCGAGGACAAATAAATGTATATAAAAACAGACTTACCTTTCTTCTTAATCCTAAGTGCCAAAACTTCAAAGATCAGTACAGCTAGTCAAAATGACCACAACAAATCAGGATAGTAAGAAAAGAAAAATTTCTGAGGAAAGTGGCGAGACGTTCCATGAGAACAAGAGACCTTACACAGATGAAAACTTTATTGACCTTGAGCAAGATGAAACTCTGGAAGGAAATGCTACCGAGATGGTTATCGATCCTTCTTCATTCAGAAGTTCCGAAAACTACTTAAAGTGGCAAACTACTATATCTAATGTTGTCAAATCAGTCGTATCAATCCATTTTGCGCAAGTTGCCCCATTCGATTGTGACCCTGCCTTAGTCTCCGAAGCAACAGGTTTTGTTGTCGATGCTGAACTAGGGATTATTTTAACTAACAGGCATGTTGTTGGTCCAGGTCCATTTGTTGGATATGTTGTTTTTGATAACCATGAAGAATGTGATGTCATTCCTATTTATAGAGATCCTGTACACGATTTTGGATTCTTGAAGTTCGACCCTTCAAAGATAAAGTATACCGAAGTACAATCATTGAAATTAATGCCTTCATTAGCTAAAGTAGGTTCCGAAATTAGAGTTGTTGGTAATGATGCTGGTGAAAAATTAAGTATCCTTGCTGGTTTCATTAGTAGATTGGATAGAAACGCCCCAGATTATGGTGACTTGACATACAATGATTTCAATACAGAATATATTCAAGCTGCAGCTTCTGCATCTGGTGGGTCTAGTGGTTCTCCTGTTGTAAATATAGATGGTTATGCCGTAGCTTTGCAAGCTGGTGGTTCCACAGAGGCCTCCACAGATTTCTTTCTTCCTCTAAATAGAATACTAAGAGCGTTGAAATGCCTTCAGAAGAAGGAATTAATCACTCGTGGTACCATCCAGGTACAATGGTTATTGAAACCTTACGACGAGTGTAGAAGATTAGGTTTAACACCAGAGAGTGAGACTAGAGCTAGAAAACTGTTCCCAGAGAATATTGGTCTGTTAGTTGCAGAGACAATATTGAGAGAAGGACCTGGTGATTTAGGTGGGATTAAAGAAGGTGATACGTTAATTTCCATAAATGGTACTGATATTTATTCATTTATTCAGGTCGACGATATCTTTGATACCAGCATAGATGAAGAAGTTACATTAGTTGTGCAACGTGGTGGTATCAATCACACAATTGTGATCAGAATACAAGATCTACATTCCATTACACCAGCACGTTACGTTGAAGTTTGTGGTGCAACAGCCAACGATTTATCTTATCAGATGGCTCGTTGTTATGCACTTCCAGTTAAAGGTGTATTTTTAAGTAGTGCCACCGGCTCATTTAATTTTGACACCAAAGAAAAAGTGGGTTGGATGCTAGATTCTATTGATAATGTAGAGACGCCCAACTTAGATACATTTATTGAGGTTATGAAAGGCATTCCTGATCGTTCAAGAGTTACAGTGAGATACCATCACTTAACTGATCATCACTCCCCTCACGTCACTTCCATATATATCGACCGCCACTGGTGTAGTGAATTCAGACTATATGAGCGTAATGATAAGACAGGGTTATGGGATTACCAAAATATATCCAAACCATTGCCACCAATTAAACTCGAACCACAGTCGGCACGTTTTATTGATATTCCAAGTGAAAATTCTGACATGGCAAAACTTTCTCATTCCCTATGTATGGTATCCACAGTTGCAGCCATTCCATTGGATTCTTTGTCGGCTGATTCCCTGAAGACATCAGGTCTAATTATCGATGCTGAAAGAGGTTACGTAATTGTATCCAGAAGAATTGTTCCTCATGATTGTTTAGATTGTTTCGTGACCATTGCTGATTCGGTTATTGTCCCAGCAACAGTCGAATTTTTACATCCAACTCAAAATTATGCCATTGTGAAGTATGATCCTAAACTGGTCAATGCTGATACAATTACTCCAAAATTGTCTTCTACTCCAATGAAACGTGGTGATAAAGCTCATTTTGTTGGCTTTACTCAGAATAATAGATTAGTATCCGCAGAAACTAATGTTACTGACATATCATCCGTCAGTATTCCCAGTAATATCATTCCAAGGTATAGGGCTACAAACTTAGAGGCAATCTCTATTGATTGTAATATTAGTACAAGATGTAATTCTGGTATCCTAACTGATTCCGATGGTACTGTTAGGGCTCTATGGTTGTCGTTTTTAGGAGAAAGACAAGAGAACAAAGAAAAGGTATATTTAATGGGTCTTGATATTACCACCTGCTTGACCGTTATTGATATCTTAAAGGAAGGTAAAAAGCCAGTTATGAATATCATTGATGCCGGTTTTGGATCAATTTCCATTCTGAATGCTAGAATTAGAGGGGTCCCTGAACAATGGATTAAGTCTATGGAAAAAGAATCCAGTAATAGATTACAATTTATGACTGTTTCAAGAGTGTCATGTACTTCAGAAAATATTAAATTAGAGACCGGTGATGTTATTCTTTCCGTTAATAACAAACTTGTAACAGAAATGGACCAATTAACAGGTGTTGTTTCTTCCGCTGACACACACGATGATGCTCAGACTCTAAACTTTAAGGTAGTACGTGATGGTGCAGTTATCGATTTGGATATTAAGACAGTGAATGTCAATGAAACAGACAGTATTCTAATCTTTGCTGGTTGTATTTTACAGGAACCACATCATGCTGTTCGTCAAGCAATGACTGATATACCAAAGGGTGTCTATTGTACATTTAGAGGTGAATCATCGCCAGCAACCCAATATGGTATTTCTGCTACTAATTTTATTACTCATGTTAATGAAATAGAAACCTCAAATTTATCGACATTTTTAAGCGTTGTTAAACAAATACCTGACAATAGTTATTGTAAAATGAGATTAATGACATTTGATAATGTGCCATTTGCTATTTCTCTGAAAACAAATTACCATTATTTCCCTACCGCATCTCTACAAAAGGACAAATCATCTGGTAAATGGATAGAAGCTGAATACAATGCTAATGGGGAAAAAACAGTAATATAAATAGTTTCTCATTAGCTGTTCAAAATATATCACATCATATAAGAAATATAGAAGAATTGTTTATCATATTTCTATATATATATATATACCGTACCACATATAATATAATATTTTAAAAAGAAACCAAAACGACTCAAAGTATCTCGAGCAGTACTCAAAATCAAATGTGGCACTCCTCGATTGTGTTTTAGAAACAAAACTGTACTAGTGATGGAATATAATAATTCACCTACAAATAGGTATATATACATACATAGAGAATATAAATAGAGATTAGAATAATAACTTGCTGTATGGAGCCTGTGTGTTTATGCCAATGGAAAGATGCGGAATCGTTCTCCATGATTTATTTACATGCATAAATAATAATACATTCTGATAGAATAAAATGCATTAACTATAAGGTAATAACTTCTTGAGATGTTTAACATAGGTTTTATCCTCTGTTTTTCTTCCACTTAATACTTTCATTGAACGTTGAGACCAACCAGCATTACCATGGTTTCTTCCAGCAATACCTCTCTTGAAACCTGTACTCGTTCTTCTCCATCTCTTTGCAGCACCTTTATGTGTCTTCATTAATGTTCTGACAGCTATTAAAGATGGGGATTGGAATTTCATTAACGATCCAGTGGTTTTCAATAATGGAGAAAATGACGATAACCAGCTCATTGTTGCTTGCTATATATCTTTTGCCTGAACTATTGTGGTGGTTGCTTGATGGTATTAGATAGTTATAAAATACTATCTCAGCTTTTTAATAAAAAAATCAATTTTACAAACGTATTTATCTTACCGTAATGTCTTTTTCTTCTTTTCATAAATTCTTCTGTTACAGGGATAATACTAGTTTCTTTAGGTTATTTTAAGTTCGTATATTCATGAAGCGTTGTTGCGGATGGTGGTGGCCATAACAAAGAAGTTCGCCGCGCTTAATCGATAATTACTCTAATTATACGGGTAATAAAACTGGACGATTCATATTAAACTCCCTGGAAGTTAATAAGATGATAGCACTTGTGAATATATTTATTTTATAGATTATTTTAAGAGCTGACCTTGCATAGCATTTTATCATGTAATAAATTAAAGAGGTAACGACGTTTTGTGTACAATTTATACGATTATTGTTTATTTATATCTAAGAAACTCCCGTAGCGGATCCAATAAGCAAATAAAAAAAATATTTCAAGCTCATCGCAGAAAAATATTTTTGAAATTTTCAATTGCTATAATGAAGGCAGCTGAAGACAGCTTACAAATCAATAATTATTTCTGTTTAAATTCATCTAAATATATAAACATTGACATCTACTAATTCTTCCACTTTTTAATAAATTAACAAATATATCACTAAAAGTTGGATAGTAAAAATGACGGCTATTAAGTGTAAACGTTGCAAAGAGAATGACGCTACCGTTAAATCCAGAAAAGAACCATTTTGTGATGCATGTTTTTTGAAGTTTGTAAGCTTGAAACAGAGAAAATTGATGATGACTGATGAATTCTATAGAGATCATTTCAAAGTTTTATATGGCAAAGATTTGAAGAATAATGGGGTCTCAAAAATTGTAGTACCGTTTGATTTTAGTTCTTCTTCTTTTAGTGCACTCGATGTTCTGGTAAGTCTATTAAAGGAACAAAATTTACAACATCGTGGAAGAGTCGGTTTTAGAGTTAAAATTATCACGGTATTTAAAAATGAACAAGAAAGAGAGCTTTTCGAACAATCATGGAAGATGTTTAGAAATTCAGACATATATGATGACCAAGTTTGGTTACAATTTGAGTGGCACCTGATCAATGCTGAATCCTTCTTTCGTGATGCGAAGGATTTACAACAGATTATATTACATCACCAGGATTTTAATTCAATGGGATTGCAGTATGAATTAAAAGATAACTCTGAGTATAATATCGAAGTCCTATTAGCTCGTTGTCCAAACAGAAATACCAGAAATGATATGTGGATCTTTATAGTGAGTCATCTAATTAAGAAATTTGCATACCAACAAACAGATTGCGAAGTTATATTATGGGCACATTCTATGACAAAATTAGCAGACCATATCATTGGCTTAGTTGTGAAGGGCAGAGGTGCACAAATTGCTGCCTCATTAAACTCCACAGTTTTTGATAGTGATTATGGTGCAAGATTCAAAAACCTCTATCCTTTGAAGAACACACTTCTCTCAGAATTAGATGCTTACTGCATTATTACAGGACTGAATAAATACATTGTTAATTATACTGTTAAGAACGATTTGATGATTACAAAGGATATCAAAGAGAAAAGTGCTGATCTCAGCCAGAATGTACGTTTAGTCAAAAATATGACAATCAATGAATTAGCTCGGAAGTACTTTAATGACATCGAAGGGGAATATTCCAATATTATAGCTACAGTTTTGAGAACTGGTGACAAATTGAAGCCACCTACTATTATAAATAAACCAGAAGGTTATAGTAATGAAATATCGAAATGCTCTATTTGCTTAAACACTATATACTCTAACCCCTCGGAGTGGCTGAGAAATATTGCCATTAATAGAGGACATCCAATCGAAACTAAGGAAGAACAGGAATTATATAAACAATGGCAATCATCACAAGTAGGTATTCAAACTGAAGTATATTTAACTTTAAGAAATAAGGCATGGAGTGAAGGCCACGATATACCATTATGTTACGGCTGCATTATCAACCTTAATGGGATTAAAACTAGGGAAATAATTTGGCCGAAACATGAAGAAGACGAACTGGAAAACGTTTTAAACGAATTTGAACTGAGCGATTAAGTTTACACGTGGAAATTGTCGTACTATTTTTTCATTGACAGTAATACATTATTTATTAATATATACATATCACAAATACATAATTTAAATATATATCTCATGATATGTCAAATTATTTATGCAAAATATTTAATAATTGCGCAGATGCACTGGCATTACTTCTTTCCGGACCTTCATTTATTAAAGAATTTTGATTCGATCCCCTTTGTAACATTGCTAAGAGATCATTATTTGTAGCATTGGTTTTATGAGGAGCTGCCATTCCAGGATTTGGAGATTGGTTGAAATTTGTTCCATCAAACTCAAGAGAAGGATTTTGATAGCTTGTGGGTGCTCTATTCATTCCTGGACTTTTCAACATATTCAGTAAATCATTACGATTGTTCGAAGGCACAATAAAATCAGATGGTGATGAACCTTGAACTGGTTGTGGGAGATCACTAATGGTATTCTTCTTTAACATATTTAATAATTCATTACTAGTATTTTCGATCTTTCGATTTGTCGATACAGGTGCCATTGGCGGATCTTGAACTGGAAGTTCTCCAAAAGGAGCTGCAAAAGAAGAACTTGAGCTTTCAATAGGCTGTGACTGAAAATTTAAATGTGGTAAATCCACAGAAGCGTTAGTTGAATTCTTCTTTAACATTGCTAATAGATCAGATCCACCTGCTTGCGAGTTATTTGGAGAGGTGCTTATGTTCATAGCTCTGTTGGTTGGAGAAATGTCGCTAATATTAGATACATTATTGGACTTAACATTTAATATGTTCAGAAGGTCTTCCTGTGGCGCAGGTGAATGTTTTATTTCTCCATCCATAATTCTTGAATCTTGTACAGGCTGCTTAACGTTTTTACGCAGCATGGCCATCAATTCATTATTTGTGGAATCAATATTACTTTCACGTCTTTGATCCATGCTTGACAATTCCACATTATTATTGACAGTTGGAGGTTTCTTTAACATACCCAGAAGTAATTTTCCGTTATCAATACGAGAGATAGAAGAATCTTCAATGTTATCCTTCTGTTCATTGGACTGAATCGGTTTCTTTAGTATATTCAGTAAAGAAACTCCATTATCTACATTAGTCTCTAATTCTTTTTCTGGTTGAGGAATCGTTTCACCTCTTTTCAAAATTTTAAACTTTTTAGGCTTAGAAACAGGCGTGGATGGTTTCGTTTGGTCAGCAACTGATTGTTGAGAGAATGGACTTGGTGCTCCCAGAGCTTCGTCTATGACGGAAGCAACAGAGTCTGATCTATTGTCAGAATGTGGAATTCCACCTTGCTCCATATTGCTTTCTCTTAAGATATTCCTATCCCTGATAGATGTCGAACCATTCGACCCATTTTCAAGTTCTTCTAAGTCTTCTTCGACTTCTGAATCCGTACTAGCTTCGAAATCTGTGTAATCTAATTCATCGGAAGAGTTACCTTTTGCCATTTTCTTTATATCCGGAGAACTGAAGGATGGGGAGGGTAAGTCTGGGTTTGTTGATTCACTGGTGGCATTACTGAAGGCCCTACTGACATTACTAATAGTCCTACTCATGTTGGTGGGTGAAACAGAACGGGATGGCTTTTTATGCAGAATATTTAACAAGGTGGTAGAATCAGTATTGCCGATCTTAAGTTCTTGAGGATGTTCGGTTTGTAGTTGAGGTCCTCTCTGAAGAGGTCCTATATGTTCACGTTCCTGTGGTGCAGAATTTAACACATTCAACAGAATTCTAGAGTTATCATTTGAAGATGGAGCAAACGATGGTTTCGACAATGAATTAGCACTTGGGATTTCTGGTTCAGTTGGTTGTTGTGGATGCAGTAATGGTACATTTACCTGTTGTGGGTTCATTTGACGTGGTGCTTGCATACCCATTCCTTGAGGTGGTAGTGATGGTGGCATCATTTGGTTAAATTGGGCACCATTATTATTCATCTTCATATTATTAACAAATGGAAATGGTGTAAATGGTTGAAAGCCCTGTGGCATCACTCCTTGGTTCCTTTGCGGAGATAATTGTCCAGGATGCAGTTGTTGTGGATGAGATTGAGGAGGAAATTGTTGCATTGGAATTTGCATTCCTGCATTCAAAAAGCGGGGTAACTGTATCATATTTGACATGTCATTTCCTGCTAAGGTAATCGGTACCATCTGAGGTGTAGTGCTTTCTGAGTTCATTGTTCCATGATTAGCATTATATTGTAACATATTCAATAAGTCCCGACCGGGGTCTACTTGTTCTTCTTTGGTAATACCAAGCAATAACTTCAATTGTTCTTCAGCTTGAGATCTCAATTGAGTTTCATTCTTAAATTGTCTTTGATGCCTAACCCACATAGATAATGGTCTAATCATAGAATTAATCAAATAAAACTTGTATTTATGTGTTGTATTTTTGAATAAAGACTTGGAAACCTTCTTGAAATCCATCCATTGAATCTTCTCAATTTCATTTCTTACTAATGGTTTAAATATTGTTTCTTCAGGGATATTACTAATCAAGAAAATCTTATAATTTTTACCAGAAATATTTCTCTCAATGAATTGATCTTCGTCTATATGATCTGTCAAATCATATCCAATTTCTTCTTTCACTTCACGAATACAACAACTGATATCATCTTCATCCTTTGAAATTTTACCACGAGGAAACGACCACGAATCACTCTCTGTACCTTTTACCAATAGGATCTTAGTCATATTTTTATTGAAGATAGCGGCACCTCTTACTGGGATAGTCTTCTTATATTTTGAAAATTTAGATAAGGCTTGGTCCACTTTAATGTCCTTCCATTTCCAAACTAATGGACATAATTTAATAAACAATTGAGATAGTTGTTTAATTTTTAATTTAGGTAAATTTGGGTTCATCAATTTGATGAAATCAGTATAGAACCATGATGCTTCTTCGAAATGAAATAATTCTCTCTCCACACTAGATAAATCTTCTGGAGGACAATTGATAATAAATCGAACTAACAAATCCTCGATAATACGATCAATGGAGGTAACGTTCTCCAGACCATGTCTTAGTGGTAACGACATATATATATATTATTTTTGTTTTATGATTTGAGTTCTGGAATGCAATATATTTAATATAAAATCTTCTGCGATGTTTGATTACGTTCCCTAATTATATTCTTTACTTTGCAAAGGGATGTAAATATGACTTTTTGGAATGACTTTTTAAAATTAAAATAAAAAAATGTACAGGAACAAATAAAAGAGTCCACTTAGTCAATCGTATGCAATAATAGTAGACAACTACCTGTATGAGTCTTGTAACGATATTTTAGCTTTTCTTTGTAGTATTATGTAGAATATTTAACTAACATGTAGAAACATATATTGTCAACAAACTGGTAACTCTTTTGTCACCCTTTGCTTTGCTTACGTTGTCATAAATTTTCCACCGCTGCCCTCAACGTTCCACTCAATCGGTTAAATAAAAACAACTTTTTTACTTCTCTACGGATGTTACTTTGAAGAGGTAAAGACTGGGATTCGTAGACAGTGACTAAAACACAGTTATTTCATGACCTGTATACATATCGACACAGATTTAAATTTTGGTTTGACATACAATACATATATATATATATATGTATATGACGTAGTTAACGTAGTTACATCAACCAGATTGCATTGATTAAGCCACTGGCAATTAACTACTACGATATATATGTGATTTAACGGGTCAATAAAGTAAACATCAGGGTAACACTTCATAAGTATGCATAATACACGTTTTTTCTCTATTTAAGGTCGGCAGGTCTTTAATTATCAACCCGATCAATAAAGCGAAGAATAGGGGGACGAACAATATCTATTCTGGGGAAGGAACAAGTACGTACTCACTACGCTATTGCACTTTTAGAACTAGATTCTATAATGTTAAACGAGTAACTTGAAGAATCTACTTCACTTTGTAATTATAGAACTTCAATATCAATTATTAATTGCTGTAATTACTGGATATATATCCTACTTTTATATCACGCAGATACACATAGACATTCGCATATTTAATCATGGCTTTAGAACCAATTGATTGTACTACACACTCCAGAGAGATTGAACAAGAGTACCAGAAAGTGGTTAGAGGTACTACTGATGACACCACATGGTTGATCATATCTCCAAACGCTCAAAAGGAATACGTTCCATCCTCCACCGGTTCGGATTTTTCTGATTTCTTACAATCTTTTGACGATGGTAAAGTCGAATTCGGTATCGCTAGAGTGTCTCCTCCAGGCTCTGATGTCGCAAAAGTCATTCTTATTGGGTGGTGCCCAGATTCTGCTCCAATGAAACCAAGAGCCTCCTTTGCCTCTAACTTTGGTACCGTTGCCAACTCTGTCTTGCAAGGCTACCATGTTCAAGTTACTGCTAGAGATGAAGACGATTTAGATGAAAGAGAATTATTGACAAAGATCAGTAATGCAGCTGGTGCTCGTTATTCTATTCAAGCAAAGGCACCAACTTCTTCTTCATCAGCTTCTAGTGCTCCAGTTAAAAAAATATTCACACCGCCAGTTAAGAAAACTGAATCTCCAGCGAAGAACGAAGTAGTACTACCACCTGTACGTCAAGAAGAAAGGCCTTCCATCAATAACACAACCAAACAATATGCTTCCGAGGATGCTGATGATTGGGATGAACCTGAAATCAAAGAACGTGATTTTGAGACTAATCCATTGAGTGGTAACAAGTCTACTTATCAACCAATTGGGAAAATTGATTTAAAGAAAGTCATTGCAGAAGAGACTGCAAAGGAAGACCCACGTTTAGTACATAAGATTGATCCAATGGCAGATATTGCACATTTGAAAGAAGAATCTAAGGAACATAGAGATCATGATCTTGATAATTTATTGAAACAAGAAAAACCACACACTTCTTCAACTTCATCTGCAATTAGCGGTACTAAACCACCATTAGTCAAATCTGATTTTGGTAGAAACGATAATAGCGATAAAGTGATTCAAGGTTTTAAGACCGAAAAGTCTCCAGCTCAACTATGGGCCGAAAAGAAAATGAAACAAAACCAACAAAACAACGAAGTTGAAGAGCCATCATCAACTAATCTAGAAAACAAAACCGATACTTCTAATTTTAATGAACCAGAATCTGGTGTTGACCATAGCGATGAAATGAAAATTGGTGATTTGAAATCCAGATTCGAAAAGTTGGGCGCTGGAAATGAAGAGGATACAGATTTTGTTCCACCAGTAAATAAACCATCTATTATTGCTCCAAAAACTTTTGGACAACCTGCTACTGCTTCAGAACCTCCTGTGAGAGAGGAAAAGAAGCCTTTCGTACCAGGTAACGTCGGCCAGCGTTTACCAGGAATGCATATTGAGGTTTCCGAACATGAGGATGAGGATAATGATGACGACTGGGGTGAAGATGATGACGAGGAAGAAACTCCTAGAAGACAACTTCCACCTCCAGTGATGGTAGCCAGAGATTCAGAACCACAAATGCCTCTTCCACCAAGAAGAACTGAACCTGAACCCGCCCAAGTTGAAGAAGAAGAAGAAGAAGAACAAGAAGAACAAGAGACTCCTGTACCTTCTCTACCTTCGAGAAATGTTGCTAGTGAGTCAGAACTAGCGCAGGAAGAAGAACAAGAGGAAGAACAACAGGAAATTGAGGAATCTTCTCCAGCTCTACCAACTAGAAGTGGTGTTCCTCCACCTCCGCCACAAAGAGCAACAGAGGCTGCTGAACCAGAACCAACCAAGGAAGCTCCATGGGCCACTGCCGAATATGATTACGAAGCCGGCGAGGACAATGAATTGACTTTCGCAGAAACGGATAAGATTATTAATATTGAATTTGTAGACGATGATTGGTGGTTAGGTGAATTAGAATCTACTGGTCAAAAAGGTTTATTCCCAAGTAATTACGTGACACTAGGTAACTAAATTGAAAACTAAACTTCACGTGTATACTAAACTAATACGAAACTAATAGAATTATGTATTATTTTTTTCTGTATTTACATATGAAATATAGGTAGAATAATATTATATTATGATTTTTATCTAACTACTCAACTCCATGTATCTATCAATGCTAAACATTTAGTGTCTTAATTGTTCAATCATATAAGTAGATTGTGTTATCAATGTTTCAGATTGTTCGCAGATAATGTAGATGTTGTACGGCGCGCTCTCCGAGATTTGCTTTTCCTTTAATAAATAGCCATTATAAAAATGTAAACTGCTACTAATTTGAAACATGTATATTTCAAAACATCTTTGACACATTCGAGTTACCATCAAACATATTATTTTAAACAGGCATAAGGACTCACGTAAAGACCCATAGGCTGTGTTAAAGTATTATGGTTAAACTTCACTCTATTAGTTTCAATTATATCCATGACACGAATGGTATTTAAAGGAAGTTATACCAGACTTTCTGGATTGATGAAATTAAACATCTATTTTCAATTTCTAGTTGGATAAAAAAGATAACAGACTAACAACGACGATTAAGGATATATTTATATAATGTTTTCGTTTCTTTTTCTAGGTACAATTTTAATATCGAATGCATACGCTTCTAGTTATGCATATTATCATAATTCAACATTTCCATCTAGTACATCTGCTTCTTCCTTAGTTTTATCATATATGAGAAGTTCTAATACTTTGATCTCATCTAACACTGGTTCCAGTAAGTCTTTATCATTTGACGAATTAATTACATCTTCTGATAATCTGCCTACCTCTTCTTCTGAATTATCCCAATATGTTACTCCAGATAGTGTAATGTCCGTGAATACTAACTTATACACATCATATAGTATTGTTACCGATATTGACGTTACCATTGAGAATTTTTCAACCGATCTGATTAAAACATGTCCTACTTGTACTTTTAAAGCTTCTCATACAGGTTCCCATGCCATTGCCACCACAGGCGCTCTAATATCTGTAAACACTGGTACGATCAATGCTACGACATCAACTACTGAAATTGCAAGCACATCTTCTAGCGTCTTATCCACTAATATTAATACAATAGATTATTCATATTCATCAGTATCGGATACTACTGTCTACTCTAAGAACTTGGAATCATCATCTATGACGTCATTGGACCTTGTATCTTCTGTGTCCTCCAGTGTATATCACACCACTACCTACAATGATGCCACAGAATCTCATGAACAAATTAATTCAACAATTTTAACTACATTTTCTACTTCTAATGAAATTAAAATATCGTCATATATTGCTTATCAGCAAAAGGTAACTCAAACGGTAAACGGTGTTGTGACAGTTTATACTACATGGTGTCCTTTGGAGAATACTGACAAATTTGATAGCTCGACTACCTCATTAAGCTCATTCGTTCCTAAGAAACATATGTCAGTGAAGTTGATTGAAACTGCTTATACAAAAAGTACTATCGAATCAACATCCTTACCAGGTACACCTCTCAGTGACCTAATTGTTGTATCATCCACAACCAAAGCACTAAATAGTTCTAGTGCAGATTTGGTCATCGATAACACTCATGTTCCTTCTTCTATTGTTACAACTAACCCAAATCTAGATTTTGAGGCAGGTACTGTAAGAACTAACACAATTTCTTCATCATCATCATCATCTTCTTCTTCTTCTTCTTCTTCCTCTTCTTCTTCTTCTTCTACTTCGTCTATTCAATCCAACATTAATTCTCCAACTTCTATGATATCAATAGCATCTTCAATTGCATCTAGTACTACAACTACGTTTATGTTATCTACCGTCCACACAACTATAAATGGCGTAGTTACAGAATATACCACATGGTGCCCATATGAAAAAACTGCTTCTGAATTAACAACTAAAACGGAAAAGGTCAGATCAACATATGAAATTACTACTACCAACAGTGTCAGTTCTGTTGTTGTCGTATCTCAAACGGCTGTTCTCTCAACACATACTACAACAATCCATGGAGTCGTTACTGAATATACAACCTGGTGTCCTTTGACCACACCTGATAGTATTGATCAAGTTATTACAACTGTTGCAACCAGGGTAACGACATCAACCTCATTTAGTGGTAGTAGCACGACTTCAAGTATTTCATCTCTAAGTCAACCTTCTACGATTGTTACTCCTGAAAGTGTTAACTCCAAAGACGTCACAACTAGTCAATATACCCACCTAACAGGTACTGTCGATACTGTAACATCTACAGAATTATCTGTTATAGTAATAACAACAGAAGTATGTTCCTCTAATAAATGCAGTCATCTTTATTCCACTGTTGTAAAAGATACTTCAAGGTCAGGCTCGCTATTTTCTCCTTCTATTAATTCATCTATAAAAGTGGCTACTACTTCTACTTCTATTCAGAATACTCATCCAACTAATACTTTATTGGTATCATCTGAAACATTTTCAACTTCAAGTCAATCTACCATTATTAGCATTACCACCACCACACCGAGGAGCAAATCTACCAGTCAGGGTTCAGTTACAAAGACTACTCAGAACACTCAACTTTCAACTATTAGTAGTCAAACATATGTGTTATCTACATCGACCATCACAACAGATGGTGTTGTTACAATTTTTACTACCTGGTGTCCTTATTCATCATCTAGTATTTTGATTGAAAGTTCTAGTACTTTGATGACAACAACTACTTTAGAAACTGTTAAGTGTACTCATCAAACATGTATCAATTCTCCAAGAACAGAAAACACTCTTTCTCAATCAGGTACAACAACGACTAGTGCAACTATTACTATTGAATCCGAGTCTTCAATAATGATTGTTACAACCAGCAAATCAAAGATGGATGTAACCACTTCTCATTTACCTTCATTTAGCAAAACAGTGACCAGTTCAAGCATCTCAAGTTCGTCGATAGGTCAACCAACTATAAGGTCAAGTGATTCATCAATGATTAAGTCCACTATTACAACAACAAACACGTATTCCACAGTTACAACACCCCAATCTGCTGGTACAACTATCATAGAACATAAATCTAGTCAATTGAGTAAAACAAAGTGTTCTAGTGTAATCCAATCTAGTATTGAAACTCACACACATATAACTACTACCAAACCTACTATAGATATCATTACAGTGAGTTGTACAAAATCAGAATGTTTAAAGAGTTCTGCATCAACAAGTAAGGTTTTTACAACATTAGAAACTTCTTCTATATCTGTTCCTATATCTTCCACACCAATGATAACTCAAAAAAGTGTAATGACTACAACAGCCACAGCGGTAAATTCCATCGATTCTATAGAAAGTGAAAGCAAATCAATCTATTCTAGTACTACTATGAAGAATGAAACACCAATTGCTTCCTTTATTATTGCATCTACTAAGGAAGTTGAAACATCAATTTCGTCAAGAATTACTTGGAACTCTGTTTCTATCCCATCAGTTGTCCTTTACCATTCATCTTCCACGCTTCAAACGGATACTACTATTAATACTAACACAACACCAATTGTGAGTGAATATACTGGTGACGGGTATAAAATAAATTCTCAAAGCGTTATTATGATTTTATTATCAATAATGTATCTCCTATAGAAGAAAGTAAATATGTCCAAATATATATATAATAAAACAAATTAAAACTAGCCCTCTATTTATCTCTATTTTCCTTTTTCAATTTTATATTTAAAATCTGTGATATAAACTTCTTCACTTGACTCATCATCATAATCGTACCATGACCCATCATCTTCAAATTGACAATCCATAATCTTACCAGAATTTAATTCCACTTTAAATGGTAAAGCGGTATATAAGAAATCATTTATTGCCCAACCTCTAGAATCTAATTGCATAATAGCTGCATAATTATTAATATCTATCTTGTTCCCATTCAACCCATATTTTTTTCTCTTATCATTATCACTATGCTCTTCTTGTTGTGCAAAGAGACAAGGTTCAAAAGTGTTAGCCAATACAGTATTATCGCTTTCACAGAATTTACATTTCATTATAAACGTAGCTTCACCTTTTCCACCTTGAATTTCATGTTTTTCATGTAAATTAAAGTTATTTATTTTCTCTGCATCTTCACCACATTTGGTACACTTAAATTTAAAAGAATATTCAACGGGATTGACATCTGTATCATCTACATATAATTTCTTGATATTATCAGAAAGTTCAGCACACATGAATAAGTATAACATAGTTTAAATTGGTTAGTGGATTTATACACGATCTTCACAAGAACATATTACAAGATATGTAACCATAAATCCTCAAAAGATCACTCTCTTCTTAAAAAATTTCATTTTAATAATCGTTCATTCCATTTACTTTCCCAGTTAGCTCATCTTCGATAACCAAATATTTTTCAAATTTTTCACTTCCTTGGCAATTTCCATCGCTCTGTTAACATAAACAACTAACAATAGTAATAAACGAAAAAAACATAACGGCACGGGAACATACTACTTTACATACATACATACATACATACATACACATTGTAGTAAACCTACGATACATATTATTATTTATCCCTCACTGGACTCTATAATATTAATAAAGCAAATTTCAGCGATTAAATTTTATTTGGTGTGAGTAGTTACAGTTCAGCGTTAAGCGATTTCATTTCATTGAAAGAGGAAGAGATTCAAATAATTCACATACTTTGGTACTTATAAACAACAAACGGAGATTTGTTATTAAGACACATTAAATTTGAGAATAATACAAATCTATACTTGGAAGAGAGAAATTAAACACTACTGGAGATTACATCCTTTGAATGAGAGTGATGTATTCATATTTGTAAAGGATATTTTAAAAACTCATATTATTTTTTTTTCCATTTGATTTAATTTATTTTACTTGGAAGTTGTGATTTTATATCGTATTAGCAATAGTAATGTCTACAAATTTTAGTGATTCTGTAGAATCACTAAAACAACAAGGTAAAAATGTTTCCATTTCAAGACTTTTCAATATACAATTCAAGAAAAACAATAATAATAATAATAATACTTGTAATCCAGAGACTAATACCGCCAAATTAAACGATAATGGTTTTGGTTCCTTTGATGAAAAGAATAATTATAATGATAACGATAATACTAATGATAATGATCTTACATTTAATAATTTAAGTATTTCGAATTCGAACTCGAACTCTAACGCGTATAGTAATAATAATAGTACTTTGAATAGTGATAATGAACTTAGAATGAACTTTATGTCTCCAATGAATCAAAATAATGATATTACTCCTAAACCTACAATGAATGTTATTGATAATGGGGATAATGAACCTCATACGAAATTTAATAGATTTAAGAATATGTTTCATGGTCACAAGATAAATGCACCTTCTACTCAATTGTTTAAGGATAAATTACGAGCTATATCGAAGTCAAAATCGTCCATGGGTGAAATTGATCAAAATATTCACGAAAACTTTAATGGCGATGATGAAGAATTCGATGTTAATTCAGATAATTCGATAGAAGAATCTTTGATAGAGTTTCCTTCTATTAATATATCAAGTAAACTGACACTTGATTCGGACACACATACAAGAAATAGTAGTGGTTATAGACATGAAATATCACCACCCACTACAAATATTGAATTGATATCTTCTACCACTAATAATAATAATAATAATAATAATAATAACGGTTTTGAATTAGGTAACGCGTCCTTACTTTCAGATAGAATTTATACTTCAAATGATAAAATGGCTCGATTCCGCTCACCATCAAATCCTACTGTTGCTAGTCCCACACATAGATACACTGATATGTCGCCAGTGACATCAATTGACACTAGATTTAGAAGTGGATCGCAAGCTGAATCATTTATATCAACAAACCCATTCCGGTCAGAGGGAGCTAGTCAGACGAACGTATCAGTGTCATCGAATAATCCATTTTTCAGCATCTCGGGATCTGGATCACCTACTTCAGCACATGCTAATAGTAATAGTTTTCCAAATATAGATAAACAACCCCCCACAAATATTGCATCAGTTAAGAAGTATCATAGAAATTTAAGTAATGTATCATTAAACGAAATAAAGGAAAATGAAGAACTTGAACAATTTAGAACCGCCAATATGAATAACAATTTCTTCCCTTCGAGTAATCGATCCTCATTTATTTCATCTGCTCCTGGTAGTAGAACTCCTTCAATTATTACAACACCATCAGAGACTAATATTCAAGGAATGTCTCTAAGAAAACAACGTTCTGATTCCTTAAACGAATTAGCCTCTAATTCTAAAATTTTAAATAACGTTGAAAAGGACTATTTTTCATTACAAAGATCTCCGAATATAACAGATAGAAGAGCTACTATATTTAGCAGGTCATCAGCCGATAACAACTCATTTACGGGACTAGCACCAAAGAGATCCAGTAGACTTCGTACTAAATCATTTAGTAATAAATTTAAAGAGGTAACTGTTCAACCTAGTTCTTTTATCAAAATACGAAAATTAGGTGAAGGAGACGTTGGAAGAGTTTATTTGGTACGAGAGAAAAAAACTGATAATTTATTCGCTATGAAAGTAATATCGAAGAGAGAAATGATCAAACGTAAAAAGACAAAAAGAATATTGGCTGAACAAGAAATTTTAGCTACAAGTAATCATCCCTTTATTGTCACATTATACCATACATTCCAGACAGAAGAACATCTATTTTTTTGTATGGAATATTGTGTTGGGGGCGAATTTTTCCGTGCATTACAAACAAGAGATTCAAAATGTATTTGTGAAGATGATTCCAAATTTTATTTATGTGAGGTTATTGCTGCCTTGGAGTACCTTCATTTATTAGGCTTTATTTATAGAGATTTGAAACCGGAAAATATTTTGTTACACCAATCAGGACATATAATGTTATCTGATTTTGATTTGTCAATCCAAGTCCCAACTTCGAAGACTCCCTCTTTGCAAGGTTTGAATGTCGACACCAATATATCTTCAGACAGTTTTAGAACAAACTCATTTGTTGGTACAGAAGAATATATCTCTCCAGATGTTATACGGGGGAATGGCCACAACGTTAGTGTTGATTGGTGGACACTGGGTATCTTATTATATGAAATGCTATATGGTATAACCCCATTCAAAGGTAAGGATATAAATGAAACATTCGCAAATATCTTGAAGAAAGATGTATCATTTTCAAATAACGTTTCTGTATCAAGGGTCTGTAAAGATCTTATAAAAAAATTATTGATCAAAGATGAACACAAAAGATTGGGATCAAAGAAGGGGGCTGCGGATTTAAAATCACATCCATGGTTTAAAAAAGTTGCGTGGTCGTTTCTAAGGAATCAACAACCACCTTTGATTCCAGTTTTAACTTCAAATGGTTATGAACTGACTAGTTCAACAAACAATAATTATGATCACGGCACTACGGATTCCCTTAACAGTAATGATAATGACTACTACACAGAAGAAGTGGAATACGATGATGATATATCCGACGAAGATCCCTTCCACAATTTTAATTCTATGAGTTTATTAAAATCTGACGACTCTGGTGAAAGAATGAAATTTACCGATAAAATATCATACGGTAGCGTAACATACGCTGTAAACAATAGTAGACCACGTAGCGATAGTGGGAGTAGAAATTTCTTCAAACGATAATTTATATATGAAAAGCGTATAACAAATTTATTACAGTTTTTGATTATATATATCTGACTTATATATAGTTTGTATTACAATATGGACCTTTAATTATTATTATTGTGATAACTGTAAAAGTTTATTTGACGTATAAGTAGATTTGATCATAGTTCAGAAATGTCCATATCCATGAGCTTCTTGAATTTGTCTATAATGGTTGTGGATTGAACATTTTCAGAATATCTCTTAACTTGAACAGCATCTCGTAATTGTATAGGTAATTCAAGTAATTTTAGATACTCTCTTTCAAATAATTTCAATTCAGAAGATTTTTCATATGCCTTTGAGATTATATCATTCTCGACATTCGCTAATCTCGCTACATTTAACCCATATGAATCGTTACTAATGCCTGGTTTTAGTGTGTATAAAAATACAACACTAGGCCAACTTTCTCCAGCTCTGTGTTCTTCAACAAAATCCATATAGTAATTTTTCAATAGCTGGGAGTCAAAGGAAGCCCCTAATTCAGAAAAATGGGTTGTGAAAAGAACAAGAGGGCAGTCCTCGGACAATTCACAAAAATATTTTAATAACGCATACGAAATAGCTTTCCCATCAATGGTCCCAGTTCCTCTCCCCACTTCGTCCAATAACAATAATGATTTTGAGGTACATTGAGATATACATCTTAGCATGTCTTCCATTTCCATTTTGAAGGTGGATCGCCCTTCTAATATATTATCTTGAGCTCCGATTCTTGTCAGTATATTATCAAACAATGATGATTCCATTGACACCGCAGGAACATAAGACCCAATTTGGGCCATTATAAGCAGTAGTGCCACTTGGCGAATATAAGATGATTTACCACCCATATTTGGACCTGTGATGATATTTATTCGACTATCATGTTGTGCCATTTGGACATTATTAGGAACATATGTTATATCAAGTGATTCTATAACAGGATTTCTACCCTCCTTTATGTTAATATACTGTTTTTCTTCTGAACAATGAGACTTAAATTTTGGTCTGCAATAATTCACATTACATGAAGTAGCAGCTAATGATAGAATACAATCGTAGGTTGCCAGTTCATGTATTACTCTGTTTATGTTAACGTATTCGTCATTAATCATCTCCAAAAATCTTTTGTACTGTTTTTTACATTCATTCAAAAGAAGCTCTTTTTCGTAATTAAGTTTTTCTACAAGTTTTAAGGTGATTGGGGTCGCAAATCTACTGACCACTTTGGTGTTATTTACTTTAACCCAATCATGAGGAATATTTTTGATTTGAGTGTTTCTAATTTCGATCAAATACTCTGTATCATTTTTATATTCTAATTGGGGCCTTTTCAGTAATTTCCGAATTCCATAAAGACTTTCTTTCAGCTCCATTTTGATTTCTTCTATGTCTCGTTGAATCTTAAGAATTTCATCTGGATTGTCATAGTTATTTAAATTAAAGAACTCAGTGATTTGTTTTATGTGGTCCCGATCTAAAGCAGCATTAATATTTATCATAGATAAGAGCTTTGGAAGAATATTTTCAGCAAAATATTCATTAATTCTGGAAAATATTTGGGAAAGAAGAGGTGCATTTTTAAAAATATTTGAAGTATCAGATAGGATGTTGTCCTTCACGTATTTTTCATGTAATTGAAAGTGATCACCTATGCTTACAAGTTGTTTTAGAAAATAATAAACTTCATTTCTGGAAGTAGATCCGTAGGATATCCTATTTAGCGTCTTAAGTAAATCAGGAGTTTTTGTTAATATCTGGTTTAATGAATCAAAAAAAATATCACCTATAACTTTTAACATGCAGTCTAGCGCGTCTAATCTATTTTCAATCTCTTCTTTGTTAATTAATGGTCTCGACACCCAATTGTATAGCTCTCTCGATCCAAATGGTGTTCGTGTGTGATCTAATATCCAAAATAATGAACCTTTTTTACCGTTATTTGAAAATATATTCAAACTATCGAGGGCATTGTGGTCTAATATCATGTACAACTCTGACAAGAATAATTTGTAGTTTGAAGATATTAATAAAGATCTTTCATTTGAATATTGTTTCAAATATGAGTATAATGTGAATATAGGAGACATTTTTTCTTTTGTTGTTTGTAGAATTGGAATAAGCGTTTCAATAGTATCCTTGAGGTTGGCAATTTCATCCTCATCCAGGGTGTCACTTTCGAATTCCGAATTTTCTGTATCGTGGTGTATCGTACAATCAATATTCTTAAACAAGTTACAAATATTGGCTGACAGTGTATTTTTAGAAATTATGACACACTCAGTAGGTTGTAAGTATTTTATCCTAGTATGCAAACTGTCAGTAGATTGTCTGTTTTCGGTAATTTCATCAAATACAATTTCGCCACTATTGAGATTAATAGAAAATAGAACATATTTTAGCAATATATTATTAACGTCTTGTATTGATAGTACCCAGATACTTTTTGAATTTCCTAAAATCTCTCCTTTAGTACGGGAAGAATTGAAAGAGTTATTAACTCCATAGGTAGCCTTCGAAAAGGTATTTGCAATCTCTCTTACAAAAACGCTACTCTTGTTTGTTGAATTCTTCTTAATTGCAGTGGTCTCTGATTGTTCAACTACTGAGACAATCAAATTATGGTATAGTAACCGTTGGAGATGAACGTTTAGTCTGATATCAGGAAAGGAACAATACGCAAATTGTTTATAATTTACATCTTGAGGATTGGATTCATCCATTGTTAATTTACCAGGTATTAGTCTGATATGTAGAATTTTACTAGCAGCTACGGCATCTTGAGCGAAACATTTATATTTGTATCCAACTCTAATAACTAATAGTTTGTCCATGTTTTTCAGTTTCAAATCTTTTACTTGTTGGTCTAAAGGAGTTAATTTCCTGGAGTCATTCGTCTTCCTCTTTTTTGATGGCATTTCAGGGCTATCACTCAAATTGTCTAACTGCTCATCATCAATTATTGAACCTGAAATTCCAAAACTTCTCTTTTTCATAATATTGTTTAGTTTCTTGTCGAATTCATTTATTTGCTGGTTGATATTTATTAAATGGTTAGAAGTCACATCATTATTCGCAGTCTGGTATTTCCATTTAACATTTTCAGCAAATATGTCATCGGAAGGGTCAGTCTCTCTCACAGGAAACGAGTTCGTATTCATAGTTTTGGGGGTCATCGGCTCGATATTTTTATTCCTTTCGTTAAAACTCTGTTCATTGAGCAATTCATCATCATTCAAGTCATCTAGACAAATGCTTGTTTCCTGTGATGTCCCTAATTGAGATTCTTGGAATTCATTGGATACGGATATCTCATTATCCTCCTTTTTAACAGATTTAAAAAATCTGCTTATTGTCGATTGTTTACTCATGGCTTTTATAGTGGTGTGTGAAGCATCTATTTTTATGGTAAATTACAAGCGTTTTTGAATTCAGAGATTGGTTTTGTTCCAATTGATCAAACCATCTAGAAGCTAGGTGTCTATCGATAAATGTTAGATTCCATTTTTATGTAATCCATCAACAGTTTGATGATTCACTCTCTGTCTATCAAGACATATCACTTCTTGATCCAAATATATAAAAATCACTTAATACGAGCTTATTTATTAACAAGAAAAACAAAGAGAACGGAAAAAATTATGAATGTGGAAAAGATTGGTGACCGAGTTGAAGAACAAGGTGTTTATTGTTAGCTAGTTCTTTTATTCTCTTGATCAAAACAGATTATCGAATAACATCAAAAGGATTCGTTATATTTATGTTATTTTCACTTTTTCTGAATCCGCCTCCATACACAATACTTCAATTGAATTCAAATTATTTAAAAATTTCAGTAAAAGAATTGATTACATGCAATCTGGAAACATATTAAAGGCTATTACCAAAGAAAGCAACGAAGGGACCGAAGCCACAAATATTGTCATATCTCAGATTAGTTTATTAATTTCAACATTAACAGAAGGTAATTTTAGTGAAATAGAAACTAGAATTAATTACATACTATCTAAATCCAGCATCCGTGTTTATTTAAGATACTGGGATAGATTACTAGCATACGCAGAATCTTATATTTTAAAAAATAGAAAATTAGATATCCAAGGAAATCTTCAACATAAATTACTTTTAAACCTAATAAAAAGTTTAAATACAAAGAACCAAGGATTTCTAGAATATCTTCGTACCAATTTATTCGATCTTTTGTTAACTGAACATCTTACTTTTAAAGATATAATTGGGGTACTAGATAGCACTGCTGACAAAGAAATTATCGAAGCATTATTACCAGAATCAACTATTCAAAATCTAAAAGAATTAGAAGAGCTTAAGATGAATAACATAAAATATCTACAGACTTTCGTATCTACGGAATCTATCGATTCTATGGAATCAAAACTAGATGATATATTTTCTTCCTTAAATGGAGAGAGTTTGAATGACATTGTTGCACTACTACTATCTGAAATTCTTTCTCCGTACTCACAAAATATTCAGGATGACAATAAACCTTCTTGGTTAACCCCTGAAACAATGTTAGAATCATCAGTTGTTGGTGAACATATATCAAAATGTATTCAAAAAGTTGCGCCAAACGCAATCAATTGGAACCGTATTTTCAATCTAATGTCAACAAAATACTTCATGACCACCCCAATTAAACCAAGAACCTCGTCATTCAATTCACTTCTAACTTCGCTAAAGCATGGTGTTCTCATCGACCAGTTTTTTAGTTGTGAATGGCCAATTGATTTTAAACTTTTTATTACCTGTGAATTGCATAAGTGGCCAAAAGGTGATGGTGCCTTCGATCTGCTGAATGTTCCTGACACTAAAAAAGTATCGGATAAACTTCCAAACACTAAACAATCGTTGCTGTATATATTATCTGTTGCAACCATTGATTTAGAGCTATTCTTCTTGAGGGATGAGTTAGAAAATAAAACGATGTTAACTTATTATCAAGAATGCTTCTTTGAGGATTTCAGTTATAGTCCAGAGTATTTATATTTGACATTAGTGGATAACATCAAACACTTCATCTTATTAACCGATAATAAAGCAGTTATCGAAGAAATTATTATTACACTCTTTGTTCAGGTATTTGTTAAAACACCGGAGGTAATGGGTGATTTGTTGACTATTCTGCCTTCAAAAGACAAGATGCTTACTGATATTACTAGAATGATACTACAGAAAAATGAAGTTCCTATTGACAGCTTCGTCAAATTATTAATTGACCATGATAAGCTTGAATATATTCTGAATAGAATTACCTTGGTTGAAGCATTTTCCATTTTACCTTACCCAATTAAATATGGATGGAAGGGTTTTAAAACATTTTTGAAGTCGCACATAAATGTGGATACCGCATCTGTAGCATTGGATTCTATGGAACTTCAACTTTCTATGACTGATGTGAACACACCGCTCAGGTCCTCTAAGTCATTTGATTTACCATCATTGAACGACCTTATTTTATGTATAATGGATGTACCATTGAATAATGAAGACTTGGAGAAATTTGAAGGTCTTCAATACAAGATTCTGATTGCATTCCCAAAAATTATCAACATTTCTACTGGACATGATGTTGCTATTTTAGCTAATGGTAGTTTTACTCCAATTGCACCAGATGTTGAAAAAGAAATGCAAGGTTATTTGCAAAAGATGTACAGCGGTGATATTCAAATAAAGGATGTTGTCGAGGTTCTAAGAAAATTGAAAGATAGCGATGAGCCAAGAGATCAAGAAGTATTTGCATGTATCACACACGCAGTCTTGGGGGAATGTAATTTTTTCAAGGATTATCCTTTAGAAGCCTTGGCTACAACTTCTGTCCTGTTTGGATCAATGATTCTGTTTCATTTATTGAATGGATTTGTTTTAGATGTAGCACTTAGAACTATACTAAATTTTGCAAAAGAAGGATCCGAATCCAAAATGTTTAAATTTGCAATCCAGGCTATATATGCGTTCAGGATCCGTTTGGCCGATTTCCCGCAGTATTGTAAGGATCTACTTGAACAAATTCCCGGCTTGAGCACACAAACACAGGTCTATCAATTTATTTATGACGCTTCTCAATCTGCTCAGGCTTCTAACCAAAAAAGTGAAATGTCTAGTAAAGCAGCCTCAGAACTACTCCCTATGAAATATTTAGTGGTCGAGGAATGGCACTCTTCAGTTATTCAGGAAAACCCTACAAAGGATATCACTGAAAAGGTCTTATTTATTGCAAATAATATTACGATTGACAATTTTGATTCCAAGATTAATGAAATCGTCACTTTGGTCACTCCAAATTATTATACCTGGTTTTCTAATTATCTTGTTAATCAAAGGGCTAAAACAGAACCTAACTATCATACATTATATTGTAAAATATTTACTGCATTTAAATCAAATCCATTACATGAGTGTGTTATTAATATTACGTTAAGACAACTGTACGTTATTTTAGCTATAAAGGATAAAAACCAAATAGATAAGAAAACGATGAAAAACCTATCATCCTGGTTAGGTCTAATAACCTTAGGTGTAGATAGACCAATTAGACATAGAAATGTAGCTTTTAGAGAATTATTGCTAGAAGCATATAAGGAAGATAGACTTGACATTATTGTTCCGTTTGTTACGAAGGTTCTACAAAATGTCGAATCCTCAAAGGTATTTAGACCTCCTAATCCATGGACTATAGGTATTCTTCAAATTTTGTTGGAACTTAATGAAAAAGCCAACTGGAAACTAAGTTTAACATTTGAGGTTGAGGTCCTATTTAAAACTTTAAATATATCTATGAAAGGTATTCAACCTTCTAATCTAATTGAGGCAGTGGATAGTGTAGATATAATTGCAGGAAAATTAGGAAATATTTCGTTAGAACAACAGCAAGGTGAACGCCAAAAACAGATTATGTTAATGCAACAACATCAACAACATATGCTGATGTACAGACAACGTCAACAGCAAATGTTATCATCTGGCATTACCGAACAAAATCAATTTAATGTTGAATCTCTTGGTTCCGCATCTGCTGTTCCAAATATACCTTCACAACAGGTATCTGGTATGACAACAGTTCAATCAAATGAGACGCCATTCCAGAATTTATTGGGTAGTACTGTATTCGTCACACATCCAGATCTAAAACGTGTTTTCCAAATGGCTCTTGCAAAGTCAGTTAGAGAAATATTAATTCCTGCAGTTGAGAAGGCAAGTAATATTGCCGTGGTATCTACTATAAAAATTGTTGGAAAAGATTTTGCTACAGAAGTTGATGAAGGAAAATTAAATACCGCAGCAATAAACATGGTAAGACATTTGGCGCAAAGTTTGTCTCGTGCTACATCCATCGAACCATTAAGAGAAACAATCAGGACTACTACCCAATCGTTAGCTCCAAATTTGGCTAACCTATCATTCAATCCATTTGGTGAACTTGATAATGCAATCAACGACAATATAGGATTAGCTTTAGTTTTGATAGAGAATGCGGCAGTTGAAAGATCGGTTCAGGAGATTAGTGAACAATTAGTTCAATCAATTGCTGTTCGTAGATATCATAGGGAAAGAAGAGCAGACCAGCCATTCTTGGCACCAAATGTCAATCCTTATTCATTAACTTTACCAGAACCGTTAGGCTTGAAGAGTTCTGGTGTTACCCAACAACAACTAAATATATATAAGGACTTCGGGAAGTTTATGCCTAACGGTGACGGCATGGTAGGGGGTAAGATTTCTGCTCCTCCTATCATGAATCAAAATTCTGCCGTTCAAGTCCATGAGCAATTCCCCCAAGTTCCACAGCAACAACAACAGCAAAGGTTAGCTCCACAACCGCCAATGGTTCAACCAGTTCAACAGATGAACACAATTCAAAATGAATTGGAACAAAACCATCGTGTTCTTGTGCACTTAATGGATGTTTTAGTTGCCCAAATCAAAGAAAATTCGAGCAAAGAATCGCTTGAAGAATTAGGTGAAAATAATCAAATAAATAACATCATCTTTCAAATTTTAACATTTATTGCTAGAAGCGAACAAAAGGATCAACTAGCACTAAAGGTTGCCCAAGCCGTTGTGAACAGTTTATTTGCTACCAGCGAAAGTTCTTTGTGCAGAGAAGTATTATCATTATTGCTTGAGAAGTTGTGTTCATTATCATTAGTTGCAAGAAAAGATGTAAGTTGGTGGCTGATATACGCTTTGGACAGTAGAAAGTTTGATGTCCGTGTAATTAGATCTCTACTTGAAGTTCATCTAATCAATGTCTCAGAGTTAGATAATGTAATGGTAACCGCTATGATTAACAATATGGAAAACGCTATCGAATTCGCAATTGATGTTTTGAAGGGTACCGTATTATCTAAAGAACCAATATTGATGAGAATGGATTTTGTACGTACCCTAGAGCACTTAAGTAGAGTAGATGATCCAAAGGTGAAGGAATTTCTAAATCAATTCAACAGCTCAGATGTATTACCTATTACTGATGGCACTAACGTTATTTTAAATGAAAAATATTTCTTGGTTTTCACAGAATGGGTGAAACTGTTGCAAAGAGTTGATATTGAAGATGATGTTGTTCTGGCGTTCATTTCTCAGATGATGGAAAATGGTGTTATTACAGATTCCGATAGTTTAATACGATTTTTGAAATCGGCTCTGGAACTTTCAGTATTTGCTTTTAAAGAAAGTGATCCGACTAGTGAAGTTTTTACTGCTATTGATGGTCTAAGTAAGCTTATTATCAAACTGTTAGTGTACCAAGAATTTACCGAATGGACCAAATCAGCCTATATGCATGTTATTTTCTCTGTTATGTTGTTAGTTTGTTCCAAGGATCATGAAGATCCAAGCTTTAATGAAAGACCATATTTTAGATTTCTATCGAATTTATTATTCGAGTGGAGTACTCTTCGTGGTAATAATTTTGCTTCTATCGAAAATGTTGAAACAAGAAAAGAATATCGTAACTTCGATATTGAATTTTACAATATTTTTGCTACCTATCTACATTCATTCCAACCTTTTGCATTCCCTGGATTCACTTTTGCTTGGGTATCCTTGATTTCCCACAGAATGTTCCTCCCAATCATGTTAAGACTGGATGAAAAAAAGGGCTGGAAAAAATTGATGATACTTCTAATCGATCTGTTCAAATTTTTAGATACTTATACTAAGAAAACGGCATTGTCGGATACTGTTTCAGTGGTATACAAGGGAACACTACGTGTTATTCTAGGTATTTCTAACGATCTTCCTGACTTCTTAATTGAAAACCATTTCGAATTGATGAATAACATTCCAGCTACATATTTCCAGTTAAAGAACGTCATTTTGTCGACCATTCCATTGAAGATGGTCATACCAAACCCGTACGATTCTACCTTGTCTATGGAAAATATGGAGGTTTGTCAAACTCCACCTTGCGTGTTTTATGACCCGGTTGAAGCATTACAATCTTTAAAGAAGCCTATTGATAATTATTTGCGCATTCCTTCCAACTCACTGTTCAAGACAATATCAAACGGGTTGTATAGAACTGAATATGATATCAAAAATGGGGTTGGTTTTGACTTCGTCAGTGTAGACCAAGAACTAGTTCGTGCTATAGTTCTACATGTTGGTATTGAAGCTGGTTTAGAAAATGGGAGAACTTCCTCTAGTGCGGTATTCAATACAAAATCATCGTATTATGCCTTACTTTTCAATATGATTAATGAAGGTATTTCGGAACTAAAATATCAGATCTTACAAGTCATGATTGAACAATTACGTTTCCCAAATATTCATACTTACTGGTTTTCTTATGTCCTAGTAAACATGTTTACTTCAAAGGATTTCGGTGATAACCTGGCGGAAGTTCAGGAAATTATGTTAAGAGTTTTACTAGAGAGAATTATTGTTAACAGACCTCACGCTTGGGGTGTTTCCGTTTTGGTTACAAAACTTCTAACCAATGAAGAAATTGATATCATGGATCTACCTTTCATGAAGGCTGTTCCTCAAATAGAGACAATATTTCAACAATTAAAAAAGCATACTGCAATTAATATTACACCATATACAAATACTGAAGTACCTGACGGGAATAATGCATCTATAGCAGCAAAATGAGGATTACAATTGTGAATTTATAATGTATTTTTCTGCATGCTATCATATATATATATATATACAACCAAATAATATATATCCTGTAATAATTATTAATATTAATTTAACAAGTAATGAAATGTATATCATGATAAATTAAGTTAATAGCTTGTTGTTTCTTAAAAATGTTTCCTGTAACCGTTGTTGCTAAGAAACTTTAATTTTTTGATGTCTCGGTAATTTTTGTTTAGTGTAGGAATGGGAACTTTTACTTTTTTGTTAGGAAATGTTTTCTCATATAGGTAGTCTAGTTTTACAATTGACATACAGTATAAGAAAAGAAAAGAATGAATCTTCACTAAAAACAGAACTATAATTACTACAAGTAAACTACATCAGCAAAGTAAATTAAGAAAGATGTCCTCCCTTTTTAAGAAGTTGAATATCTTTAACGGAAAATCTGCTCCGACTCAGCCCCAACATAAATCAAATAAACCTCCAAATACAGGGTTTAGACAACAAAGGTTAAAATCATGGCAACCTATTCTGACACCTCAAAGTGTATTACCAATTTTAATATTCTTTGCGTGCATTTTTACACCTATTGGTATTGGTCTTGTGGCTAGTAGTAACGGCGTTCAGGATTTTTCAATTGACTATAGTCATTGCGAAAGTAAAGCTGCAGAGGAATTTGAAAACATTCCTCTCAAATATGTAAGACACCATTTTAAAGAAAAACTTTCATATCAACCCCAATGGAGAACATTTATAAATGATGACGAGACAACAACATGCCAGCTACAATTTGAAATTCCAAACACCATAAAGAAGCATATATATGTGTATTATAAGTTGACTAATTTCTACCAAAACCATAGAAGATATGTGGAATCATATGACCATAGACAGCTTAAAGGGAAGGTTCTAAAATATGAGGACCTCAGTATACATTGTAAGCCATTGAGAGGTGAAGGTGAGAAAGCGATCTATCCATGTGGTTTGATAGCAAATTCAATGTTCAATGATACATTTAACCCCAAACTTATTGGTGCAGATGATAGCACAGAAGATTTTGAATTGACAAACAAACATATATCTTGGTCAATCGATCGTCACCGTTACAAAATGACCAAATACAATGCTTCTGATATTGTGCCACCACCTAACTGGACGAAGAAATATCCTGACGGTTATACAGATGATAATATTCCGAATATTCATGAATGGGAAGAATTCCAAGTCTGGATGCGTACAGCTCCCTTCCCAAAATTTTACAAGCTAGCTCTAAAGAATGAATCTGCATATCTACCAGATGGGAAATACTCAATGGATATTGGTCTTAACTACCCTGTATCGATTTTTGGTGGATCTAAAAGTTTTATTATAACGACAAATGGTGTTACTGGTTCAAGGAACCTATCATTAGGAATTACATATCTAATAGTTGCAGGCTTAGCTGCATTATTTGCTTCCGTTTTTCTTATTAAAATGGTATTCCAACCAAGAACTCTTGGGGATCATAATTATTTGAATTTCGAAGGTTCTGAAGGCACTCAACACGATGAAGAGAATGCAAACGAAGAGATTCCGTTACGTGATATTCTATAGATTGGTATGTTCCTATTTTTATATAATTTTATAAAATTATAAACTGTTTTACCATGTAAATGCTAGTAATATGCCTGATATAACTAGAGAGATAGTATAACCATCTCTTTTATTTTTACTGAATATTTTGTATATGACAACACATAATGAGAAAAACTACACAAAAATTTGTTCTTTGTAAAAATGATGAACATCTGGGGCATTATCTTGCTCCCATGTGTCTCTTTGGAATTTAAACCATTCAGGTAGCTCCAATTCATTTGGAATTTGTAATCGTATATAATCTGCTTCTGTGTTTTGTGAGTTCTCATTTTTGTAATAATCGTAATCCCCATTTTCTTTTCTATTAAACGTTAATCTATATCGATGTCCAAATATACCCATATCTGATGTGCTTCTTTTCATACCATAGCTCTTTTGAGATTCTCCATCAAATTCGTCTTCTTCATTTTGAATATCTGGATTTTCCCTCCTCTCTGTTTCTTCAACAATGGCTATCATACGAGCAGGTACCTCTGGTGGATTACACAAATCATTTTCAGTTACAAATATTAGATTACTCCTAGAGAGTTTCCGATGATTATCGATGACATCTTTTGGGGATTCAATATTTAGTAATGCTTTTTTATCGGAGTTAATAGCGTCAATTGTTTCTTGTTCTATCCGTAATTCTATTAGTTCTAGATATGTTTCTGCAAAATATGATCTATTCTTGCCAGCATATAATCTATATTCATTTATTATTGATGATATATTCCATTTTTGAATCTTTCTAAGAATACCGATGAGCAGGGCAGTCTTATCAACCAATAAAATGTTATAAAATTTCTGATCCAATAACATTTTGAAAGTTTTCTTCAAACAATAGCTCTTTATCAACATTAGTTCATCACTGTCATTAAGTATATACTTCAGATGTTTGTTTTTAATTGGCGCCCTAATTTCTGTGACATCTTCTTGATCTTCAATGATTCCGTCCATTCTATTATCTGCGGAGCTATGATTTTCAATAGTTGACGTTGAAAAATCAGAATCCCTCACCTGTTCTTGCTTTCTACCTCCTACTGTATCATTTCTCTCCAAACTCATATGAACAGAGTTCTGTCTATCCTTACTTTCTTCGTCATCTTCTTCATCAGATGCAATTTCAGAGTTTTTCAAGCTATTCACCTGTGCCCCTACATTGGCGTAATCTGTAGTTCGTATACTTAACCACTCAATTGAAGACCTATTGAAGAATTCTTTAAAAAATTTCGAAGGTTCTTGACCTCCAATATATATCACTGTCTTTAAATCTAGTGTCTCTAAGAAGGATAAGTTTAATGTCTCAACTTTTGAACATCTGTATATTCCTTCTTCCGCAATGCCAAAATTTGCAGGAGGAACTAACATTTTGACCCTGTATTAATATGGTGTAAACTTGAAAATGTAACGCTTTTGATTATTATATAATCTCTTTATACTGATTGTGTTATTGGTATTCTTTATAAATTTGTACTTCTTTTCATTACATAAATACTTCCAAATTAAAATCTTGATAGGTCCTCTCATATATAATTTTAAAGCAAACCTAATCGTAGTTCTTCGCGCTGTATAGAAACAACAAAACAGAATAAAGGAATTCCTTAACAAAGGTAATTAAATACATTCAATGTTCATGATGAAATTAGCATATAGATTGACTCTTTATTTGTTCTTCATCTTAAGAATGCTACTACTTTATCCTATCATCTACAACATTTTGTACATAAGAACAATCTATCTACCTATGTATATATTACATTATAACTTTATGTACTTAAAAAATTCTCGTTTCTTTGGTAATCTTGAGCGTTATTGCTAGATTGCCTCCTCTGATTCTGTCTCTTTTCAAATACAACTTCCTCTTCATCAATATTCATCTTTGCTTTAGATAAACAATTAGATTGACTATTTTCATTATCAAAGTCAATAACTGTATAGTTCTCACCTGTAGTAATTTTGACAATTGTACCGAATTCGTTCTCCAAAGAATTTCTAATCTGTTCTTCGGTGAGATCGCGAGTATTTTTGACAAATACAGAATAATTATTACTGTTTTTCTTGTGGTAATTATTATGTGTTGAATCATTAGAAGCGTTCCGACTACCATTACGCTCATAATTTGAATTATTATTACTATTATATTTCTTCCCAGAATATCTGTTATAAGTATTATTATTCATATTAGAATTTGAATTATAATAACCGTACTGTTGTGGCATTACATTCTGGTACTGATAGTAATCACTCATTATCTGTTGAGGGAATAGTCCCATATTACCATTATCAATGACACCACTATTGTTAGCATTCCAATTATTATATTTGTTTTGGTAAATTCTATCTTCTGGTGTAAAGGAGGTTGAATTATTATTATAATGGTCATTTTTAGATTTCGATCTTGCTTGGAGATTATTAGTTTTCCTATTTGTTCTTGTGTTCACAAAGGATTTATGAGTGATCTCTGTAGTGATTCTAAATACACTATTTGATATTTCATAAACCTGTTTATCATCCTCAGTAGTAGATAATAAGAAGTTTTGGGTAAAATTGTAAACATTAGTATTCTTCCACATAACTTCACCAGTTAGAGACAACAAAATGGTTGAAGATGAAGAGAAAATACCTGACACGTTTTGAGAGTCAAATGTCTTGATTTTCAATTTAGTGGTAGACAGTTGAATCTTCGTAGACTCAAAGAATTCTTTGATTGCATTTTTACCATGTAACTTCACAACTGGATACGTTTCATGTTCTTGATCATCTAATTTTGCCACATCGACAAATACGACATCAGAGGAATCGGAGTAAAATTGTGATACTTTTGTAGGATCCGCATTCAATGCTTCATAATACATGAAAACGAAACCTAGACCAATGACTTTTAATGTAACTTTTGTCATTTCTTCAACAAAATTAATTATATGATAATAATGTTACGTATATATGTGATGTTGCTCTATCTTGATTCGAAGGTAGTAATTTCTCCTATTTGAGCCAACAAATTAAAAAAGGGGTGTAAATAAACGAGTGGCTATTACTTGTATTTGCTTTTTTTAACAGAAATTTGACTCTTTAAATGTAATATATAGTATTAATATGATATCTGATATAAATGTATTGGTAAACATTGATATTACCTTTCCGAAAGATGTAACTCAAGAACAGAAAATATTTATTGTAAAATGGTTATCGGTTCAATCAATTCATAATATCTCATATCATTTGCAACTAATACCTTTTTCACGCGCAACTAGACTATGGCAGAAACAGAGCGAACTTCTCTCTATCAACATTTTCATCATATTGACGAACAATAGAGGACCAGGATCGTACAACGTTCCAGTATCAAATAATAGAATAACAAAGGGATTGAGTATATACATTTCTGTATTGCTATAATATTTTCCCCTTCAATATACCACATTCATTTATATATGATGTTTACTTTACTGTACTGTAGTATATATATATATATATATTGTAAAAGGTACCTTTTTCAACACAATCAAATTTCATGGTTAATATAATCTTGGTATAGTTTCCAACTTGGTCCATTTTCTGGGTCTCTTACGTAAATGAATTTGACACCAAATTTTTCAACATCTTTATTTCTGGCTTCATCATCAAATAGACATATATTATATTTCCTTAAATCATTATTTCCATATATTTTCTTCAACCCATCTCCAATATGACCAATTTTACTCCTCTCCCCCCATTCTTTAGCGTCAAACAATTCTCCTAATGTGACTAATTTTCCATTATATTCTACTTTAAATTCACCCAATAATTCTTTAGCGATCTCGGGAGCCCATGTCCTCGACGCAGATATTATCTTAGTGCCATGTTCTTTTAAATCAATAATTATTCTTGGAATATCTTTATAAAAAGACAACTCAAATCCTCTTGCATCAACTACAGTATGTACCTCACCATTACTATTTTTCACAGGTTTAAAAGGTGGTACTAAGTGAGTGTCACAATAGCACGGCCATACTGTATAATCTAAATCAAATGCGCTAACTTCAGGATAAACTTCCATCGTTAAAAACTATCTATCTATCTATCTGTCTGTCTTGGTGTATACTCAATTAGCTTGAAGTTTAGCTACAAGAAACGTTTTCTCGTTAAAACAAAAGAGCATGAATTGATCGATGTAACATAGAGGATTCATGTCTTCGAGAATGTCAACGTGCTTAACTCTAAAATTGGATATATATATATAAGGATAATTGGCGATATAAAATTGTTTGAATTTTCCATTTTGTAAAGCGGGACTCTCCGCCGAGTTCGGCCGATTGATAGATGTAAAGTGTCTCACCATGACATAACTCAGCTATGAAACTTTAGTTTTAATTATTACGTTTTCTAATTGTTACAATGGATATACGCCTGACATACCTATTTGACAAAAACATTAAGCAAAACAACAATAACAGTTTAAAGTTGAATTAAAATATGTTATACGGTCCCTTTCTGTCAGAAATTAAGAGTAATATACTGTAAGCATAAGTTTGAAATCTAGAAGTTACGATTAGTATTCGAGTTGAAATTTGTAGAGAATCTGAGATAGAGTGTTTGCCTCTATTAGTCTCTTCAAGCTTTACTTTATTTAATTCGGACATTTTTTAATACGATAATCGATCAGTCTCTTTATATTATATATAATTTATAGAACAAATAGAATCTAACTTCGAATGCAAGTTCAGAATTCTTTGTCTTTATATATATTTTATTCTAATCTCAATTGAGGTTCGAATTATGTTTTGTTTCATAATGCGATTAACTTTGTTTCATGTTGCCACATATTTTGTTTCATATTTTAACACACTTCATAATAACTGTGCTTAAAGGTAGTTCTTTACCTATTGAAATTAAGTGTTGTGCATATTACTCTTAATTTCTGACAAAATTATCGGACATAGCTATAGATATTCAAATGTATAATCTTGTGGTTTATTTTATGTTATATAAAGTTGAGCTGAAGCAGACATACTGTGGTTAGACTTATATTCGTTCATTATTAAAGGTGTTAGGTATAGAGGTGAATGGTGTAGCTTAAGTTTTAATGTTAGGTAAGCAAAATATAATTGTTATCTTTCTCTTATATTTGTAAGTCATTTATTTATATTGTATATAATTTACAGAACGAATAGAATCTAACTTAGAATGTAAGTTCAGAATTCTTTGTCTTTATATATCATTTATTTTATCGAAGTTTCGTTTCTTCTTATTACCTAAACGATTGTTTCCTAAACGATTGTTAAGTAGTAAACTGATTACCTAAACGATTGTCAAGTAATTGATTTGTTACCTAAACGATTGTTGGTTAAACGATCGATAAGTAATGAACTTATTATCTAAACGATTATGACCTAAACGACTATTACCTAATAAAATGTTTATTTCTTATTAGGACATCTTAGATATCTTAATTTCACATAATTTCTGTCAAAAGTAAGTCTATATAAGGAAGATTGTATATATATAAAGTTAGAATATGTGGTCCTTTTATACTTTTGGAAAAGGAAAACAGTCTACCAAATATTGATAGTATTCTTACTAAACATTCTAGAAACATGTTCTAGACACTTATGAAACAATTAGTAATACTTGCTTACCTAACATTAAAACTCAAGCTATGCCATCAACCTCTCTACCTGCCACTATATAATATGAACGAATATAAGTCTAACCACAGTATGTCTGCTTCAGCTCAATAACAGATCTACTCTCTTGCCAATCTTGTTAAACAGAGTTGCTGTTGTTAAACTGCTCATCTTTTGTGCATAGTAACGTTGGACTATGTAGCTCCAATAAACCCAATGTAGGGGGAACGAATACTACATTATGCAGTATATATCATGTGTTATTATATATACGACAGTGCGGCACACTCTAAATTCTACTTATATTAGCTACCTTCACCTTCAGTTAGATTAAGCTAATGTTAGCCTTTTTAGTGTTGCCGCAACATATTTATCAAATCTGCGTCAACAAATTGTAATAACTAAATATTACTACTATCTATATTATAACAGTTTCAGATACAACAAAATTAATTAAAAATACGGGCGTGTGGTCTAGTGGTATGATTCTCGCTTTGGGTTCTTTACTCGAATATGTGAGAGGCCCTGGGTTCAATTCCCAGTATGCCCCCTTTTTTGGCTCCTTTCCCCCCACTTAATGTCGCTAAAAAGCTATCTTTTCATAAGTTATATGTACTTTGCATACTCAGATGTGAAACTTCAAAAATATTATTCTACTTTGTATTGACAAGCTCTTACTCTCTATTATATTTTGTAAACTTTATCATTAGGAAAAGGTATATCGGGAAGATTAATTTCTTTTGATGTATACCATATTTATAGGGCGTAAGCACTGACCGTGTCGACGAAAATATCACGAAATGTTCATGCAAAACTTTCAACTTTCGCTAGCACTTCTCACCATCTAACATGACGTTTGCTGGCCTCCAATGCTCACTCACTCACCCGAAATTCTTTCATCTTAAAAATAAAATACGGTACGACGGATTATTGAAAAGTCGAACGTCACCTCTCATTAAATTTTGGCCTCTATTAATATTTGTATTTGAGTTGGCTTTGCTCCTAAAGCCTTCCATAAGTTTTTAAAATACTTAAATGAAAGTACTTACACATCGGTTGTTCTGTTCACTTTTTATATCTTTTTTGACGTCCATTTTCTAAGTATTCCATGATCACTAAACAGCCAGATATCCGAAAGTTTTATTAAGCCGTAGCTGCTCCTATCAATCTCTATAACTTACTCTCAAATAATTACTGACACTTCAAACCGTTCTATTCATTCATTTTCGTTTATTTAATTAACTGTACTGTCATTTCCTGAGCACAAATGAATGCGAAACGAAAAAAACAACAATATGTATGAAAATAATAAATTACACAGCGAAAGATGAGAAATCATCCCAATTCTCTTTTATCACCGGCAATGGTAACAAATATAGTAGTAGTAATTGTAATAGCCTCTCTCGTAGTTTTGAAAGGAAAGGGACTAATAAATCATATCTCTTCAACAGCCATTCGATATATAGTCACTTGATGGATACGGAAATCAGTAAAAAGGAATACCTGTTCACACATATATGTATATATACACTCACCGTGATATAACTCCAACCACTATTATAATAACAGATCAACATTTAAAAGGATAACGACATTATCATAAGACACTTGAATGAGTATAACTTTGAAGTCTCTACTAAGACCCCGATTATACATTCCCTCCAGTATCATTGGGATACGACCTATATATAACCATGCAAACATTGTGTTGAAGAATATTACGACTCCATCGTTACGAAGTCGAATGTTAAACTCAAATAATATACTTACAATACCCATATTATCAAGAACTTTATCTTATAGCATAAGTCGATTAAAACATTTTAGTAATGGAAGTAATAAAGGAAATTTTTCAATAAATAATAATAAAAAATCGTCTATTCATGTCCCAAATTTTAATAAACATCAGCCAAAATTTAGCAAGATCAAACCGGATGCCATAGGGACGATTGTATCGGGAAAGGGATTTAAAAATGAATTCGATGATCATCCAAAAAAATTGAGAGAAAAGAAGGATAACATGCATAGTATTAACGATAAATATGGATCAAAATATCATAGTAAACATATATCAGTAACTGAAATAGAATATCCCAACAGTTCGAAGAACGAAACCAATAAAGATAAAAAGAATACTGTTCTTCCAACAACGACAACCGCAACAATTACTTCTGTCAACCTTGCCTCTGAAGTAAAAATTGCAAATCCATGTATTACCAAAACAGAACCCGCTTCAATCAAAGATAGTAGTTCCGATGTTGCAAATCAAATTAACGAACTCGAGACCTCTCAGAAAATACAAATTAATTCCTTATTGGGATCAGGATCTCATGTAAATCATTCTTTTTTCCAAAAGATAAAAGAAAATATCAAGTGGTTCTTAATAAGAAATAAAAACAGACCATTTTCTAAAGATGAACTTGGTACCCTATTTTCTTGGTTGTTTATATCACAGATAGTATGGCTGGTATTGAAGACAACCACCGTTGTTTCATTACTTTTATTAACTTTCAACACTGTTTTTGCCAAGGAATTAGTCGCTCAAACTATTGGTAAGCTTATCAATTACTTTAGTGAAGATATTTCTATAAATTTTCAAGATGCTTTGATACCTGAATGGAAAAGTGGATTTATTAAGTTTAAGGATGTTCGACTAAATACAAACAAGAATCAGGAAAACGATATATTAGAATTTCATTTAGTATTCCATGAAATCGAGATAAATTTATCTTTACGTAAATGGTTACAAGGGAAAGGTTTAATTAATGATATCAAGGTCTTTGGAATAAGAGGCGAAACTGTTATCAATTATAAAGAAAATAAAAAAATTGAAAATTCCCAGGAATTATTACTAGACTGGTTCTCGAATCCAAATTATAAATTAATGAATGTTAATATTTCTGACTGTAAGTTTAATGTCATCGAAAATTTTGCGGATAAATCAGAACCCACAAATGTCAAAATTCGTATATTCAACTTAGATATATCTGGGTTAAGATTTAATCAATTATTAACAGATTTCTTAAAGGCTAACGTTATTACTGGATCCATTAATAACTCTTTGTTTACATTCCATAAGAGACAGCATAAATTATCTTATATGGGTGATATGAAGAATGACTTATCCTCTTGGGACAGAATCACAAGACTGAGATTAAATTCCATAAACGTGAATACCTTGGGACTAAATAAAACAAGATCGTTTAACTGGATTGAAGACGGAGATGTCGATCTTGTTGCTGATATAATGTTACCTCAAGAGACTGATGATTCCGATTTACAAGATAATGATAGATATTTATTATTAGATTTGAGATTTAAATTTAAGGATTTGAAAGCCTCATTACCAAAAATTCCGCCCACTTTATCTACAGGAGAACAAATCATCTCACTTGATGAATTAAAACCTGTAATATCTTTCGTTAATCTACAGAGAATATTGTCACGCTCAAATAATTACACTAATAATGAAATAAACAATATTCTAGTTGACGAAAACGATGAACATTCATTTAGTAAATCTACCCCTAACGTTTCTATTAAAAGAAAAAGATCTTATCCAAATATTACAGTGATTCAATCAGATACCAAAAAAGCCAATAAAGAAAATGAAACTGATCTATCTGGGAAAGCAAATAACGCTACATCCATTATCAAATTTCATCCAACACATAGTAGTAATCAACCATATAATACAGTGAATTCATACAATTCTTCTTCAGAAGGATTTGATAATAAAAATGAGCTAATGCTACATTGTAGATTAGTTAAAAATATTAAAGATTTAGAAAGGGTTATTCTATTTGAAGAAACTGGCATATACGATCAGATATGTATGGAGTTGTACGTAGATTTAATCAAAACCGTCGAAGAATGGGAATTTAAAAATAAAGACGAATGGATGAAGGAATGGGGGACGACATTTGCATCTCAGTTGCTGTTGTTTGGTTTTACAAATGTAATGTAACGCATTATATTAACCCCAACGAGATATTTTCATGAATATATAAAGCATTAACTGTAAATAAGAAACATATTGCATCTATACATAAGCATTTACATACAATTAACAAAAATCAAATTTTATGATATTACGCAAATGATTTTTTTTTACCATCTTTCTTGTCTAATTTAATGAGTGGCATGAACGACTGTGTGTCAGTAATCTGAGTATCACCTTTAGCACCAATACCTAGGCCCTCCACATGTGCAGACTTTAAAATATCTTCGGATTTATTATTTGTATCATTCTCGGATTTACCATTCCATCCCATCCCTCGTAATATTGCACTACCAAATTGCTCAACAGGAACAGATTTGTAATCATTTAAAGTTGTGACAGTTTGTATATCCTTTCCATCATGGTCCTCACCTAATACAATGACTAGGTCATCCTCTTTGGGTCGTTCGTTTGATAAATCATGCTGTGAAACTTCTGTTATCTTAATCTTTCGCCTTTTCTTATTAACCTGAGAGGCATTTATGTCATTACTTACAGATGAACCTACCAGTGTAATATCTCCAAATATATTACCATAGTCTCGTTTCTTCTTTCCCTTGCTCTTATTAGAAGATTTCTTCTTTTTCAAATCAAAATTAAAAGAGACTGACATATTAAATCCATTTAATAGAAAAGTTCAATAATACAATTGTCGAATATAAAACCAACGAAGTATGGTTATTACAAATTATGAAACAGTCGTTAAACTATTGCTCCTTAGTTCGTTTGTTAGCATGTAGAAAACCTTTTTAACTTCGGATCAAAAAGGACAATTAGTAAGTTTAAATGGCGTTTCTTGAACCAAGCAAAAGAATAATTATTTCAGTAATTACTAGTTCGAGTATGAATAATTGTAAAGCATTAATTCATTCATGTTTTCTATGTATGTTTTTCCTCCTCTCTGTGAGTTTGGTTCATTCAACTACCCAGTAAAATACCCAACTATTTCTCGCTCTTCACGAACCGAAAATTTTTTTTCCTTAGTGTAAAAAATAATGCGATGAGATGAGCTATTTGATAAATTGAAGATTAATATATTTCAAGTAATTCAATTTAATAAAGAGAAGTACTACTCAATAAGAATATTATATTGACATTCATATACTCACAACATACAAGTATTTGAGTATTATAAAACATGTCAGCAGTCCAATCTTCGAGCCCATTGGTTTTATCAAGTTACGATCCCAATGGTAATTACTTATGCTATGTCACTACAGCTTTAGACAAACAACGTGTATCTGTCGAACCAACTCAAAAGGGCCAAAATGATGCGTTATTAAACGAAAAGTTTTTATATCTACATTCTTCCGAGCTAAGAGTAACTTCTCTAAAATGGTCATACTTAAACTCAAATGAAACTTTATGTGTTTTTATTGGTTTAAATAATGGGGAAATATGGCTCTACTCACCTTTAGCCAACGAAATAATTTTGAAATTGTCAACAGAAAATGGGTATGATGTCAATGATTTTGTAGTTGCTAACGACTCCTTATTTTGCGTTGACTCAAATGATTTCATCTATGAATTTGATTTAGTTAATTTCACACTAAGAAATCATTTCAAGATTGAACAATGTTCTAATTTAAAGAGAATTGAATATGTCGGAGAAAATAGAATTCTCGTTGCATCTCATCAAATTTTCTTGGTCGATAATGTTAAGAAAGAAATTGTTCTAACTTTACCTGGTCATATCTCTCCTGTTTGTACATTAAAAAAACTAAACAACGAGTATTTGTTATCTGGGGCTGAAAATGATAGATTTTTGAACATATATAATATTTCAGATGGTAGTATAAAGAGCGTTTTAGTTGCCAAATCTAACATTAATAAAATATCTACTTTCGGAACAACAGAAATTGCAGTTACTACAGAAGATGGTAATTTTGAAGTGTTTGAAGAGCCTTTAGTTTCTAATAAATCCAAGAGAAGAAATGTAAAATCTAGACAATGCACCAAAATAGGTAGTGTTGTGAATAAAAATGACAATGCAATTCCATGCATTGATGTATATGCTGGGAAGGATATCATCAACGTTACATATCTAACGAATGCGACAGTATGTCATTTTGTTCAGGTACGTTGGGATAGTCTTTCCATTAACCACAAAATTAAAGTAGATATCACAGATAATGTAAAAAATCTATCACAGGATCGTACGTTGCACGGAAAGGATTTAGCTGCAACAACAACTTATAAGGAAGGTAACGCCAGAGTAACATCTGGTGACAACTTCAAACACATTGAGAATATTATTAAAGAATTGGAACAGCAACTCGATGAGGATAGATCTAATGAAACTGAAGGAGACGACAAAGTCGAATCTTTAGCTGATAAATTACCTGCGCTGCAAAGTACCAAGAAGAGAAATCCTGTTACGGGTACTGTAGCAGTCATTTTGTCTCAAGCATTACAATCAAATGACCATTCTCTTTTAGAAACAGTCTTAAATAATCGTGATGAAAGAATAATTAGAGATACTATAATGAGACTAAAGCCTGTACTATCAGTTATATTACTTGAAAGATTGGCCGAAAGGATTGCAAGACAAACACATAGACAAGGTTCATTGAACGTCTGGGTGAAATGGTGTATAGTTATTCACGGTGGTTATTTGATAAATGTACCAAATCTAATCAAAACATTGGCATCTTTGCATTCCACTTTGAAAAATAGAGCCAATTTATTAGACAGATTACTATCATTAGAATCTAGACTGGACTGTACGTTAAATAAATTTGATGTTCAATCAGTTGATGCAGATGAATATTTAAATGAAGAAGTTGTAGATAGTGAAAATGATGTAACATATATGGAAGAACTTGATGATGCTCATCTGATCGAATCTGGTGAAGAATACGATTCGAGTGAAGATGAGGAAGGTACCTCCGATATCGAAGAGGACGCATTAAAGCAAGGTACGTTAACCCAACCAGTTGATAGCAATAACCCAAAAGAAATTATAGATGAAGAAGATGAAGGTTACAGTGATGTAGAAATGGCTTGAACAAGCTATGGTTTACCTAAACAAGACATCCCAGGGTTCTAGAATTATTTTATAAAATAACTATGTACAGTTTACTCTTGATTTTGTCATAAAGCATATATTAATATTTGAAATAAAAGAAAGAAAATATTGAAATTCTACTGGATGGAGAATCAATGCGTATATTAAGTCTGTGGTTCATCTCATCAACAAAGCTATGCGTCAGGTTTGTGCTGTGGGTAATCAAACGTCACTATATAGTCTAAATAGACATAAATTAGACTCAAAATCACGTGATTTTGAAACTTATAATGCGGGTAAATTAGGTTTTGTTTATTTTCTGTAATTAGGGTTTAAAAATTATTAGACCTTCGTCTTGCTCGGACGAGCTTTGGAAACGGTAACAAGAGCTCAATCTTTGAAAGTTGGTATCAAGTAATTAAGGCCATTTCAAACAACGTTTGAAGAACTGCAAAGTAATAACAACAATTTCGAATTAATATTTCAGAACAAGCACGAAATTAATATTACATAATTAACGTTGGAGATAGTAACAAAACTAAATACATAGTTTTTCTCGCTATTTTATTTTAGTCTAGTTATTAAAGAACAAAGTTAGCCCCAGGTAAATCATTATCACATATAATTAGGATTAGAAATGTCTCAAAAAATAGGACATACAGGACTAGCGTTTGCCAGAATGTGGCACCATGTTGATTTAGCCCATGAAGGGAGGTCTATGGGTAGACTGGCTACTTCCATCGCTACAACATTAATGGGTAAGCACAAGCCTGTGTATCATGAATCACAAGATATGGGTGATTACGTTGTTGTAACCAACTGCCAACTATTGAAAACAACAGGTAATAAAATGGCACAGAGAGAATATTGGTCCCATACTACAAGACCGGGTAGTTTAAAGCTGATACCGATGGATAGAATGGCTGCAGATAAAGGATATGGAGAATTATTGAGAAGAGCAGTTAGTGGTATGTTACCAAAGAACAGACTAAGAAAATTAAGATTAGAAAGATTAAAAGTATTTGATGGTAGTGAACATCCTTACAAACAAAATATCACAGCATTCGCCGTTGAACAACCAATGGTCAACGAGTTGCTAAATGGAAATAAAAAATAACAAAGTAGAATATTTCAATGACATCCACTGAAAGACTTTTTCTCGAAACTCGCTCTTCATTCTACCTCATTATACATACATCATTTTATTTTATTCTTCACATAACTTGTATATATACAGTATTCAATAAATATTACATTTGACTTTCTTTGAAATCGTAAAATTTCTGTTTGGTAGGTGTTGAAGGGGAGCGTTTTTTAAATATAAACATTATTAACTTATTAATGCTTGATTATCAATTCATATCAACGAAAGAGAAATGATATTCTTTTATTGTTCATTAATTTACATGTTTTTTATATTTTTATATTTAATTAATATATTTAATCTATTTTTACAATACTTAAATTTCTTTTTTTTAAATCTTTCATTTTAGTGTTGGGTTAAACCCAATTATCTAGGTACCTATATTTGAATTCCGTGATACGAAGAGAACGACCACTACTGGTTGTCATGACTAAATAATAGATAGTGGTAATTCATATCTTCCTATGTTGTCTGAGAGAGAAAATGTTGTATTCAACCTACATGCAATAGCTTAAAAGTCCCTTGAACGGTCGGTGTATAAACGTGGAGTAATATTCATTGCCATTAATTCTTGGAACAATAGCTTAGCAGCGTAAGGAATTTGAATTTGGTAAATATCGATTTTATTTTCACAACCCTTACATTCGAATTGATTGTGACTTAATTTTGCAATAACGGACATCAAACCACAATTACCACAAATATGTACTCTGAAAGCATCTGAGGCTTCCATTAATCTTTCTTTCAAGAAGGCAGCAGCACCGTGAGCAATCATACAATCACGTTCCATCTCACCAAATCTTAAACCACCATCTCTTGATCTACCTTCCACAGGCTGTCTGGTTAGAACTTGCATTGGACCACGGGCTCTTGCATGGATTTTATCATCCACCATATGTCTTAAACGTTGGTAATATGTTGGACCAAAGAAAATTTGAGCCATTAACTTCTTACCTGTATGACCGTTATACATAACTTCGAAACCACGAGAATGATATCCATGCTCCCTTAATAAGGTAGAGATACCTTCAACTGTGATATCGGTGAATGGAGAAGCATCACCTTCATTACCAGATAGTGCAGCAACTTTACTTAATAGACACTCAATTAAATGCGCCACTGTCATACGAGATGGAATAGCATGGGGATTAATAATAAGATCAGGAACCACCCCTTCGGCTGTGAATGGCATATCTTCCCTACGGTAAGTAATACCAATAGTACCCTTTTGACCGTGACGAGAGGCAAATTTATCACCAATTTGAGGAACCTTCGTCGTTCTAACACGAACCTTTACAAACTTTAGACCATCTTGGTTAGTCGTAACAAGTACTTGGTCAATGATACCGTTTTCTGTACTTCTTAATGGGGTAGAAGCATCACGTTTAGAATGGTAAGCAGTTCTTTGACCCAATTCTTCTTCATCAGGGGAAATTGGTGTCGTTTTACCGATAATAACATCTTCACCGGAAACTCTAACACCAGGTGCAATTAAACCATCGTCATCAAGTTTATCATATGTTCCATGCTTCATTCTCAATGTGTTTGTTCGTTGTGGTTTTTCAAATGTTTCTGTGATGGACATACCATACTTCTTCTCTTGGTCCATGTATGATCTGAAGAATAGAGATCTGAAAAGACCTCTATCAATAGAAGATTGGTTCATAATCATAGAATCTTCTTGGTTGTACCCAGAGTAACATGCAATGGCAACGATGGCATTTTGACCAGCAGGTAGTTCTCTAAACTTCAAATATTCCATCGAACGAGTAGTACCTAGTGGCTTTTGTGGATAGTATAGAATGTTTGCCATGGTATCCATACGTACGTTGTAATTAGTTAAGAAAACACCCATAGCTTGCTTACCCATAGCAGATTGATATGTATTACGTGGAGATTGGTTGTGATCAGGGAACGGAATAATTGAAGCAGCAACACCAAGAATCATAGATGGGTGAATCTCACAATGTGTAAACGTAGTGGCATGTTGGACAGCCTTGATACGTCTGGCAGGATCCATCTCGTTGATAGCAGCATTTGCTTCTTCGTTAGCCGGTTCAAGATCTTCAGGTTGCATTGCAATAAGAATAGTTTCTTCTTCCTCTGCATCGATATATTCTACTAAACCTTCACTCAGTAAGGATGACCAGGTATACTCATCTGATTCATCTAGACCACCTTCAATATCTTGGTACTCGGTGGCCATTAATTTGTTAATGTGTCCCTTTCTCACTTTCAATTCCTTGTGTCCTAATTCTTTATCATCCTCAACAATAAACAAAGGTCTGTAAACTCTACCAGCATCAGTGAAGATTTTTAATTCCTTTTCACGAATATCCCTCACCATAGAAACTTCAGGGTTAATGTCACCCTTTCTTCTCAATGTTCTTAGAGTTTCCATCAATCTAGCTGGGTTTCTATGAACACCGTGCCACACACCGTTGACAAAAACCCTAGTGGCATCTGGAGATTGATGAGGAACATAATCTTCCAGTGGCTCCATACCCCATTCACTTAAGAATGTAATGATAGGCATTGGGTCGGTACCAACAGAAATACAAGACATTAATGATAAGTTCTTAACTAAACCACATGCTTGACCTTCAGGTGTTTCAGCGGGACAAACAAGACCCCAATGTGTGTTGTGCAATTGACGAGGCTTAGCTAATTTACCATCACGACCAATCGGCGTGTTAGTTCTTCTTAAATGTGATAAAGTAGAGGAATAAGTGTAACGGTTTAGAACTTGAGAGACACCCGCTCTAGAAGACATAGCCTTCTTTTGTTCACCCCAGTTACCAGTAGCAAGGGCATACTTCAAACCAGATGTAATAGTCTTGGCATTAATAGCAAGTTTCATGTTGAAATCATTGGCTTCTTCGACAGTTCTTTGCATGTAACGGAAGATATCCTTAGTTAATTTTCTGAACAAGGTCTTGAATAGTTGACCTAATAATGGACCTGCTAGATCTAATCTCTTCTTACCGAAATGATCACGATCATCTTGATCTCTACGATCTAGAGCACATAACAACAGTCTATTGATCATATAACCCAAGAAAAATGCTTTTCTACTTTCGAAACCTTCTAATTGTGTAATATGAGGTAAGAATTCCTTTTGCAAGATATCCTTAGCATATTGAATTCTCTTCTCTTTTTTAATACCTAATGCAGTACCACGACGACCAATAAAATCTAAAGCTGTTTCACGATCTTGAATAACGAAACCATCTTCTACACACGGTTTTAACATCTCCAACATTTGCCAATCATTAACATCATAACAAATATGTTCTAGAATTTCACCATCTGGAATAATACCCAAAGCCCTGAAAATAATAACAATTGGGATATCCTGTTTTATATAAGGTAGAGTAGCTTTAATAGTACGAGATGTACTACCTTCACGACCATAAAGCTTAACTTGCAGAGTACTGATGAATCTTGAACCTTTTTCTAAAGCAGATCTAATTTCAGCAACATGAGAAATAGGAGATGGGGCAGCCTTCTTAAATACTTGAACTATGTTACCTGCAGAACGTTCTTGCGCAATAAGGACCTTCTCAGAACCGTTAATAATGAAATAACCACCCATATCAAACGGACATTCCTTTAACTTGTAAAGGTCAGACTCAGTTGCATCACTCAAATAACAGTTCTTGGATCTTAGCATAATAGGTAAACGACCAATAAAGACTTTACCGCTCTCACTATCATCCTCCGATTCTTCAGCAATTAATTCATATTTTAGTTCTCTCCCTGGAACATCAACAGCCTCGTAAGTTCTTTTCTTGACATCAACAAATAAACCAGATGAGTATGTCAAGTTACGTAAACGAGCTTCTTGTGGGTATAATGCATGAGTAACACCATCGGATTCGTTAACCATAGGTTTGGTGACATAGATCTTACCAAAACTAATCTCGTACTTTCTACTGATGTTGTCTTGTTCTGTAGTATGCTGAGCTATTTGTTCCAAAATAAGAGTAGAATCTTCGAAAATAATATCTTGCAATGTATAATCCACAAATTGATTAAATGAATCTAATTGTTGAGATACTAAACCTTTCTCACGGAAAAAGGATGAAATGACAGCCCATGAATCCTCAGCTGTGATTGGGGCTGATTCATCTTCAAACCCATACGGGTCTTCTTCGTAGTAATCGTCGTTAGACATTATTGATTATAATTCTATTTTGTTTCAAATTTCTTAACTATGCTTATGTAATAGAAAAATCTTATAAATGAACAGTGAAAGGGGTGAATGTTACTTAATCGATAAAGTATGCTTAAAACAGGTAATTTATATCCACAGTAATCTGGCACAAATCTTAACAATGGAACAATATCCTAGTTTATATCCTATCTTCACTTTATATTTTAAGTTGGAAGGTAATAATAACGTAGATTTTCTTTCAAAAATACTAAATGTCCAATAATAGATCGAAATGAAGAAAGTTGATCAGTGATTTATCTCTTAATCAATCCAACGAAAGAAGGTATACTATTCTGAAAGATTAACTACTGATCAAATAGAAAATAGTTATCACTTACTTCCCTAAAATTATTTAATATAAGTAGTAAGTCCTACGTTTACATTTACGTATTTCAAGTTGTTATTATTTTTGTTTTTTCGTTTTCTTTCTCAGTTAATTTCTTCCGTATTTCTTTGTTTTGCCACCAAATTTTTTTTTTCAGTTGAAAAATTTTAGTAGATTCTCACTACCGACGAGATGTGTAAATAATGTACTATCAGAAGGTTCTATTGATCAAGAACTCATCCGTCAATGTGTTAAGTAATAAACGATCAGATCACTATCATGATTTCTTTAGGCTGATTTCTTACAAATAATACAAATGTACACTTGCAATAGAAGTTGGGAGGGTTTTGATTGGAAATTCGTTAGATATTGATGCAATGATTATATAACATATGTATCTAGATGATCATTGTTGAATCATATTTATAAAAAAAAAAATTCTATTAAGTCAAATGGGCATGTAACTTAATCTAAACTAGGCATATTTGGCTCATCAAGATCATCATCTGCCTCTGGATGGGGTCGTTGCGTGGGTGGGTTAAACAGTTTTTTGGCCTCATTCAGTAGATCGTTAATAATATTATATTCCTCATATGGGGTGTCGTAGTTACTGTTATTTGTGCTTTCAAATGACCCCGGATGAAAATTGGTTCCTGAGCTTCTACCCGTTGTTTTTTCGTTCCCAAATGATGATGATGATTTATTCGGTGTAGTATTACTAGTACCTGTATTCATATTTGAATGCTCTTCTGCAAAGTTATAATTAGACAAAACAAAGTTTTTGAAATTTATTATATTCACAATAATAAAATCAAAACACGTTGGTATTATATTAGTCTGTGGTGCAATTTTTGCGTATCTCTTACATAATGCAATAACAGAATCTGTATAAGTCCCGAATAAGAAGCTATCGACTAAATTTTGATCTCTAATATCAGTGTGGTATTTTTGGTTATAATAATTTGTAAAACTACTCTGATATAGTCTTGTAAATTGTTCTAATTTGGATTTCTTTGGATCATTCATACTATTTATGAACTTAAGGAAATTCGATAGGAATTGTTGCTGTTCGTTTATAAATGTTGTAAATTTAGCCAATAATTCAACGGTTGCTAGTATGTTGTAAATGAATATTATCAAACCCGAAAATGGTAGAATTCCTACCAAAAATTGCAAAGGTGTCTGTGGTATTAATAGATATATTATACCATGCAAAGCCCAGTATTTTAGAAGTAAAGTGGTTAATTCAGCTTGTTCAGTTTGTGGTTGTAACATAGATGTGGATTTGACAAACGATGACATTGCGTTTGAATCCTTTGACAGATACACAGTTTCTAGTGTCACATGAAGCGGAATGATTATAGACACGATCGAGGAAAGAATGCTTGTTATTACCCCTGACATAATGGTATTGTTAATTGCAATTTTGAAGTTCTTGATGTTTTGTATCTTTAAAGAATCAACATATATTAAACGAAGTCATTAGTTAAACAGTTTAGATAGTTTTGAATAAGTCAAGGGTAATATTTATAGAAATCATATTTAAAAAGTTCACGACAGGGATCATCTTGATATTGGGAGATAGTGATTTTTCATTGTTCTCATTTTTTCTAGAATTTTGAAGAAAAAAATTAGAAGAGCTGATTAAATTTTATCGGTTTTGAAATTTTGAGAAATGCTTAAAAACGTAAAATTAATCAACAACAACAACTATTGAACGGAGGAACCTTTAAAAACTTATATATCATTAAAACAATTATAGGAATGACACATAGCAAATTTATAAAATAGTACTTTTCATTACAATATATAAAATAGATTACTACAATTCCAGAAAATAACAAGATGCCTTACACAGTTCAACTAGAAGTTCACTAGCTGATAGCGATTTCATTAAGACAAGCAGTGGCCCATATATTAAATATTAATTATAAGGTACATAAAAAACTGGAATACCTATATTGAATTTAATCGAAAGATTAATACTTCGGGTAAAATCTCTATTAATATCATTTGGATCGACAGCTATGTAATCCAGTTTTGAGAATAACGAACCAGGGTGAAAGTAAATTATTCTAATAATCTATTTAAGATATCGACAGTTTCAGCAGGTGATGCAATCCACAATGTACATCCTGCGAGTCTTGCCTTAAAATCATTAGCCGAACCCATAGGGGCAAATTGATCACCGATATGTAATGTTTCATAAGGTTGAATTGGATTCTCGGGATCATAAAAGTGTTGTAGACAACGAATACCTAAATTCTTATCACCAATGTCGCACCAAACGTCACTACCACCATCAAAACAACTAAATTTAATATTTGAACTTGTTGGTGAATTAGAAATCGAATTTTGTAAAGTTAACACTATTTCTTCCAGTTGCTCTCTTGATAATTTCAAAGGTACATTTCTCTGTAAAGAAACATCGAATCTCTTACCAGGAATAATACCAACTGCTCTTTTCTTTCTTATAATCGGGATCTCTGAAGGTAGATTTAGTCGGATCTTTAAAGTATTTAAAGTCTTTTCAGCGTAATCCAACAAAGTATCCATCTCTTGTTTTGTCCAATTTTTTATTTCTTCGAGAGCCCATGTTTCTCTATGGAAATATTCAAGACCATACGTCTTCCCATCATCATCTCTTTTAATATCGTCACAATAACGGAACAAATAATTACATTCACCACCCATTACTGTTAAATTACTCTTTTGCTCAGAAGTCAGAGTAGTCGAGGCATGTAATTGTGACATCAAACCTTCTAATCTAGATTCATAGGATGCGGCCTCATCATAACCTGCAGCTGTAACAATACCAACTTTAATATTGTTGGCTAATAACTGCATTATATGGGGAACCACTGGATTTGAATCATTTAAGGAACCACCGTCTTCATATAACGTCACATCCCCATCAAATGTAACTAATTTTAGAGGTCTTCCACCTTTGTAACCCATTCTCTTTTGTTTAACAAAATGTAAGATCTGAGCAGTATTTAGTATATGTCTAATATCATTGAAACTTGGAGCAATCATTCTTCTAGAAGAAATGGCTCTTTGTGAGTCTTCCCAAAGAAATGCTCTCTCTAAGGGCAACTCAGTGAAAAATGTTCCAATGGAGGGAACCAACATATTCAATCTCGACTTTGCATCTGGAGAACTTCCATTCAGATAAGCTCCAGAAATTGAAATGTTATGTTCGTCGAATTCAATTTTATTAATTATCAATTGTTCAATATCTTTTAAAATGTCTGCATATTTAGATTTCACCCTTTGGGTGGTAGTTAAATCATCTCCTTCTTCAACTGGAGATACTGCATGTAACACAAAAGGAGTTGCGAGTAACCCTTTAATCCATTCAATGAATTCATCCTTCCTATGACTTTTTAAGTGATATTCCACTCTGTATCTTGACGACATGTCTATGCGTTACACCTAAACTTTATTACGGTATTAATACTCTTTAAACCGAGTAGACTATTTAATGTCTGATACCAATTGATTGTTGACATCTTATAAATAGCATCGATTAAAAATACAGCTATAGGAATTACACACACGATACATGTCTTTCAACTATTTAATCTATACTCCTTATTTAATTTACGGTAACCAAAGGTTGAGAAGGTCCATATGGTTAGCGACTGCCGGCATATATTATATCCGAAAATCATAACGGTGAACGGGATATATCGTTTAAAAGAATGGCTGACAATAACATAGTTTAAGTATAATGTATGCAACCACAGCATAGCCAAACAAACGAACTAACATTGGAAAATCATGACAACATGGTGCTGTCATATTTATGAAACAAACCATATGAAAACAGAAGAACGTTGGGTGTACTGAAAAGGAAATAAAACTCAGATGATTTTCACTTTAAAAATGCAAGAACAGTAAGATATAGAATGAACTTGGTAATATCATTTATATCATCCCCCCCCCTAAGGTTGTAATCATAATAATATCATCACAATCCACCTCCTTCTTGACTATGAATTAATCATACAAATGTAAATTGAAAAAAATAATATTTCTGTCATTCTAGAGTGGAGTGGCTTAAACATATCCTTATACGTCAGCAGGAAAGAACGTAGTAGGCAAAAAATAATAATATTAAGCCTCAACAAGAATGTTAAGGTGTGACACAAACTGGAAAAGCCTTCCATAGGAACTGAAAATATATAAGAATAATATTATTTGGGTATTAAACATTTTTAGATTACAATAGAACAGAACTGGTACCCTGTCATCCCATGTGTTTTTAGTTTTCAGTAAATTGTAATCAATAACTTTGTCGTTTCAAAAGTAGGAATAATTATCCGAAAGAATTTCCTTAATATATTATCATATACATAGATAGTTAAAAACAAACAGAATAATCAAAACCTTAGTCATTTTCCTGTGATGAGTACACAAACAGAAGGCCAAATTAACTTTAATAATTCCAATCAGCCACAAATTGAGCCACCTTTACCAGCCTACATTAGTTCATCTAATAATGTACCTAAGACGAATCAAAATCAAAGAATTTCACAAGATTCAACTATGGCAAATATTGTGACAAATGATACTTATTATAATCAGAAATACGATGTTCCCCAGAGTGAAGGGCATAATAGTAACTCTGAACCTCCAATGGTTGAGAAAAAAATGGAAACTACTTTTAATGACGTTTTTCCTGTTGATAAACCTAAACTTGTATTAAATGATTGGCCTTTTATTATAATATTTGGTATTACTGTTTGCGGATTTATTGCCATTGCAGCATTGACATTCAGAGGTTGGGCACAAACATATTCTGTTACAGGCTCTGGAATATACAATTCCAGTAATACCAGCTCACCAAACACAAATTTTGCTATTATGTTAGTATTTGCTTGTATTATTTCAATTTGTCTTTCTACATTAGGATTAGTTCTATGTAGGTATTATCCACGATTCTTTATAATAGCTGGTATAACAGTTAACATTTTAGCTGCATTAGGGACTGCCATAATGTATATGTCATTACATTATTGGTCTGCTGGCATCGTTTTCTTGGTTTTCACCTGTTTCACAGCATTCTGTTATTGGGGTATGAGAAGTAGAATACCATTCAGTGTAGCAGTTTTAAAGATTATTATTGATGCTATGAAGGTTTGTCCACAAACGATGGCTGTGGGGTTATTTGGAAGTTTAGTGGGTAGTGCATTTGCATTTTTATTTTCAATGACGATTGCGGCCACATATATAAAGTATTACCCAGGTGAAGATAATCCTGCTTGCAATGTTTCTGGCGGCAGTTGTTCAAATGCTAAATTAATCGGTATATTGGTAGCGTTATTCTTCTGTGGTTATTATATATCTGAAGTAATAAGGAATGTAATTCATGTATCTGTATCAGGAATCTTTGGTTCATGGTACTATAGATACAAGTCGGATCAAGGTATGCCAAAATGGCCTGCAATGGGGGCCTTAAAGAGAGGCCTTACAACGTCCTTTGGGTCCATATGTTTTGGATCTTTAATAGTAGCAATTATTGACACTCTAAGACAATTTTTAAACCTATTGAGACAAAGTTTAAGATCAAATCCTAATAATAACAAATGGGCCGGTATATTCATTTTATTGCTAAGAGGAATGGTGTCTGTTTTAAAATGGCTTGCTCAGTATTTTAACCATTATGCATATTCTTACATTGCCCTTTATGGCAAGACATATTTAAATGCAGCTAAGGATACATGGCATATGATAAGATATAAAGGAATTGATGCTTTAATTAATGATAGTTTGATAAATACTGCTTTGGGGTTTTATTCATTATTTGTGAGCTACATTGCTACTTTATTTGCCTTTCTTTACTTAAGGTTTACAAGTCCAGCGTATAACAGCATTGGAGCTTTCAATGGATCTTTTTTGGCGTTTTCATTCGTTATTGCCCTTCAAATTTGTAACATTTCTAGTGAAGTTATCAAGTCTGGAGTTTCAACTTTCTTCATAGCTTTGGCCAATGACCCAGAAGTTTTCCAGGCCTCATACCCTGATCAATTTGATGAAATTTTCCGTTCTTACCCTCAGGTTCTTGCAAAGTTATCACAGCGCCAAGAGGTATAGAACTGAGCTCTTTAACAATTAAAACATTTTTATAACAAATATTTAATTATCTATAATATCAAATATATATATATTATCAAAACCTCAAAGTGAAAAAAGTTTATTATCCGGTCTTTTTATCTATTCTCGTACTAAATATATTAATCTATTCTTGGCGATACATTCTTTTTTATGTACCATTCGACGAAGCTTCTAATACCTTCACTTACTTTTCTATAATCTTGTTTGTTTAGACCTGATATCGTAGAATTTACCAAATTTTCTCTTTCATTCGTACCAACATGTGATAGCTGACCCGTGACTTCAATAATCCATTGAGTACAGATGGATGGATCATTGTTATTAGCTTCAGTTGCTAATCTAAAGCATTTTACGACACAACTAATGGCATCAGAATGACAATTGGAATCAAAGTTGCTAACTAATCCAGTCATTAATACTAGGACAATATCTGTACCCTTTCTAACAATAACTTCATTAATAATTTGGTTTCTCCATTCTATTGGAACATAGTCCAACGTAACAATGGAAATCGGGGGAGAGGGGAAACCCCATGATATGATATCGTCCAGACAACGGATGATATACAAATATGCATCAAAATTCTCCAATTTATTTACACAAATTAGCGCAACATCAACAATACTAGTTAGTAAGTCTGTAGTTAGAATAAATTGCTTTGGATAAAACATAACTAAATCAGACACCATTGCAAAGAAATCCATGACAATATCGTAATATTTGTTTATTTGAGTCGTATCCATTTTTTTGAACTTTGTAACAAAGGTACCACATTGCGATAAGGAGAATTGCCAAACACTTTCCTTTATTTCAGGTGGGACAGGATAGGTGTCATCATCACCAAAAATGACTATAATGGACCCAGAACACCATAAGAAGGACCCGAGACCGGTTGATGAATATCCTTTAACTAGTAATTCCGCAATATCACCTAACAAAGCTTCACAGAATACATGGAATTTTTCAAATAACCTTCTCAAAAATTTGCAAATTCTCTCTACGATAATCGAATCACCAATAGCGTTATAATCGACCAAAATATGCTTCAAATATAACCATAATTTGCGAATTTCAGGAAGCAACGGTTCGACCCCTTCAGATGGGTATGAATGACGAGGTTTTAGATCTTCAAATAACGCAAAAAATAAATCGATTTTATTAGCAATGGTACGACTACCAGTTGAATCTTTACCGCTTTCATTCCAATCTTTAACAAGAATTTCCAATTTTGATAAGTTGTCATCAATTAACTTAGCAAATGAAACATTAATAGTTTCCGGTGGCTGTTGATTAATAACAGAGCTTAACCCTTGACACAATTCAAACTGTGACTCAATGTCATCCGATATTATATCTTGAATACTGAAATAGAATGTGATAAGTTGATCAAGGTAGTTACTTAATAATTTAGAACAATCAGTACAGAAGTACATCAGAGAGTGTGAAGAAGCAGTCACAATATCTTTGACATCTTCACTTGCAGTATTTTGAGCCGATTGTACTTTTTCAAACCCATTAAAAATATATTGTAATTGAATTTCCAAAGTAGCCGGATTCTTCGAAGTCCATTCCGTGTAACGACCAAATACCAATGTTGTTGCATATCTAATTTTTGGATGTAGTTCAGGAAGATTGCACAAAATTTGGAAAATTTCTGGAAGAATCTTGTTCTCTGTTAGGGATATCTCTTGCGCCATTGTTCTCAAAGAAAATAGAGGAGCCTCTAATTTTTCCCAGCTTTGTACTTGTCCATTTACTATTGATTCCTTGATTTTAGTCAAAGGTTGGGTAAGAGCATTAACTGTACCCACAACAGCCGTACAATCTTTCAAAACATCACCCATGGTGTATCGGAAATCTTTAAATTTATCTTCATTTTCTTTAGATGAAAAACCATCAACAGGGTATTCAAGATGCACTATGATTCCGTTAATAAGTTCGATAAATATCACGGAGTACAACTTTCGTGCATGCTGATATCTTGGTAAAACTAAATTCTGCTTTAAACCAAACCAAACTGGAAATGTGTAAGAAACAATATCTAGATCTGGATTTTTGCAAGCCAAAGCTAAAAGAACCATAACCAAAGGTTGAAACGTTTCAGGAGACTTAGATATAAACACAGTCCATGCCTCACATGCCTCTGCAAATATTCTCGTTACGCTTTCTAATAAATCAGGGTCCAGCTCATTTTCCACCTTAGATCTATCAACTGTAAGTATACTTGGAAGCAATTTCGATTGGATATTAAGTATTTGTTCTAATAATGAAAAAACCAACTGCTCATTAGGAGCTTCCCTACTTTCCTTTAATATGACACACAAACACTCCACTGCTGCATCAAATGCATCTATATCATCAGATTCCGTTAATAATACTTGGAACAACAATTCTATCACAGGTCCTACCGCTAATACTTCCTGAATTGGAAATTCAAACGACCAAGAGTTGAAACAACGAAGAATATTTGCCACAGAAATATCATTTGTTGGTTGCGTCTTAACGATACCAGTGCACTTGATTAAAAATGATAGGACATCTTGAGCAATAGAGCTGATCAACTCGTGGGTACGTGAATTATATTCTTCTTCTGTAAGGGGTAGAGAACCCATATTCATTGTTTCTTCCGGTAAAATCCTAAGGAAATTTAAAAGGATTCCAGGGTAAGGGTTTAGATAGGAAACAATTTCTATCATTGGATTCTTCCAATTGATGAATTGAATAGCTAATCTTGCGACTGTCACATTTAGTTGTGTGAGAATTGGCTTGGAAGTGTGGATAGTCAGTAAAACTAGCAAAGAATCTTTCAATTGAGCCAGGGTTGCATCACCAGAGCTTTCTAACTGAGAAAGATCATAGGTAACTTTATTTCTAATGGTTTGAACAGCGAAAACCTGTAACTCTAATAAAGAAGGATCATTTCTTGTCAAAATTTGATTACATATTTCCCACGCTTCTACAGATCTTTGAAACCTTTCTAGATAATGCAGTGCATCGTTTTTTAATGTTTGAGATGCATTTGAGGAGATACAACTTAATGCCTGCTGCACATCCGTTACTGTATCTGACATAGTACAATTGATCTCTAATCCTTGGATTATTAGATGCTAAAGGTATTGCCTAAATAATTTTTGTCCAGTGCTTCAATGAACACTTGGAATATCTATCTAAGAAGCTAATAAATCTAACTTGATTTCAACTTTCTAGAATACTGATAATTTTTCAGGTTAACTTTTTTTTTTTTTCGTTTTCTCCTTACAAAAGGTGCTAAGCTACATAAAAAAGAAGAACGTAAAACTTTAATATATAATATAATTTAACAAACCAATCTACAAAAGTTACTTGGTTTTAGTAAAAGTAATAAAGAATATAAAATATACTAAATATAATAACATAAAAGAGCACGAACATAAAATGTCTACAAATAAATCAAAAGGTGTCATCCCACCAATTAACTGCATTTTTAATTATCTACAACAGCAAACAACGGTAACTTTTTGGTTATATGAACAAACAGGTATAAGGATAAGAGGGAAAATTAGTGGGTTTGACGAGTTTATGAATATTGTTATCGATGATGCTTTGGAGATACCAGTCGATAGTAAAACCAGTGTTGAAATGTTGGATAAGAGTAAGAAATTAGGGAAAATAATGCTAAAAGGTGACAACATAACGCTTATCACATCTGTGGATGAATGATTTTAAATTACAGTTAGATATGAGATATACATTTCAAACTACTAGGATGGGATTATATTGTACAATAGATTACTTGATAGAGCATTAAGAATGATTTCTAGTCCGCCATATTCTATATTTTCTTCAACTACGTTGAATTATAATGTGATACAGGTAAGATCGTTTAATATATATATATAAACATTATTTACATTTTTAAAAAATGAAGATTTATATAATATTTAATTTCATTCAATTATTATTGAAAGAGCTGTTCTTCTTTAGAATATTCAAAATATGATATGTACATGATGATAACGAAACGACAACTTTAGACAAACATGGAGAGTGGCATAGGTAGAGAGAGAGAACACATAATGGTTGATTGAAATATATTAGAAAGAAATCTAAGGAAGAATGTTATCCACATTCTTTTGTCTTTCTTCTAAGATTTTGTTATTTTCTACTTTAATTTCATTATCAAACTTAACTGCTTCACCATTTAAGAAATCTTTAACCATTGGTAAACCAGGGTGCACAGTATTTACTGTACCAAACAATTCATCACCAATCTTTCTTTCCAAGTTATTTTTCTTCGTATTGTTTTTTAAATCAAAAAATGTATTGGTATTTGTTGAGAAACGAGTTTCATCAAAAATTGCATCTATATTTTTTAGTAATTGTTCTTCAGTGACAATATATTGATCTGCTTCATAATATAATTCTAATAATTTTTCTAATTTTCTTTCTTTTGCTTTAAACTCTATAAATTCTCTATTATAGATTCTCTTTAATTTCATTAATTCTGTTTCTTCTGGAGTTCTATGTCTCATTAAAGGTTGATTTATTATATGTTCCAAAGATGGAATTGTTAAATCTGACGATTTTGTCAAATTAATCTTCTTCATCTCTTCTTCACGTTCCTTAGCTTCAATGATCTCTCTCTTAGCAAGTAATTCTTCTCTTTTCAACAAATATTCTTCCTCTTTATGTAAAGCATCTGCTAAATATTTTCTTCTTAATTGAGCTTTTTTCATCTTCGTCTCTTGGATCTCACTCCCAGCTGACTTTAAGGATTGTGGAGCAGGGATACTCTTAGAGATAACATCCTCGATATTAATAAAAGTAGCAGGCTTTGGTTCTCTACGAGATTTTGCCGGATGTTGGATCCCTTCAGCGTAACCGAGACCATTTTCACCTTTAGGAAGTGGTTCTTTAGCTTTATTCACTAGATTAGTTTGACGAACAGTAGGATGCTTCAAGATGTTCCTTGTAACAGGCAATATACCACTTTTAAAGCCATATTTTGCAATACCTTTCCCCATCTATTTTGTTTTATATGCTGAAAATAATAATATACGAAAGGACCTAATATTTACCTTTAAAATTGTTTGAATTTCAAAACGAATTAAATAAAAACACACAAAGGCTGCTGGTGTTGTTATTTGATAAACTTTATTCGACGTAACTTCAGATAATTATTTATTGATGTAGTTAACTAGTTAAAGATGGAAATTTAAATTCTCTGTTTCATAGGTCATATCTATATTTCTGAAACCGCAAACCGTTAATATTCTCTCTCGTTCGTCCCCGTCGTTATTCGCTATTCAGAGAAAGAAAAATATTTATACATGTTTAAGTTACCCTCCTATAAGGAAAACAAAGAGTTAAGAGAGTTTGATGTATTTAATACAAGAGAACTAGATTTGTTATTTGGGGCAGGATCTATTCAAGTTTTGATTTTGATTGATCAAAAGAATCATGTCACAAGAGCGTTGTTACGTATTTAATTTTAACAGAACCTTGACATATGTTTATTACACAATCAATGGACACATATATTATAAAAGAAAACAAAGTACACAATTGATATAATATTAGAAAGTTTAGCAACTTCAAGTTTCAACTTTCTTAGATCGATATACATCTTGCTTTTCGAAAAGATGTACTTTCTCCTTCCATCAATAGTGGATAATTTCCATATTTAATTGACGACCCTTAAAACCCTTTCGATATCCAACTATTTCATGGCATGCTGTTGGGGCCCCCTCACTGTTAACGGAATTCTTAAGAGTTCACACAGAAAGAAACATTGATGAAGCACCGCGAGACAAAAAAAGAGGGAGAGATAGTCATAGAAAGAGATTGTGTGTGTGTGTGTGTGCATATATATGATATTAATTACGATCATTTTCGTAATTAATAAACAATCTCTGTTTGTTTCACTCTTCGATTCACCAGACAAAAATGATTAGAGAACAACCACACCTTGTCAATAAAAAACAACAGAATTTATTCATCAAGTTACTATAAAGAGTAGGGAAAATTATATTACTTAATAATTTCTTGCTTATAAGAATGTGATATACTGCAGTGTCTCACAAACTATATATAAGAATATGATTATATGACGATCTAATATTTTTACGAGTAATGAATGGTACATATCTTATAAGAGCACTTAGTATTACTGTCTTATTTCATCCTTTTCTAATATAGTGGATTAGTAGTAGCCGTTTATAAAAACATCTTTAAGAGTCATTATTACTCATCCCCTATATATGTTATATTCTTTATTAAATAAAATCCTCTCTCCTTCCACCATTCTTAGTTGTTGTGATCGCGAAATACTTATTTTTACAACAAAAATTGTGTGTGGTGGTCGATGTTCTATACTTTTCTTTTTCTTTCTATCTCGCATTAATGATTTTCGCTTGGGATATTATTATTATTATAGCAAATAAGAATATAATTTATATAATATAATCATATAACATAATTTATATATTTTAAAAATAATAATAGTGTATACTTTTAATTATATAGAAAGCTCAACTATTGTTTATTTTTAACCTATATTGGATATTAAGAATACGTAATCGTTATTAGTATAAACCTGAAAGTAAAAGTATTAGCCATACTATCATCATATATTATTGAAACTTAATATATATCCTTTTTTTTATTATTTTTTTTTAAAATCTTTGTTATTTTCCAATTTTGTTATATTTTACTGATTTTTTTTATGAAAAGGGTTTTCCTGTAACGTTTTACTTTCTTTTTTTTTAAAACAACTTTTTAATTATATCGATAACATATATCATATTTATCCACTCGAACTGACATTTGAAATCATATACACATTGAGTTTTTCACTACTCCATCCTTAAATCATTTTACATTTAATTTTCTATTTTTACTTCTTTTAAAAGAATATACTTTACTTTTGTTATAACTAATCCATTTCTTTGATATTCAAATCAAGTCTGATCTCGACCCAGAATTTTTAACCCTTCTTTTTTATTTAATTCAAAAATAAACAATATTCAGCATAAAACTCCCTTTTTCCTTTACATGACATTATTATAAATGTCATTTGATTACGAAATATATAAAGAAGGTGGTATCTTAAACGATAGATATCAAAAAGTTGACGATATTAGTGAAGGTTCATATGGTTATGTTTCCTTGGCTAAAGATTTGAAATTGAAAAAATTAGTTGCAATCAAATATATTTTTAAACTAGATAATGACTATAATGACGACGATAATGATCAAAGAGAAAATATAAATAATGGTATTGATCCAACTGATTGTAGTTCTGAAAAGAAACATGAACTGGATCAACAATTACAAAATAAGAAATCTTTAATTTCTGATGCTGTGAAATCAAGATTCTCGAACAACGTTTGTTTCGAAGCAATGTATGAAGTGGATATTCAAACAAAAGTTGGTAAACATAGAAACGTGGCAGAATTGTTGGATTTTTTCGATTCTTACATCATTATGGAATATTGTACAGGAGGCGATCTATACGAAGCAATTAAAGATGATATTGTCCCAAGAAAGACGAAATCAATTACCTATATCATTTCTCAGATTATGGATGCTATAGAATTCGTACATACTAAAGGAATATATCATAGAGATATAAAACCAGAAAATATCTTGATCACAGGAATCGATTGGACAATCAAACTGACAGATTGGGGACTAGCCACTACAGATGAAAATTCAATGGATAGAAGTGTAGGAAGTGAAAGATATATGTCACCTGAATTGTTTGAATCTAATTTAGATATGAATGAACGTAATGAACCTTATGATTGTAGTAAAGTTGATTTATGGGCAATGGGGATCGTATTTTTAAATATTGTGTTTCACAAGAATCCTTTCAGTATTGCAGATCAAACGGATAAATCCTTTTGTTATTTTGCAGCAAATAGAGAAGCGTTATTTGACGTGTTTTCTTCCATGACTTATGATTTTTTCCAAGTGCTAAGATATTGTTTGACTATCGATCCAACAAATAGAGATTTAGCAAAAATGAGGGAAGAATTGAATAATTTATCCGAATATACATTCGATGATGAATATTACAACTCTTTAGAGGATGAATACGATATTCCAATGTCATCAGATGCTTCCTCTATAAAGATTTCCGGATCAGATGTCTCTACCACTCCTCCTTCAGAAACAAAATTGTTCATGCCACCATCTTCTGCACCAGTGGCATTGCCAACACCTATCAATTCCTCCAAACCCTTACCACAAATTAAAAACGATGATTTTGAGATTAAACATGATTCGTCGCAATCTACAACTGCCACTAATGATACTAAATATGATACCTTTAAGAAACCGTACGATATTCCAAAATTTAAAATTAATGCTCAAAATGATCCTTCCCATACCACCACTACTACTTATGATCACAAGTTTGATGAAAATCAAAATAATCGTAATAATTACAAGCCTAATACAAACAGTTATTACAATAATGTCGATCAAAGAGAACGTGCCAAATCAGTTCCAAAGATTAAGTTCAATAGACGTCCCCGTGTTAAGAACAATCATAATCAATATCATATAAGCCCTACCAATTACAACAATAACAACGCTTCACATAATTATAAGGGCAACAACAATAACATCAGCAATAATAATAACAATGGCTATTACAATACTCATTATAAGGCATTTAGAATGAGACGTAGAAATAAGAGTAAAATTATTAAACATTCTAGAAAGCCTCTTGGAATTCCAACTCCAAATACGCATATCAATAATTATATCAATGATTACAGAGCTAAAGAAGATAATCAATTCAATACAAGAGATTTTTTCACACCTCCGAGTGTACAACATAGATATATGGAAGGTATATATGATAATAAGAATAGATACCACAGACAGCAATACAAGAATAATCATTTGAATGTCCATAATAACTATAACAATAATGATTCTAATAATGGTAGTAACAATAGTAATTACAGTAAAAGTTGGAATAATAACAAAAGTTCTAAATTTAGAAGACCAAGTACCACAGGTAACCAAGCATTCTCGACTAATTTCTATTCTGGAAATAGATCCAGACATAGTTTTCATAGCAGTAATATGACCAGTGGAAATGTTTTTAAGCGCACTACTGTTCAACATTCACCTGGTAGCTATATTCCACCAAATGCCAGATGTAACTTCCCTACCAGCACATCAGTCGGAGTTTATTCTTCCCAGATTCCAAACATATCTAGTGTTTTAGGTGAATCAGATAACGAAGGTTTATCCAATGAAAGAAATAAGCAACTTCCTGCTACTTCGATGTTGAATTCTGCCATTGATAATGAACATGATCTGGATGATACATTGTTTTCTTTGGATGATGGAGATCATGATTACATTGATAATATGAATAACTTATCACTTAACGATGGTATGCAACATAATAACAACGTGGACAATATGAATAGGATGAGCGATACAGGCAATGCATTCCGTCAATTACATGCTCTCAATGTTAATATTCCTAACCATCAACCAATTCATTCAAATAACGACAGTGATTTGCCAGATTTGCTAAAATCTCCAGTGATTAGTTCAACATCCTTGAACACAGCGCATGGTTATAACAAGCCAATGTCAAACAATCAATATTTGAATATTCCAAGCGATATGTCTCAAGGCAATGCACATCATAAACCAGGGGTGTATGTTCCTCCTCATCACAGAAGAAGTTCTGGTTATTCTACCAATGAAGCTGTTTTATCTGTTTCTCCAAACTCAATCAGTATTCAAAAAGCTGAACTACATCCTAGTCAAACTTTTAAGAAGCCAAGTATTCCGATTGGAAATTCAGGTACAACTGTGGCACTACAAGATCATGACGTATTTAGATATTCAGACAATGATGCATTAATCTTTGAAGATGACGATGACGATGACGATGTTGTTAATGACACAAACACGAAGTACATGAATGATGCGAATAGCAACAGAGCAAGAAGAAGCTTTGGTCCATATAAAATATATGACGATGACGATGAAAACAATACCAAGTTGAACGCATATCGTTCCAATAGAAGAACATCCAGCATTCAAAATGAAGTAGTTGGTTCATTGGAGCAATACAAAAATAATTGGCTCATGTTACAACAACCCCAAGAATAAACTAAAATTTATGAGTTATGAGTGCATTTAAATGAGTTGAAAAGGCAACAACTAACATAATGGAGATTGAAGAAAAAAAAGAATGTTTTTTCTTTTATTTTTCTTTCTGTCTCTCTCTCCACCCATCCTAACTATATAAAGATTCAATTTCTTTATTAATATCATATTCCCTATTCTATTGTTATTTTGAACAAATCTGTTTTACATACATATATTAAAAATTAAATAAATTACATATATACCCTTCTAATCCATATTTCTACATATTATTCAGAGTTTTTCTAACAGTGCTACAATGTATTCTAAAATATTGTATTTTTTATTATTATTTATGAATGCAAAATATAGTTAAAGCTATATATAACAAGAAATTTATAGTAAATTCGTTCACATATATATATATATGGATGAAAACGAGTGGTAATCATCATGCCTTACTAATTTTATTTTTATTTCTATTTTTTTGACGTTTAGAAATCTTATCCTTTTTAGATTTAGATTTTATAATTCTTTCAGTAATTTCATTCACAAGATTACTATTATATTCCGTTGAATTTTTTTCTTCATCGTTTTCTTCTTCTTGTTTATTTTTATTATCATCATTTTCAAATTTTGTATGTTTACCTTGGAAATTTTTCGTACTTATAGATGGTTCGTTATTATTTAATGATTTTGTTAAATTATCTTTTAAATTATTTTGATAATTTTTATTTTTTTGTTTTAAGTTATTAATTTTATTATCATAATCATTTGTTTGCTTCATATAGTTTTGAACTCTATTTAATTCATTACGAATTAAATCAATATTTTCTTTTTGTAAACCCACAATTTTACCATATGAGAAAAACAACGAATTCAATATATATGCATAAGTATTTGAAATATCTAATTTATTACGTTCTGAATTTTCTTCTAATAATTGTTCATCCAGTGATTTTTTAGTTAAATTTTCTAATTGTGGAGCCAATGCATTCAATTGTTTCCTTATGTTGGCAATATAAGGTTTTATCTTCTTAATATCTTGATCCATAATTCTTTGGTTTTGTTAATGCTGTGTTATTTTATATTTGTCTATATAAATTTTAAAACTTATATATATATATCATGTATTTTATGTTATATCATCTCATCACCTTTATGTTAGTAAAAAGTGAAAGCATCTAATTTTGCATCAATATAAATTTTTCAAATTTTTACAATGTTTTTTTTTTCAACGGCTAAATAAGAAAGAAAAAGAATAATTTTGAAAAGGAGGGTAATATATATGAAACTGAAAATTTATTAGCTTCTTACAATATTTCAAGTTCAGATTACTTCCATATAAATATCTGAATAAAATTGTTTGTATAGAAATAGATTATATATGAATAAAGTATTCTAATTGTATACACTTATCGTTTTTATAATACCAAGCAATCGTACTTATCTCACTGCCAGTCTAGTTTAGCTGACAGATTGACTGATTTAACTAGAAAGGGCAAAAAGAAAAAATTCATTCAGTAAAATTCAGTCTTTTTCTTAATTTCCGCGGGTTTTGTAAAATAATTTAATTTGAAATTTCCGTCTTTTTCGTTGTTTCGCGGGGAGATAAAGTAAATAATTATTGTGCGAAAGTGCGAGAGTGCGAGAAAGAAACGTAAAGATGGAATGGGATGGCTATAAGGCAATAAAGAGAAATCAGTGCGGTTGTTTGTTAGTTAGCACTACTAGAACTGATAATATATTGCAAAATAACTATGTGATACTATTATATATACTATTAGAGTTATTCGGGTTTCGGTGATTTAAGGACGGGGACGGGGATGGGACCGGGGATGAGAGGATTTGCTATGTATGGGTTAAAATTGCTTATTTATATATTCATATTACTACTATATCCTTGTTTTCTTTTATGCAGGGAAATTAGTAATAATAAATATTGTGTTAGTGTTTTACATTTATAATATATTAATTGTATGTAAGAGCGGATTTAGGGATTCTTTATCGTTAAACTATACTAGTAGTGGTATTTTCAACGCATTCTTTAATTCTTTTTTAGTGTTACTATTATTACTAAAGTAAAAGAAGATTACGGAACTAGTAAAATATTATACATTTCAGAGTTACATATATGCTATACTCTTCTTTCATGCAGGGAAGTTGAGAAGTGTTGAATGATTATAATAATCATTCAACACTTAGTTCTTAAATATATATATATATATATGGAACGTATTGATATATTAATTATCTTGATATTCTGCTTGTTCTTACATAAAAGCAAGGAGTTTAACACAAATTTTTATCATCGCTGTGGCTAGCAATTTTTTACTTCAAGAAAAATCCTTACTTAAATTTTATTAAGCGAAGAGATAGAAAAAAAAGAAAAAGGCAAAAAAAGGACACTATTATTACATTACATTATATTATATTATATTGTATTATATAATAAAAACACAATTAGATCTGCATTGCTTGGAAAGGAACCTTCAATTACCAACATTATTTCTATTCTTTTAATTTTTTATTTTTTAATAATACATTACTATTAATCTTGCATCGCAATACCTACATGCACCACAACTAATAAAAATGTCTAATTCTAATACTAGTCCACATAAGAAATCGGGACATTCACTATTAGCTACATTTGGTTTAAAGAAAAGGAAAAGTTCAAAATCAATAAAGAAAAACAATGATACTTCTTCTTCTTTGAATAAATCTCATGAGAATAAAAATATATCTCATAGGGCAGCAACTTTTTCCTCAAAACATGATGGGAATACACAGGGTATATATTCTGATATTCCAGTTTTAGGGTTTCATAATAATAATAATAACAGTAATGCTAATGTTATCACTACTCAAACAACATCAAATAAAATGACAAGCCACCCACAATTTAAGATCCATACCTCATCACATTCAAGGACTCATAGCTATAGTAGTGGGATGAGTCTCTCCGATAAGACTTCACAAATTAATGGGTTTTATAATCTACCTTTAAATATTGGACAATCATCTCAAAATAATCAAGGTAATAACACCAATTGGAATACTGTCAATTCAACATCCATTGTAGTAGGAAGTGTAACAAATTCAAATGTAAATATAAACGGTACCAAGGATAATAGCAGTTTATTAAGTGCAACAAATCATAGTTTTATGGCTTATAGTCGATACTCTATATCTGAACCTAATTTGTCATTAAATTCATTGGAAAATTCACCTTCACATAAACCACAATTATCAAATGCTCAAGAATTATTAGATGCTGTCTTTAGAAAAGATAATAAGAATAATAGTAGTAGTACGCAACAACAACAACAACAACAACAACAACAAAATAACATTAACAATAGTAGTAGTAGTAATAATGAAATTAAAAATGCGACATCAGGTATACATGATCAAACTATGAATAATGCAAAACAATTATTACAAACATTTGATAATTTATTACAAAATAGTAATGGCAAGCGTACAAATTCGAATAATGCAAGTCAAACACCTATCATAACAGAACCGCAACCTACAAAACTTTCAACTGATCAAAATAAAATAAAATTTTTAGATACAACTCCACAAAAGAAGGATATGGATCCGGATGCTACTTTAACGACAACAATATCACAGAGTCGTCCCTCAGCGGATATTAGGCGGATATCATTGGACTCAGAACCTGAAAAAAAAATGAAAAAAGCTACAGTTAAGAGTGGTACACCCAATGGTAACAACGTTATGATGAATGAAAATAGTAATAATTCCGACTCTTGTATTTTGGCATCAATGGCACCAAAGAGATCTTTTACTCCGTTAAATGTGAAGGATATACCATCTAATGCTTTAAAGTTATCAATAAACACAGCAAGAGCTGGAAGTTCTTTAGTTACCGGATCATTTAGTAGAACGAGAGGTAACTCGATGTTTTCTGCAAGTCCTGTCTCATCTAGGGTGACTACACAACAAGACCTGGAGTTAGATAACGAAAGCCCCAAAAAACAATTACAAGGTATTACGTACGCTCCGGAAAGTAAAAACAAAGAGTTCCATAAGTCGTTCAAGAAAGCACCTGAAGATGAAAAACTGATATCTGTACAAAGTGCAGCTTTATTTAAAGATTTTATGGTACAGGGAAAGATATATATCTGTGATAATAACATTTATTTTTATTCAAATATTCTGGGATATATTACAACATACGTTATTCCATATAAAGATATTATTGGTATAGAAAAAAAAAATGTAGCAGGTATATTTCCAAATGCTATTGGTATTGATACCGAACAAACAAGGTATGTGTTTGCATCTTTGATATCTAGGGAAAGTACATGGACTTTAACCAGAAAAATATGGCATCAACGCAGATGTAGGAGTATGAATCCAAGAGATAGTATTACATCTTCAAATCAACAGGGATCCGAATCAAATGAGGAGTTTACTGCTGATTCGGAGATGGATTTGGATGGGGACGAGTTGCTATCTGATATATCGTCGGGAGATTCTGAAAGTATACTAGAGGATGACAAAAACGGCGTTACGTCGACCCCCTCTTCAACTGTATCTGAACCTATTGATGAAACTAAAAAAGGAAAATCTGTAGATGACGAGTCGATCCCAACTTTAGGTTTGAGTAAACATGAACCAACGACGACCTCTTTTACACCAGACTCTGCGGATAAAAAAATATATGATTCCGTAATCCCAGCTCCTTTAGGAAAAGTGATAAATATTTTGTTTGGTGAAAATGCCACTTATTTGGAAACAATTTTAAAACAACAAGGTAACTTTGATCTATCTGTAATTCCAACCAATCTAATTTCAACAAAAAACCGTGACTATTCTTACACAAAACCACTCACAGGGTCCATTGGACCAAAGAAGACCAAATGTTTAGTCAGTGAGAAAGTGGATGTATATGACCTAGACGGATTTGTACAGATAACTCAGACTACAAAAAATCCTGATGTACCATCTGGTAATGCTTTTGTTTCTTGCACAACATATGTGCTCTCCTGGGATAAAAATAACAGTACAAGGATGAGTGTTTATGTCAGAGTGATTTGGTCTGGTAATAGTTGGATTAAAGGTGCAATTGAAAATGGTACCGTTGACGGTGTTACGGTCGCCACTAAGAGTTTAGCAGACGATATAATTAAATTAGTTTCACCAAAAGAGAAGACAACAAAAAAGTCCAAAAAGGGTACATCATTGGCTGGAAAGAGTGTGTCAACACTCCCAAATATTGAACCATATACGCATGTTGCAACCAAAGCTGACATTAAAACTGAATCTGGTGATAAAGTTATTAAAGAAAATTATTTATTTGATTGCTCATTAGGTACAACTTTCCAATTAATTTTTGGTAAAGATACCTCATATCTAAAACGCATCCTTGCAAAACAAAACAATATCGACATTTCAGTTATTCCAAAATTTGAAGATAAGAAACGTACTTATACCTATGTAAAACTATTAAACAACTCACTGGGTCCAAAACAAACTAAATGTAATATTACTGAACATATTGAACATATGGATATGGAAAAATATATCATGGTTAGGCAAATCTCGAAGACGCCAGATGTTCCTTCAGGAAATAGTTTTACAGTTCAGACTCGATACTATTTGAGTTGGGGTCCTGATAATACTACAAATCTAGCTATTATCTCTAATATTGTATGGAGTGGTAGATCATTTTTGAAAAGTGCAATTGAGAAAGGATCAATAGATGGTCAAAAGGCGACGGTTGAAATATTAATTGATGAATTAACCCAAATTATTGAAAAGGCCAAAACAGGGCCAAAAGTTAGTAAGAAGAAGAAAACAAAGGGAAGAAAGGACATTTCAAGAGCATCTACATTGTCAGAAATATTACAACCAGAAAAGGTAGAACCATCGGGGGCTATCAATTTTATCTCAAAGGCATTTTCACCTTTAATAGATCCGTTGTTTAATAATTTTGACGTAACATCTCCTCAAACAGTAGGCTCTCTTTTCATTTCTTTCATTTTGCTAATAAGTCTCTTTAGAGCTATATTTGTCAACGAAAAGGACACTCATAAAATATCTATATTGAGAGAAGGAAAACTAATGATAGATCAAGATATTTACAATTATACCCCGGCCTTGGATACTTTGTACAGACCATATAGAGAAGATATCGAAAATCATGCATCTAGAGGTAAAAATGCTTCATCCAGAGATAGATATCAAAATATTGTTGATTCCACCGAAGAAGGTATTTGGGATTGGATAAAGGACCGCGGAAACCCTAAATCCGTAGGCCGTGTTGCACCTCATTTTGATAAGCCAGAAATCAAGAATCATAACTTAGAGGAACTACAAGAAACCATTAAAATCGCCAATATTCAATTGGAAGAAATGAAGAAGAGAGTAAGTATATTACAAGATACAGATTAATATATTCAATATATTGAATTTTTTAGTTTTAAACTATGGTTAGTTATATAAATCATAATAAATGCATATTTTTTTAAATAATATCAGTCTATTCTCCTCTATGGGGATCATAAATATGGTTGTTTCAGAAATGTAAATGATAGATTAATATTAAATCCTATTAAATATATAAATTCTTAATTTTCCATATATGTATATATATATCACTTTGCCCTGTTATGATTTCCGCGACGAGTAGTTAACATGAGCGGCTAAAACTTAAAAACATTTTTAATTGAAACAGCAACATTTGTTTCAATATATAACAGAGATCATTTAAATAACAGGAAAAAAGAAAGATATAAAGTTACGCACATATACCGTTTACGATATATGAGTATGGATCTACAGATAGAACGTCTAAAGAAGGAAGTTGAAACTTTAAAAATTCAACATGCTGATTTAAGAAATGATTTTAACAATATTACAGAGTCCAAAAACGTGTATGTCCTCCATATCCTCAATATGTAACCCAATCCATCCACATCGTAAAACACAGTATACTAACAATCTTATAAAATACTATCTTAGAAAACAAGAGGCTAATGAGGTCAAAAAACTCCATATCCAAAGATTAAAGAACTACAACGATCTAAGAGATATTGGCTTAAGATTAACTCAACTGATTGCTGATGATAAAAAATGTAAAATGGGAGAAGTCTTTGAAGAGATGGGGTTTTCAATGCTGGACGAATAGCATTCGAATATTAGTAGTTCAAGTAATTGAGTTACGCTATTTTAAAGAGAAGCTTAAACTATATTTATATTTTCAAAAATATATATCTCTAAAGACGAAAGTAACAATCTATTGTTTCAAAAGTCCGATTAACTAAAGAAAAAGATTGCTTCATCACTTACAAGTTCCAAATTGACATCTCCAACTTTATATTGTTAGTTTGTTACCTCACTCTGATTAAATAGTTCTATAATAGTTCGTATGATGATAAGTCACTTTTGTACCAGGTAACTCATGTCACCGTTGCAGTCTTAAACCCACGTTTTCTCCAATACGTATATTTGTTAGCTCTTTTTTCAAACTTTTTACGGAATTATAGATTTTGTAACAGAAAGCGAAAGCGTAATGAGTGAGACAGACAAAAAAAAAACTGGTTGAGAATGCAATTGAATCAAAATTTTTTATTGCTAATTGAAATATGAGGTACGACAGTTTAACTAAGCGGGAGATATTAAGGAATTACAGAGTTTACTTGCAGAGGTAAAATACACTTTAAGAGTTTGAAAAAGGAAGTTCAAGAAATGAAAATTTCTTAGCAAGCATCTTCAAACCTTGGTAAGCTGAGAAGAACTTCTGATACTACTAACCTGGAATTCCAATCGATTAAAGATTTTTTTATCCATGACATCAACCTTTAACAGAACAGTAAGATTACCAAAGCATAGACTAATACAGTTACTATCTAAAAGATAAAGTGAAGAAAGAAAGACTATTTTATACCAATTGTTAGCGTTAAAACCAACATCATTACTAGCATATACCCAAACTAACCCCATTAACATCTCTCTTGCATTAATTATTTACAACTGAATTAAACTGAAACTCATATACACCCGTCTGAATAAAATATCCTTACAATGAGACCCTCAGTGAAAAATATTTGGTTTCAGACCATATTATTTTTGAGTATGATAAGTTTTGTGAAGAGCTGGAATCCACCTGAACTTAGTGATAACCAAATACATGATATAAATAACAGCCCGAATAGAGTTCAAAGAAGTCATTCAAGACAACCTGTACGACAAGAAAATACACCTAGAGTAAATACAGATAAAGAAATACGAAGCAATATAATTCCAGAGGCAATACAACCCGTATCACAAATTATCGAGTCCAAAGAAACTGTTCAAGGAATACAAAACAGTTTAATACAAAATGATGTCAATTTACCGCAAAGTTACAATGCTGGGTTTGAATCAATTCATAACTCCGTGCTTAGTCGAAAATCGTTGAACGATTTTATCCTATCAGATATCTTAATTGCAGCTGATATAGAAGGTGGTATACATGCTGTCAACCGCGAAAACGGCCAAGTGCTGTGGTCGATCCTATCATCTCAATTTAATCCACTCATAGAAATAAAGGAACCCCCGAGAAACTCAACCAAAGAGATATTAATGGTTGAACCTTTTGAGGACGGTAATATATATTTTTTCAACATGCATCAAGGTTTACAAAAGATTCCTGTTTCCATAAAACAGTTGATATTAACATCTCCAATGCACATGAAGGCAAACGTAATTGTTGATGACATGGGAACTGTCGTGGAAGACGAAAAAATATATACAGGCTCCAGGAGAACTGTGATGTATACAATTGATATAAAGACAGGTGAAATTATATCAGTGTTTGGACCAGGAACGGCGAACAAGAATTTTAGAGAATCTATTTCAGATAATGAGGGAAACTTATTAGTGCTAGGGAAGACGATATACGAACTAGGAATACACTCCAAGGACGGATCTACCTATAATGTGACATATGCTACCTGGCAAACAAATACCCTGCACCAACATTTAGCAGAACAAAATCTTCATGCTAACAATGGTATTCTCATTGCCCCATTTAGAGACAAGACGATGCTGGCAATTGATTATAACCTTAAAATTGCTAAATGGATTTCTCCGAAGTTTCCAGGTATCATCACGTCTGTATTCGATGTTTTTGTTGATGGCAGTGCAGGTGAAAATATTATTGTACCTCACCAATTCCAAACTATGGAAAATGATGACAACATTGGTGACCACATTTACTTAGAAGAAACTGAGAATCATTCGTGGATTGCTTTATCTAGTCAAAACTTCCCATCATTGGTCAAGGCAGCCCCAATTTCAAAATATAGTTCAAGTGAAATCTGGAGAGCTCCGTCAATATTTGATGATGAGCCGCTCTTTAGAGATGCCATTTCTGGTGTTCATTCTTTAGCTACATCACAATTCAAACCCACATTAGCATTACCGCCAAAAGAAAGTAGTGTTACACATAATCGACCAAGTAATGCCCTCATGATGATTGAGCCAAATACTTACAACAACTTTCCAAGCGTCAAGGAGGACACATTTAATTCTTTAGAACGTTATATTTCACCAATGGAACTCGAGTTATATAGGCTGAAATTGGAAGAGCAAATAACAAGACAGATAATGGCACAGAATAAACATTCGTTTTTGCATACATTAGGAAACTTAATGTACAAAGTATTTGAGAGTGGTTTTATTATTTTAGCTTCGCTTGCTCTACTAGGACTTCTTCAAAAGTTTAATATCACACCTCCATTTCCTGTAATATTGGAAAAGCTTGGGCTAGTGTCCCCAAATGAGGAAGATGCTAGTGATACGGATCCAAGTGATACAAAATTGTTAAATACAGAGAAACAGTCCAACAAGAACATAAATCATGTGAATTTCAAAGATAACGAAAAGGAAAACGAAAACGAAGATGAACAGAATGAGGGAGAAAAAATTAATACAGAAAACGATACCGGCAATAATCTTGATAATGGGAAACAAATTGAAAAGAAGAAGAGGAAAAGAGGATCTAGAGGTGGAAAAAAGAATAAATCTAAAAAAATTCCTCAAAATGAACACCCTGACCAACTTGATTTTGAAACTGATCTAAGAAATCTAACAGTATCTGATACTATATTGGGATATGGTTCTTCAGGAACTATTGTCTTTAAGGGGTCCTTTCAAGGTAGGGATGTTGCAGTAAAGAGAATGTTGATTGATTTTTGTGATGTCGCAGACCGTGAGATCCAACTTTTAACTGAAAGTGACAATCACCCAAACGTGATTCGATACTATTGTTCCGAAAGAACTGACCGATTCCTCTATATCGCGTTGGAACTTTGTACAGCTACCCTTCAGGACTTGATATATGGCCGAAACCTGCCTGTTGAAGTTACAAAAATTAACAAATCCATGGATCTCATTAATATTAACTACCAAATTGCATCAGGTGTTGCGCATCTACATTCTTTAAAAATTATTCATAGAGATCTAAAACCACAGAATATTTTAGTGTCTATAAACCAACAAGAGTTATTTAATCCGGATAAAGCCGGAACCAACTTGCGTATTTTGATTTCTGATTTCGGCCTTTGCAAAAAGTTAGATAATGACCAATCATCTTTTAAGACGAATATCAATAATCCTGCTGGCACAACTGGATGGAGAGCACCCGAACTTCTAGAAGCTTCTGTGTCAAAAATTCTAGAATCTATTACTGAGAGAAACGAAGATACAGAACACTCTACAGACCACAATACAAACTCGATGTCGGTAGTTTCCACAGGCTCATTCTATGATCCTTTCATCAAAAAAAGATTAACCAGAGCCATTGACATATTTTCATTGGGCTGTGTTTTTTTCTATGTTTTAACAAAGGGTCAACATCCATATGGTGACAGATATATGCGAGAAGCCAACATTATCAAAGGGATTTATGACCTATCTCCTCTCAAAACTCACATAATTGATCGATCTAACGCAGTGGAAGCGATTGATCTGATATCCAGGATGATCTCGAAGGATGCAAGGAATAGACCTACAGCATTTGATGTCCTAAAGCACCCGTTATTCTGGCCTGCTTCTAAAAAATTAGCTTTCTTATTGAAAGTTAGTGACAGATTTGAAGTAGAAAGAAGAGACCCCCCAAGTTCATTGCTTCTAAAACTAGAAACTATTTCCCCTAAAGTTATCGTCGATGGCGATTGGTCCCAAAAATTTGACAAAGCTTTTATGGATAATCTTGGAAAGTACAGAAAATACCATTACAATAAAATTATGGACCTTTTAAGATCTCTAAGAAATAAATACCATCATTTTATGGATTTGCCAGAGGACTTAGCGAAAACAATTGGCCCTATCCCAAACGGATTCTATAACTACTTTAGCGTACGATTCCCTAATTTGTTAATGGAGATATACCTCCTGACCAAGGAAGTTCTTGAAGACGATCAAATGTTAAAAGAGTTCTTCTGATTTACGTATTAGATATCACATACACAACACATATATACATACTATTTGCATAATACATTTTTACATACTCATAAAGCCATAGAAGACATATTATTAATAGATCTTAAAACTTATGGAAGATAATTGATCACGTTCAAAAGAATTTAAAAACAATAAATGATACGTCTAATAACATAATATTTCATATATGATGTTGTTTATAATTTTAGCGTACTCTTTAATTTCTATTAAGATGATACACAGTTCGCTCAGCCAATTTTATAAAGAAAATTGTGAGAATACAAGATATTGCATATATTTCGTCAAACCAACAGTCAATTACAAAACTAGTCACAGTAAATTTTTGACCTAACATGTCTCTAAGCCTCTGAGCAACATCAAATGGTAAATTTGATCTAATCATCAATACTGTCGCAACTACATACACTCCTGCGAGTTCTGAAAGTAACAAATTCTTTATCATTGAAGGTTCATTTTTTTTTTTTTGACGAACTCCACCATAAATCGGAAGCTCGTCGGTATTTTCCTCATTCTGTAGAGCAAAAAAGGCCAAAACTTGGAATCGAGCAGGTAGTAAGGACACTAGGAATGAAACGGTTGTACTAACAGTTGAGAATGCACAAATGAACAACGACGCTGATAGAAATAATGATATTTGACTAGTTAGCGAATCTAAGTCATGCTGATAGTTAAAGTTGAATAGACAGAAGTCAAGAATATTGGCAATTGTTACGGCAAGTGGATCTGAAGATGCGGAAAAGTGTTCAAACTGGTAATCTAGGGGATGATCAATAAAATGTGAAATAATTTTTGGAATTCTTACAAAAAATGTTAAAGTTACTCTGTAAACACAATATACCAAAAATCCAATTTCAAAAACCTTCCTTGCCAATCTAATCTTAGGTGGTTCATCTAAAATACTTTGAAACAGATTTGTTTGAAGTTGGGATTGAGCTATAGATTCCAAAAGTTTATCCTTTTGACGCCGGCTTTCTTGGCCAGATGGTTCCATTGTTTCCAATTTATTTAGTTCCTGTATACACACACTTCGATACGCCTCGTAACTAATCAAACGTTCTTTAATCCAACTCTTTCTTGCCCATATTAATAATTTTTTACTTCTTATCCCGTTTGATGCAAATTTAGATATAGTAGACGGTATCTTTTTATTGGTATGCTTTCTCCAAAAATAGAGAAAAGTATAATATATTGTAGAAACACTAGCAATTCCAGATAATATTGCCATAATTGTAACACCAGATATTGATAATCTAGTTAAAATGTTGTGACTATATTGAAAAGGTCCGATAGATATCAATCTTAATATTGCGATTAATGCTATTAATATTGCACTAGTTATTATTATCAACCGATCCAGGTCAAATCTATCATTAAAAAATTTGTTTAAGAGAGATATTAGAATGAAGAATGGTTGAATTAGAATTAATATCAAGGATAGAGACATCGATACAAGATACCATATCCATTCTGTAATAAAATCACCTCCTTGATCAATTTCTACAGATTTAATCTGCCATAATACAATCTCTATGGTGATAATATAACAAACCATTGCTACAGAAAACAACGTCCTTATAAAGCCCACTAGTTTCTTCGAAGATAGAGAATATTCGGTATAGAATTTCTGTACAAATGTATCTGTTCCAATATTATCATATCCATTAATATTAGTAATTATAGAGGACCTAGATTTTTTAGTTGATGTCGTCACATCATTGAATAAAAGAGCCATCTTAAACCAAAGAAATTCGTACGACCAATTGTACACAATCACCGACGATACCAGTAACGTCGTAGACATTAATATCAACCCCATGTTTCACTTTTATGTGTATCTATGAATGCTATTTAAGTTACACTTACTCCAAAATGCATGTATTTCGCGTATGTTATCCTATTGTAATATGCCATAAACTGTTGCCTACAATGAAGAGTATATGGAATGTCAAATACTTGGAGCAATGTACAAAAAGTTGTGAGTAAACTTCCAACCTCAATTAGAAGAGTTTTTAAATTTAAAGATGTTGAATTCGTAACTTTATATAAACTCTATGAGATATATCAATAACCTAATGATTAAAGGAGTGGAATGATCACCTTTTATCACTAACTTCATCGAGTGAATATTTCCTTGATGACAATCCAATTTTTCAAGAAGTTAGTCGTTAAAGTCAGAGACGACTGTACCAATTTTCGCGAGACAATATATATTCAAACTGAACTGAAAAAAAAAATGAATCAAAAAAGTTAAACATCGATTTCTTCAGTTAAAGGAAGAAAGAAACATTTGAGTTTGCCCAGTGATAATCCATTTCAGATTGAAAGTATAATAGATACAAATACAACTCATTTCAATTTTCTTTTTAATTCACGTCGGAAATATCTTACGACATCTATTGCACAACCAACTCGACATCCAGAAAGAAATATGAACGTATGTATACATTATGGAACCTAAATACCTGATTTTTATCATAGATTAAGTATAGTATTTATTGATCAACAAGCCAAATACTAACCAAATTGACACCGTATTATGATTGCTGTTGTAGCATTATTTTAATTGTCATTTATATATTCCCAGAATGAACAGAGACAAAAATTGTATGAATTGAATCTAAGGGCTTGGGATGGAGAAGTTGTTTATCCGTTAGTTAGCCAAAAGTTGGATACAAGTATAAAAAAGAATACTGGGTTTATAAAAAAACTGAAGAAGGGACTCACAAAGGAGAACAAAAGTTCATTGTTAAAGGATATCGGCGAAATATCGTTGGAAAAATATCTATCAGAAGTCATCACCACCATCAATGAAGTTACATCGAATATATCTAATAAGAATGAAGATATTTTAACAGCTGTAGAGATTATATGTGCCATGCATCAAAGATTTAATGTAAGATTTACTATACCATTTTTTGAGTTATTCTTATCAAATTTTGCAAATCCAACAGAGCAATTATCTGAAAAGGATGAGAATTTCAGAATCAGTAAACTAAAGAGTAATTTAAAAATTATAACAGAACTTTATTTGGTACATGTGTTTAAATCCATTGATATTGTAGAGTCGAAAGATATGATACCATATTATCTCCAAAGAAAAATACATAGAAAGGAACCATTTATCTTTAGCATTTTAAAGGAAATGTTGAATTACAAGTTCAAAATGGGATACACACTCAGTGTAGGTACACTGTTTGTTAAAAATTTCTCACCTTTTTTTGATAACGATGATACATCATGGGATTTATACATCATGGATGACAACTTCAAAGATCTATTACACTCTTTATTTAAAGCCTTTTCAGAGGCGGTAATTACAAGGATGACAGATCTTACTAAAACAGTAACCAAGTTAATGAAAGAACATAAAAAATGTCAAATAAGAACTGGTAAGTTAAACGATGAATATATTGAAGAATACGATCTATTAATTCCTATATTAGAGAAATTTAAAACAGCCACAGAAGTGTTTGCACCTATTTTTAATCTTGAAACTCCAGAATTAGTATCCCAGAACGTTGAAGATGAGGATGATAAACCTTTAGAGTCCATGATAGTTACACAAGTAATTCCTGTCAGTGAGCGAGTTTGGGAGAGTGAAGATATGAGGATATTCTACGAGGTTCTACCAAATTTAGATCATATTGTAAAACATTTTGAGAATACTGAAAGTAGTACAGGAAGTGATACGACGATTTTGAATACGTTTTTCGAAGATTTGAAACTAGTCGAAACAAAAGAAGAGATGGATAATCTGAGTGAAAGTTATTGGAAAAAATCATTGGATAATAAGGCAACTAGAAATAGATTATTAAAATTTTTTATTGAAACTCAAGATTGGAGCAAAATAAATATATATGCTAGATTTTTAGCATCTAATGCAAAATATATGCCAGAAGTATCTGAAGAATTCATAAAATACTTAGATAATGGTTTCCGTCACCAATTGCATACGAATAAGATTAACGTCAAAAATATTATATTTTTTTGTCATATGATCAAATTTAAGTTAGTTCCAACCTTTATGATATTTCATAAGATTAGAACTTTGATTATAAACCTACAAGTTCCAAATAATATTGAAATATTGACCATCTTTTTTGAGTATTCAGGAAAATTTTTGTTGAATCATCCAGAGTTTAAACCTCATATGGAAACTATGGTTGAACTTTTAAAAACGAAAATGAAGGAAAAGAAACTTACCATGAATTTCAAAGGTGCTCTTGATAATATTTTGAGTTTACTTTATCCACCTACTGTAAAATCATTGAACGAGGTAGAATCAAAAGAAACATCTCAGCAATTATTCTACCGTGTTCTAATAAGGAGAGAGTTGGTACATTTTGATGAAAAACAGGTGTTAATACTTGTCCGAGAGGCTGATTGGAATGATAAATGTATTTATCAAACATTGTTTTCGTTGTTCAGTAAACCTGAAAAAATTAGTTATCAAAATATTCCCATATTAACCAAAGTACTTAGTGGGTTGTATGTCTATCATCGAAACTTTGTAATAGAAGTAATTGACCAGGTGTTAGAAAATATTGATGAAGGTCTTGAGGTTGATGATTTTAGTGAAAATTTACGAAGAGTAGCCCAAGTGAGGTATCTAACCGAGATATTTAACATGGAAATGGTAAAATCAAATGTCATTTCTGATGTGATATATCAAATTATAAGATACGGACACTTCCATAATACCCCGTCTCCAAAGTATTTTAATCAATCGGACTTACCGAATAATTATTTTAGAATTCAACTTATTTCTACTATTTTATTAAATATAGAGCGATTCCCAAGAATTTTTACCAAGGAATTGGTTAAGTTACTACGTTTTTTTGAATATTATATTTTTACCAAATCACAACCACTACCGATGGGAACAAGATTTAAAGTCGAGGATGTATTCACTGAATACTCAAAAAAATTAAAATTCGATAGAGCTGAATCCTTGATCGAGAGTGCCACAATTTTCCAATCTTTAATTCAATCAACTGCAATATCTACCGTTACTACACATAATAAATCAGATATAAGGGGAAATGTAACACCTAAGACATTGAGTAATGTCAAGTCAAGCTTAAAAGAAAGTGAAGAGGAAGATGATGAAGACGATGATGAAGACGACGACGATAATGACGAAGGGTTATACTATGAAGACGGTACTGAAGAAGACGATGACACTGATGAACGAAGAACCTCCCGTGACGGGACTAACCCACCTTTCTATCTGGATGATGAAAACGATGATTTATCTGCTGGTAGCACCAGTGATTCAGATGATGATAGCTCCAGTGATGACTCATCTGACTCTGATTTTGAGTCAGATGAAGATTCCGACAGTAGCAGTGATGAAGAAGACTTTGACGATATTGAAGCCGATAGAAATGCGGAAGTTAGACGCATATATAATGAATATGAAACCAGGTTACAAAGTGAAGAAGAATGTAAAGCTCAAGAGGAGTTAGAAAAACAATTTGAACAATTAATGGCAGATTCTATGGATGAAAGAAAAAGTGAGAAAAGTGCTTCTAGTAACATGCCTATGATATCTTCAATGAATCAAACTGAGAGAAGCAAAACTAAGTTATTAAAGAAACCCATTATCAAGACAAAGCAGCCAACTGGGAAGGAAAACGAAAAAGTCGCATTTACATTTTTATCTAAAGCTGGGAAGAAAACGAGTAGTCGTGTTCTGGAACTTCCTGTTAATGTCAAATTTGTTAGTGGGGTACTAGAGGAAGAGGAAAAGATCAAAACCGAGAGAGAAAAGATTAAAAAAATTGTACTACAACAATCTTTCGACTAAAGAGTTTCTAGTTGAATTAGGTAGTTTTTAAACTGTATTTAATTTGAATTTGAATTCGACGATAGGTATTTAAATAGAATATTTATTTTTACTAGTTACAGGTTAAGATATCACATAATTATGTACTTATTTAGTAGCCGAAATTATAAGAAGAGATTCATTTGAACAATATTCATTTTTAAAACAAACTCACACGTTAAAAAAATATTGATTCAGGTTCTAAGGGATTCACAAATATTATTCCACCTTCACCATAACTACAGTAATATCATCCTCTTTACCTCCTCTGTATTCTTTACCATACAATTTCGATATTTCTTGGGCAAAAACACTTGGAAAGTTTGGATCTCTACTTAATTTGACAACATCTGTCACAAACTCGTTTGCCACTTGTTGTAAATCTGTATGAGTTTCTTGTTTTTTGTCTTTCAAAAATAATTCCATATCATCTGTAGCGATATTATCTGTGACACCGTCTGTTGCAATGATAATAATATCATCTTTTTGCAATTGGAAAGAATACTCATCTGCATCTGATGGTACATTCTGAATATATGAACCACCTCTTGCTGCAGCCTCCTTCAGCATTGCATCAGGGATAATAGCTAATTGGTAAGGAGCATTAAATCCTACAGTTTGAAATTTTGTTTGATAAGTCAATTTTTCTTTTCTAAACACACCACACCATGAATCACCCAGGTTTGCTACTGTTAAAGTACCATTCATATTAAAGTGGGTTGCTACAGCTGTAGTACCACCGACTTGAACAATTTTTTCCTTTTTAATCTTATTATAAGCTTCGTCAATTATTTGTTTTGGTGTAAGTTGAATCTTTGTAGGATTCAAAGTAGAGCTAATTTGGGCCATCGTCTTACATAATTCTCTGGAGATTGCACTAGAATCAAACCCATGTTCAGCCCAACCACCGACACCATCAGCCACACCTGCATATAAGTCAGATACTGAGTTAGCTTGAATGAAAAAATTATCTTCACCTGTTGGTGACATTATTGAATCCTTCAATTTCTGGTAGATCACATCATCTCTATCCTTTGGTTGATATGCGACTACACTCTTGTAGGTAAATTGATTAGTTGTGGCACTGGAAGGATCATAGTGTTGACCGTTAGAACTATATTGATTATTGAAATTATTTTGACTTCCACTGAAAAATAGTCTTTTAGAGAACAATGAATAGTTGCCACTAATAATTTTACTGGAATGAGAGATGTCTGCAGATATATAATTTGTTTGTATTAGTAAATATTCTATAAGTAATCCTGATAGAATGGTAAAAACCATGAATACGCACATACAATAAAATGATCTATTCGGTAATCTGAAAGATCTCAGACCTGGAGATACAAACATATTTGGACAATTTCGTTGATTATAGATACCTTCTCAAATCTAGTCTAAATGCACATATTCGAAAACCCAGTCCTTTAAAGACGAAAGGTTTTTAATTGTGAAAGTTTTCAAAACTTTCCCTCTCTCTCTTTCTCTCTCTCTCTCTCTCTCTCTCTCTCTCTCTCTACTTTCAAAGTTTGTTACGATTCACTCTAAACCTCACAATTTGGATTGCCGGGCTAAAATTATTTCCAAAAGTGTCCAAAAATCGAAGGATTTACGGATTCGATCTTTCCCTCTTGGAGATGGTCGTGGGTATTATAGAAGACATAATATAAGTTTTATTTATTTCAGTATATCCCTTTCTACAATGTAAGAAATGAAAATGTCGCTACATAATTACTTAAAATCTCCTTATGATAACTGTACTTCCTCTAGATTTTCTCTCTTTATTTACATTTCCTGAAGGGAGTTCAGGTCAACTGATTTTTCCAGCTTCTTATCCAGTATGTAGTAATCCGGAACTTTTAATACTTAGAGGTAGTAAATCAGACTGTGTTCTTAGATCTACTCAATTATCTATTCATCCTATTCTATTCTTTTATAGAATCAAGTTGTTTCTTGATTTCGCTCTCGAAAGAGGTCTAACATTTTCCGTCTAAAATCGCCTTTCGTTATGTCTCAATGAGTTAATGAACCCGATCAGGTAATTATGATAATCTCAATACAAGAAGGAGAGGAAGATATCAGACAATGACTCTGTAGTATTCACGAAGCAATTTGTCTTTTATAGGTAACTTTACCAATGTTACTGATGCATCTATCGAAAGGATATCTAGTATTAAAGACTTTACATCGCGTCATAATGGAATGGTAATTTCACCATGATTCCTTTACCAAGATGAAACAAAACTGATACCAATTTGTTAATTATTTGAAGATGGTGTTTAATAAATAGTTTGAAACATATGTTAAACTATCATCTTGCCCAGTTGTTTGACATTTTATATAAATATAAGTATAGCCAGCAAAATATTTTCTAATTTGACTGTTTAACCTACCGGATTGCTTCTCTACATTATTCATACTGTTTTGTGGGTTATATTTTAATTGATATTTCGAATTGAGATTTAAATATTCATTGTTACTTACCAACCTAAGCTCTTTTTTTTAATAATAATTTAAACGTCATTATTACACCATGCCCCAACCTATACCAATTTACACACATTACTCTTCTTCGTCTAATGTATCTCCGATAAAGAGAGTCACTGCGACTGATATTTCGATCATTGAAGAGGCAGAACCCTGCGAATTACACGATAAAGTTAACTGTAAAGAATGTACAATCGCAACTAAATCTAAGATGGATCAGGTATTAAAGAGGTCTATTTCGACTAATGCAGTCAATACTATAAAAAAGAGAAGATCCATCATCAATCTACATAGAACATTATCACAAACAAGTTGCTATAGCACAGGATCTACTTCAGAAAACAATATTAATGGTGAATTGTTTGACGATTTTATGCTATTACTATCAGGTGCTGGACATCATAACAGAACTGATTATATGTGGGAAATACTTCCAAATGAATCAAAAATTGCTTACCTAAGGCGATTGTTAGAAAGACAACAGCATGAAGACGATTATGAACATGGTATGCAGAACGATAATTTGAAGACATGGACCAATAGCGGTAGAGGTTCTGTCATGTCGCATATTTTGAATAAAAGCGTAAAGTCAAGTAGAGCTCAAACGAAGAAACCTCACGGTTCAAAATCGCATGATAAGAGGAGTCGAATAATACGCGAAGTTGCTGAGGAATTATATGAACAACTTTTACAGCAAGATTTAGAAGCCTATGAAGAAGTGATAGATTCCGATGAAAATTTCCAACATGATCATGAAATGGCAATCGCTACAAGAAAGAGATCGCAACCCACCAAACAAGAGTCAATTCAAACAGATGAAATTCAATTGAAACAAGATCATGAACGGCTGGATCTAAAAATTAAAGAATTGAATGAATTATTAGATAAATTATCAAGTTTTTCCCCGCTACCAACACCTTCGACAGATGAAGGAAACCCAACACTCAATAATGAAACACCAGTGACAACCATAACAAAAATACCAACTAAACCTTATGATAAAACTGTTACAGTAAATCATATACCAAAAAGAGCAGCAAAGGAGAAACATCAGGGATTTATGGGCTCTTTGGCATCGAAATCTAAGAATTTCATGAACATGTTTAAACAAAAAAA